TATCTTGCATGGTTGATTCATATATTGCATGTGTTGGTCTAGAAATCTTTGGTTGTAATCCACCATCTCTAGAGTAGCACGTAGGTCCTACTAGGTCCTACTAGGAGTTTGAAGTTGCTTTGAGAAGAAGTGGCAACAAAGGACACTACAAACTAATCAGTTTTGTAGCGTTGCTCCTCGGAGGCGTAGCTAGAAAATCCAACAGCATCCTGATTATAGTAGTAGTTGAACACATTCAAGGGAAACAATGTGAGCACATGCCAGACAAACAAATTTGCCAGATGGTCGTTTCACTGGTAGGGTAGTACTGTACCTTGGTTTCGACAAAGGACACAATGACATCATCCGTAGGGGTTCCATTCTTTATTCTCTCCAAGGAATCAGTCATTGCCTTGATGGACGCGGACAAAAGTGTCAATGCTGCGGAAAAATGAGAAATGAAAATGATTAGCTTCAGTATTTCAATGGAAGATCAAAGACTACACCAAAATCCTCTGTCATTCGTCATCATCATCAATACTCACGATAGGCAGCCATGGTGTAACCCAACTTCTTTAGCTCTAGTGGAGATAATATTGGTGTCGATCCCTGTTCCAACATATTGGCCAACTTAGGGCCTTCCACTCGTTCACAGTACTCTTTCATTTGTTCAATCGATTCTGGTGCTTCTAAAAAGGTCATGTCACAGCCTGCTTCCCGAAAGGCCAAACATCGTTCAATGGCGGCTTCAAAACCATCAGATTTCAAAGCATCCGTCCGGGCAAGAATGAGTGGAGCCATGCCTTCTCCAAACTGGCCATTGTACTCGTCTCGAGCGTCGCAGGCTGCCTTTACCCTAGCCACCGCCTCGTCAAAGCCAACAACAGACTTGCCCACTACATGACCACAGCGCTTGGGAGCCACCTGGTCTTCGATCATAATTCCTGCCATACCTGATCTAGCATATCCAAAGACGGTTCTCTTGACATTGACAGCATTTCCATAGCCAGTATCCCCATCGGCAATGCAAGGAATGGGATCTCGGCCCATTTCCAATGCGGCACTAGACAAGCCTTCAGCTACGGTAGCAGTCGCCGACTGCATTTCACCATACGAGATAAGCTGAGTATCCGGATATCCATTGACGGCGGAAACTCCAAATCCAGTCATGAAAGTGGCATCAAAGCCAGCGCGAGTAACCAATCGGGCTGTCAAACCATCGTAACAACAAGGCAAGAGAAGGGGCATTTCACTCTCGCGAGTTCCACCCATTTCTGCCTCGAGTAGCTTTTGGAGGCGGAGGGGTGCCGGACATGCGAGTCCAGTGATAGTCGGAAGGCATAGTGCTAGTGCAAGAAGTGTGATTGACAGCTTCATGGTTTGGTTGATGTCTGATGTCTGTGAATTTTGGATATCGTGTTGATGATTGGATCCAAACGGCATGACGGACAGGCGGAAATATTGAAAGCTACAGTAGTACTTGTAGATTTGGGCTTTCAACCAATAGTGTTTGAACTTGTCACCGACAAGGTCACTCGACTACATTACGCTGATCTTTAAATTTGTGCCTTCATACTTTATCTGCTCTCTAATGTATATCTGTCAGCCTAGTTTCCTCCAAATCCACCGAAGCGTTGGATCATTTCCTCCGTTTTTCGTTTGAATTCTTCTGCCTTGGCTGGGTCTTTGGGAACGCCATCATCTCCATTCGAGTACATGACTGCCAAGTTGAAACAACTAGGAGGATGAGCACCGGTCGCACACGCCGACAGCAATAACTGCTCAGCCCGCTTGGGATCTCGTTCAATGTAGTCTTTGTCTTTAGCTGATCGGGTTCGGTCATCTTCATTGGTTCGTTTTGCTACAGGTTCTTCTCCCGTAAGTTCTTTAGGAGACGCATTCTTGGCCATTCGATTAATCTTATCACCCCGCAACAGCATGGTCGCTAGGGTAAAGCACGATATCGAATCGCCAGTGTCACAAACCTGTTGGTACAAGTCCATGGCTTTATAGGGATCGTGTGGAATTTTCTTGCCTAGGGAGCCGGGTGGACTCAGCAGCATTTTTGCTTGAATGTGACAGGCACCTCCGTGTCCCGCCCGGCAGGCACGGTCAAAGACATTGTAGGCTCGTTTTCGATCAACTGGAACACCTCCCTTGCCTGTCATGAGCATCTTCGCCAAGTTGAAGCAGCCAGGGCCATAAGCCTTACCTTCGTCGACTTCAGCAGCGCTTGGACTCTTGTCACAGAGGGGTCGGAAACAAACATTTTCAAATAAATCAAAGGCTTCTTGGTGCTTTCGTTCGAACATACTCAAGAATTCACCAGTGGCGTAGCAGGCCGCCATGGGACCCTTTCCATTGTTGCAAGCTTCTATGTAATCGTCCACTTGCTGTCTGGATTCTTCATCAATAATTGAGGGCAATTCTGCCTGCAGCTTGTCGATTTCGTCATATTCATGGCCGGTTGGATCGGGAAACAGAGCTTCGTCTCCGACATTCTCACTGCTACTCTCTTGCGATGCCTCTTTTTTCTGGTTTGTTTCAAATGATTTAGTGGGCGATATATCTATCGATTGTCCTTGTCCCATGTTACTGTTTGTTTCGTATTGATTCTGTGATAAGTTGATTGAAACGAGATGATGGGTTTGTTTGATGAATCAGAAAGAAGAGATCAATGATGATGTATGAATGTATGAATCATCGCATACAGAATCCAGAATTCGGAATCTGATTCATAAAGCACTATAGTCCATCCAAGAGTATACCGGTACAGGTCCATCATTTGGAATAGATCTCATCCTTACGACAGGCAGACATTGGGCTAAAATGGAACACTGGACACTGAACACTGAACACACAAACATCACAACTTTGACGGTATCTTTCCTCATCTCTCATTCAGTTGGATTGCATCATTCCATTCTGAAAAATGGAAGATGATGATTTGACTGGCATGATGATAGTTTCTCTGAACGCGAAGCATCCGATGAGGAAACAGACAGCGACGGCGAGCCATTTGAAGATAGCTCTAGCGAGGTTTCCGACCGTCGTTTTTGTGTTTAATTTTACATCGATGACTTTTTTACTAAGACACTGCATGGAGATGGGGCCGAGACGGCTGGGTCATCCCAGTAGAGTACAATCACTTTGATATCCATGGTAGGATTAGTGCTGACTCCGAAATGTACCAACGACTACTGGATCTACTGCGACAGGATAACAAGAGGTTCAATCGGTTATGCTCCTAGTCGCGAGTTTTGGCAAAGTAGATAGATTTCAACTTGAGGGCTCCACGCATGATGTCGCATCCTTTTCTTGTCCCACTTCTGCAATTTAGAGTTCGTTGGTTCGAGACGTTTGGCTTTCGCACACATATTGAGACTCCATTACCCAGCCACAGGTTTCAGTGTTGTCTCAGGGCTTTTCACTAACTAAGAGTCTAAAGAAACTCTCAATCCAAGGAGACCTATTAATCCAGGGTGTCGGTGAAGCTCTCGCTGAAGGTTTCGAGGGAAATAGGACATTGAAGCGTCTTTATCTTCTTCTGAAAGGAAGGGATCCTACAACATTCTTGCCACGGCTATTTCTTTCTCTCAAGAATCACCCAACATCTCATGATTTGAACTTGACATCAATTGAAGCATGGTGCCCTCGCAACATATAGAGATTTTTTAGGTGGTTTCAAAGTGATCTTTGCAAGTTGGAAAGTGTTAAATTGTGTGGGTCTTTGGGTGGTTTGGAAAGCGATTTTGGCTTCAATCTTGGCAAGCTCAGAAAGCCCAACATGTCGTTGAGAAGTCTTGAGCTTAACGAAATGGATCTCAGAGGGTCCTATCTGACTGCGATTCTACCCAACTTCAGATATCTAACGACGCTAGAACTCTTCCATGCTAGGCTTGGCTTGGAGTCGTTAGACTTTTTGCTACTTGGAGACACCTGCCACTTGGAGACGCTGGTCGTAAGGAATAATGAAACTGGTGTGACTGACGCCATATCATTTGCAGAAAAGCTTCCTCGGATGAAAGCACTTAGAAACTTGTGCTTCGCAAGTCTTGGTTTAATGGAACGACGAGATATTGAGCGATTTCTCCAGTCTTCTGTGCAGAATACGAGTCTAGAACGACTTGATATCCTCAGGTATTTCAGCAAGCAAAAGGATATTCATTTGGTGAAAAAATCGATGTTTGGCCCTAAGCTGAATCGGGCAGGGCGACGATACCTTTGTCAAAATCCAGTGTCTTTGCCATTGAATCTATTCCCTCGTGTTGTTGAAAGAGCAGCGAAGGTCCGTTCATACAGACCAAGAGATATAAGTGGGGGGAACCATCTTCAAAATATGATGGGTTGGATGCAACATTCTGGCTGCTACGAGGAAACTATGCAGTACTTGGACACCTTGACTCGTTGTACAGTATTAGTTTGCTTTGAAAGCATTAGTGATCCACGTAGTACTGTAGTTTCTACCGCTTTTGGTTGTGATTTCCACCGCCTTTTCCAATCTTGAGCCAATCGGGAACTTTTCGGCATTCCATCGTTGTCCTGTGCTACTCCTCGCACTATTGAACACAAACGGAATCAATCATCATCATCCACGATATCACAAGAAAGTCAGCCAGCCAGCCTACTACCATCCAATGATACGTCTTTCCAACCACATAGACCTGGAGCGATGGCGTGAACAGGTGTATTGTTGAATTTGAGAGTTCCGAAATTTCCAACAGTCGTCGGATGAAGATTCTTGCCCTTGATACTGCAGCTTTCAAAGTAGTAGGTAGCATACACGTAAGTCAGCCAAAGAAAAAGATTGGTTTGTATCAAGGAGGGATGCTTGGTTGGGCCTTTCCAGATGGGGTTCTTGTTGTAGTGGTGGAGAGAGGGGTAGTGCAAGCCAGAAAGATTCCCCCATGATCGAATCAATCCATCATTCTACAACGCAGGCACTGACTGGGAGGTCAGGACGCTTTCTTCCGACGGACGGTTCGCAGCCATCAAACTATAAATGTAGTGGATAGGGAATTCCTGTGAGACCGGCCATTGCCGTGACGAGACCGGGTAGATTGTGAAAACCAGAGGGCAACCGCCGAGTTGATTCATTCGGTTCTTGATAGTTACAGTAGGGGTGACTCATTTGGCCAAAGTTGCTCTTTTATGACAAGCTTCACAATACCAGTACCAGTATTTGATCTTTCCGATCCAAAATAACCCGGTTGTTGAAGTAGAAATTTGTGACGTCTTTTTGCCGACAGACAAAAAGGCAGCTTTTCTCGGCCGACTGACATACCAGAGCAATTGGAACTTCAACTCGCGCTGGGATATGAAAGGTACAGTTTACCGTAGCTAAATTGTACATAAAGCTCCGAATTACCGGACATTTTCTCATCTTCCCCGCGTAAGCTGAAGTGGATCATCACGAAGTCGGTTCGATCGACGTCAATTTCTTCGACGGTCAATTCTTCGTTCCTCTTTGCCCTTTTGTTGGATTCGAATAAACACGATACTGTACAGTATCCAACACTCTGCTGCCTGATACAAAATGAAGTTTCAATCCAGGATATTAGCAGGAGTATTGGCTTTGGCAAGCCTGCAATCTACAACTTCCTTTGCTCCTTCTGCTTCTCTAGCAGCAAGACAGCAGAATGCACAAGTGTCCTCGTCCCTGAACATGGTGGCTACTTCGGACGTTGCGACCAATGGAGAAGTCAAACCTCGCAAGACAAGAGAGGTAGGTGCAAGGTTCCCCGTTGGCAGTTTGTACTCGACATTGTATGGAACTGTGTGTCTTATATCCCTCTTTTTACCAATGAATTATCATTATTAGGAACGTTTGGAAGCCGCCTCCAAAGGATTGCAAGTTCATTGCGTCGGTTTGTCCATTCACCACGCTGAGGTTGAGGTGAGAGAAAAGCTAGCCATTGCCGAAGCCGACTGGAATGCTGCTTCTGCGGAACTCTGCAGTTCTAGTGATGTCGCCGAAGCCGCTGTGTTGAGTACATGCAATAGATTTGAGGTCTACTACTCGGCTACGGATCCACGAGCTGCCATGGCCAGTGTCACCAAATACTTGGCGGAACGGTCAGATCTTCCCGTTTCAGTACTTCGCAAAAACTTGTTTATGCTTTCGGGGGATGACGCCGTCTGGCATATCATGCGCGTCTCTGGAGGTTTGGATTCCTTGGTGGTGGGAGAGGGACAAATCTTGTCACAAGTCCGTCAATGCCATTTGCATTCGATTGAAGAAGACGGTTCTGGTGGCAAGGTTTTGGCTAGAATGCTCAATGGTGCTGTTAGTGCAGGAAAGCGAGTTCGTTCCGAGACTGCCATTTCCAAGGGATCCGTTTCCATCTCTAGCGCTGCTGCCGAATTGTCCGAGGCCATGTCCAAAAAGGACCTGAACTTGCCCTTTTCCGAAGCTCGTTTGGCTGTGATTGGAGCCGGTAAAATGACTCGTCTGTTGGTAACTCACTTGGCTTCCAGAGGCTTGGAAAAGATCACCATTGTCAACCGATCCATGGGAAGACCCCAAGAACTTCAAGAACAATTCCCCGACGTTGACATTGAAATCAAACTCATGGACGACTTGTGGGATGTTGTTTCGCGAAGTGATATCGTCTACACGGCCACTTCGGCCGTGGACTATGTCATTGATGCCCAAAAGATGGAAGCTAATGGATTAGCTAGCGGAAGACCACTCATGTTGGTGGACATTGCTGTCCCACGCAACGTTGGTGAAGATTGTAATGAAGTAAGTAAAGTGGTGGTGAATGAAGGGTTCTTTCATTGATGTGGACTACATTCATCAATTTATTTATTTATTTATCTATTCGCACTCATTCACACACTCGCTCCTTGTCTTCTATTCTCCTTTTACAGCTCAAGAACGTTGTTGCTTACAATGTTGATGACTTGAAGGCCGTTGTTGCGAAGAATACCGCCATGCGCCAAAAGGAAATGATCGAAGCCGAACACCTTTTGAAAGAAGAATCTGCCCAATTCATTGCCTGGCGCGAGTCACTCTCTGCCGTTCCCACCATTAACCAACTGCAGGAGAGAGCTAACTTGTTCCGTGAAGAAGAATTGGACAAGTGCACACGCAAATTGTCTAACGCCAATTTGAGTGCCAAGGAACTCGAGGCTGTTGAAAGATTGTCAAGAGGAATTGTTAATAAGTTGCTCCATGGGCCCATAAAACATTTGCGCAAGACTGAGAGTATCGAGGGCAAGAAAACGACGCTCAAGGAATTGAATGCCATGTTCCGGCTGGAAGAAGACGCAAATGCACGAGGACGCAAGACTACGCGTCGTCGTTCATCATAGTGGGGCACCAATACCGGTACCGTACAGTAGAGACCGAACCATAAAATGTACAATAATTAATTTCAAATAAGGGTGATGCCAAAAGGTCTTCCTATTTTGGTGTAAGTTTGATCATATCAATTTGCTAGACCCAAAAATGACTAGTAGGACCGTCCGTGGCGTTCTGGTGTTTCATCCACCATATCTTCGCTACGATGTTGGCCTTCCCCGCGAACAGTGTGCTCCAGCTTGTCCATCAGTCGCTTCACTTCGGCATTGTGTGGATTTGAAGACAGTGCAGTGTGGAAGCAAGTTATGGCTTCTTGATATTGATCATTCAACATGTACATTTCTCCCAATCGACTTTGGAGCAAGTCTTGTCCTCGTACCGTACTTGTGTTGCAACTACTCAATCCTTCAATGCCATCCTTGAGCAATTCGATGCAAGTATTAAAATCTTTTTCACGCGCATGAATTGATACCAGCGTTAAGAGTGGTCGAAAGGCACTTGGGTCCAGAGCCAACGCCTTGCGTAGTGCTCGTTTGGCTTTATCCATACCATCACCATTGTCAGCTCGCATTTGACCTTGGGCAAGTGCAAGGCCCACCAAGGCTACTGCTCGAGGGTCTCTGGGTGCTGCCGAAATGGCTTCCTTCGCCGCGCAAATAGCCTCTTTATACTTTCCAGCAGATAGGTACGAATCCACGAGTCCTTCGTAACTCGTGACATCCCTCACAATTTCATTTGCTCGAAAGAAGGATACAGCAGCATGATCAGGACGATTTTCTGCTAACAAAATTGCTCCTCGAAGGCGATGCGCAAACGCGTGTCGTTGATCCATCGCAATTGCCTTTTCGACAAACGCCAACGCTTTCTCGTGATCGTTTCGGCTTTCATGGTATAGAGCTAACGAAGTCCAGGCTTCTGGTCTTTTGTCATCAATTTCTAGAAGATTTGAAGCCAGTTGGTTCAGATCGTCAACCATGTTTTGGCGTGCCAGTATTTGTCCGTACTGATCCATGGCATCAACGTTGGTATGCTCCAACTGTCTCACCTTGGCGAACATTCTGGCAGCTCCCTCTTCATCATTTGTCTGATGCTACAATGGTGTTTGAAAAATTGATGAGAATTTGATCGCTTTTATCGAGACACGAGTGCATGACATGTAACGAACTGAACTGGTGCTTACCAACAAGGTCGCAATCTTCAGGAGAAGGTACACATTGTTTGGGAACTGTCTTTCTAGTTTCGTAAATATCTGTAGTGAGGCAGTGGTGTTGTGACGGTGTTTTGCAAATTGCGCAGAAACAAGATCCATAATTGGAATAAGAGAGGGACCGTTTCCTTTTTGTTTCAAACCCTCTGTGACAGCGTCCACCACTCGTGACTTCTCCGTTCCGAGAATAGCAAGTCGCTCAATGGCTTCTAATGTATAGGGATTCAAAACTAGACTATCCAAGAAGCACTGTCGAGCTGATGTTGTGCGGCCGCTGGCCAAGTACAAGTTCCCCAAAGTCATGTGAATTGTCACGGATCTCTGTTCGCGTGGAATCACTTCCAAAACTGAGTAGGCTTCAACCACATTGCCAAGTGCTTGGAGACACTGGGCTTCCTTCAGTCGATACTTGTGAGAACCGTACCACATCTGAATCCGCCGATAACACGAAATAGCTCGACTGTATTGCTGAGTCGAATGTGCACAATCTCCCAACAAGGTCCAAGCGATGGTGGCATCACGACCTTCTTGTTCTGCCAACGAGAGCTCCATTCTGGCTAATATTTCGCAGCTTTTGTACTGCTTTTCTTTGTAAAGCTTAAAGCATTCATTCTGGAGGGGAGTCAAGGAATTGGACGACGAATTTTCTTGTTCTTGATCATCTATTGCCACAGTCATTCTGAAGGTTCATCTGTATACTGTAACTGTACTGTAGGTATGGTTTTCCTTCGGATTCAAATTTTGATTTGACCGTTACCTTTGTGGTGGCGACTTGCAGACGTAAGTTGTCTGTCTGTCCCCTCGCACATACACGTGTACGAACGAACATTTTCCAACTCTTTAACTTTCTTTTCCTGACACCCAAATCATTCTTTCCCTCGTTGTCAACAACAAGATCTAGAAAGGAAATCAAAGAGGAAACAAACAAAGTTGCATCATCAATGACTAGAATACAATAGATACATACATATTCATACAAAAAAAGCAGAAAAGAGCATGGAAACAAGAAGATGTGCCCATAGAATTGGCCTGCTTTTGTTTGTTTTTCAGTGCTTATCAGCAAACATTTCGCATGCTTTCGTTTCAGAGTATCGAATACACAGGCCACAGGTTTGTGTTTCACATGGATATTTTCGTGAACCATCATTTCTCGTGGCATCGACGGTTGATACATTAGAAGATGACAAAGAAAATAGCAACTGCACTGAAGATGGAGAAGAAAACTCCGCTGAAGACGATGATGATGATGAACACACTATCGTGGAAATTGACGATGATGACGAGAAAGATGGAAACGAAGAAGATGATCCATATCTCGGATCCTACACAAGGAATGAAGAGTGGTTGGAACAGGCAACAGCAACTGTTTTGGACCTAGAAAGGCTACCTCTCGGCTCACTGACACCAGAAGATATTTCCTCCATCAGTGGCATCATGTCAGCTTGGGTGAAACGATGTTCAGTCAAAGCCTGCTTAACTGTGGAACAACTACTAAAACGCGTCGTTGATGATATGCGGGCCAACAATCCTGACGCCTATGTCACTGCTCGCATGTATACGATTGTGAGTATATTGTTGTACCTTTGATTTGCACGGCGGTGACAAGAAAGAGCTGATTTGCTAACGTTGATTTTAACCTCTTAGGCAATTGACGCATGGGGTAAAAGTGGCGCGAATGGAGCCGCAGAGCGGGCACAAACAATCCACGATGGGATGATAGCTATGTACAACGAGACTGGCAATGAAAAATTGGCACCAACGACGATGAGCTTCAACACCTTGATGAATGCCTGGGTGAAATGCACGAATCCGAGTGCTGCCCCCATCTCAGCTGAAAGGGTTCTGGAGCAAATTTTAGCATGGGGAGACAATGGAATACGCCCAGATCCTTTTTCTTTCAGCACCGTAATTGATGCCTATTCTCGATCTGGCCTTCCAAACGCAACGCAACGGGCGGAAGAGCTCTTTCAAATGATGGACACAATCAATGTGAAACCAAATGTATTCACTTATGCTGCATTACAAAATGTCTACGCCCGATCGGGCAAAAGAGATGCACCAAATAAAACGCTAGGAGTCCTGCACCGAATGCTGGACGCTTACAATGAAGGAGATGCATATGCGAAACCAAATGTTGTCTCTTACAACTCCGTGCTAAGTGCTTACAGTCGGACACCTAGCATTGAGTCAGCAAAGAAAGCTTATGAATTCTTTCTAAATATGGAGAAGTCTCCGGAAAATGGTGGTTGGGATGTGGAGCTAACGCGATTGAGCTACTCACTTGCGATTTTGGCGTGCACAAGGTGCCATGATTCCAGTTTAGGTGCTGATCTTGGTGAAAGGATTTTGATCAAAATGGAACGCCGGGCGATTGAAGAAGAGGAAAAGCGAAAAGAGGTCTCTAGTGCAGCACCCGCTTCTGTAACCCTTGACTTCGAGTCGTTTAACGTGGTCGTTTTTGCATTGTCCAAGTCTCGGGCAAAAGATGCTGCCACAAGACTGCTAAAAATTGTGGATCGGATGCAAAAGTATGTTGAAGAAGGTCACATACATATCACTCCAAATATTCGAACTTGGAATGCGGTGCTGCTTGGGGTTGCACGATCCAATGTTGCTGATGCTCCACAACGAGCCGAAAAAATCTTGAATCACATGTTCGACTTACATGAACGAGGTATTTGTCAATGCAAACCAGATGCATATAGCTTTGCTGCAGTAATGAATGCGTACCAGAGGATAGGAAATTTTGAGTCTGCCAAACGATCAGATGAAATATTGTGGCGAATGAATGAAATGTATGAAAAGGGCAAGCTGGACGATCCACCTGACTCGGTGCTGTTCACAATTGTGATAGTAGGGTGGGCAAAGTCGAACCACAAAGATTCTGCCAACAGATGCTTACAAATTTTGTCTTACATGATGAAACGATATGCAGCCGGCGACGAAAAAGCCAAGCCTACAGTCCGAACGTACAATGCGATTATGGAGTGCTTCATCAAGGCGGATGAAGCAGAAAAGGCAGAGGACCTCCTTTATCACATGCTTTCTAGCCATCGCGAGGGAGAACTTGACCTTCCCGATTCTTTTTCTTTTAATGCAGCGATTCGAGCGTTCACCCGGAGTAGTCTCAAGGACGCTGGTCGTCGTGCCGAAAGTGTGCTCGAAAGGTTTCTTGAATTCAGTGAGGAGAATCCTTCGGTGGTGCCTGACAATCGATCATTTACAAATATCATCGCCTATTATGGGCGCAAACGCGAGCTCTTGGATGCTCCCTATCGAGCTGAATATCTTTTGTCTAGGATGATTTCATTGTTCAAAGGGGGGCAGAAATATCTGGCTCCCAACACTTTTGCTTTGGAGGCTGTGATTGATACGTACGCCCAGCACAATCATCCAGATGCGGGGGAGTGTGCTGAGCGCTTGTTACGAACGATAGAAAAGCTGCGTGAGCAATATGGCGCCGATGTGCAATTAAAAACAACCACATTGAATAGCGCCTTATATGCGTGGTCATGTACTGGAGACGGGAATGCTGGAAAGCGAGCAGATGAACTGCTGCGCAAAATGGAGGAAATTTGTGACTCGGGGAAAAGCGAAATGATACCAAGTGTGAAGAGCTATTATTTGGTGCTCTTGGCTTGGTCGAAATCTGACAGCCAAAATAAGGCGGAAGAAGCATATCGAGTTTTCAACCGTATGAAACAAAGATATGTTGATGGCAAGCTATACTCGATTTCCGATGCTCGTCCGTATTCGCAGGTCATTAATACGTGCGCATTCACAAAGGCAGATGCTTCCACCGAGCTTATGGCATTCAATATTGCCGTGAAAGTGTTCAAAGAAGTTGTAGAATCAAAGGACATCCATCCTTCCAGCTTGTTTTTTGGATGGTTCTTCAAAGCGTGCGGTCGTTTACAAGTCCCAGACTCCATACGCGACCGAAGCTTGGTTTTTGCCTTCAAGGAATGCAGTAAAAGGGGACTAGTCGATAGTTTTGTCCTTCACCAGCTCAAGTCGTCAGCACCAGAATACGTACTGAGACGCCTCCTTTCCGTGCCAAGCATGGATAAAAATTCCAAACATGACTACAAGTATTCGGTAAGGCTACCTCACCTTCCTAATGAGTGGAAACGCAACGTTTCCAAGTGAATGGGAAAGTGGAAGAATTTCGTGGTAGTAGCACATTGGAAAGTTTCACATTGTAGACCGGTAATCTGCGGGATGAGTGAAATCAAAGCATCTCATGTATTTCAAGGGCGGCAAGAACAGTGAATTAGCTGTATCTCTGATATGAGGATTCTTAGATGTCTTGGAGCCTACACAAGTTGTTACCCTTTTTTGTTTGCTTTGCCGTCGCGAGATACAGATTCATTCGATACATCCATATTTTCCATGCTAATTGAATTCAGGAACACCATACAATAGAAGTTGCCTTTCAAACCACCGCTGGCTAGTTTATAATTGTTTAGCTCGGTCCTTAATCTAGTCCACCGAAATGCCCCGCAAGAGAGCAATTCTAACTTCTACGGCTCGCAATGCTCCTTCGATAGGATCGCCACGGTTTCGAGAATCAATTTGTTCCTTCAGCTCACTGTCACTCAACATGACCAACGCTGCAATGTGGCTAATGAAAGGATGTGGGTGCCCAGCAACGCCCAGCGCTGAAAAGACATTGATGAGGTAGTTAAAGTCTGCTGACAGGTGCTCGCATCCCTTGGGCGTCAGTTGCGAGAATCTCATAATCTTCTCCAGCATCTTTCCAGTCACCGCCAAACCAATTGCATCCAACCACACGTTGCAGAATATGGCGCTCGCCTTTTCGGCATCGCTGATTCCCTCTTCAAAGGCAGCATCCTCTTCTGTTAACGCTGAGTTTTGCAAGACTAAGCCGGTAATGTCAGTTCCGACCATCAACGTATTGATAATTGACTCGGAAGAACTAATCACTCCAGCCGTAGCCACAAATTCGTCCCATGGCTGCACCGCCACGTCTCGGACCTTGCCCATCACTTCATTTGCCAGTGAGAGTGTCTCTGGATCGTCAGCAAATGGTTCAAAGGCTTGGACCAATGCCAACATGTGCTCTCCAATCAATGTGACATATTGTTGGGGAAGTGTTCCGTAGGAATCCATGGGGTTGGCTTCTGACATTTCCGACCAAGCGGGCATATCGGACATGCCTCGGAGTTGCTTCTTGGGCACCGATGAGCACACATAAAAAATGAACGAATGGCAACTATTAGCAAGCCGTTGAATGGAATCTTCCGTTTTGGGATACAAAACTGATTGGTCGTCCTCTGGAACAGTCGAGAGGCGTTTGAGCATCGAGACAGCCGCAATTGTCCCTTCATCGGGATTTTCTTGATCCCCACAGAACTCTTCTGACAGGACCGCATCGATTTCGACCACTGACAACGAGTCCGGCAGTGTAAAGGCTGATGCCTTTTTCGTTCGACTCATTTTGGCTTCTTCTACTTCCAACTTGAGTTTGGAATGGTCTTCGAGTCTTCCCGCGATGATGGACAAACGCTTCCGAGTTCCCTCTTCAAAGCTACCCAAATCGCGCTTGAACTTTCCTGCAATTTTCAAGAGTTCCATGGCGCAAAGGACGTATTGTTCGTCGAAAAGATCCGCCAGCTTGTCATTGTCGGAGGTCATCGCCGCCGACAAGGTGCGGATGGAAATGACCATCTCTCCGACGTGATCAGTCAAAATCTTGTCCACCGCCGCCAAGGCTTGGCCGACCAGAAATCCACCGTTCATGAGTTCGAAGCGATCCAGCGCACCATTGGCCAGAGGGAAAATAAAGGGTGCCAATCCCTTGAGACGCTCAGTGGCATCTTGCAGGGCTTCCAGTCCACTGTTGACCGACACATTGCCAACGCACTGTTGAATGTCCTTGGACACAAGTTTGGTTGCCATTTGAGAATGCTTTGCCTCTAGTTCATCAAAGGATTGCATGTATTTGGCAAAAGGAGCAGCAACTTGTAGAGAGACCTCCTTGATATCCACAAATAGTCCAGCCCCATTTGTGGTTTGGTTACCTGATTCGGCCACATCCAAAGAGGCAGCGGCAATGAGTTCGTAGGCAAGCGATAGGAATCGCAACGTGGATTCGTAGGCAGTGCAAATGGATTCAAAAGCCCCTCCCTTCATGGCGTAAGGATCAGGGGAGCAAGTACTCTTCAACCGACTTTCAAAGGATGGAAGAATGGGTCGGAAGCATTCTTTCAATACCTAAATATCATATTGGAAGAGGAGCAAGATGTTAGAGCTGAGGAAACAAACAAATAAACAGAACGAATATTCGATTGTAGCAGTGTGAACACGTACCAATACCAAGACTTCGGGTGCCATTTCTGCACCAAATACCGTGGACGACTGTCGTCGTTCTTCTGTCAGCAACGAAAGGACCTTCTCGTACCAAGATGGCAACCAGGTACTGAATCCTGAGTCAGTTCCATTGGAGGATTCTATCGATCCCGTATCCATAGCAGGAGAAAATCCAAACCATGCCTTGTGAATCTCGCTTGGACGGTTCTTGACGTATTCTTCTTGCAAGGAATCCATCTTGTCTAGTTTGGAATACAAAGCCACACATTGTTGCAAAGGTCCCAAACGAGAACTCATATTTTGCAAGGCATGATTGAGTTGGGGTTGCAACATGACTTGAACTTGGGTACGAATCTTGGCAATCGCCGCTTGACGTTCCTCCTTTTGGGGCATTCCCTGCAAGGCACGTTCCCCATGTTCCAATTGAGCCAGGGCGTCCACCGCATCATTCAAATTCTGTTCGGCCAAGAGAGGCGAAATACTAGCAATAGTAGAATCCCAAGTAGCTGCTGCCGTTAAAATATCCTTTGTTTTAGACAAGTTGGCTTGCAACGCATGCAAAGTAGACAGAGTCTCCAAAGATCCCGATAGTGCTTCTCCCTCTTGATTATTCACCGTGGTAGTATCGAGGAGATTTTGGGCATCTACCTTCATTCCTTGCAGTCCCACTCCCAATCGACTAACGTCCGCCGCACACCGAGGCATAATGGCCTGGAGTTCGGCCCCAATTCGTCCAATGTCTTCGTGGCATGCCTGAGTCTGCAGTTGGAGTTGCAGTGCCAGTTCGGCCATGCGTCGTTGCAATTCTTCGGGGTTGCCCCCACTGTTCAACGCTATATTAAGGTACGAAGAAACGCTAAAGTTGGGCCCAGATAGCATGGAAGACAAGCGCTCTTCCTGAGTGGAAGGTGTGGAAGCGGAAGGACTCATCGGGAAAATACACGAAAGCGATCGGATGCTGCTGTCAGTAACTCCTTTGGCAATGCCTGATGTGGCTGCTGTTGTGTTTCCTCACAGTTAATCAAAGGGTTTGAGATTATTTTCGAGGTGTAATTGGGAGATTTGAGAGTTTGAGTGTGGAAGGAAATGCCACAACAATAACCACAAGGAGACCGATGAATGAATGAATGAATGAATGAATGAATCATGATGACGGCTTGGAGGTTGTTGTTGGAGGGGAAACTTGGATTATTGTAGTTGATTTTGAGGGAGGTCATCAATCCATTCCCCCCTTTTACAGAAGCGTGTTCACCCCTTCGAAAGGAAACTCAAGATTGTACGTACGCTCTCTAGTATCATGTCCCACCCCTCTTTTTCTCTTCAGTTCGAATGCAAACGATGATCATGTGTGCGAGGTTGCTCGTTAAAAGGGAAATAAAAAATCATCAGCTAGAAACATCACAAGGAAGTAGTATCCTTGCAAAGAGAGACATTAAGGCTTCCATACAGTAACAGAATCAATCCTGTCGCAATTTTGTCGAATAGAACGAGTCTGAATCATCCCATTGGCTTGAATTTGAGAGCATTCAAACAAGTGTGAAAGACTGACTCACTCATCACTCCCAAAAAGAGACCGTTCCGTAGGAACACTCAATTATTCATTGCATATTTGCATTCATATCCCCGCATAAGTGACAATGGCTGATATTATAACACCCCTGGCTCAAGAATGGCCCACCAGTAAGGATTCTTACGATCTGATATGTAAGATTGGGCAAGGCGCCTTTGCTTCCGTGTGGAAGGCTCGGACCAAAGACACACAGCAAGAGTGTGCAATTAAAGTATTGAACCTGGACCATGTCGATTCAAATCTACAGGAAATTCGGTTAGAAGTCCAAGCGATGCGGCTCTCTAGTCATCCCAATGTACTTCAGTGTCATACTGCCTTTTGCAACGCCAGTGATTTGTGGTTGACAGTTCAACTCATGCGCAAGGGATCTTCCTTGCAATGTTTGGAAGGAGCCAGAAAGATACTGCGGCAACGGCAGCAAAATGTTTCAATGGAAGAACATATATTGTACATTTTGCACGAAACCTTACTCGGGTTAAGATACATTCACGACAATGGTCAAATTCACAGAGATATCAAAGCCGGAAACATTTTGCTCGATGGCGATGGTCAAGTACGAATTGCTGATTTTGGAGTGTCGGGATGGTTAGTCAATGCGGGATCCCAACAAGAAAAGGCCAAAACCTTTGTGGGAACCCCCTGTTGGATGGCACCCGAAGTGATGGAACAAATTCATGGATACGACTATAAAGCGGACATTTGGTCACTGGGAATTACAGCACTGGAATTGGCCAAGGGCTTTGCGCCATATGCCAAGTATCCTCCCATGAAGGTGCTTATCTTGACCATTCAGGAGGATCCGCCATCCTTGGATACCTACGACCAAGAGACGGGAGATGATGAGGATGATGATCAAGTCCAAGAAGTGATTTCAAAATCCTTTGGATCCTTGGTCGATCTATGCCTTCAAAAAGATCCTTCGAAACGGCCGCAATCGGTCGAACTATTGCAGTCGAGATACCTCAATGCGATGGAGGATGAAAATCACCGTATGGAACGGAGAAATAGGCTGGTCGAAGAGGTTTGCAACCTAGTTGAAAATGTTGGTTGCCAAGATGATTCAAATGCATCTTCATCGTCGCGAATGCCAGGTAATGCCCCAGTCTCCATTTTCGCATCCAACTTGGAGAATCGACCAGCAGGTACTACTTGGGTCTTTGAAGATGGATCCCAAGTATTGGCATCGGCCACCAATAATGCTACCTTGGATGATGTCATGAACGATTTGGATCAATTTGGACTCCAAACTGGTGGAGAAAATTACACTCGGAAACAAAAGGAAGAAGAAGAGCAAAATCAACAGCAGCAGCAGCAACAGCAATCAAGCGGAGGGCAAGGAGATGATGAGCTCGACGACTTTTTCTCCAACTTTGAACAAAGTACCGGAGGAGAAAACTTTCGACCTACGAATTAGCAGTTTCGCTTGACTTGCTGCCTTCCATCAATCCTTCCTGAAATCGAAAAATGTAGCCGCTCATGGGCCAGTCGACGATCCACACCATAATGGTTATAAAATGAGATGCACGGTCAATCATTCAAGATTTGTACGGTTCATAAAATGAATAGAGAGTCAGTCAGTCATCGTTCCGTATCTGTTCTTCTTTCCCAATGGCTCCGTTTCTCCAATAGTGCAAAACCAAACGAAAACATCTTCATCATCCTCTGCCCATCAAACAAAGTGATGATGACAAGACGGTATCAAGCCTCCCGACTCGCAAGATGTATGTGTAGGTCAGGTAATCCTGTTCTTTTTCCAGGAAATAGGCTCTTGGCACAGGTAATGCCCTCGTCGAATGTCATTCCCTCGTCAATGCAGAGGTATCCATCCGTCATGGTCAATCGACAACTGTCCTCGTCCTCCAAAGCCAATACCACCTTGAACAAGGATCAATTTACAATGAGCAGGCTTTGGAAGGAATCCACTGAAAAAATGTTAAAACAGGAAATCTTCCCGATAGGATCCTTAGATTCGTTGCGATGGCAAATGGCCGAAACCATGGTTCTCCACTGGGCCGATCCAAACGAACAAGGCCGAGGAGGTGGCATTCAAAAATGTTTGGAGTTACTGGATCGTCTAAATGCCGAAGTTGTTTACAGTTGCGACCATACGGACGAGGAAGCCAAGCTTACCATGGATATTTATATTTTACATGCAGGTAAGAACGATCATCATTGATTGCAAGCAAAAATATCACCCAAATGGCTTACCACATGAATAATTTCTGTAGTTCTCAAAACCTGGAACCGGCTGTTCAAGGGTGGAAAAATTCGAGTCTTACCATCAGAGATGCTGCAAAGAATAGACGGATACACATCAAGAGTTCCTTGGTTGGAACCCAATATTGCAACATACACCATGATTCTGGATGCGGCATCGCGTTGTCCTGATCCGAAAGAACGCATTGACTTTTCGGAATCATTGCTCTTGCGATTGATCAAGGAAGCTTCTGCTAGCAGGGATTCTAGGGTACGACCGACTGTCGTCACTTTCTCCACCGTGATCAATGCCTATGCTCGAAGTGGCAACCAGGAAGCCGCAGAACGGGCAGAGAAACTCCTCAAACTCTCGCAATCTATGTATGAGGAACACGGTTGGACTGATGCGGAACCTAATGCGGTGGTGTATACTTCCGTTGTGAATGCATGGGCTCGAGCTGGGAATCCCAACCGGGCCCAGCAGATCCTGAAGGAAATGTACGAGGATTCCATGTTGAACGGAAAAGCTCAGATGCGACCGAACCTGTGGACCTTCAATACCGTCCTTTCCGCTTGGTCGAAGAGTTCAGAGAAGAACGCCGTCGAGTCGATGGAGAAGCTTCTTGGCACCATGAAAGATCTCTTTGAGCAGGGCATCTTGGAAACCCGACCCGACACGGTCAGCTATAATTGTTTGCTTCACGCTTTGGCCCGACGACGTAGGAGCATTCCAGATGCTCCTGTCATGGCAGAGTCGCTCGTGTCTGAAATGTTGCAGCTTTCCAAGGAGTTTGAAGATCGATCCATAGCCCCGAATGAGATATCGTATACCGCTCTCTTCAAGATCCTCAATTCGACAAAGTCTGTGGACTTGTCCAAAAGAGCAGAGTACTGGGTGAAACAAATGAACAGCAAGGTGCTAGGAGATGGATTTGTACAAGATCAATTGAAGCAAATGGGATGGAAAGGAACTACGAAGTGATGATTCACGAGACCATGCTATATGATACATTCTAGATAGGTATGCATAGAAAAGTAGGAAATCTTCTATTTATTCGACGGCATCGAACCTACAGATAGGAGCGGTTCGAGTACGGGCCATTTCAACCTTGTGTCCAAAGAGGTCACGAATGTTCTTGATCCTGTATTTAATCATTGTGGGTCGTTCCAGCGAGAGACCCCAGGCAATAACTCGGACATTTTCGGGCAATCCCATGGGAGCCAACATCTCTGGACGGAACATTCCAGAGTTTCCAATTTCAGTCCACTTCTTCAAGTCGGGATGGTATCCAAAAATTTCCATCGAGGGTTCTGTGTAAGGGTTGAAGGCAGGCTTGAAACGAAGTTGGGTGATACCGATCTTCTTGAAAAATGTTTCAATAGTTCCAATCAAGTCTCCCAAAGAAAGGTCGTAGTCGGCAACCAATCCTTCCACTTGGTGGAATTCACACAAGTGTGTAGCATCCATAGTCTCATTACGAAAGACACGATCAATTGAATAATATCTAGCTGGCTTGAAGCCCCCTGGTTGGTTGGCTAGCTTGTACAGCATTTGCGATGAAACAGCAGTAGTATGCGTTCGCAGCAAGTTCTTGAAAGCTTCCTCCTTTTTGAAATCATAGCGGTATCCGATAGACCCAGCTCCTCCAACCTCGTGCATTTTCTTTACTCGCTCGTAATATTCTTCTGGTACACTGACAGTGGCACCAGGTTCCTTGATGAAAAAGGTATCGTGAGCGTCACGGGCAGGGTGGGATTGGGGTTGAAAGAGCGAATCAAAATTCCAAAAGGAAGATTCCACCCACTTGTTGGTTGGCATTTCGTGGAATCCCATTTCCATCAGGATCTTTCTAAATTCGGCGCGAACCTTCAGCAACGGATGAAGGTATCCTCCACCGACCTTTTCTCCCAGCGTCAAGAAATTGTATGGCTTGAATTCAGCAGTTTTCCAAGCACCAGATTCCAACATTTCCTTGGTCAAATCAGCCGACTTCTTGACACGTTGTGGAGCATACTTCGGTCCCCGTTCGACCTTGAAGGACTTTCGGGTGACCAAGTTGGCCATTTTTCTTTTCTTTAAGTCTTTGAATTCCTGTAGAAAGAAAAAGAAAATGAGTGGGATTTGTATTGAAATATATAAGACGATGAATATGATATGCACCGTGTATCCAGACAGGATATAGTGATACATTACACAAGATACTAACCTTATCTGAGATAGCATCTTTAGCAAAGTCAGCAGCCTTTAGCTTCTTCAACATATCTTGAACTTCGTCACTAACTTCTGAACTCTTTTTCAAGGCAAGCAAGTTCCCACCATCCTTCTTGATCCATTTCTTCTTCATGCAGTTTCCCATTCCAATCTTGGCAATATTTTTTCCAACTTTGGCTTCTAGATCTTTCAACGACAGAGGAGCGTCTTCCAGAGCCTTTAGAACTTTGTATTCCTGGGACCCTTCTGCCAAAATCGTTTCGCCCTCTCCCGTCAAACTGTAGAAACTAGTTGACAAGTTGTCGACTTTGACAAATTCATCGGCCATGAGAGACTTGATGGTTCCCACCACGGCTTCATGATCGATTTTCTCGCTGGCAGCCCATGGGAAAGTGTCATCAATCGAAGCGTGCGCTGCAGTGGACAAGTGCCCTAAGATTTTGGATTCACTGACTTCCGTCATGGTTTTAAAGATTGGATATGTGTCGGTAACAGTAATTGCACTCAATGGATCGACCCACTGGACAGCCTTGAGGTGGAACCTCAAGGATAAAAGCGTCCTGCCTGTCGACAGGTTTGAGGTTCCACGCGTTGGGGTTGTTATGTCTGACAGTCTTCCGCCCATCACCCCAAAATGATTGCCATCACCAAAATTTGAAAAATGTTGCGACGATTTGCATTTCAAAATGGCAATGATTCCAGACTTCAATGCAACCACAATAATTCGACGATAGCAATGCAGCGTTGTCTATCACTAGTTTTTATCACAATCCTGAACCAGGCGACTGTTTTGGAAGGATTTCAGCCAGTCACTCAACAAATCATTCGACGGCGGCTTTCCACAACAATGATGTCGAAATCAACATCGAGTGATCTAAAAGCAAGTACCTGCACGACAAAAGAGAATGGGCGATTCCCATCTCGAGAGCTGTTGATTCACTGGCGGGGTGAAAAGGACGTTGGTTACAGCAAACCCTTTCGACAATTGGAGTTTGCCAGTGCACTCCTAGCCGAACTAAAAGTTCCCACAGAAGGCGAGTCGATGCTCCAGTTTCAAAATGCTTTAAACTACAATGGACAAGCTCAAATGGCGGATGTCAATGTGGAGCATTTTAACGAGGCCATGCAATTTGTGACCTTGAACGAAGAAGCTTGTTCGGAAGACATCCAAGTCCCACGCAATGCCATCATATCGACCGTAAAACGAAGTGCCTTGGTGCATGCTTGTTATGAAGTGATTGCTGCTTCGGAAAACATTGAGGAACTTGCGGAATTGGCCGTTCAAGATGGTGGTTTTCAAGATATGTACAAAGGAGGCACCAATGAAAAAGCGACATGGTGCTTTCGAGCACGAAATTATGGAGACATTCCAGCAGTCGCTACAGAAACTGTAGTGGGAAAGGAGAAACGATACTCCTCTAGTGCTCGGTCCATGAAGCTAGAAAAGGAAGGTCTCAAGGCGCTGACAGAGTTGCTATTAAAGTTTGGCGGAAAGGTAGACCTGCTCAACCCTGATTGCAAGATATACATCTTCGATGGACTTGAAGGAGGCATGAAAATGTTGGCACGACGGATTGCAGTAGGTCCGAGAACCTCCATAATTGCTCCCGCCACGAGAATATGCATCACGAATACCCCTTTGGAACCTATTGCATCCTTCTCTCTTTGTAATGTTGCCAGGATCTGCAACGACATGGCCATTTTGGATCCCTATGCCGGTTCGTGCGCTACATTGATGGCATCTGCCATGATTGCTCCTCATAGTCAGACGGTAGGAATTGAAATCGCCCACAACGGCATTGTCAATCGAGACGATATTCGAAAGGATTTTTCGAGCCGCAACTTGACTCTACCTGTGGCATTACTCCAGGGCGACTCGACCAACCAAACCATTCGAGAAGAAGCCAAGGCTGCCATTCGAAATCGACCATTCGATGCCATCATTGCGGACCCGCCATATGGCATTCGGGAGTCGCTTAGCTACAATGACAAGAGTCCATTGGAAGAGCTTTTTGCCTCTATTGCTAAGGATAGACAAGCTAACGAGCGACTACTCCGAAAAGGTGGGAGGTTAGTAGCCTTTGTCGCAGTTACAGACGAAGAAACGCTGGAAGAGATGTTGCCAGGCGAAGACTTGGCTCGAGAAGCAGGACTCGCATTTGAGGTGTCTAGAGAGCAACCCTTGAATGATAAACTGAGTCGATGGCTCGTATCATATATTTGCAAAGAATGAATGCTGAAATCTCGGTTCAACTGAAGAAAACTTTATTTTAAAATGCTGAAATATTGTATTTGTACGCAAATTCAAGAACCCCAATATGCCCAATACTTTTTTATAGAAGACATGGCGGTGACAATATGTAGTTTTTATTACTCGTAGTTAATCTTGTTCTTTTGCCAACCATATTGGAAAGATTCTATTTAAAAAGCCCCGACCATGTCCATGTCTTGGGTGGCCAAGATATCGTAAACACAGTCTTTGATGTCCAAAGCATCACCCACAACCTTAGCACAAGCAGCTTCGGCCTCTTCCACAGTAATAGTGGATTCGCCAAGTCGTCTGCGGCGTTGTCCTTGGGGATCTTCTGGAACAACACAGCGCTTGGGGAATTGAGGTTCAGCCTTGTCATGGAATAGCATGTCGTCCGCAGGGAGGAGTTGCCATTCGTTTCCGAATTCCAAGAAATCATCAATCTCTTTGACACCGTCACGAGCAAGAAGGCTTCCGGTCTTGAAGTCACCCATCATACCAACAGCGTTGCCAAATGCTTCAGCTGTGGTATGTTGGAAGTCGACACGAATAAATTCTCGGAATGTGGAGATCACGATCTTCTGACCAGGGAACTTGGAGCTCAAGTCGATTTCGAAAACTCTCTTGTTGGCACCATTATAACTGATAGTCAATGGGAAGCCGCCGATAGACTTGACTTCATGTGCGTACTCGAAGTTAACCCAGTAATGGGTATCTGTGTCTTCTGGATCAGAATTGCCCTCGACCTCGAGGATATCATCTCCAATACGAATGGCCGCTTGCTTGATGTAACTCCAAAAGCGGACCAACTTCGTTCGGATTTGAACTTCCAATCCAATACCGTCGGCAAAGTTCTTGTCCTTGGTCAAGATCATGTCGCACTGTCCATGGTACTCAAAGTGTTCTCCCAACCAAGTCTTGACTGTAATTCACAATTTGAAGAAAAAATAAGGTAAGCTCGTGTATTCATCCAAAAAGCTTGCAGAGTGGAAGATAATCTTACAGTGAGGATCTCCGAGACTGCCAGACGATTCCGAAACCGGTTCTTCGTCAGTAGTTGAAATGTCTGCAGTATCAGTAGGCGAAGTGCCGTCATTTTCATCGGTACCGAGATTAGGATCAGATGGGTCTGAAGGATCAGATGGGTCTGAAGGATCAGATGGGTCTGAAGGATCAGATGGGTCTGAAGGATCAGATGGGTCTGAAGGATCAGATGGGTCTGAAGGATCAGATGGGTCTGAAGGATCAGGAAGATCAATTTCAATGGCGCTGGCACTGCTCAGAACCGGTCCATCCCAACCATCCATTGCTTCTGTTGGATCTCCTCCAAGGTTGTCAACAAAGTTTGCCTCATCGTCTTCTTCCAAGACAGTATCCACGAAGTCGAAAACGTCTTCGCCCTCCTCAACGGCAATTTGGGTATCCAACACACATCCATCTGGATCCTCAGCATCTTCACACGCTTCGACGATCGCAGGATCAACATCATCGTTATCAAAGAATTCATCGGGTTGACGATCATCACATTGGTTGTACTCTGCATGCGACTCTTCACCCCAAAGAGAATTGTCAGCATGTCCGATGCACCAGTTATCCATACACCATTCATGGCCCTGTTGATTCTTTGCGCGTTTGCATAGTTTTGCCTCGCTGTTGGTCGCGTCGGGAATGTCACAGATCGCTGGGGGAGGAACAACAGAACCATCACGTGCCATAAAATCATTGTCCTTGTTTCCATCGGGAGAACCAAGAAGTCCAACAATGTTCTCAGCTCCGCCGTGGTTTTCGGGTGTGAGACAAAGGTTGGTATTCAAAACGCATCTGTTTCCGCCGCCGCCGGCAGTGATTTGGACACGTGTACCGACTTCCGGATACGAGAAGATGATGTTCTTGCCGTTGGAAAATACGGTAACAGTTCCATTGTAGTTCTCGGTGAAAAAGGAAACGATTTCCTCAGTAGGAATGAGAGTTTCTTCTCTTCCCATGGTGAAGGTGAAAGGACAGTTGCCATCAATCTTTTCTTGTGGAGCAGTCACTTGGATGATTGGGACTTCATCAACGACCTTGATGGCGACAGAGCGAGTGACAGTTGGTTTCGCTTTGGATTCTCGAACAGGGACAAACCGTCCATGGATGGCAAGCGGGTCGCTTCCCTTCGACATTGCAATAACGAATTCGCCGTGTCCTTGACAGTCATATCTCATATTATCGAAAGTAGTGAAGTGGGGGTCGCCAGAAATTCTTCCCTTGGGTCCGACACAGACTCCAGAGATAGCAGCTGCTTGTGTCTTCCTGAGTTTGTAGGCTTCAATGGCTTCGTCGGTAGCCGCTGTGCTTGTCCAGATCAAGTCATTATCGTGTCCACACCCAGAACCTACGATTGTTAAGTAGGATCGCGAGGAGGATATTGTTATTGGTGAGAAAAGAAACGACTTCATTTGGATCACACATCCTGAACAACTTACCTTTGGCGCACTTGTCCAAAACTTCAATCATCGAGCAAACGTAAGCCCGGTTTGCATGACAGATATCTTGAGCCTCGGCGTATGTGGATGCATGGAAGCACTGATCAGGTGTACCATCGAGAGCAGTTAAATCAGATTCGTGGTAGTTGGTGCAGCCACTTCCCTTCTTCCAACCAGGCAAAGGGACGTTGCTGCAGCAGCGCACTTCGTGTAGTTCATTGGCTTTAGCGACACCAATGGACTCTTCTCCACCACCACAGCCATCCATTCCAGATCCGCAGGCGAGGAAAAGATGGGTATCATCAGCGACGCGAGTAGGGGCTGGGGGATCCTGTCTTGGTGGAGCGGGCCCAGTAGAAGTCCAAATGAGATCCGCATCGTGACCACATCCAGATCCTGTTGAATCAGAGGAATAAAAAGTGAGCAATCAACACAGCAAATAGCAGTTCGATCACTGCAGCAGCAGGCGTAACTAACCTCTAGCGCAGCCACCTCGCACTTGGTCCTTGGAACAGACGTATCCACCGTTAAACTTGCAAATTTCCTGAGCCTCGGCGTAAGTGGATTCGTGAAAGCATGTATCGGCAGTGCCATCCAGAGCAATGACGTTGGATTCATGCCAATTTTCGCAACTGTTAGAGCGCATCCATCCTTCCAAGGGGTAGTCGGAGCAGCAACGGAAAGGGTGTACTTCCTTGGCTTGCGCCGAGATGTCCCCAGTAAAACCACATAGGTCTCCTCCTCTGCCACAGGAAAGGTACAGCCATTCCTCGATGTCAACAGGATCTTGACCGGGAAGAGGAGGCAATTCTTGTTCAGGAGCCACCGCACCAGTCCAGATGAGATCTCCATCGTGACCACATCCAGAGCCTTTAACACAACCAGAGTCAACCTGCGCTTTGGTACAGACATGTCCACCATTGTGAGCACAGATTGCTTGTGCATCGGCGTAGGTCACATCATGGAAGCATCGAAGGCGGTCATCGAGCCCAAGCAGGTCGGATTCGTGCCACACATCACACTCAGCACTGTTCCTCTTCCAACCAGATACTGGAACAGGAGAGCAACAGCGAAGCTCGTGAGCTTCTTTCGCTTGCACCGCAATGTCCTTTCCAATACCACAGAGATGTTCCCCCTTGCCACAACTCAACCAAAGCCAGTCCTCAGGGTCCACTGGATCGGTATTTGGGAAAACAATCGGTTCACGTTCAGTAGTAGTCGTTGAAGTCCAGATGAGATCATTATCGTGGCCGCATCCAGAGCCTCTAACGCAACCAGACTCAACTTCCTCCTTGGAGCACACATATCCACCATTGTCAGCACAGATTTGTTGTGCTTCAGCATAGGTCGATTCGTGGAAGCACTGCACAGAGCCATCTGCTCCAATAAGATCACTTTCGGTCCAGATATCGCAGCCTGAGTTCTTCTTCCAACCATCGATAGGGTCAGAAGAGCAGCAACGCAGTTCAGCAGTCTCTTTGGCTTGAACCTTGTATTCGTTAAAAGTTCCACATCTTTCAGGACTGCCGCAGGAGAGCCACACCCATGCCTCTGGATCAACTGGTTCTGGTTCTCCGGAGTCGCACAAATCGCAAGCACTCCCATCACTCGCAGGGATTTCGAAGCTCCATACGCGGGTATACTTGTACATGTCGTTCTTTGGATCAGCACATTGCAACTCGGAATCTCCAAAACATGAAATCTTGGGAGAAGAGCAAGTCTCGGAACCAACTTCGAATGAGAAGTTGCTGGTGTAATCATACACGTTGACATCTTCGACACTAGCATCCTTGAGGGCCCAATATAGAGTTTGACCTGGAGCTGCCTCTTGGCACATGGTAATCTTGGTTTGAGTTTCAGAAGGTTCGCACTTGCCCGAAAAGGCAAGAGTGGCATTTTCTCCTGAAAGATCACAGAAGTCAGAGCCGCCCTTACCAGTGAGAGGGGTCACACCATCAGTATCGTAGGCGGCACATCCTTGAGAGTCACTGGCAGCACAAAGGTGGCTTATTGGACCGTCCTTGGCGCAGCCTTCTTTGGTAGTGTCCAAGATCATACAGACCTCGATGCCACAGCCATCAGCGGAAGTACAGTTGGTACCTTCGGCTTTCTTGACGGTAAAGTCGATACATGCTTCTTGAGCAAAGCACAGACCAAGATTGGCTTTCGGAGCAGCTACTACATAGTTAGCCGTCGAAGCCATCAGTGCAAGTCGCATTAGAAGCTTCATGGTTTCTAGTTACTCGCTTGAATAGTTTGTTGCTCGATTGAATGTTTAGTTTGTTTCGAGTATTTTTGGAGTAAAGTATTTTTGTGAGAGATCATAGCCACTCGTACTCGTGAATTTCCAATTATCATTATGTCCCCGACAAGAATCACTTCACATACATATAATGGATGTTCGAAGTTGCAAGAAGTCTTTACAGGCAACGGGCCCAACAAGAATGACCCGAAACGACAATGATTACTTATGGCCAATATCACAAATCCTGCTCAGAAAAGAAGGGCAACAATATGATTGTTTCTTTGAACTCCTTCCGGACTTGACCGCTGATGTGGAGTCACACTTGGCCAGCAGCAAAAACGGTTCATCGTACATTCCCTACGAAAAACTCGGGATCGGGATTTGGACCAAAATGGCGGGGACAAAGAAACAGGCCCTCGCCAGTTTTAAGAAAATGACTATTTGAAGCGTCCAAAAAACGTAATTGACACTGTGAAGTAATTGTTCATTAAATACTTTGAAAAAATATCCTGGTAAAATAATTCCGCCCCACACGACCTTAATCCAACAACAAGATTGATCGAGAAGCCGTGGAATGAATGTTGTCAAGATTATATATTATGATTGAAAGATTCCATTCAAAGTGACAAGATCGACGCTATTTCCGCACCGGTAGCATAACTCGTGTTCACACAACATCTGCAACCGTTCTGGGGTACAGCACGAGAGAACTGACTAACAATTTACTCACCCCCTTTTGAGATTTGGTGTAATGCAACTGCAGGAGCCTGCTGCCTCACGTTTTCTGTTTTTATTTTTACCTTGTACACTTTTGACTTCAGAGTGCCGGCCAACGGTGTTCATGCTGGGTACTTGGTACGGGTACTGGTACGAGTTTAAGACCAATTATGACCCAGCCACTTTTAAACAAAAAAAAACCCAAAAGGGTCAAGTCTTCTACTTTGAGCGACCGGCCCATCCTACCATTCTACAGGGTTTTGAATCCGTACCGGTACAGGAATAAGCGTGAGATTGATGTATCATATCGTGTAGTCATGGCGATCGAAAGTACGGCCCCAGACCTTAGTTTTGACTTCTTCGACTACGACCAAAAACCCATGAACCAAGAGTCCTATCTTGTACCATACGACCTTGTTGTGATTACAAATTGTGTTATTGCGACCTACAGTATCTTTTGGTTGTATTTATACTAGATTTCTGTATACTCTGAATTGCAAAGTTTGATGTAAAACGATCATATTCAACAAAATTCCTCCAAGTCAATTGAATTGTTCGAAGGAGGTTTTAAAAAAAAAGGAGCCAAACATCTCTTTTCCATTGCAGCACTCCGAAACACCGCCAAATTTTGATACGTATAGGTCTATTGAGATCTTTGGTGAAGGTCTTGCCGATACGGCAACTGGGAAAGGTTCTCGACAATTTCTGGAATGTATGCTGAGTTGATCACCCACATCAGGTCACAGTGGTTCGATCACTTCTACCCTGAGACCCCCCATTCCAACCCCCCCAGACATGATATATATACCCATAGACGACACATATGAGTTAGAATAAAGAAGTTTGAAGAAAGCAGGCCCACAACTTGGCCAATACTGGTTTTGGAGCAGAACTCACCATTGTTCTCACCCCAATCAGGCCACTGTATGCTGGATCTAGGCCGAATCTATGACTAGGTCGCATACTGCTCGAAGCGTAAGGATCAAAGAAGGGACTGGTGTATTACTGAGTGGTTGTGCCCTGCCATGGCGGCCATGAGTGGCCATGGGGACTTCCTGAAAGATGGAAAATTGAAAGAAACCAAGATGAAAATCCCAAATTCTCTACAACCAACGCAAATGAAGCAACCCAGCAAGGCCCCACCATAGTGTAGATACCCATGGAGTCTATCAACGCCCGGATCTTGCCATTCGTTGTATGTGGGGCCCACCGTGGGCTCCACAGCGCCAACCAACAAAAGCAGCTTGATCGACATTGGTTGGTTGTGGAATGATAAGGATTTGGAATGAATACCCAATTGCAGCTCTGAACATAATTCTTATAACAATGAAGCTTTCTGTAGTATTTGGTTCCATATTCTCTTCTTCTGGGGTCCACAGATGCCGATTCATCGATTCATTCAGATTTGCCACCTGACGGATTTGACTGGAAATCTTCTCAAAGGAACCCACAAAGCAACAAGCAGGTGATAAAAGATGATGCCATCGGGTGTAACATATAGATAGAAGTGACTTTCCTATCAATCATTTCAATCACTTCTTCTGTTGTTGGATCATTTGATGCATTTGTTCGTCGGAAGACATGGTGATGGATGACGGTGTGGCCAAAATTTGTTCCAACGGAAGGAGAGATAAGGAAACTTTTGATTGCAAATGGTTGACAGGGGTCGCAGTGGGGATATTGATGGTTGTTTTTTGCATCTAGCCTCTTGTGATTGTTGTTCCAAGGTGGTTGGTGATGGGTTTTTGGTGTCGTGATGGTAGTGAAAAAAGTAAGTTAAGTCAGGATAGAGTCGTCTGTCCGTCATACGTAGCACAGTCACTGACCAGTGACCAGAGAGTCACCTAATGTAACCACTCTTATGAGTTCCTGACGATTAACACGTCCTTGCTCACACCATACGTCTGAGCTCATAGATGAGTTCTACCAACACTCCTATCACTCCAGTTGGAAAGCAATCCGCTCCGCAGAGTGATAATGCAAATGAGTCTGAAGTAGAAGAAGAAGTAGTTGTTGAACCAGCAACTGTGGCAACAACGCCATTCTCAAACGATGATATCAAGATAATCAGTTTGTTAGTCTGGGTCAACCATAATACTACGAAACGAACGGAAATTTGAGACTTTCTCGATTTGGCAGGTATTTCTACATGGGGCGAATTAGGAGGCGATTTTTCAGAAATTGAATTTGATGCCAACATTAATCCCTTCACGAACCTCAAGAAACAAATGACCTGACAACGTTTTATCAAGGTATTGACTTATGCGGCTGCCTTGACGAAACAACGACTCAGTTCCTTGCTAACTTTCAGTGAAGTCAACAACACTCTGAAAGAAATGTCCTCTACACCAAGCTCTCCGATCGATTCATCAAGTTCATCCTCCAGCAAATCTGGAACCGACAATCGCCCGTTCAAACTACAAGTTCCCGATCTACTGGCGTTCTCTGGTCGAACTGAACAGTATCCAGGTTGGAAACGGAAGATAATGCATGAACTTGGCAAACAAGCTCTTTGGAACGTCCTTGATTCCGATGATTATCATGCCAAGAACCCCCAAATTTCTGAAGCAATCTTTAGCGCAATTGCTGCTGCTTTATCTGGTGGACTTGCATCTCCTTTGAGCAAAGAATTGGAATCTGCAAAGGAATTCAACGCAAGAAAATGGACTTGCATCTCCCTTGAGCAAAGAATTGGAATCTGCAAAGGAATTCAACGCAAGAAAACTGTATTGAAAAGAGTTTTAATACTCCTGCAAATCGAGCGAACTACGTTGTCCATGCAGTAAAAGATTTAATCGACATCCGATTGGATCAGAATACTGATGTTGAAGTTTTTGTTACCGATTTTTGCCAGATCCTACTTGATCTCCCAGCAGGGCTTAGGGGGGGGGGAGGGCAGAAGAGGAGGGGGGAAAGGAAGAGGAAGAAGAAAAAAAGAAGGAGGTTTTCAAGAGTTCTTTTGTGGTCATCACGGTATCGCAAAACAAAATATCCAACCAATGAAACTAGTTTACAGTTTTCAAATCTAGTTGTGATCTGGGGGGAGCCTTTATGGGTAAAAACCGTACCCACCAATCACAACACCATCATTCTACAAGCCTGCATGTAGAGATCTTGACAGAAATAGATAGGGAAAGACAGCGAATTCGACAGAAATAGCAGTAGTCTTTCCACTGTTGCTCTTCTCACACATGGGTCCGACTAGTCAACAATATCGATATTGAATAAATGAATGGGCGCATCAACCAACACACCATGAGACAAGAAGCCACTCCTTCTCGTCCCAGCTGGACGAACAAACTGGGGAAAACTATCGCATGAGTAAAAAGCCTCTACAATTAAGTTGTGCTACGAATATCGGCTGCAATTGATAGAAAACAGTGAAGCAGAAGCATGGATGTATCGCAAATTTCCATCAAGGATTTTTTCATTTACAAGCCATTTGTCCAATGAAGTTGGCATCCAGGGCTACAAAACGTCCCCATATTTTTGATAGTATGTATAAGGAAGGAATTCGAACTGTGTATCTATTGGTTTATCTATGATGCTATGTTGTTATTCCTCTCATTGTGTTGTGTTCGTTGTCACTGTCGCAAAAAAACTTGCGCAAAATCCGTAATTTGAATAGTCGCGTTATGTTTCCAACCCATCTCGGTTTACCGATACTTTGCTGAAATCCTTGTTGTGATGTAGGTTTCTACTGTTTTGAGTATAAATTGGTAGAGATACGTAGAGATCTACGATTGAGTACTGTGTCATCTCTGTGAATTCCCTAATTAAATCTCCTTGACCGATTGAGTATCTGCCTTTTCCCCAATAAACTCTATATAGTAGGCTATACCTGATACCCACAAAGTACTCGTATCTGGTAGTGAGCAACGCTGCCCTGGGGAGAGATGAGGTAAAAGTTTGAACATCATGCAGGAAACAAATATCGTCCCAATTTGGCGGAACTGGCTGTATATTACTAGGTCAGGCGATAAGAGGTCCTCGTATTGATTGCGTTCAATCAGCACGCATTACAACTTGGTAATCAGAACGAGTACAATAGGTAGCTTTTAGCTTTCATCATGACAAACCTTGCGACCACGACACTTTTACTGGATAATTTTCTGCACTTATCTCATCTAGACATTGGAGCCAATGCTCGGTTACAAATCTACTCAAAATAGCGTGAGTAGTGTACTAATAACTTTGAACTTGTTATTGTGTACTGTACATCGCTACACCCCGAAGGGTGCTGTTCATCCAAAAGCAAAAACGACGCTGAGTTAGCACCACACTTTTGACTAAACATTTCTACATTGAGATACCGTAGAGTTGGGCACTTACCTCATCATAAAGAAGAAAAAGGAACATCGGATCCAGTTTTCTCGTTCGGTTAGAAATTTACTCAATAGCCTGAGTACTTGTAGTGTATTTGTGGTCGTGTACCGTACCAGGTACCATCAAAAGTTTAAGCGAAAAGACACTGAATTAGTACCATGATTCTGACCGAACGATTTCTGGTGTAGCCACTGCTGTGCTACCAACGCCAACCACAAGCACCAAGCAAGATGACCTATGCGGAGCTCGATGAACAGATCGAAAGGCTGCAGACAGGAGAAAGTCTAACAGAAAATGAAGTCAGAAGTCTCTGTGATAAGGTGCGTTGAGAATTTGAGATGACTTGCGTTGTTTGTTGCGAAAGTGTTCGAGAAGACCGGAAGTCAATCTGTGTGTCAATCCATAGTTTTCATTCCAATGTTAGATGGCTTGATTCCACATACGGTGATTTAAAGTACCATTACTTCCTCTCTCTCGCGCTTGTTCTAACAAATCTGCTGCTTTCATCTATCTTTCGTGAACAATTTTAGGCCAAGGAAGTGCTTCAGGAAGAATCCAACGTCCAACCAGTTCAAGCCCCAGTCACCATTTGCGGAGATATTCATGGTCAGTTCTATGATCTAGCAGAACTATTCCGTATTGGGGGAAAGTGTCCTGAAACGAACTATGTTTTCATGGGAGACTACGTGGACCGAGGTTATTACTCGCTGGAAACAGTCACATTGCTGATGGCCCTGAAAGTTCGCCACCCTAACCGCATCACCATCCTGCGGGGAAATCATGAAAGTCGGCAAATCACACAGGTTTATGGATTTTATGATGAATGCCTTCGAAAATATGGAAATGCCAACGTTTGGAAACATTTTACCGATACTTTTGACTACTTGCCGATGACTGCGGTGGTTGCTGATCGTATTTTCTGTTTGCACGGTGGCCTTTCCCCATCCATTGACACTCTCGATCATGCGCGCGAGCTAGATCGAGTACAAGAAGTCCCTCATGAGGGACCCATGTGCGATTTAGTCTGGTCCGATCCCGACGATCGAAGTGGATGGGGAATTTCACCACGGGGAGCTGGCTACACCTTTGGTCAAGACATTACAGAACAGTTCACCCACATGAATGGTCTTCATTTTGTGGCAAGAGCACATCAGTTGGTGATGGAGGGTTATCAATGGCAGCATGATCGGCATGTTGTCACTATCTTTTCGGCTCCTAATTATTGCTACCGTTGCGGCAATCAAGCTGCAATCATGGAAGCGAATGATACGGTGGCAAATTGCACCAAGGAAGAGATTCACGATCATTGTAAATTGTACGTCTTTATTGCATTGTTTCTGGTGATCAATGTGATTGTTGATCGGCTTTGGTTCTCACCCTTTGCTCTTTACCTACCTATTTCAGTTCACAATTTGATCCAGCCCCTCGCGACGACACTTGGCATAAGACTTCTCGGGCGCCAGACTATTTCTTGTAAAGCAATGAATGAATGAATAATGAATGAATGAATGTAGCAGTGTCTAGCAATATGCAGCATAAATGATATAATCGTTTTCGTCTATGGTTTTAGAATCTTGATAAACAGAGATAGTTGCAGTATTCTCAAACAAACAGGAAGCAATGGAGAAGCAAGGTTCAAAACATTGCAATTAGAAGGAGAGAAATTCAAGAGTTGATGCGGACATCGTAACAATAAGATGACAGCAGCGCAGTGATTTCGGGTTGGCCTTTGTTCTGAATTGTATTGGGGGGGGGGGGGGGGGGGGGGGTGGGGGGGGGGGGCGGATGTCAATTGACATTGTGAGCCTTACCTCGCTCGTTCTTTGCAGAAGGAAATTTTTCTTGCAACGTTCTAATCTTGCAAACGAAGAAGTACCTACTGTACTTTTCGGGGATAAAAAATCTCATCGCCTCCGCGTGTTGCTACTCCTTCTCACCTTTCCAGAAGGGCGTCGTCGTTTCTTGCCAATTGTTTGGCGGTCATTTGTTGAGGACGGCCTTTTTCCTCTTGGACTGCCCGAACCCTGTCGTCCTCCAATAGAACCTGTCTTGTTTTCCAGTACCTTTGGCTCCCATTGCAAAGTACGTTTTACTTCTTCATCTGACAATACTCGCCACTGCCCTTCTTGCAAGCCTTCCAAGGTCAAATAGTCGTTGCCGATTGCAACTCGTTTCAGTTGCATGACCCCAGATCCAATGCTGTGAAACATGCGTCGGACTTGACGATTCTTTCCTTCCGAAATGGTAATGGATACCAAGGTAGACTTGTGATTGGGATACTCCAAAATTTGCACATTGTCCACAGGTGCCGTCCTGCCGCCATATTTCGTTCCAATATCGACACCTTCCCAAAAACAACGGAGGGTATCCTCAGTTTGATGCCCCATGACCAAGGCTTGATAGGTCTTGGTAATTGTTGCTACATTGCTTTTGTCGCGCAAAGAGGCAGCATTCTTGTTGGTGACATGATGGACCAGTCCCCCATCGTTGGTCAACAACAGCAATCCAGTGGTATCCGCATCCAATCGTCCAATGGCGTGGACTTTGGACCGAATCCCTGTCCATTCTTGAAAGGAAGAACCCTCCATAATTTCACCACCAACGTAAGCATTCAAGTCTTGTACTTGGTTATATACTGTAGGCCGGTCGTCATTGGAAACATGCGAGGTGACCACATTGGGAGGTTTGTACAAGAGCAACACAACTGTTCGTTCATGAGGAGTAGGAGGAGGAGGAGATGATGATGATGAAAGGGAAAGGCAATGTATAGTTGGTGCAATGAGAACAAGCAGATAGAAGGAGACAATCAAATTTTGGAAGGCTCCACATTGTAGCACCAGCATTGATTGTGGTGTGGTTGGTGGTTGGTGGTTGGTGGTTTTTGGTTTTTGGTTTGACTCTTTAATTAGTTTTGTTGTGTTGTTGTCCGAATCTTGACACCTTGGACCCATCATGACATGCAGGTTGCCAACAGCCAACAGAGATACCTACCGTACTGTTGCAAATTAGGTACGCTCGTACAGTAGAAAGACAAGATCCTACCGTACAGCAAACAACTAAAACAACTCTTAAAACATATTTCATGTTTAAAAGAGACAACATGGTTTGTTCTAGTTTAACTCATACTTGTTGCTATTGTACATGATGATATAAGATACTGTAGTATTTCACACGATCCACAATGATCCTGATCAGTCTACTACCACCGGTCGCTTCTCGTAAGCGAATCTTGGGAGTGCCGTTTCCAACCCTTCAAAGGTTGCAACGTATTGTAGTAATATAACCCCATTCTGTTGTGTACAGAATTACAGAAATTCCATTGAATCTCAGTTTCGTTCCCTTTCCCTGGCTTGTGTTTAAACAAAACACGAACTGTTACTCTTGGCAAACACAGAGTTCTTGGCACCCTTTTGAAAGGTACGCTGCTCGTGGCGTCTTTGCCTTCTTCGTTCTTGAACCTTGTGCAACTTGTTGGAGGCATAACCGCCAACAGCTCCCCCAATGGCCATGCCAACGGGAAAGGCAGGACCGGCTAATAGTCCACCGACAATGGCACCTGAAGTGGCCCCAGCAACAGTACGTTGCTTGCGGGACTTCTTCATCTCGTACTTCTCTGGGTGAATCCCATCCGAAATAACGTGCTTACCCCTCACGTCTCTTGGAACGACATAATCCTTGCGTTCGACAATGGGAACAGTTCTTGGTTGTCCTTGGCTGGATTGGACAAGAGCTCGTTCCTGAGAGGCAACAATGGCTTGCATATCTTCATTCGAATCCGGTCTGTACAACTGGCGAGCAGTATGATCGGGCGTCACAGGACGAGGCACCATGGGCTGTTGTTGAGACTGTTGCTGCTGCTGAGTCATTGCAGGTGATGGACTGTAGAACCCCATCAAATCATCCGATGATCCAGCAGAGGGAGTGCTGTAGCTTGACATGGTACTTGCGCTGTACAACGAAGGAGCAGGTGAGCTGGATTGTTGATACACATAGTTTGGCAGAGGAGCCGAGACTGGTGCAGGAGCTGGTTTTGCATAATAAGCATCATTGCTCTGCGTTTGCGTTTGCGTATACTGTGGATACTGTGTTGGGTATTGCTGCTGCTGCTGCTGCTGCTGGTGGTATTGCTGATACTGCTGTTGCTGTTGCTGTTGCTGCTGATACCCATAGTTGGGTGGGAGTTGGTAGTTGGTGTAGCCACTCATGGTATTGGATATGAAAGTTGGACGACAAAATACGACACAAACAATCAATATGAGTGGGTAGTGAAGGAAGGAAGGGATCACAAAATCGAAAAAACGCAATCGTTTCCGACGAATTCAGTGAAAGAGTTCTCGTCGTGGCTGAGCAATTTGCATTCCCACGCTGACGTGAGTACAAACCCTACTAGACGCACTTTTCCCTGGAACCAAAGAACCAAAAAGACTCCGAACAACTTCCAGTACTTTGTTACGCACGATCGTTTGAGCGACAGATTTACTTATACAATTCACCGAGGCAACACAAAGAACCTTGAAATTTCAAGCCGTTGCGTGATTAGATTTGGGGAACGAAACTTTGCTTTATCGGGATATTTTGTCGACATCTTCCCCAAATTCCTTCAGGAGGGCAAGAGCAAGACCTGTAACGGATCTATATTCCATTATCTTGATTGCATTGATTCGTATATATAGCTATCAATATTTGAAGTGACAGATTAAAATATCTCATCCCAAAAGCCGTTGTTAGTATTTAGGTTCGATCAGCAATGTACGAAGACTCGACCGGCATCATTTGGGTCGTCGAAACCAGCACGGACTGAGAAGGACTTGGTCCATTGTCAATCATATCCAACAAATACTCTGCCATCTTCTCCCCACCCTTTGATGATGGTTCCACACGTGCGATATAGTCGCTGTGGTCTTTTCCGTTCAGGGCATTGAAGAGAGGAACGGGAATCACCTCGGAACCAGGAATCTGGATGGATCTATTAGTTGGCAGTGGGTAGGTGGGTAGGTAGGAAGTTGGTTAGTCTCCATTTGATACCAGCAACTTTCAAGGAACGATTGAATGAACAAAGTTGGCCAAATGTACACACTTACGATGTTGCTTCCATGAAAATCTTCCTTATCAGCAACTGAATACGTTCGGGATGGGAATTGTAACCCAAAGCACCCAAGGCAGGTCCGGCCCAGGATGGGCTTGGATTCTCGTCAAGGTAGTAGATCATGCACACGAGGATTTTCTTGGGTCTCGTTTTGGATATCAGACGTTCAATATACTTTTGCACTCTAGGAAAATTCATACATTAGCTAAGTGGGCATCATTCTGTTTCAAGCGAAGTACAACATGCTTCCTTCACCATTCACCAGTACTCACCTTGTTCCAAACAAATGCACCAAATAGCCGAGACAAGGTGGGAACGCGCAACCACAAGAAAGAAGAGAACACCCACAGCCACAACATTTATCGTCCATCTAAGAAAATAGTCAGTTTCAACAGTATAATACAACCAGTTGAAGAAACGAGCTGCAATAGACTTACAGGAATAGACCCAAACACCTTGCTGTAGGGCATGCACATGTGTGGCAAACAAAGGAGACTCATAATGGTACAGGGTGTTGGTGCGAGAGCAATATCGTTCCCACCCACAGACACAATTAAAACATCATCTTGCTGGATATTGTCTCGTAGGAACTTATCTTGTGCCTTCAGACGAAACGCCCTCGAGTTCAAGGTAGTAGCCTCGATTGCCGTATTAATTGCAGCATACTTTTGGTTCCGACGCTCGTTGATTCCATGATAATTCAGCCAATAAGTTACATCCGCATTCGAAATTGCTGGTTCCAATGCATCGCTACAGTACCGTGGGGATATACATAGCTTGAGACCACTTTACAAGTGCAATACCAAAGTGGAGCTGGTAGCAAGAAGGATCTTACCGATAGGCACCAACTGCAGGTCTCGAGTCTCTGAACCAATATTTATTGTCCAAGCTGCTATCGCCCTTTAATGATGATGGGCACGTAGAATCAACATTTGATGAGTTCCATCAACTGACGACAAGGGAAGAGAAGCTGTCGGCATCCAAAGTTTGGAACTCACTGCTGTCCATATCAAGCCTTGCTCAGTCTCTTTACGGAGACAAGAATAGACGACTTTCAAATGTTGCACTTTGTGACCGTGATACTCAGCATAGAAATCTGAAGCATTAACCTTATTCATTCTGTCGAAATAGAAATCATTGATCATTGCAATGCTTGCATCTTGAAACGAGACGTACACTACACACACACACACACACACACACACACACACACACATCTCTTTTTCTTCAGACATGGTTCCGCCAATTGACTAATCTGACATAAATCTGTCTCCCCTCCCCAAAACCATTTTGGAAAATGTTCCAAACATCATCTAGTAGTCGAAGTATTCCACTGCGCATCCACACGTAATTATCAACTTTCGTCATGGCGGTAACCGGTAAAGCATCTCTTGGCTCCAAGTTCGTCTCTCAGAACATTTCATATCATCTTTCACCATGGCTGCTCGTCCCCTCGTTAGCGTTTTCTCTCTCTCCGGAGACAAGGCCGGAGAGACCCCTCTCCCTGCCGTCATGACTGCTCCTTTGCGTCCTGATATTGTTCAATTCGTTCACACCAACATGAACAAGAACAACCGCCAAGCATACGCCGTCTCCATCCGTGCTGGAAAGCAAGTTTCTGCCTCTTCCTGGGGTACTGGACGTGCTGTTGCCCGTATCCCCCGTGTTGGAGGAGGAGGTACTTCCCGATCTGGGCAAGGTGCTTTCGGTAACATGTGCCGTGGAGGACGCATGTTCGCACCCACCAAGACTTGGCGCAAGTGGCACCGCAAGATCAACACCACCCAGAAGCAATATGCTGTTGCCTCTGCTTTGGCCGCTACTGCTGTCCCTGCTCTTGTCATGGCTCGTGGTCACGCCGTCGATGAGGTCCCTGAAATTCCTCTTGTCGTTGACACCTCCATTGAAGCCACCAAGAAGACCTCTGTTGCCAAGGATGTTCTTGCAGCTATTGGTGCCCTCGATGATGTCGAGAAGGCCGGAGACTCCAAGCAGATTCGTGCCGGTAAGGGTAAGATGCGTAACCGTCGCTACACCATGCGTCGTGGTCCTTTGATCATCTACAAGTCCAACGACGGTGTCGAGCACGCCTTCCGCAACTTGCCTGGTGTTGAGTTGTGTTGCGTCGATCGCCTCAACCTTCTCCAATTGGCTCCTGGTGGCCACATGGGACGCTTCTGCGTCTGGTCTCAAGCTGCCCTCGAAGCTCTAGACACCATCTACGGAGAAGAAGGAAAGCGCATCCCTGCTGCTGCCATGACCAACGCTGACTTGGCTCGTCTTATCAACTCCGACGAAATCCAATCCGTTGTCAACCCTGCCAAGTCCACCATTCCTGCCTACACTGCCAAGGCCAACCCTCTCAAGTCCATCGAGGCTCTCGAGAAGTTGGATGCTTTCGCCGCCAACAAGCGTCGCATGGTCTCCAAGGCCGAAGCCGATCGTGCCAAGAACAAGGATGCTGTCCTCAAGAAGAAGCGTGCTGCCCGCACTGCCAAGAAGGCCTTCAACGCCCAAGGAAAGAAGTTCATCGCCGGTGCTGCCGCACAAGGAGACATCTGTGCTGATGGATTCACTATCGAGTAAACTGTTTATCTATAGGCAAGAAAAGAGAAGAATTACTGGTGAAGTTAATGGCCGCTTCGGTTCATTCTCTTTTGTGTTTAGCTTATTAGTCATGACTTAAGTTTCCAATACTTCTTCCGTAATAGTTCGGCTTGGTTTGACATAGGGGAATTCTGACGATTTGGTTTCGACTGGGTATAGCGTTGGTAGGTCTCGTTATCACGATAACTCTGTTGCTACTTCGAATAGCCGATAGTTTGTTGTTGCTTGTGCCTGCTTGCAACACACTTATGTGTCGTTGTTTTTGTTTTAACCATGACATCGACACCAGCTTTGCAACAAATTCTTGTGCCATAACTGGATAACTTGTCCAACTGAAAAGAGTTGGTGACAAAGGAACGCTCTTGTCCCAACTTTTTGTGTAAAACTTCGTCCAAGGAGGCGACTGCCCATTTCAGTCCAAGTCTGCCTGTCAAGAACTCCCAATTAAACAGCATGTCTTCATAACCTGGCTGAGGGAGACCGTCAGTAGCACTACATCCTTAAAGTTCCTGTTACCACGGTATATTCCGGAGTTCAGCGATACTGCGTCAGGACAGGCTGTGCCGTGATGCTGCCACTCCATCCGCGACGGAATGATACTACGCTTGAAGGAAGAATCATCCTCCAAACTGAAAAAGGCGCTCAAGTTGTACAGAATCACAACAGTGATGAAGCAGAGAAAACAGGCCCGCTGCAAATCGTATTCCCATTTATTTCTCCGCTGCTCTCCGTCACAGGGCATCGCCTCAATAGCCCTGGGCATATCACATGTTCTCGGAGGGAGATTAGTTGGGCTGGGCAAAACGCATGAGCACTCGAAGGAGTCAAACAATATCCAAAATTTGGACCCGTCTGGTCGGAAGAGAAGCAATAGCAACAAGGTTCGTAGCATGATTTTTCAAACTTTATCAATCTAACATTCTGGCAACCACCAGCTCTTGCTTTTCACGACTATGCTTGCCAAGGTCCGAACTGTAGATTCCAGAAATGGAGGTTTTCGATGCTTCCATGTGAATTCGTTTGGTAGCATTCTCGACGACCAAGGCTCGCATCAGCCCTTCACCCAAAGCCAACCTCATCCCCTTGGTTTCTTCTGGCACGAGCGGTGCTTTCTCCATATCTTTGGCTGCGGAAATGACTGTGAAACGTTCCAACAATACTTTCATGCCGTTAACATCAAATGAAGATTTGAATCCCTTTTGATTACCAACCCCGGATTGGAGGTCAGCATCCCGTCGAAGTACTCCCTTGGCCAATTTCAGTATATCCCAATGCATCGAGAACCGTGCCAGGCTCGAGACGACACCGTTTTCTTCTTCGTCTGCGCGCTCTTCGAGCAAGGCTACAATATTGTCGGCCACAATCCTATCGCCCTTGTCTTCGGCAATCGCATTGGCAATCAGCAGCATATTCTCCAACGCTCGAGCCGATCGAATGAAGGTGGAAAAGTCTGTTTCTTCCACCGCGGTGGCAATCATTTCCTTAGCTCGTCCATGTAGGATGGCAAAACCCTCTTCTCCTTCTCCCAGCATTTCCTTCAAAAGACCTCGAGTTGTTTCCAAGCAGTAGTTTACCAAAAGTCGGTGGCAAACTCCAGTTTCTTGCGCCCGTTGCCAGTTGGTGTCAATCGCATTCTCGGATGAATCGATCATCATTTTGCTACTATCGTTTCGCGTACTCAAAATCAGGGATTCAAATTCCATTCCCACTAGTAACCAGTGGAAAGCACCACCAGGACGTTGGTCCTTGAGGTAATATCGATACCGTGCCAAGCAAATGCTCACGCAACCATCCAATACTCGAACATTCTTTCGCTCGACCAGACTACGACAGAGCGCCAACAAAGCATTGGCTTCGGCATCTGACTTTGGGTAGTGATGTTCTAAGGTCTCGACCAGTGTGGCCGCGATGCGAATATCTCCCCTGACCTTGATGTGAGGCACTAGGAATCGGGCAGTCAAACGAGTTGCCACGTCGCTGTGGCCTTCGGTCGCCAATGATGAATGAATGGCAAATGCCGCATTCAACAATAATTCTGTTTTCAGAGAATATGAAGTAGAAACCTCTGGCAAAATTTCAGCATCGTGCAACAGATTGCATAGTAGAGAAGTCTGAAAAAGAAAAAGAAGCAAAGTCAACTGATTAGATCAATCGCGTATCAAATTTGACGAGGGGGAGGAGAATAAAATAAATCCATAGCCCTTCCCATTTGTGCAGTACTCACCATCACGGCTGGTAAAGCAGCTCCACTTCCTCCTCCCAATTGATGCATGACTTCAATCACTCGTCCGGCGTTTCCCTTCATGACACTCAAGACAACTTCTTCGAATTCGGACATACCGCCACCACTTTCATCACTCATCATTTGACTGTCATTCTTATTATGCTGTTCTATCACTCTCATAGCCCGAATGTTCATGTCCACCAATCTCAAGTCAGGAGCCTTGTACAAGAGTTCTGCACAAAACTGTTCGGCCCACGAATCAAATTGGACCTTGGAAAAGTCTCCATTCAAAATGTCCAAAATCTTTCTCAAGGACGGCATCCGACGACACAATTTGTCAAGGGCAGGCAAACTGCGAATGGACTGCTGCCATGATCGATAGACTTGCTTGGAATATTGATCATTGTATGCAGAGGGCATGTCTCCCTTTCCTCGTCGCTTGCTGGAGGTTTCCCATAGTCGATATGCCGAAAGTGGAATGCCTTCAATGTAGCAATTGTTTGGATCGTCTTCATCAAATTCTTGTCCATCATCACCGCCATGTTTTCGGTAGTCATCATCGTCCGCCAACACCGCATCGAACTGGTCGGTTCGGCCTCCGGGAAGAGGTGCTGACAACAGAATGGCTCGCAGGGCTTCCAAACCTTCTCGATCTTCTTGGAGCGAAGCGGCAGTGTACTCGTCCAAGCCAGCAAGGACATTACTGCTGCTATTGGAGGCTGCAGCCGCAATGGCTTCGGTACAGCGGCGACAAAGGGAATGCCGAGTCAAGAGTCCCCAGGCATCTTCCAGATTGCCTCGGACGACATATTTTTCCAAGAGTTGCCAGTAAACGGCACCCGTCCCCTCCCATTGATCTGGTTGGATCGACTGGAAGAGATTGTCTAGAGTTTCTTCGTCGAGAAAATCAGAAGCCTCCGTCATGTGGTGGAGTCGTAGATAGCGAACCGTTTCGGCCGTGACGGCACCCGGCAAGTTGGTGGTGGATTCGTAAAAATCCATGACTTGATCGTTGGCCGGAAGTAGCAAAAAGGTTTCTGACAAATGTGTAACGGCATATGCTACTTTGAGCAACTCCAAATTTTCTAAATTGGATGAAATGCTGCCGTCTTGAGCATCAGCAGCATCATCTTGTTGTTCGGATGACAGGAGCTCGTCTTCCCATCCCTGCAGACAATTGGACAAGGCACGTCGATACGACTTGGAGAGGGATAGCAAAGCTTGAGGACCAGTTGGTGACTGGAGATACGCGTCTTGAGCATCCAATAGATCCATGACAGCGGTTCGTTCGTGATCATTGCAGCCAACACCATCGTGAGATAAAAAGGTGTTTGTGGCAAAGGCTCCGTCGCTTTCGCCTCTGACTGTTGGAACCAACAAGGATGCTGGGTTGTGAGGATTCCAGACAACCGCGTTGCCTTTTTTAGCTGGTATTGACATGTTTGGAACGGTAAATCTGCTGTTGTTGAGCTATAGTCGATACAGTAATACAGTATAGGCTGCCTTGGCTCGGGTTTTGGAGGTTTGAATTTGAAAACTCGTCTATTGACTGGTTCCGATGATTGAAAGGCTAGAAATTCCTTGTAATAAATCTTTCGGTTCCTTATTGCTTTTGCGTGTTTTCTTCTGCAGTCTTTCAAAATATAGATGATGAGAAAAATAGCTCTTGAACTGGAGGAGGAGACAATATGGCAATGATGATTGATTGGCATGAGCTGTTTGTTGTGTTTTTGTGGCTCCCAAAGGTACTTACGTAGTCTATATGTAGTCGAATCAGTCGTCCACAACGAAAGCTCAAAATCGTAATCGAAGCAAAATCCGTGACATCTTCAATGCCAGTTTGAAGTTGCCAACCATAATGACGACTTTGGAGAGTCCTAGCACAAGTATGATGATAGTACTGATGACGCTCATTTCAATAACAACGACCTTATCGTTCACATTGGATTCTTCCTTCGCTACAATAAGACGCGATCCGTGGCGTTATCATCCCTCCTCCTCTACCAGATTGCAAATGGGAAAGGGATTCAACAAGGTTCGCAACAAGCAAGCTCAAATGGCTGAAAAACTGAACATCGCAAAGCAACAAGAAGGAACGGTAGAAGAATCTAGCGGCGTTGACAGTAAGACAGAGGCAAACCAGCCAACTCAGGAAGAATTTCAACGTCTCTTGGATAGTACCCAATACGCGATACCTTCGGAAGACGATTCCAACTCTGCCTTTATCCCCGACATCATAGTTGGGAAAAAGAAGAATAAGCAAAAGGTAAAAAAGGATCCACAAGCAAAGATTGATGCAGAACGAGCTGCAGCCGAGCAGAAGCGTCAGGACCAAGAAGCCAAAAAGAGACAAAACGCCCAGCGACTCTACTTCGAACCACTAATAAATGTCCAGACAAACCAAGCTATGGGCACGATTGAAGCGGCAAAATTGGTGCCTTGGGTGCCACCGTATCTAAAAGATTGTCTCATGGTCATTGTGGATCCTCGTCCCAATTCGGCGGTTTTTCGACAGTCGATTCAATACCTTGGCTCTGCTGCTGTGGAACAACTGCAGGTGGAACAATCCAAGAAAAAGAGGGATAACAGTGATCGTAAATCCCAACGAACAATTCAAGATCAAGTCATTTTTATCACTGCGGATTCGACAAAGGAAATGCAAGCGTAAGTTTTTGGAGAGTTTATTTCTTCTGTGGATTGCGCTCGATGCAAAACTGACAATTCTTCTATTATACTATACTATACTATACTATACTATACTATACTATACTATACTGTACTGTAGTTGGTTGAAACGGTCCAAGACAGAGTCCCCCATTCAAATATTCTCGGATCCAGATTTAGCCTGGATGAATCAATACAAAGCTTCCGAAGGATGGTTCATGTCCATGTTGACCTTTGATACTGATGGAGCCATTGTAGAAAACAATGTCAACATTCAATCTTCCAGTGTGACACAATTGGTCTTGGATACTCTGGAGATCATGTCGGAAGCAGAAGCAACGTGAAGTGTAGGATGAGTATCATCAAAAAGTCGAAGAGAACAGAACCACGAAACTAGTGCTGACACGCATAACTAGCTTTCGAATCAGAGAAAGAGCTGCATATGCATATCATATGTGCTGAAATCAGGATGCATTCTGATCCGTCAGTAGTGCTCCTTATTAAGCTCCGATTTGTCTTCCAAACAAGCATTTCATGAGCTGGAAACAAGGAACAATTTATCAGATGACGGAGTTGTAGATGCAAAGCTAGTAAACGATCCGAATAATGTCTGTACTATAAGCTACTTGGGATTAATGGACACTAGGAGATTGTAGCGTCCATAAGGTGCATGTGATCTGTTGAGGTCCTTCCTCTTTCACGTCTTCAAAGTACTTTTGTCCGTCCGTATGTCCAAAGTTAACCTGCCGGCGTGCACGCGCGGGTCGGATGTGATTCCAACAACGGTAACATAAAAAGAAACGGCATCTCATCATTTTCGTCTGGGGTATTCTACCACTGTAGTTAAGGAAGTAAAAGCCAAAAGAACAACAATGACCACTATGAAATTATTCTTGATACTGATACCGATGTTTATATCATCTGTAGCTGCAGTACCAGCAGACGAACTTCTCAAAAGTATGTCATGTTTCCAGTCCGATCGAGGAGGTTGTTGGGATCTCGGATCCGAACTTGGAGTACAAAACCCGACAAGCTGTCAACAAGCATGTTTACTTCGCCCGCAATGTGAAGCCTTCCTATATTCACCAACGGACTTAAAATGCAACTTTTGCTCGGCGGTAGACGCATCATGGGCCAACAGGGATGGTTGCCCAGAGGGAGGAAGCTGCATCTACGGTCCCGCGAAATGCCCCCATTCCACGGGCTCTCTATCAGTCGCCGATATATTAGAAACAAGTCTTTTAAAGGCAAAGAATATGTGTGACGTTTCGGTAGCACGCAATACGGCGAATATCTTCCAACACGCATTGAACACCGCGCTTTTGGAACCGGCTAGTTCCCTACATCAAATCATCAAAAGTAGGGACGAGTACGATGAAGAGTCCTTTTCAGAAGTATATGAGCAAACTGTTGAGGATGCGATCAAAACCTTACCATTGCTGACCTGCTCAAGGCCATGTAGCGGTATCTTGAGATTGCAGCTTCAAGCCATGGTATTTTTGCACACGTTGAGCACGACCTTGGTATTCTCTAAAGACGTTGCAAGAGAAAAGTTGCTCCACGACTTTAGGGTTATGTTGGCAGATAATGACTTTCTCAGTGAAGATTCTATACAAGCAATCTATCGAGTCTATGAGATGCTGCCGATTCACTTGAGGCCTAATGGTGCGGACGACGCGACTTTTGCTGTTCAATACTTCCCGAGCACCTACAACTGTGAGTCCTATGATGAGAACCTTGTCGATTTCACGAATGTTACATACACGACATCTCCAGCCATACAATGGAATTTGACGTCTACTCAGGCTTTTCCGATCGATACCCCAATTCCCTGGGGATACTCTGTTGACCAGTGTAAAACATGAGTTTTCGGCTCACTTCTTTGAAGTTGTAGCCAGCAACCCACGCCTTGCATCAATGCTCAATTTTCTGTACACGACGTCTGTAGAGGGCAATCATGCTAGACATTGGCTGGGGAAAGAAGGCCCTGAGTTCTTCGAGAAGAATCCAAGAGAAATCTTGGCTGTCAACATAGGGAGACAGTATATGTTTTCGTCGTCCAGCCAACTGAGCCTGGCGGTATCCCGCTGGGGAAGCTTCAACATAGAGTCCTCGGTCTCTGTATTACAGGGACACAAATGTGACGACATTGATATGGATCTTGGAGACAACATCACGTCGAGACTCGCATGTCGACGTGAAGCTCGTAACAACGATGCTTGCACTGGGGATTTCTACATGTGGGACGGCGTTGGCCAATGCAGTTGTTGCACTGCAGATGCACAGTTTATCAAAGACGAGGGGTGGTCAATTCACAAGTACAGAACAAATGATGCACCTCAAGTGCCCACAGCTCTTCCCCTTTCATGGTGGCTGTTGAACGTTGATGCTCTCACCGATATCGAAACCTCTACTTCCACATTTTATGAATACAATGACGACGGAGAGGTTGTTCCAATTTGTGTCAATGTATGGCGAGATGATAATGGACGAATTGAAACGATAGAGGTCCCAGGCTGTGGTCTTCTCGACTTCACCTATGCCACTGACGACGAGTTCTTAGTGGACGCTGTTACGGATAATGCACTTGCATGTCGTCCAGTTCTATCGCACACGGTTTGCAATAGACCGATAGAAGAAGATGATGGAGACGAAAACTCGAAAACAAGAGAACCAAGACTGAGTGCAAGCGGGGTGGCACCGGTCTTCAACGCAAAGTTGGTTATTTTTAGTGCTTTACTTTTGGGGGTCAGCAGTTTGAAATAGTCATTTTTTGAGGGGGGCACACATGCAGCCTCTCATAGTCGTTTTCGAAGGGTACAGACATGCACACATGCATAACAGATTGGATTGTGTATGTTAAACTCACACGGGGAAAGATATAATTATATCTTTATCTTTTTCAATCTTCGCCAATGATTTCTTCGTTTCCGTCATTGCCGATTTCAGAGCCTAGCACTCCCATAGATGGAATAGACTGCTTCAATTCAGCGAGCAAGGAGCCCGAAGCACCAAGAAACAATGGAGCCGTAGGCGCCCTCGCGAGTCTTGCAGCCTTTTGGTCCTCAGAATCTGATTCATCTTCTTCGATCTCTTCATCTTGGACGAGGGCCTTGATCCGATTCTGCAATTCTGAAACCATTGCCAATTCTGAAACCGTATCTCGTTGTGGTAGGTAAAAATCAGAATCCACGCCCTCGTTGCCAGTACCGGTTCTCCCTTTGCCCTTACGCCCAGTCTTTTTGGGCCTATCCTCTACGTTTCCTTTCCCAGTGAAGACTTTTGTCTTTGTTGGCTTGTCTTTCTTTAAACCCCCTTGTACATCTTGTCTGTCGGACTTAATTTCACCGTGAACATAATCTCCAGTCTCCTGAGATGCCGGGCGTTGTGCATTATCATTCATATCGTCACTCTCGTTGTCACTCTCATCCAAGTCGACTTCTTGTGGAAAGTAAATTTGGGATATCTCGTTTTCAAACGCTCGGCAGGTTTTACTTATTTGTTGGATTTTCGACCACCATTCCTTTTGGGATAAGCTTGAGTCTTCTTCCAAATTCAAATCGCCATTCAGCACACCATCTGGTACTTTGTCAAGAATGGCATCAGCGATCATGTTCTGATCATTCGAAGAATTGCAATACTGCTGGCAGGACCACAAGGCAGCTCCAAGAGCATCCAATTGCGTTCGAAAATTCAACAAGGTGTGAAAGAGAGGATCATTTGGATTCTCTACAGAGCGAACTGCCGACAATTCTACCGCTCCAACGATTCCTTCATTTGGCAACAACAACATTCCTCGTAAATAATGTGTGAGTTGTCGCGTTTGGACGTCGGAATCATCCAACCAAAACCTTATTTTCGATGTATGGAATAAGCGCTTGTCTTTTGATGACGATGATTGAAGGAGAAGAATAATTTCTTCTACCGTTCCACTTAGTGACTTGGCGAGGACATGTCGGGCATCTTTAATCCATGCCAGGTTTACAATGTGTGGCATTTCCAACAATGGTTCCTTGACTTCTGGATAACCATCTTCGCTTTCCACGTCACTACTCTCTTGGTGTTCGTACAAATGTTTCCAAAATGCCTGTAAGGTTCCCGATTGGTGAATCATAGCTTTGGCCAAGTTTCTTCGCAGCGTAACTAATGACAAAACGCTCTTGCTGGGCCCTCGTTGTGGTTTCAATAAGCCACGATGACTCTTTTTCTCATTATATTCGCTCGGGTTGTTTGTCTTCGTTTGTTGGCGTTTCCGACAACGGAATTCTCGTGCCATGGCCGCTTGCTCCACTCGTTCGACACACTGAGACTGAGGTCCCAATCCCAAATGAATGCTAGCACTGGTTCGAAGATAATCCAAAGATTGATCGATAGTAAGCAGAAATTGGACATGCGATTCCACACAGTGTACAAGCGAGGGAAGAACTGTAGAAAGGTCTGCTTCCGCCACATTTTCTTGTTGGTTATTGTCCTCCTTCGTTTTCACTTCCACGTTTGTCCCATCTACTGTCGCATGCCCATTGTCGTGACTTCTTGTGGATTGGTCCAAATCCAATGGCCACAAGGGTGGCGGAGCACCAGCTAGTCCCAGTAGATGTGATACCTTTTCCTTGGTTTCTTCGAGTAGCTTCTTTTGGTCGACATTACCACTACGACCAGCATTGTTGTCGGATGTTATATGTCTGGATGTACCAACCATAATTTTGTAATTGTCGTCGTTATCACTAATTTGCTTCTGTTGCGTTATGATCATCATGATGAGAAATCCAGTACTAGCAGACCATCGAAAATCCCAATCCCAATGGAAAATACTCGCCACTACCAGGAAACCTAAAACTGTGATGACGATGACTCCCCCATGCGATTCAAACTGGCTATCTACAAGCTGAGCTATCCACCACAAGAATCGTTGCGTTACATTGGTGAACGGTGGTTCTTGAGCTTTGTTGCTAGGGATCATGTGACAGTCCAGTCGCGGATCAAGCGGTAGTTTTGGTGACTGCGGTCGTATGGTGTTATCTGATGATTCTTGTCGTTGTTCCTGTGATGGTTTGGAATCTTCTTTTTCGTCTATTGATGATGATTCTCCCACCTGATTCACCACACTAGATGTTTTAGCAGTTTCTTTATGGGAGGTAGTATGTCGCGATGACTGTAACGCCAACAACTGTTGCAAATCCGAGTCTTGATCATTGGAACTATCATCTTCGTTTTCAAGACATCGTTGCATGTGAAGCTCCAACTGATCATCCATTTTCAATTTGATTTCCACCCTTTGAAATACGATGGAATGCCCGAGAGCTTGAGTAATTCCAAAGCAGAACCACACAACGACAATCAATACCTACTGTATGACGATGAAGGTGGATGGAGGTTGCGTTGGAAACGTGAAATACCATAACAGTTCGTGACTGAGTTCATTCCCGTAAGCTGGGCGCGCCCTCACTCACTCTCAACTTTTCACAATGACAAAAACTCGGAACCACACGACTTGTCGGTTTCAGCTTTCCTATTGCACCAAACCTCCTGCCTTTCCTGACAATACAGAGCCTACGTTTCTGAAGGAGGAAGGAACAAGAGAAAAACTGTAGATACAAAGGAGAAGCTACTACCTACTACCTACACGTACACGTACACGTACCTATCCAAACAAATACAGCAACACGAACAGTCGTCAGCTCAGCAACGTCATGTCGATGCAAAATTCCGCCCCTGGGGGCAAGAGTATGAAGTTTCAAAATGGACTGAACCCTTTTACACCCTTTCTATCGCGACCGGTGAGTAATATCATATTGTGTATGGTGTTAACCAACCAGCTTGACTCTTGAAGCTGCTCTCTCATCTCACTTGCAAGGAAAAACTAACTCATCACATTCCAAAACACAAAACACACACACACACTTTAGGGCGAAGAAATGGACGCTGAATCACAGGCCTTGGTAAATAATATGGAACAGCGTTTGCAATTGAATAAGGGTAAATCATCCGACACAAACAATAACTTTCAACCTGGTGCCCAAGCCGCCGCCCAACAACAACAACAACAAATGCAAATGCAACAACAACAACAGCAAATGCAACTTCAACAGCAACAACAAAAACAACAACAGCAACAAATGAAAATGCAACAACAAATGATGTCACCTCCTGGAGCCGACAAGAAAAAGGCAAAGAAAGATGAGGACGAGGATGATGATTCCTTTGATGATAGCGATTTTGAAGACGATTTGGACGACGAAGGTGCCTTGGAAGCCTTTCGGGCCCGTCGATTGGCGGAACTCCAACAAGCCCACAAAAAAGAATCGGAACAAAAGGCCAAGGGTCACGGAGAATTCCGGACCATTTCACAAGATGAGTTTTTGCCCGAGTGTACCAGTTCCTTGTGGGTGGTGGTGCACTTTTTTCACAAGGACTTTGAACGATGCAACATTATGGATCATCATTTGAAGCGGATCGCACCATTGCATCTGACCTGCAAATTTGTCCGAATTGATGCGGAGAAGGCTCCCTTTTTTGTCGAGAAATTGAAGATTCAAACCCTTCCCACTTTATTGATCTTTTTGGACGGCAAGACTGTTCACCGATTGACTGGTTTTGATGGATTGGAAGATTTTATGGATGTCGGCCGCAGCAAACGCATGAACAATCCCGATGAATTCACTACGGCAGCTTTGGGACGGTATTTGGAAGGAACGGGATGTCTTGAATACGAAGGACCCGAGGACGATGCTGATGACATTAACGATGGTGGAGGCGGAGCACGCAAGACTGTTCGAAAAGGACTTATGCAATCGCGATTGCAAGCCTATGATGAAGATTTCTAGATTGCTCTACTAGTAGACTTTCATTTTAAAATTAAAAACTACGGCAACTGCAACTATTATTCTCATTTAGTACTACAATACCACTTCTTTTCTACCATGATCGTCCGTCGTTCCCTTCATTTGCCAATACGGATCAAAGAATCCTTGGACTCCCACTCGAAAGTCCAAACTGACCCGCGTATGATTGGAAGCATTTGCGTTGACATAATGTTTGCAGCTCGATCCATGAAAGGAAATGGCTTGTCCTAGATTGGCAGGAATCGGACGATAATCATCTTGTTGCGGCACTGTTTCGCTCCACAAATCGACTCCGGTCCATTGACGATCCGTCAAGGGAATCCAAAAATTCAATTCTCCATTTTGATGACCATATTCCGCATCGTTGTGGGGCTTAACCTTGGCCCAGCCGGGACCCGGTTGCAAGCGCAAGGTGGGTGGTCGTTGGTAGTAAAAGGTAATGGGAGTCGTAGTATCTGTGTCTTCTTCAGTACTAGTGCCTTCTTGGCCGCCCACTTCTTCCTTTTCCTTGGCAACAGCCGCCAAGAGTCGTTCCTTCAAATAGGGCAACGCCACTTGAACCACAAATTTATCAAAGACTTGCAAAAATTCTTCGTTGGTGGCCACTTGATCGGATAAATATTTTTGAGTATCTTCGCAGTTGCCTCCATTTACCTTTCTCCAAATGGATTGCACTGGCACTCGAAAATCTTCTAGCCGAGTCTCTCTACAATCCGTTGTGGTGCTGGTGGTGCTGGTGGTATTCATTGCTTTGTTATCGTCGTCGACACTGCCTATTCCTTCTGCTGTTGTTGCTGCTGCTGCTGCTGTTTGTGGATTAAGATCAAAATCTCCCACAATTTCCGCGTCACACTGTTGCAAGAGCGCCAAGACGGCACCTTTCAAATCGTGTTCTTCTTGACTATAGCTAAAGACATCTTCTTGCAACAAGTCTTTTGGCAACCAGGTTTTATTGGTCAGTTTGCCATTGGCATCCGTTGGTTTGGGATCATGTTTGCGACACTTCTTTTTGAATTTGACCCGATGGGCCGAGGATCGCAAGGTAGGTATGCCCGACTTGTAAAGAAAACCGCTTTTGTCACCACCGTATTCCCGGTCGGACGCCACTCGCTCTCGACCTTGTTTGTCTGTCTTTTTTGGATTTTTGTGATTCTTGTTGTTCTTGTTTTTGTTGTCAAAAGTTGTTGTTGTGGATGTGGATGGTTCTGATGTGGTGCTAGCCGATGATTCAGTTGACACTGTTGAAACTGTTGAAAATGTTGTTGTTACTGGATTGGATACCAAAGCTTCTGCCATTATGTTGCTAGATTCTATTATACACAAGAGGAATAAGGATTTTGTTAGAAGTCGAGATGGATTGTTACACAACAACAGTCCTCCCACTCGCATTGTCTTCCTTTGGAAGAGTGAGTGTGGATGGATGGATGGATGGTATGCCAAACTGTCTGACTACAGTAGCTAGCAGTGACTAGTTGGACTCCGACCACTTGGATTGCTCAGAAGTGTGATGAAATGAAAATGGGATTACAAGGAAATAGGAGTTCTGTATGGAATACAAATATTTCTGCCAATTTATGTATTTATTTTAATCACTTTTTGTACGTGCAAGAATTTCGTCGATCCTTTTGAATTATTGAGAATGCTGCACGTGGAAACGTAGCGTACTGCATGCGAAGAGGTCCCCTTGTCATTTTCGTTGAAAACCACTTGAGAGCCATCTAACGAATACAGTAGACAGTAGCACCTCTACCGTATTCACACCGCAAGACCAGCACGAACAGTACTAGCAGTAACATCGTTGTCACATACAATTAGTCACATCCAGCCAGCAAAAGCTCCTTTTCACAATGGCTGAACAACGACGACGCACGGTAACCACCTCGTCCACCGACAATCACAACAACAACAACAACAACAACAACAACAACAACAACAGCACCTCCAATGGCGTGGATGTCTTGAGTGGCAATTCCACAACCTCCCTAAACAATATTCGGCAACAACGGCGGCGACGCACCAACAACCGCAACAAAAAGTATTCCTGGGGCCAGCCAAAGTTGGGTTTGTGGGGTTCTCGCATCTTGCTATTGGTGGTGGCTGCCATGTATTCGACCAACTTTGCCAGTGTCAAGTACCTTGAAACGCGTTGCGCCCATCCTCCCTGCGAACACGATCCTTCCGAAACTAGCTTTGCCCGATTCTTGCTCTCCGCAATCGTCTGTTTGCCCATCTTGTATTCTAACAGACAGCATTGGGGATTGATTCAAGCGGGTGTGGAAATTGGATTCTGGTACACTGTGAATTATGTCACCCAGGCAGAAGCTTTGGAGTATATTCCTGCCAGTAAGTGCGCCTTTATTTCGGCCTTGGAAGTGGTATCGGTGCCCGTTCTTGCCAGAGTCTTTCAGGGCCGAAAGATGGAACGCATCAGCATCATTAGTGCCTTCATTGCACTGTTTGGAGTTGCCATTCTGGAAAATTTGCTCCCCTTGGGATCCTTCACGCCTCCTCCTCCAGTGATGACTGGCGAAGCAGCCACCAAGACCTTCATGGGCATTGGAATTGGTGACATTTTGGCATTGGGTCAACCACTGGGATTTGGATATGCGGTCATGCGCGTAGAGCATTACATGGACAAATTTCAAGACATTCCCAATCGTGTCTTGACCTTGACGGCCGCCCAATGCGTCACAGTTTGTTTCTTGACCTTTATTTGGATTCTCGTGGATTGCGATGGCAGGGTTCCCGACATGACGTACATGTTCGAAACTCACTATTTAATCGCGCTCTGTTGGACGGGCATCGTCACTACGGTTGGTGCCTGTGTCTTGCAAGGAATTGCCTTGCAAAAAGCCTCGGCTACCGATGCGGCTCTTATTTTCAGTTCCGAACCCATATGGGGATCTCTCTTTGCTGGATGGCTGCTCAATGAACGAATGAACGCTACCACTTATTTTGGTGGTTTCTTCATTATCTGTGGTTGTTTCTTGGGGAGCATGGCAGGAGGTCACCACGAATCTCCCAATCATCCATCGATGATGACCAATGGTACAAATGGTAACCGAAAATATCAGGGCCGGCTGAAATCAAAACGATCCGACGTCTCCATGTCGGGGAGTGAAGATTCTCTGCTGCCGACACGGGTCAACAATGACAATGACAGCAACAACAGTGATGACTACGCCTTTGGAAGAACGCGGTAGTAGTGCATAGTGCATAGTGTATATATGTATATATATATATATATATATATGACATGGCATGAGGAATACAGGTATGCTGTACATGCATCATATTATTGTACACCATTGCACATTAAAAAGAAAACAAGGCGTTAGAAAGAACAACAATACACTCACTAGCTATTACAACATTTAAAAAGCAAAACAGCGCATTCCATAATATGATAGATTCAAAATTGTTGATGATTAGTAGTCGTTTCTAGAAAAGATGACAGTTGACGGCTCCTGGGTGGAGTCTGTCGTTTGCGCAGCCATCAATTTTGTGCATTGGGATGTGCCTTCCTAATGGTGGTCCATTCAGTAGATGATTAATGGTTCTTTTGTTGTTGTTATCATCATTATCATCATCAGAGGATACCATGGGCTTTCAGTTGTCGAAGTGTATTTTTGGCATCTGTATGATGCACAAACAGTCCACCAGCTGCTTCCCAAGCGGGTCGAAGGTCATCACGATCGTCAATAAGAATACTGCAATGGGACAGTAGTTTGAAAGAAATGGTGAGGAAGTCAGTGAGTACCAGTGTGGTTGAGTTGTACTGTAATTGTCAGCGATTTCACAGTACTTACGATCCAGCCCTTGTGCACTCTCGGAACTTGTTTTCCGACCAGCAAGTAATGATATTGGTGAAGCCTTCTTGCCGACGATTCCCATTGACTGATCGGTGATGCCGAAATCCACTGGCCATGTCAACGTGATGGAGACGATCGACTCCCAACTGTTGATGGCACCAATTGAATTTTTCAGTGCGAGAGGATTCGTGAGAGGGACATCCGGTCAAAATGTCGGGCTCCAAGTGCTTAATGGCCTCCCACAAAACTTGACCATCCTTGGTCCAGCGCAAGTTTTCGAAAAAGGCATTGGCGCGGACAATGTGCTTCCACATGGTTTGCTTGGCAATTTTGGCAGTTGGTTTCCCTGTGAGGTCTACAAAGCCTCCTTCAAAGTCGACCAAGACGCCGTCCAAATCACAGTAGAGATGGAAGGAGGAGGAGGAGGAGGAGGGCCTAGATAAATATGAATTGCCAGTGTTTGGTACAAAGGCAAGTTTTGTTTTACTTTCTCCAATCAAGGCAGTCGTTACATTGCTTCGAATAACATTTGGAGAAGGCTGTTGTGCATTGGCATTTCGAGTTGACAACGGAGTGGCAAAGTTGGTTTCTCCTAAGAAGAATCCAGTTGATGATCTAAGAGAGACCACGAGTACAAGAATGAATAGTTGTAGTTGGTTCATTGATCTCCGTTGTTTGTGGCAGTACATGTTTTGTTTCAGTAGTGTGTTGAACAAACAAGATTTGAATGTGATGGGTTGGTTTTCTGCGGACGTTATAGCTAGTAGTTTCACCACTACGAAACCGAACGGAACTTTGAAGTTCGTGCGATTTGCTCGCGAAGAATTGCTCTATTTTGGGAAGAATTTTGGAACGAACATTTGAAAGATTCCGGCAGTTCCATTGTTTTTCTAGATTGGCGAACGCAATGTCATGTTCTCTCTTCCAGACTTTGTTCACAGTAAAATACTGTACTATAGTGTGGGCGAAACCAGATTCTGGAGTCACAAGACTACCTGGTACTACAGGTAGACAGAAGAGACGGACAAGGAAACAGATGAACGACCCATCAAATTATTCTGATTCACATTAAAAGGGCGGCACTATTCCAACATTGCTAGTACCTAGTACTACTACACATTGCCATCCTTCATTTTAGCCACACATTACATCATCCAGCCGAGACATAACAACAATGGAACTGACAGAACACAAAATAAAACCATGTTACCACAGATAGAAGGTGAAAGACGTTGTGGGATGATAGTCAGATTGAAACAAAGTCGATAGTCATCAGAAGGTAAATCAAAGTAAACGCAACAAACCCTATTCTGCACCGCAATTATATTTGAATGTAAGAGGGAAGAAACAACTTGAAATGGAAACTCGACTACGAAAAGACGACAGACGGGTTTCCTGCTTGAAACTATTTCTACACCATATTTGTTGCTCGATTAATTTGCTTTCAATCGTTTGTGCACAGATTTCTTCCTCGGTGTCTGTGGATTTCCCAGCGGTGAGTGTGGGGCCAGCCGGAATTTTCAATGGGGCCCAAGCAACGCGGTGACACCCCCGATCGTCAAGCAAGACTTTAGGAACATATACATGACCTCTATCGCTTTTTCTTCCCCTTCTTGCCGTTCAAATTGCCTATTGGCCTCGAAGAACCTGATCTCTCCTTCACAATCGCTTCATACTGTCGCATCAATTCTTCGTCCGAGATTTTTCGTGATGGTTCCAGCGATCTATTTTCTATAGCTGCTATTGATTTTTCCCAGGCGTCTTCTACCGCAGGATTGAAGCCTCCATACGATCTTCTACCTATCAGCATAGCATCCATTCCGTGCAATCCAAGAGTTGTGGTCTGGGCAAACTCGTCCGAAGTCGAAGCGTCATCATCAATGTCCATCTTGTCAGTGCGAGTTGCTTCTGGAGTAGGATTTGTAGGCTGTTTTTCATTCGGCGTAGGTATTGGGCTACTTTGGACTCCAGATTTCCGTCTCTCTTCCACATAGTCGTCGGTTTCTTTTTTCCGCTTCATAAACCTCATATTCATTGTGGCTCCGGACAATCGCTTCTTTGCCGACGAAATGGGCTTTTCCGCGGATGGCTTTCCTTCCTTTGCACCATTTTTAGGGGATTCAACCTGTGGTGTCCTTGGTGTCGGTTGTTCTGTACCAGGTTTCCACATGTTACTGTATTGTAATTGTCTATCGTCTATGGTTGCAAATTTGAGATCTTTTGGAGCGTTTGGAATGAATAGAAGATTACTCCAACTTTTGACTCTGTTACAACAGACTCTTTTTAAAGAGACGTAATGTGTGCCTATATGTTCTCCCAATTAGCTACAAATGATGGAAGGTCGTTCAGGTGAAAAGTACGGATGCTGTCGATGGTAGCAAATTTCTGTTTCGATCATCGTGTTTTTCATTTACTGGTCGGGGTTGTCGTGTCGAACGACGATCGGACCGGAGTGGTCTGTTCCCCGTACGTGAACGACGGTGGTACCGGTACGGCTGTAGCCCCTTTTCTTTTAAAGTGTACGAACGATTGACTACCTGGTACTGTACTGTCAAAACAATGTGGTACAAATAATAAAAGTCAACTATAATTTACAACAAGTCAAGGTTTAGGGATGACTCTCTGTCCTTTGCTCCTCGAACCTTCCAAATAAACCCCATCTTGTCCAAAGCAGCAAAGCGATCTACAGTCATGGACGATGATTCCCCATCAATGAATCTCTTGTATTGTCTTCGCTGACATTTCACCCATGCAGATAGCGGTGGATTTTTGGGATAATGCGATGGGACACTGCAATTGCCAAGCTCTTCTTTGAACTGCTCGAGCTCGGCTCGACGTTCTTCCCAAACCACAGCGTGATAGTCCCAAACAAAGCCTACTTCTTCTAGCTGCTGAACACGCTCATCAGATAGTGCAGAGGCCTTGTTTTCTTGCTTCAATTTGTACTGATATCTCTGTCTCTTCACCCACCGAGAAAGACTGGAATTGCTGTGACAGGCGTTGGGTATTCTGCAGTGTCCGTGTCGAGCTTTGTACTTTAGAAGCTCTTCAAACTGGATAGCCCATTGCTCTTCTTGATAAGGGCGATAGGATGGACTGTTTGCTTCAGTGTGATCTTCTGTGTTATGTCTTGACCGTTTCTTGGGTGGTTTCTTTGTATCAGCAGAAGATCTTTTGGACTTTCCATTGCGTTGTCTGTTGCACCCCGATGTTGTAGAAGGGCCTTCCGGAGCACTCGGCGATAAGTCTCCGCATAGAAAACGCAGGAGGGGATCGTCTATGACTGGATGCACTGAATTGCGGGGTGGAGCGCCAGGTGCAAGGCTCGGAACGGAGGAAGCTTGCAGACACGAGGATGCGCTAACAGGGGTGTGTGGCGTAACCTTTGATCTTGGAGGGTCTGAGTCCAAGTGAATCTGGGATGAACTGTCGCTTGTGTTGAAAGGTGATAACAAGGGAGTATCCAAAGAAAAGATATGTGAATTAAGCGGAGGAATGTAAGTGTTGATGGGGGCATTGCCACAACCACTATGGATGCGCATTCCAGCACATTCTGGAAATCGATTACTGGAAGTACCATGCGCCATTCCTCCAGAGTACGAGATGTTCTGAGACATCACAAACGATGCCGACAAGCACTGTAAGAGGGAATCCGATGGCTCCTGCAACGCTGCTGGTGGAGTAGAGTACGATGCTTTGTTGTCTGCACAATCTCCAGAAATCCGAACGGTGTGCATGTTTCTGTTTTATGACACCAGATCGAGTCAAAACTTCTGGTTTCAGCGTAGTTACGTCCCACAAAACACAGTGAGCGAGTGGGAATGCAGTTTTTGTTTATTGTGGCGCTTACTTATGAAAGGTGTCATTTTCTGGACATTTCTGTTTCCATTGAGTGCCGTTAAGATAAAGAGGCATTCTGGAATGAGACAGCGTCCATTTTTACTTAACAACATTTAACAGGCATCAAAATGGTGAGACATGCATTCAGATATCAGAACTCTGCACTTAAATACAAATTCGTTCCTTCAGTCAGAAGTTAGGACTCTGTGATTACAACCAATTCATCAGCAAAGTGATACAGCCTGTGGAACGGCCGAGAAAATCAATATTTACTCCCAATAATTGTATGCTAAGTTTCTATTTCCCGGCCGTTCCTGGTGACGGAGCTAAATGGTCCACAATCGTCGGCACAGTTTAACCTTGGTTTAACGTGTAATCCTCCTGTAGAGTTCGACTTTTCGCTTTAGCTGTTTTAGGACACAAACTCTCGATTTCCATGGAGCCATTCATTCTGCTCTTGAGTGCTGTTCGTGATCACCTTCAAAGTGATACTTCCAACTGCCGCACTTGCAGCGGTAGAAAGAGCGGCGGAGCCAAATGGTCACCACTCGCAGGTACTAGTACCGCTATGATACAAGCCTACTGTACAGTACAGTGGAGTGGGGTTTAAGCTTCTGTTGCAGTTTTTGGAGGTAACAACATCGCTTTGTGGAGGAATATATCCCCTACGGTAGTTGGATTGAATCTAAAATAAAAAATACTTTCAATTGGTTCTCATTATTTAAAACTCAAGAGAATCAGAGTTTTTCTTTCCTCGTACCTGCCAAGTAAACCCCATCTTATCCAGCTTCCCAAATCGCTCTGCGGTCATTGATGATCGCGCCCCCTTGCAAAATCTTTGGTACTGCCGACGTTGACACTTTACCCAAGAGGCTAGTTTTGGTTTCTCGGGATACTGGGAAGGAACATTGCAATGACCATGCTGCAGTCTGTACTGCTCGAGCTCCAGTCGACGCTCTTCCCAAATCACGGCGTGGGAATACCAGACGAAACCCACCTCCTCTAGCTGTTGCACACGTTCATCTGAAAGGGCCGAAGGTTTCTTTTCCTGTTTCAATTTGTACTGATAGCGCTGTCTTTTCACCCATCGAGACAAGCCGGAGTCGCATTCTTGGCCCCCTTGGGAGGTGTGTTGGACGAGACAGTGCCCATTTTGTGCTTTGAAATTCAAGAGCTCTTGGAACTTTTCTGCCCATTGCACCTCTTGGTAAGGACGGTACAATGGAGCCTTGTCCTTTGAAGGGTTGCGTTTTGATCTTTTCTTGGGAGATTCATTGACATTGGCGTCCATGAAGTGAAAGTTGCGCTTGTAGTCAGTCATTGATGAGCCGGAACGGGTGCTCTCTTCTAGACTTCCGTGTGAGGTGGGCAAAGATGGTGTTGGCGAAGACACACTGATTTCTCGATGGCCTTGGCTTCCATCTAGTGAACAATCGGAAATGAGAGCTGGAATAGCCGAACCGATAACTTCAAATCTCGTCTCGTCCGATGATTGGACGGGGCTTGATATCCTGACAAATGGGCCAATCGGAGTTGGCTCAAAGGCGTGAGCAGGGAAAGGCGTGTCAAGGGTATTCGAAATGACGTTGAACAAGTCGGTGGAACAATTTCCATCGGGAGTGCTGGGACTGGTAATGGCAATGGCACTCTCAAGCATGAAAAGCTCATGATTCAGGAGATGTTGTGAAGTATCAACTGACGATCGCCCCCTAAATGGGTCTTTGATACCAGGGGCAGTGATGTCTTCGCTCATATACTGCAGGAGAGAAAAACCTGGAAATGGATGCGACGAAGAAGCATTTTCACCTGAATCACCAGAAGCACACATTGGCTGGTTGAGTGAAGGTCCATTCTGAGAGCTCTTGCTATTTTCAACTGCCGTAGTAGAGTACTTGTCATGCCTGGAGTGATCAAAGTCACTCCTTGATTCATTGGTAAGGTTGCTGGGCATAATACTGGATTGCATCTTGGCAAAGGAAAGATTTTATGAGCAAACACAATTGCGAAAACAGTAAGTTCAAGTGCAATCAAACAGCGTGAATCTCGGGACCCTTGTGAGCAACGAACTATTGTGTTCGCATAATTTCTTATTGATTGCAGTTCGTATTTCCCCGGTTTTTAAGAAACCGCGATAGTGTCGATGTCGGAGTATATTTTGGATATATATATTTGCTCTGCCTCTATCGGTTTTCTTGGCTGTGAACTACATTCGGTATTTTATCTATTTATGTACATGTACCATAATTCTGTCAAGAAAAGTTGGAGGTGATCAAAAAAGAGAAGCAACTGTTTCGCATTTGAAGAAGTAATAGGGTGATCTCTCGTCGAAGCGGCCAAATCCTTGAATTATGTGTCACTGCAACACACCGCTTGAAGCGCTACAATTTCTTTGGCAGATGCTTCAATTACAGCTTCCGTCATGAAGCAAGACCGAGTAAGTCCGCTTTTATCGAAGGAAAAGGCCGAGTACCGGCACGTGTACAGGTACTTCCTTTCTTTTCATACCGGCACTGCCACAAGCAAGCCTCAAATGTCACATCAAACTCGAGGCTCTTGGTTGTTCTGTTTCTGAATAGGTACTGAAAAAAAGTACTAGTACCGGTAGCCGCAAAAGTGTTTCTCGCCTCTTGTGTGTACAAATACGGATGGACGAACAATATATTTTTATATCTATGGTACCACTCCTGAATACATCCAAATTCTTATTTCGCCTGTTGTTCTTTTATCTGTGTATGGAAAGCGACAGAAGCCAACAGTACGGTACCACCAGGTAGACTTGACTGTTTCGCACATTTTGCAGCGGCGCAAAATAATCAATTAGCAGGACGTCACTCCTCCTTCCAATCACGGATGCAATCTTGCATGCCGCATTGACATCGCTCAAGACAAAGGTGCCAAAGTTGCCTACATGTACCGGTACTGGATGTTCTTCCGATAAAAGTCCACCTCTAAGATCACCCCAGAGGTTGGCCCAGTTAGTAGTGCTGCGTGATGCGATGGAAGCAGCTTTGCTTGCAAGTCGAGCTAAGGCACCAAAGTAGCCAACAATGTGGTTAGACTAGTAGTACCAGCTCACCATCAAGACCCACCACGGGTTCCAGCACCTGCTGATTGCGAAACCCACAGTGCCATATGATCGCACTTGTTCCTTCTTGGGCCTACAGTAACTACTAGCAGTGTGTCACATTCTGGGGCGTGATCCCGATTAATATTCGCGTTTCCTTCTTTTAGCGTTTCCTTCTTTTAGCGTTCCCTTTAGTGCCGCTTGTTGTGAAGGATCTCTTCGTGTCTTCTCCTTTCGGTTGCGTTTTCTTTTAGCGTTTCCTTGTTTGTTCCTTTCGCATTTCCTTTTACTGTTAGTACCGGATCACTTGTGTTGTGAAGGATCTATTAGTGGCTTCATTTACGTTTCCTTCTGTTCGCTTTTCCTTTAGTACCGTATCACTTGTCGTGAAGGATCTAGTAGTATTCATGTCTCTTCTTTCGACTGCGCTTCCTTTTAGCGTTTCCTTGTTCCTTTCGCATTTCCTTTACTATTAGTACCATGTCACTTGTTGTGAAGGAATTATTGTTGGCTTCAGTTACATTGCCTTCTGTTCGCTCTTCCTTTAGTACCGTATCACTTGTCGTGAAGGATCTATTCGTGTCTTCTTCTTTCGATTGCGTTTCCTTTTAGCGTTTCCTTTTAGCGTTTCCTTCAGTACCTTTTATGCATCACTTTTATTTGGGGGACGATGGAGAATGGAGAGATGGCAGTTCAAAAGTTGCAAGTCGCACGCAAAGCAAATCGCACCAACTTTTGGCTCGACTCCATCGACTACACGTCACTCGGAAGAATCAATCGGAATCATCATCGCATCAATATTGAGAGAAAAAAGAAAGCAGTTCCGTTTCCTTTGACTTCCTTGACACCTAAAAAAAAGACCGCCGAAGGAATTCACAAATTTGCCCAGTGCATACTCATTTGTAACTACTTCTCTCTCTTACTATCCTACACAAAAGAACAATGAAGTTTCAAGCACCCCTCACTCTGTTCTTCGGAATCCTCGCCAGCGCTTCTGCTGAATTCGTCCGCAAGGTGGAAGAACCCACACAACTTCATGATGTCATGTTCCAATCTTGGGCCAACGAACACGAGAAGGAATACACTTCCGATTTCGAAAAGGAGCACCGCATGCGTGTCTGGATGCAAAATCACAGTGAGTAGCACTGGTTATTGTCATCGTTATATCTGTTGCTGTTGCCGTTGCCGTTGCCTTGTATGTATGGAGACCCACAATATTCCGCAGCCAATTGACCTGTCATCATCTTCTATGAATCGTGGCAAGTCGCCATGTTCTGATTCCGATACGTAGAAACTGTACCAGTTGTACGTGAAGCATATCTTTGTTTTTTTTCTCACGACGATTTTCTTTTTTTTCTTTTACCGCAACAGTCAAGATTGAACTCCACAACAACCAAGTTCCAGAACCAAAATTCAAGCTTGGACACAATGCCTTTTCGGATATGACTCAGGATGAATATGCTGCATTCAATAAGCTAGGAGCTCACGCTTCCAAGAATGGCAAGCTTTCCGCCGAACGAAAGATTAATCCTCAGGCCGAATCGGCAACCTTTCGTGCCTTGGAGGATTCCATGTTTGAATTGCCCAAGGAAGTTGACTGGACTGCTCTTGGAGGTGTGACCCCTGTTAAGAACCAAGGGTCTTGTGGTTCTTGCTGGGCATTCTCCACCACTGGTGCTTTGGAGGGTGCCAAGTTTGTCAAAACTGGAGAACTGGTTGCCTTGTCGGAACAAAACTTGCTGGATTGCGACCACAAGGATTTGGGATGCAACGGAGGATTGATGGACAATGCCTTCAAGTTTGATGAAAAGAGTGGTGGACTCTGCAGTGAAACCGACTACCCGTACAAGGCCAAGCAAGGAAAGAAGTGCATGACAAACTGTACCGATGTTCCAGGAACCATTGTCAGCACGTTCTATGACGTTCCGAAGGGAGATGTCAAGGCGCTCGAGGCTGCTGTTGCCATGCAACCCATTTCTGTTGCTATCCAAGCCGATCAATTTGTCTTTCAATTCTACAAGACTGGTGTCCTTACCGACGACAAGTGCGGAAAACAAGGAATGATTGACCACGGTGTCTTGGCCGTTGGATACGGAATTGATGAGAAAACTGAAGAGCCATACTGGTTGGTCAAGAACTCCTGGGGTGGCTCGTGGGGAGAGAAGGGATACATTCGCATGTCCAGAAATAGCAAGAACGACTACGGAATGTGTGCCATTTTGAAGGCTGCCTCGTTCCCTGAAGTCAAGGCATAAACAACGACACAAGAAAGTGCGTTTTGACCAAATACTGTAATCGGATCCCCCTTCGATACCTGCAATAAATTATAATGATACACAAACAGCTTTGTTTACATTATCTGATTTGAAAAGAGAAGCATGTTCAATACGATGCAATGATTGCGACGAGACAACAGTTGTATTATTTATGTCCAATACAATGAATTGTATTCAGTCTGATGGTGATGGGAGATGATAGGTTCATTACATGATCGAGATTGATCCAATGTCTGAATGTGTCGATGGACATTTTAAAAGAGCTAGTCCTAGGACCAGTACATCATTTTTTTTATTAAAATCTGCACAGCTTGAGCGAAAACTTCTTCCCACTTCTTGCCAAGCGAACTGAAGAACTTCTGCATGCAAAGAAGAGCATCCATACAATACGACCTTGTCTGTTTGTCGAACACCCAGTCGGTACCATGAAAGAGATAGATTCAGTCACAGCATCAGTCGCAACCTCTCTTAAAAGACATCCGTCACCCAGCGATCAAATGAAACTCCCATGGTTCAGAGGCCGAATAGAATGTCAAAGCTAGCTCAAAGAAGGCTCTCGGAGCTTACTATCAACAAGCTGAAGATGTATTCGGTAGGCCTGATTGGCAGAGAAAAAGAAACTGAATTGTTTCAAACACCTGATTTATTCAACAAGCCAATCATGCAACTGATGATGATGCAAATGCACAATCGAATAGCAAGGGCATGCAGACATCCAAAGGGAAGAAAGAGCTTGTCCTCATGAAGGGTTTTGCGGGTGCGGGCAAGACTTTCTTAGCCAGGGCTATCAAGAAGAAGGACGGAGTTCGACTACAAACGGATTCTTTGCCGAGGGCAAATTCGATTTGGATGACTCGAAAGATCAGCCATATTCAGTGGTCTCATTCAAGAATTGCGGAGAACTGATCGTGATATGCTGCTTAAGATTGGAAAGCAAGAAGTAGAGCCCCTGACATATATGATTCCGGAACTTGAGCTCGCTGTCATTTAGCAGTCGACATCGAGCTTCTGAGACAGCGACATGGATGAAATGCAAGATCGATGGAAGTTTAGCTTCCGCCTACACACGCAACTTCTATCAGCACAGGTGAAGCCTTTGGTACTTTTGATTGATGATTTGCAATGGGCGGATTAAGCTTCGCTAGATCTGATTGACTGCTGATCACCGACACTCATAATGCCAACCCATTGATGGTGATTGGATGTTATCGCTCAATGAAGTCGACCAAAAGATTGATCTTCTAAAGAAAATGAAGTCTCTCATAGACAGGACGTTGGACTTTGGTTTTGATATTTCAGAAATCGCTATGGAAAGCTTTGGGAATGATGAAGTAGATCAGATGGTCAGGAAGATGATGGACATCGACGATCAGGACAGTACAAGAGATCTTACTGAATTGTGCTTCCAGAGGACGCTAAGGGATTCCATTTTTGGGGGTTTAAGTCATGAGCATGCTCCAACGAGAGGATTTGATCATGTTTAACCTTGGCACTATGAAGTGGGCATACGACGTTCGCACCATCGCGGACACAACAGTATCGAGTGCCGATGTCGCGGAGTTACTGAAATTAAGAATGCAGAAAACGCCAGCAGCTGTCCGGTTGCTACTTCAGCTTGCGGCATGTCTTGGTCCCACATGGAGAGTCCCGATCGTTGCAACACTGTGGAAGAACCTAGCAATCGTACAGTCGAATGGTTTCGAACTTGTCGCAGTTTCAACTCTGGTGGAATATATTGAAAGATGAATATTGACAGAAGCATGGGAAGGAGACAAATACAGATGGGTACACGACAAAGTTCAAGAAGCCGCACTTGCATTGGTAGAAACGGATGAAACCACGATGAAGTTTCAAATGGGAAAGGTTATGCATCTCAATCTTCGAGGAAAGGAGCTTGACGATGAGATTTTTTATGTGGCAGATCTGGTTATCCGAGAAAAGGCAAGTCTTGACCGCCTCAAAGAGGCCATCCGGTACTACACCGATTGGGGTGTGCTCGGGGGTGGAGAGACTAAGAAAGTCAAGTCTAGTGGAGTAGAGACTCAAAATATCGCAAATAATACATTCGATTTGGCTTTGAGTTACAATAGTTGCATTTCTCGCCTTACAAGCCTCTCTGCCTTACAACACAATGATGGTGCAAGCAAAGGTCGCAAAGATGGGATCCATCAGAACATGGAGTATTTTGTGTTGGACTCAACAGACTCACTACTCCCACGTTCCAAACTTCTTTACGTTCATTCATATTGACAAATCGAAACCATACCGTAGCTGCATTTTTTACAGTCCACAAACAACCAAACTTATAATATTTGATAATCATCACAATCATGTCCGAAGCAAAGTATGAGCTCGTCGATGTCGAGATTGAGGAAGGTGGCCAAGACTACACGAATAACCATCATCAAACGTCTGCATCCACGACTACCAGTGGCTATCCAGGATTTCTTCGCAAGGGGGCAAGTCCTGCCCCTGGTCCTCCGGCTGGAACAGTCTTTGTCAAGACGGGAGGGAACGCGCTTCAAGCTATTGGTGCCTCCATTTTGGAGCAAGAGAGTGTAGTCCGAGTGATTGTTCCCGAGGGGAAAATGCCAGGTGATTCCATATTGGTCCAGTGTCCGCACATCCATGGACGGTATGTGCCGACCATTATTCCAGGCGATGCCAAACAGGGGACGGAATTTTTAGTACGAATACCACCACTGAATGAAGACCAAAATTTTTCCAACTCGGATATCGCTGCGGCTGGAGCGATGGTGGTGGGCAAAGTGACGGCGAAGAGTGCTTTGATTGCGGTTGGCGTTGCTTCGGGAGTCCTACTCTTGTAGTAAATCGACCTGCCCACAACTTTATTTGACCATGATTTTAAGTTCACTTGTATACCGGTATTGTATAATAAAACTTTAGTAAATAGTTGTTTAGATACTGACATGGTAACGAGATCCTTCGTACATCCTCTAAACGATGACCTCCAGAGCGGTGAAGAATTAAAATGCCAGGAGGCTGCAATGGCCAACGCATACTAGCATTTGTCGCTAATTACTATTAATAATGCATGTACATGAAAACTAGGATCTACCGTGCTTTCATCATAGACAATTTTAGTTTGCTGCTGCTAGTAATACTGCTACTGCCAGTCGGACTTGATACTTGGGCAATAGTACTTGACTGCAATACACTCCATACTCACAATCGACCTATGAAGAGAACGGAGCCTCTGAAGCTTAATCAATCGTATAGTACGACTCCTTCGACTCATATCTGACGTGTTTCGCAGCTTCTAAAAATCAACAACCAACTCACATGTCCTAGTCAGAATTCAATTTCGAACAAACACATTGACGACAGCAGCAGGCTTTGCAACTTGCCCATAGATCAAGTAAATAATGGAATTTCAGTCTACAATGTTGGTTATTTTCCTGGTAGTTTTTCTGGTGTCAAATGTGGAAGAAACCTCGGCACTTTCTTCCCAACGGATCGAGACGACTTCCACGACGTTTTCTTCAAGACTGTGTATGCAAGACGAGAAACTAGAATCGGACGGCCTTTCCATGAGACCAGGAGAAGCCACACAACGCCTCGGTGGAAATACTGGTCCAACAGTTTGGACTGAATTTGGTGGCCTAGCGCAAAAGTATGATCCTGTAAATTTGGGGCAAGGTTTTCCTGATTGGCTTCCTCCCAAGTTCGCTGTCGATTGTCTTGTGGAAGCTGTTCAAGATTCTGCCAAGTCGCCACATCAGTACACTAGACCAGCTGGGCACCCTAATTTAGTTCAGCAACTGGCAAGGCGATACTCAATACACATGAAACGGGATATTGAACCGATGAGCGAGGTGGCAGTTACAGTCGGGGCGAGTCAAGCGTTGTACATTAGTCTACAAACCCTTGTTGAGCCAGGTAAGATTGTAGTATTTCTCTTGCCGCAAACCTGATTCAAGGGTGACACAGCTAATGAACGGCTTTTCATAGGTGATGAAGTTGTTTTGTTCGAGCCATTCTTCGATTTGTATGTAAATCAAGTGAAGTTGGCTGGAGGAACCCCAGTATTTGTCCCCTTGAGATTTGTGCCGTACGATGATTCCGATGAGAACATTATCACTGGTGGAGAATGGAGATTAGAGAAGGAGGATTTGGTAAAGGTGGTTTCTCCCCGCACCAAAGCCATCATCTTAAACTCGCCACACAATCCTACTGGAAAGATATTCTCAAAGAGCGAGATGGAAACGATTGCAGAGTCTCTTGAACTTGCAGGGCCTCAATGCGTTGTCTTATCAGATGAGGTTTACAAATACATCGTACATGCTCCCCCGAAAGATTCAACTCTCGACGAGTCGCCATTGTGTCAAGGACATACCCATTTTGCATCCTTGCCTGGAATGTGGGATCGAACCATTACAATTTCTTCGGCTGGAAAGACTTTTTCTGCCACTGGTTGGCAAGTGGGATGGTGTATCGGGCCTCAAAGATTGATTGGTCCCATTCATACTCTTCTGCCCTATATTCAATTCTGTGCCTCCACAGTGATTCAAGAAGCTTTGGCAAGAACTCTTTCCCAAGCGGACCAGCCATACGAAGGTCACACTTCCTACTATGGCTACCTCAAATCCAAATACACTCGAAAACGTGATTTATTGGTCGAGGCGCTAACTGAAGTGGGCTTCGCGGTCCCAGACTATGACAAAACTCCAGGTGGAGGATTCTTCATTTTTGCTCGGGTCAGCAAGGCAATCGAAAAAGTGATTCCATCAAAGTACATGATGCAAAAGAACGATGCAGCTCCAGGTGGTATTGCAAGACAAGATTGGGCACTCTGTCAGTGGATGGCAGAAGAAATTGGTCTTCTTTGCATCCCCGCAAGTCCTTTCTTTTCGCTAGAGCAAGTGGAGGAAGGCGCAGCTGATCGATTTATTCGGGTCGCCTTCTGCAAGAATGATGAGACTATCGAGGCAGCAGCAGCAGCGCTGCGGAAAATCAAAACGCTAGAGGTCAATGCATCCGTTGTGTCGACACCAACTGTATAATATGGGACTTAATGGATGTCGAGAACGTGAAATATAATCATGTAAAAAACAAACGAAAATGACGATTCCTACATCAGGTAAAGCATCTCTGACTTTGAGTTTGATAGAGCTAGAACTGAATGAAGCCATCTCCAACTGGATCATCCGAAGCTTCGTCATCGTTGTGTCCCACCCTTGCTGCCTTAGCTATGGGCGTACCATCAATTTCGTCTCCGTTCATGTCAGCGTCAGAATTCTCGTCATCTTCCTTGGTAGTCGGTGGATTCAAGGCAGATGGTTTGCCCTTTTCATGCAAAAATACTGCACTGACATCAGATTCTCCCCATCTTCGAGCTTGCGCTCTGCGAATCACCATTTCGCAGGCTGCCCCTGTCGCGACTTTCGCTGTCTTGGCGTCGAAGTGCAAGACAGTTTGCAATAGATTTGTAATATCTCCAGGCATTCTAAATCCCATGGTACCGACGTCCGATTCTTCAAAAGTTCGATCTCCAGATCCAAATATAATGGTAGGTTTCATTCCTGCACAGCTACGCTGCAGTTCCCGACTTGTTTGGACCAAAGCTTTCCGTTGCTTGGTATGCAACAACGCAGGCACCAAGGGTATCTCCACTGCCATCCCGCGTTCTGTAACGGCTTTAATGTCGGCGGGACGAATCTTATAAGGCAACCGGGTGCCCCGAATGCTGTAGTCCAATGTGACAATGTCGGCAACGCTGGCAGTAGCACAAGCCGACTGAAAGACACCTTCGTTCCGTGGACAGACAGAGATCAGGTCGTATTCTTTCAGCAGTTCCTGACACAAGCCCTGATTCTTCATATACAGTCCCACGTCTGACAGATTTTCCAAAACGACATGAAGTCGTCGGTATATTCGAATCGGAGGATCTTTTGGTTTATTCTCATCGTCGTCAGTTCTTGACGTTTCCCACAACGACTTCGGCATGGCAGTATCGACCCGATCTTCTGGTTTGGGTCTTCCATAGATAGTATGCACCAGAGCCATTTGAGAAAATCCCGTCTCGGCCAATCGATTGATGATTTCTTTAATTTGCAACTGACGTTTGATGAGAGATCCAGATGTTGGCATCAATACCATCAAATCAGAAGCGCCTTGTCCAGAAGCGGAAGAATTTCCGCCAGCGTTTGTAACATCCCGAGCACCGCGACTTCCCCTTGGTCTTTTTCGTTTGGTCATATGTATATAGAGTCTTGGGTAAGGGTGTCAGCCTTGGCTTTATTGTCTCAATTCTGAAGGCGATGATTTCAGTTTTGGGTGTCGAGTTTTGGTGGTGAAAATTAGTCGCTTTAATCGAAAGCTGCATTCGGTCCGGTCCATGCACAGACTGAATTTCAAAATTTGCAAACGGTCTCAGATCATAGTCGAATGGACCATGGCACTTCGACGTCCCCCTACCCGTATTGAGCTCAAGGCAGATGATATTGAAGAATACGACCAGGTAAGTATGCTCGAAGTTTAAAAGGCGTTTTAAGAAGGAGATGTTTGGAGTGAAACGGAGGCCCATCATTATTGGTGTGTTCATGCATTCCCAATTGCATTGCTTTCATTCCGTCCTTTTGAAAGTGGAAGAATATTAAGAATTATGCGGTTTCATTTTTTCTTCTGGATCATCAATTGGTATTATTTATCCTTTTGTGTTCCATGTTAATGGCTCACTATTTGCATCACCATTCACCCGAACCAAAATAACAGCTGATGAAAGAAAGAGAACTGGCAATGCAAGATGATTCCAGTGATGCCCTTTCTGGTGGTCGGCATGGAGGAAACCGCCCACGTGGAGCCAAGCCTGGAACTTCTGCACAGAGAAAGCAGGTTGCAGCTGAGCGCATTGGGGCGACGGGGACCCATCGTCGGTAGGCCCACAGGCTGACTCACTCCATTCACTGGAGGGCAATGCCACCTTCTGAGACTGAGATCAGCCGGAGCAATTGAGAAGAATGAACCGTGGATCATGGGAATGTCATTTATGTCATTTAGTATATCGAAATTCGTATAAATACGCCCCAAAGAAATTCGGCATGGCGGTTACAACGCTGGATGATGACGAAATGAGTGGGTCTCATTGGTATGTATAGGTTCGAATTAGCAATAATTAGTACGATATAATTAGACCGTGAACTATCTGCTGTGTTATCCTCATATTATTATTACTGCTTCTGATAAAACGCTGCCCTTTCTAGTCCACAGTGGGAAAGCGAACATGGCTCCTTCTCGCTGGTGTCGGTTGCGGCATTCGTTCAACAATATTTTTCATCGTTCATTCGTTCGTTGAATGAAGAACCAATGTACATGTGGACTCTTTCGCATTATCAAATTCCTATCAGCTCATAAAGATTGGGGTGCCCGGTGCCCGATTACCAGCCACCATCTCTCTATGTGGGATGATTATTCAATCTTCCACGCAATATTACATCGGAATGCTACTTGCCAATCCCATCTAAAGATCGAGTCGGAATTCTGGACGGCTGAGATCAACAGTATCAGGTAAAGATTTGGAAACCTCTTCAAAAGTACCGACTCCTTGTATACCCATCGCCTGGCCCATCCAACCTGGTCCCAAGAAGAAATTCAGCGACAAAAGCAAGGCAATCAGAGCTCCTAAGAGATAAGTAAAGCCGTTGATGCCCAAGAGCTGATATTTTCATAGTTGTAGTTTCAACAAAAATTCACATGAGATTGCAACAGCAAAAAGGAAACATACAGTAGTCGAAAGATAAGAGAGGCAGAGTGTGAGACATAGGTGAACAAAATGCATTGGATCATTTGTCGACAATTCTTCTTATCCTCCACAAATACTCACCTCTTTCATCACCATCATTTCTGACGGTTTACCAGTTTCAATATCCTCAAACATGGCACCGTCAACGTCCTTAGCATTTGGAGCCAGTCTTATTATCTCGGGGGTGGTATCACCATCAAATTCTACCCCTTCTAACAGTCTTTCGATGGCATCTTCCTCCCGAGGTATCGCAAAGAGCCTTGTTGACTGCATCCGTGCCTTGGAAGGCGATAACGGTGATGTTAAAAGACAAACATTGTCCAAGGAACACGGATTTGACAATGTTGGAAACGGAGTTCTTGCAGCAGCAGAGCTTGTTTGAGTCAGAAATCCACATCGGAATCCGCGAACCAAAGGAATGACTGTCACCCAAGTCAAGAAAATTAAGGACTTCATTTTATTTTTTATTGGCTGCTGTTCTTGTGGATTTCGTTCGTTGTATTGGTGAGTGCTACAGGTACAACTTCTGTGGTCTGCTAATGTACAGTTCCTATGTTGATGGCTTCATGTCTATCATCGATCATCGATTCTTCTTCGATGTCGAATTTTGCATCCGTCCGTCGTCCGTCAGGTGCTTCCTCCACGTATTATCGTCGATCGTACAAAACCATCACATCATCAATATCCAAACGGCGTGTTTCCATCCGACAAGATTATTTCGGCAAGATCATAAAAGGCACCCTCTTTCACAGTCAGCATCTCGTCTGATATATACATACAAGAACACCCATATCCACACTTTTGTTACAGAAACAGAGCAAAAGATGAAATTTTCCACAGTCAACAAGATTCCATTGCTTCTGGCGTTATTGGTACAAATATGCATCCTTTCCAATCGAAATGGAGTGATGGGTCTACAAGCCGTCGAGTCTCCACCAGAGACATCCTCGGGAACTGAGGAAGGAACTACTGAGACTGCTGCTGAAACAGCTGCTACCGAAGCGACTCCTGAAGCCGAAAATGAAGCAACACCTGCCGAAGAAGAACCAGCTGCTGAAGAATCACGAGAAGTCGAACCCGTCCAGGAAGGCCCGCTCATTGACATCTTTGGTGAAAAGCTCTACTCCTTCGAATTTTTGGACGAAACCACTGGCCAGATCAATCCACATTACACCAACGAGGCCCTCGCTGGAAAGAAGGTAATTGGGCTATACTTTAGCGCCGACTGGTGTGGACCATGCCGACAGGTAAGCCCTTTTTCGTTGTTGATTGTCAATTTTCATCTACCTAGAGTCCCTCATAGTGGTCTACTCCCAGTTCACGCCTGAGTTGGCCTCCTTCTACGAACGCATGAACAAGAAACGAGGGAAGAAGGACCAGTTCGAAATTGTTTGGATTTCTCGGTGTCGGGATGGAAATTCGTATTCCCAATACTTTGCACAAATGCCATGGTTGGCACTTCCACCAGAAGAAGCTATGGGAGCTCGGGGACAACAACTGGGAGATAAGTACAAGGTTAAGAGTATCCCATCCTTGGTCTTGATTGATGATTTGGGAAATACCATTACTATTCAGGCCAGAGACAAGATTCCTCAAGATAAAGCAGGAGTTGGCTTCCCATGGCGTGATCCTATTTCGCAATTGATCCATACGCTTGTTCCAAGGAGCCTGCGCGCTTTGATCCGAACCCAAATTCAATCTTTGAAGCGTGGAGTTGTTGGAAAGCTAAAGGCTCTCGTTGGACTCGGACCAAAGGCAACGGCAACGGCAGCATAAGTCTATAGTGAGTTCAACCTAATCTATGGGCTCTTGTATATCTCTGTTTCGCTGGATAGTACATTGTAGACTGTAGGTCTAGCTATCATTTCCATTCATTCATTAAATTAACACGTCTAGGTTGCTGGTGCATCTTTCTACATCCTCATATCTCTATGATTGCGTTTCTTCTGTCCACAGTTAGCAACCTATCCCCCGAATGACGTGATGCCTAGCTCCTCGTATACTTGCCCAATCTTTTCATATTGATCAATGACTTCCAGCAATTCCTTTTTCCTCTCTTCCACTGAGATCCTGTCCACAAACAATGGATCCATTTGCGACGGCAGGATGACTTCAAATCGGTCGGCGTAAGATTCAATGAGATTTCTAGCCGACTCCATCTGTCTTGTGATACCTGCTTTGCTGGTGGTAATATAGCCAGTGACGTCGAGACTAGGGCCTGGTGAGTCCACTCCACCAATTCCATTTCCTTCTTCCCCAAGACGAGTATCTTCGACAGGGATCGTGAATCCCGATGCAACTAATTGGACTTCTGGAAAGACATAACTGACACTTCCATACGTCCGTCCAGGAGTGTACACTGCAAGAATTCGCTTGCCCTCTTCACGAGACCGAATGGCTTCTGGTGAATACAAGTCGTCTTCATCATCTGCAGCTTTGGTGACGTTCATACTGTCCTCAGGAGGTGATATTTTGCCCGCGAAAATATCTTGGGCAACATCAAAGTCCCACTCATCATAGGTCAATGGCTCTCCAGTCTCGATAAAGGGAGCCATGCCTTGGCATTCATCATCGGCATCTTCACCACTTTCCGTTTCATCAAATGCAAAGGGTCCATATCCATCCAATCTCTGAGTAACAAACTCTCTACAATCCCTTGCAATATCCATACGATAAGCAACGATTGGGGTATCTGGAAAGATCTTTGTCCACTGATGCAAGTCAGATTTACGAACCGAGTAGACACCGGGCGCCTCGTCGTAGTGAATGCAATCCTTACTCGTAATAAGTATCGCCGCAAGCTTCCCGTTGACTCCCATAAAAGTCTTCATTTCTTGTTCCAACTGCGGTGAATAAGGAGGAATATCCACCATTGCAAAGTCTTTTGTAATGCCGTCGTTGTCATCTTCTACAAGATTCCACTCCCCAGTTGTCGAATTCTTTTCAACAGCTTGCTTAGAAAGTCCAATCAAATATCTCACTGGTTCAATGCTCTTGCTCATGGTTGTAGTAGTCACAATCTGTGCTGCTTGGATACCGGGTTCCAAGCCTCGAATCTTCACTATCACGGAAGCAAATCCTTCTCGTTGCGTCTTCATCATTTCGTCCGAAATGGAAACCCCGGACGTCGGAATTGGGGCATCGGCTCCTCCCATGATGACATCTGGATCGTGATCTTCAATGTACAGCCTTTCTATATCTCCTTCTTCTTTCGGGGCAGAAGAGCCTCCGTCCCCTTGTGTTGTCGTACTCAAAGTATCCGTCAACCAATCCATGTTGGGAACTTCGCCGTCGTCGTTCCCACCAGATGGCGACGATGAGAGAACGAGGACGAATCGTCGATCTCCTCGTGGAAGGGATCGAACAGGGCCCGTTATTGAAAAGGCGATAACATTTGCAACGATTATTATTGAGAGGAAAAGGATAGTAACACTGCAATGGCATGACATTGTCGAGTCAATCTTTTGCAATAAGTTTTGAAATTCTGTTCTGGTTTATTTGGCCAAGAGATTGAAGTGATGGGTTGGATTAAGTTCGCACGAGGGGACGGACAGACCTGTTTGAAAATGGATGGCTTTGGATAATTTTCGCCCAATAATCCAACCACCCTTAGTATCTTGGGACCCCTCTTGTCAGGATGGCCGATTGGGAAGCTTTGTTTGCCCAGGCCTCCGACATTCCAACGTCAAACTCATCGTCCTCAAAAAATGGATCTACAAAAAGGCCAACCAATGGAGAAGCTGACAGCACTCCGAACGACGATCAGGGTGAGGGCCGACAAACGACAAAGAACAAGAAGAAATCCAGAAAGAAGCGCAAACTGCAACGAGCCTCTGGGAGTAATGGTTCCTCATCTAACCTTGCTTACCAGAGAATGCTAAACAGTCGTCTAGACCCCTCACCAGAACTCAATACACCTTGGTTTTCTTGGATGACACTTGAACAATCCTTCCTTAACGGAAACAGCATCAGCTATGATATGGAGCAACCAGATGGATCCTCGTCGATTGATTCCAAGATTCAGCCTTCCAAGTTGAAAGAGTCTCCCATAACTTATAGATTGACACTGGCCCAAGAACAACAGCATTCGCAACAAGAATCTTGGCATCTAAGGTTGTTTTGTCACAGTCGGAACCTGAGGTGTTGTGCCAAACTGCTTGCCCAATGGGATGCGGATGGAGACACGAGTTTAGGTGACTCCTCTACGGAGGATGACACAGGAAGAACAAATCGCGAAGGTACTGGCAAACAGCAGAAGCAAAGATTTCGGCAAAGGCAGCAACATCAGAAATCACTCTTTCGGAGTCTACAAAGTGAGGCGAACGAGATCCAGGACATGGTCCAATCCTTTCTGAAATATTTGCCCAGTGACGAGGCCAACTTGCTAATCTCCAAAGTATCCGATATGACGGGGCTGGTAGAGAAACTGTTACACCAGCGAAAGCGAGAACGGAAGCAGTCAGACTTAGGCGATACCAGGAAGAACAAGGACAACCATAGAGTGGTGGATATTTCTGTTGCAGCAGAACTACCATGGAGTTGGGAACCATGCATTCGTATCATCATGGCATGTGATGCTCTCTATTATCGACTTTACTACCAGCAGCTGGCAGGTATGATCCTTGATTCCAAACACGGAGGCGCGGACGAGGCATGGTACATTCCACACCCCCAATTCTATTTTGGGTTGGAAGGTCTCACCAAGCAATCCAAAGACTACTCCCGACGTGCAAAAGGAACTCGAGACAAAAGCAAATCGGTCCAACTTTTGCACAACGCTCAAGAACTGAAGGACTCTTCTCCAGAGCTCCAAACTCTGGTGGATCACTTGATGGTCGGGCAGCAGACTAAGTCGCAAGACCCAGCAAACCATGTTTTGGAGGCCATTCATCGCTATCGATTCAAAGAAACAATGTCGTTATTTCAGGATAGAAGCTGGGCATCCGCTGGAAGAACTCTATCTCAATGGAAAAAGTCCTTGTCTCTACCTGTATATCCGGACAGCAAGCATGAGACTCCAGCGCCTCAGCTGTTGATGGAGTGGAGAGATTCTTGTCGCGACTTTTTGTGCCATTTGTATGCCTATGCTACTGTTAGCTCCAAGGCAATACGGCAGTTGTTTCATTTGCTCGCCCAACTTCAAAAAGAAGAATCGATGGATCTGTCAAGGGGAATTGTGGAGATTGGTGCCGGTACAGGGTACCTTGCTGAGATACTACGGACACAAGGGATTGCAGTCGAGGCTTGGGACATTCAACCAACCGGCATCAGTACCACTAGTGGCAGTCGCAGTGGAATGAATGAATATCACGGCCATGTCCCTTCTTTTTGCGATGTCCGAAAGGGATCTACTTTTCCATCCACTAGTCATGCCAGCAAATCGGCGCTTTTGCTGTGCTATCCACCACCAGAGTCTCCAATGGCCTTCAATACACTCTCTGCCTATCGTAAGGCAGGAGGCAAGTGTCTAATACACATTGGGGAGTTCAAGGGACTTACTGGTGATTCCAAATTTGAAGGAGCTGTGCGGAAGGGAGACATGCATTGTGTCGCAAGATATCCTTGCCTGGGATGGGGGACTGATGCAGCCTACGTCACCGTTTGGATCATAAAAGGCTCTAAACCAAAGATGTTGACCTCTGCCTCAGTACTGTTGCCATGTTCCAACTTAAACTGCACCAAAGAATCAAAGCACAGGTTTCGCCCTTTGCGCCAAGCTGTGTATTGCAACCAGAACTGTTACGACCAACATATTCCTGTGAGAAAGTGTCTTCTCTCGCTATTCAACGTCCATGCAGATCCAAACCTTACTAGCATTTGCTTCTCAAAAGCATTTGCTCCGTTGTAAAAATAGATGCCTGATTGAAGAAGATGATGGTGTGATGGTGATTGAGGCCTCGACCGAATCGAAGGGAATACATCAACTTCAAGCAAAATCCTACGTTAGTACAGGATAAACTCTGGACCAATTTGTCCAAGGCTGGATTGAATCATAATATTACTAAACTATAATTTTAGGCAATCTTCTACATAGCATTCATGCCCGAGCGGTCTAAGGGGTTCGACTCAAGTTCGAATATATTCGTATGCGTGGGTTCAAATCCCACTGAATGCAATTTTTGGTACTTTTTGCTCCATTTTTTGTGTTTTTTACAACCGATCCAGAGTGACGTTTCGAACTCAAAACTGATATCTGATGTGACAATGAGTCATTACAACTGCCGACACAACCACTAGGCTCATTTTTTCGCCCCTGCGATCCCATATTCGAAATTGTAATGAACTGTTTTCAGACTGTTATCCTCGCCCTTGCTGTTTTTGGTCTCGCACATACCGTCGAGGCGTTTACGAGGATTTCTGCGCCTCTTGCAAGACCAACCACAACACTTGGCCCAGTTGCTCGGAATGGATTGGGATACGAAGAAATAGAGATTGGAACCGGAAGGAATGTCTTTCCTGGCGACGCAGTCCTGTGTTACTATGTTGGACAATATAAAACAGCAAACCTGTTGGGTGAGAAGACAGTAACTTTTGATGAAACCTTGCCAGGTGAACCTGCCGAGTTTATTGTTGGAAAAGGTCAGGTTATCCCCGGATTTGATATTGGTATCTGCGGCGATATGACTTTGGATATTCCTGCAATGAAGATTGGAGGCGACCGCAAGCTAGTAATCCCTTCTGCTCTTGCATATGGTGAAAGAGGTGCTGGAGACAGCATTCCACCAAACACAGATCTTGAGTTCCAAGTCTCCGTTCTCAGTGCTACTAGTAAAGAAGGTCTCAGCAAAGATGTTCTGCTCAAGGGGTTTGCCGGACTGGGTGGATTCCTAGTCTTTATGGCTGGATTTGGATACATATTGTTGCAGACTGTATTTCTGAAGCATTAGACATGATCGTAACTTTGCTAGTCCACATGTCGAACTGTTGTTGTTTTTCTCGAAAATAATCGATCATATGAAAATAAATAAAACTATGAAATGTCACTTGCAAACGATCAAATGGTACTGTACGGCTTTGGGTCTTTTTAATGCTTAATCCAGCAAATGTTCCTTCTAGTCCTAGTTGATCACGCCTTCAATGACTTCCTCAACAGTTTCGGTGATTGGTTGAAACAGAAATGGAGTTTCATCTACAACGGCCAAGTGAGTCTTGGCCTCTTCAAATACATATCCCAAGACGCCGACCATAGCAGTGCGCCCATGTTTGATTTCAGCAAGTTTCATACGATCTTGTCCTTCCTTGTCAATAGGATAAAGAGACACAGGATCAAAGCCCAAGTTTCCTGGAAAATAGCCTTCATCTCCGCGACGAGCCTTTTGCACTCCGTACATGTCAATGGCAGCACTCAATCCCAAACAGAAACCCCAAAATTCAACAGGAATCTTGTCCAAACCTTTGGTTGAAATTTATTTGTTGTCGTTTTTCATACAGAAAACCCAAACAGAGAAGACACGCACACATATCTTAGATCACAGAATTCCGATACATGATGCACCCCAGCAAAAGCACAATAAACAAAAACATACCTCCGTTCAAGACGCTTGGAACTCGATCTCCATCGTCTAGAGTTGTCGGCACACCAAAGAAATCAGCAATACTGCGGTCCATAACTTCCGACACAGGCCAACCTATCGCTGCCAGCATTGCCAAACGAGCGTGCTTAACCTCGGCTTCACGATATTCCCAAAGTTGTTCTTTATTCTTTGCTAACCCAAGAGGATCAAACCCGACATTTCCGGCCAAATCAGATTCCTGTAACACTCTCGAGCATCCAAGGAAGGGAATCGATTCTGACATTTTCTTGCCTTTTTGGGTTGGCAGGCGGTTGGGGTAGGAGTCATCCTCCTTCATCAATTCGGTACTGGTCATCGGTAGAGGGGTCGTTGTATTAGGCAAGTCGTCATTTTCCAATTCTGTACTAGCCATTGAAAGGGGACTGTTGGTGGTCAAAGATACCTTTCCGAAGGTGGATGACGTCGATATCGTTGATTGAAATCCCAACGCAGTGGGAAGTGTCATGAGCGCTGCCAAGTAGAAGGAATTCATACTGTATTTTGTTTCTTTGCTAGGTTCCTCTTTCAATTGAACACTCTTCAATGATGGGAAACAGTATTCACACGCACGTGTTATGAGAACACGGAGGTGGGATGATAATCATCGAACGCAATTTCAGAGTTTTGCCACGTCAGTCAATTGGAAATGACCCGGATATTTCCAAAGAGGATAGCATTGAAACTCATCATCCATCAACTGTATCTTTTGTTGGTTGACAAAAGATAGGAGACAAATGATGGGGGGGATACCCGTACCGTTCATCCAGTATTTGATCTTAACCGTGATAGTCGCCTATATTTTATGTGTTCAGAACTGCCAAGCTCTATCCAACGTCAACTCAAGAAGATTATGCGACATAAATCATCCGAATCCAATTGACGATAAAGATTCCAATCTGAATTTCCATGATCCAATTGTATCTAGGGGCTCCTTCTTTGCCATCACAGCAGCCTCTACGGCAACGGCAGTTGTTAGTACTCCCCTTATCGCAAAAGCTCTAACATCAGAAGCGGTCGGTACTGTATCAGAATCGACAATAGGCGACGAAGTAATCTCCTTCTCGTCGACTGCAACCAATATTGCTGCTGCAGCATCAAAAGGGTTATCTACCAGACAAAGTATTGCCGAATTTGTAGCCGGTGCCGCCTTGGGAGCAGTGAAAACGACTGTCAAATATCCTCTAGACTCTGCGACCGTACGGTTACAAATGCCCAATTCTGAGTATTCTGTCAAGGAGCTGGGCAAACTATTCAGTGGAAGTTATGATGGCATTACGCTTTCGTTACTCAGCAATATTCCAGCCGGGGCTATTTTCTTTGCTGCCAAAGATGCTGTAAAGACGTCACTGAAAAGTTCCACATCTTTCGAATCGTCCCCGAAATGGGTTACCACCTCAATAGGCGTCCTGGTGGCACTCTTGCCGTACTGGGTAGTGAGGAATCCTAGTGAAGTTATCAAGGTTCGACAGCAGGCAGGAATCGAAGGATATGGCGGGGAAGTGAATGCTTTGGAGGCGATTCAACGAACTCTGCAAAACAGCACATCCCCTGACGGGAACGGGATATCAGAATTGTACACTGGGTACTTTGAAAACTATGCGTATTCCTGCCCTGCCGATATCATCAAATTTGTAGGCTATGAGGCAATAACACAAGGGAGAAAGAATCTCTCACCGATAGAAGGCGCAGGGGCGGGTGCCTTGGCCACTGCATGTACGACCATGAGAGCACGACAGCTTCTTTGCTTATTATTGTACTTTTCGGCAGCTCAACCCTCGTTTTTTGTTGTTCTCAACGCGTCAGGTGCTCAACTGGTGACGACACCATTAGATGTAGTACGAAACAGATTGATGGCCGGAAAGAATAAAACAAACAAAACATCATCGTCCGATATAGACCAGGATACGGGGAACTACTTGGACGCACTGACGACACTTGCTAGGGAAGAGGGCATCAGCGGTTTGTTTGCTGGAGCAGCCCCAAGGGTTGGGAAGGCTATTTTGAGTGGTGCGATACAGTTCGCAACGTATGAAGAAACAAAGCAGACCATCTCGAAGATGCTTCAAAGATAATGGAGTCCACCTCACCATTCATTCTGGTATCTTTACGAGCCGGCAACTGAAGACTACCGGCTTATCGAACATCCGTGTGTTTAAAGAAGTCATCCGTACCTACAGTACAGGTACCAGGCACCAAGTAAAGAGCACGTGCATACTGTATCGCACACGCCAAACAATTCCGTATGCAATGCACGTTATCTCCTGTTTCGTTAGAAGTATTCGAATGGATCGACCAAGGTAGAAGGTTGTTCGTATCGTACGTAACTATGTAACTATGCTCTGCATGCTGACTCATTCATTCATGCATTAGTCTCTTGGCTTACCAGGTACCATATGCACGACACTGTCAAATTCTCTCGTTCACTTTATTATTTCACCTAATATCGCTATTTTTGTCTGATAATAGTCCCGCCTTCCATCTCCAATTTTGTCGCATTGCTTCTAAAAAGTTTTTACTATCTCGAGTTGATGGTATAGAATCTGAATATTCCGGACTGATGGTCTTCAAATAGCTGATAAGTGATCTCACCACTGTTCTTGTTTATTGCTGTGTTCAATATTCACTTTTGACTTTTGACTTGCTCGGATTCAATGCAATATATAAAACCAACAGCTGAATCAATCGATCGACCAGAAGAATATTGGGGGGGGAACTGGATACAGTAAGTGTGCATCAAGTGTGCGGTAAATTCAGTTTCGTTATCAAAAACAATGGATTTTAAAAAAAATCTCAAATCAATACGTCGTCCTAGTCGAACATGGAGGTCATCCATTGCCTTAAACAATGGTATCATTTATTCTCCGCTTTTCGCGGGTTCAACAAGTTTTTATCTATTTTTTAAAAAGTGTCGGAGGATTTTTCATGAGCAATGTTGAAACCACCATCTCGTACAGTTTCCGAATTTGACCACAAACCAAACACCAGCGAAAAAATGAACACAACAGACAACCCATACTCCATCTTGGGTGTCTCCCAAGATGCAGACGATGGCACAATAAAAAAAGCTTATCGACAAGCTGCAAAGTTGCATCATCCAGACAAGCAAACCAGTGAGGAAGATCGCAAACTTGCGACACATAGGTTTGCAAAGATTGCTGATGCTTACGCCCTGTTGAATGACCCTGTCAGACGTTATGACTGGAGGCAAGCCAATGAAAACACAAGTCGCGCTTCAACATCTCAAAGATCATCAGTGCCAAAACCAACATCAGTGCCAAAAACGACCTCACCTTCCTCTCAAAGGCAAGCCAATAAAAACACAAGTCGCGCTTCAGCGCCTCAAAGATCACAAGAACCAAAACGAAACTCAATGTCAAAAACGTCCACACCTTCTCCCCAGGTCAAGAGAAGTGGATCATTTCTAAAGCTTCCACGGCACACTTCTGCTTCAACTTCTCCCCAGGTCAAGAGAAGCTCATCCTTTCAAAGTATTCCACCACGACACAGCTCTCGCTCATCTTTCCCCAAGCTCAAGCGAAATTCATCGTTTCAAAGTATTCCACGACACAGCTCTCACTCATCTGCATCTGATGGTTCATCTGCATCTGCTTCATCTGCGTATTCTCGACCATCTGTATATTCTGGATCTACCGCAAGCTCTTCAACAACAGGAAGAAGAAAGTCCAGAGTAAGTGCTACTGAGTTCACCACCTCTCCTTCCATGCAACCAAGCAAAGGACGAAGAGCACCGACCAATCTTCCTCAACGAGAGACTTCTCAAAAATCGATCCCAAGACGTACCACAAGTGCTGGATCAGACATGGGCAGAATGAGAACGAGTGTCAATGAACCGGCCATTCGTCCTCCTGCGAAGCCAAAGCGAGCATCATCCAACGTAGGTCGCAATATTTCACCGGTCCGCTCTAGTAGTATGGCAAGCAAGAAGTCAAATGCTCCATCTAATGAAAAAGGAAGAAAGAAAAGCAGAGCTCCACTCGGCGAAACTGGAGCTACCCCAATAAACAAGGGACGCCGACTTCGTCGAGCAATATAGGCTGAGGCAAATCAATTGGTTTTGGTTTCTGGAAACACGGCTTCGTGACAGTGCGCAACTTTGTACAAAAGACTGCTGTACAGCCCCATCACCACTTTTGACGAAACAAATCCTTGTTATGTACACTTTACAGCTTTCTTAGTTCTTTGGCGACTCAAGTGTGACGAAAAAAACTGATCATAGGGAATAGAAACTGGAAAGGCAACACATGATGGCTCATATGACTACAATACGATTGCTGTTGCTCCTCCTCTCAACGGAGATGATCGGGACAATAGTATAGTACGTGGCCGATAAGAATGATGAATCGGAATGAGAAACGAACACATTTTTGCTTCTTGCTGAATATAACCCGGCAGCTTGTAATCAGCATGAAAGGTTCGTTTGACTCATAATGATTTTAGATGCTCCCTTCCAGTCCCACTTTAATCCTACCAAGAGTATAGATCCTACTATCTTCGCTACGGTGCCTAAGAAAGATCCTAGGTTGCGTTGGCAGGTGGTGGCATTTTGTGACCGGACTAACTTTTTTGCAAAGACATCATTTGCCTCACCGCTGGCATCGCCACTCGGTTTCGATTCCTAAATATTTTAAAACATTCCACTGAGATCTTTAAGTGTGAACGAACACAAGAAAGGCGGTAAAAACTCCGTTCCCACATGGAAGGAAAGTCCGTGTAACGCTAATTTTCCTAATAGAAATTGGCCCGACACGAATAAAAATGCAAATTGCAGCTACTTTGAGGTCATTGATAAAGCAGAACCTCAAAACAGAGAAAGAAAATGGATAAGGACGACAATCCTTACGAAATTTTGGGTGTCACTGCTGGTGCCACTGAAGATGAAATCAAGAAGGCTTACCGTATGCTTGCCAGAACGCATCACCCAGATAAACAAAAGACAGATGAACAGCGAGAAGCTGCTTCTGCCATATTCACCAGAATTGCTGATGCCTATGACTTACTTCAAGACCCCGTCAGACGGTACGACTGGAGAATGAAGAATGAGTCGTCGCAGCCTAGATCAGTATCGACATCTACATCTACATCTACATCGACTGCGACTGCGACAAGAAGTGCCACTCAATCAACAACATCGCGGGCAACAAGATCGCCAGTAAAGTCACACACTCCTGCAACATTGCAGCCGAGAGCCTCAGCGAGATCATCAGCAAGACCGCAGACAAGCGCATCGTCGGTAAGATCACATAATCCCCCGCCAGCTACATCTACAATGCCCCCCGTGCCACGGAGAACACCACGATCAGCCGCCGCCTCTGCCGCATCTCCAGTTGGAAGTAGAGCTGACTCAGCAGGTCCAAGAGGAAGGAGAGTTAGTGCTGCAATCCCCAGGCGTGCCATGGCGGGTACTTCACCAGCACGAGCAAAATCACCTGCTCGTCCCCAACCAGGAAGGACACAGAACATAGATTCCTCCTCTCGTGGCGGAAGTCGCACACGACAACCAATAAAGCGTCCGTCTATGGAATCTATGGACGACCGGTCTGTGCAATCCTCCATGTCATCGAGAAGGGTACCCAGACAGCCGAAATCCGGACGAAGCTTGGACTGCAACTCCGACCACGGGGGCGGCCGAAGAGTTCCAAGACGAACTCCCCGATCGGATGACGCATCTGTCAATTCCAGAACTCGACGACCGTCGTCAAAGGAAAGTGTAAACTCAATGACTAGGATGAAACCCAGCAGATCATCTGTTTCTATGGGGACTTCGATGAAAAATAGCAGATCTGAACCAGTTCTCCGTAAAACGCCGGTAAGTTCTAGCAGAGCGAGTCTGTTTGGCGGATTGGGCGGAATGAGTCTTCGTGGTTCTACTGCCGATAGCGGTATGCGAAATGCCACTTTCGAATCCTCTTCGAGTTCTAAAAGCAAAACGTCAAGGCGGCGATAGCAATGTCCTTGTTGAATCCCGTGTCGTGTCAGGGGTATGGGCTTGAAAATACATATTCTGCTTCATTCATTCGGTGGTTGCAGGAAAAAATTGTACTTCTAATTCATGTACCTAAAGATAATTTTACTGTGTTACTAAGAAAGACTTCCCATTTGCCAATTGATTTAAGGTTTACAATTAAAGATGTAATGGAGAATGTTAGGAGCACGAATGTTTCACGATGAATAGCTCTGCAGCTGAACTCCGTCAAGTCCCGAAGAGGCATCAGATGATATCTTTGTGATTTGAAAGCTGACGAACTTCATGCTGACAAAGAGCAATCCTTGCTTGGTCTCAAGAGCGTTACTGTACTGTGCCATGTGCCAGCATAAAACACACCAGTTAAAATGTAATTGAAGAAAGCCGGGATTGGGTTCAAATTCGGATGCCAAGTATTCGCCTTGAAAAAAGATTGCGGATGGGCAATACATCGGTTATGTAGTAGGTCAAATAATGATGTGAATAGAAACAGCGATGAGATACATGGAACCATTTTCTCCGGTTTTGAACCAAGAGTGACAGACTTCAACAATACCGGTACAATGTACAATACTGTACCGGTACCGGTAGTCTTCAACCCTATCATTCGAGTTGCTCGGGAGCGGAGGAGGATACCATTTTTACTGTAGTAGTCGCAGATGCACAGGGGAAGGCAAAAGCAGTTCAGCACCATACTATAGGAATGTTCATGTATGTGATCAACTAACTGTATTAGCATGAGGCACCATACACATGGCCAATGGGTAAATCAGTCAATTATGGTGGTCGAAAAGTAACCTAGCGGCAAGAGTAATAAATGACCAGATTTATAGAATAGTTTATGGGCAACAAACTGGGGCAGCCTTTCCTCCTTTTTCTCAAGTGCTAGGTTCATGATTTCAAAAATTCGCGGAAATGGGCAAAACTCCTCTTACATTTGATTTCAGATTGATGTCACGAGCATTTGACATCATTTCGTGTATTTTCACACTAATTAGGTGCACTCGCTCACTGCTTTTTGCGTCTCTTCTTGCATCCATTGCGGAGAACGTTTATTACACCGGAAATCATTCATCAATATCGCGTTCGCCATGATCACTGCGATCGTTATCCATCGCTTGGTTTGCACTATGCATCAAAGCGATTAGATGGTCGCCAGTATGCAGCAAGATTTCGTTGGCACGACCCGAGTAGTCAAACAAACACTCTTCTCTCCTTGTCACACTCTTCGTGGAAGTGCTCGATGATGAAATCGATCATGTGAACAACATCTTTCAAGGGGTCTTGAAAAGTAAAATGTGCACTTGGCAATTGGTTTCTGGTGTTGATGCTAGAAGGCAGCTGAGAGGAAACAAGAGACCGATTGTCCATGATGTCGCTCCTCCTTGCAGGGCTGATGACAGCAATATTCGTTTCACCTCCACGCTCGTCCATCTTATGGAGCGCGTGTTTGTAGGTGCAAGTTCGAAAGTGTTTGTAATCTTGTTTGTGACGTTGTGTTCGAGCGTGTATCGAGAAAGACAGGTCACTCCCATCAATATCATCCAACTGATGAACCCAAATGAATGCGCCACTGGGCTACAAAGTCATTTTGGCTTCCTTTTAGACTGTACCTAGCAGACAACTGTCTCAATGTTTATCTTGTAGACCGAGGCTTAAATGTGTAGGGACGAGCCTATTCAAGCGTCTGTAAATCCGGTAATCGAATTCTTGCCTTGCGGACGTACACGTATTCCACAAGAAGACGAATCGGCACCACATCAGCCCACCAGGTACGCGTGGCACCTGGGTCATTTTTGCCAAATGAGTACAAAACTGTCGAAGTCGCGTTAATTTAATGCTTCTGTAGAAACTCGTCCTATATCATAATTGCGTCGGAGAGTTTGTCTTGAAAATGGGTCGTTCTCGGCGTCACCCACCCCCCCAGTGTCGTATGTAAAAATGTACTGAAAACTATATTTTCTTAAAACTATAAGCCAGCAAACAGACAGACCGCCCCCCTATTATTTGGGAGACGAAATTGAAAAATTAATCGATGGAGCGTGCAGCCGTTAACGACCAGTTGCATTCAAATTTGCCCTCCTGTCTTAGCATTTTCAATTTCGTTCTCAACACAACAGAACAAATGCTGGATTCTCAGGAACCCTTGTCAACGTCCTCAAACAATCCAGCTCCACTAGCCTCTGCGACAGGTAACAGTAGTCTTTGCTCTCTGTCACATTGTAGGCTCAATCCTTCCAGATACTCCAAAATCCACTCCCAGAGGCGACTATGTAAGACTTTCGTACATCTTCATCAGCGGAGGCTGTAGATCCTCGTCCCAAATCAATTCCATCATTTCTGCATGTGTTGTAAATGTAGGGACTTGATGTTGTTGATGGTTTTCAAATGTCGTAGATCTTGATTGTTCGTTGTGTAAGAAGTGTAGTGTTTTGGACTGCCGCGTTTTGGACTGCCGCATCTCACACAAAGGGGCAGGCAGAGGGAGAAGAAGTGATCACTGCATCATGTTTCCAATCAATTGAATGGTATGTTGGAAAAAACAGATTGGCTTCAAAACTGAAGTTGTAAATGAGATCTGTGGCTGTTTTTCCAACAATCGGTACCTGGTTCCCGCCGTTTTTTGAATTTCCCTCCCATTTTTCCCTCCCATTTTTCCCTCCCATTTTTCCCTCCACCCGCCTTATTCCGCGGACTATTTCGCAAACGTTGCCACGTGCGTGCCGTATACCTGTGCCGGTAGTATAATTCCGATGTTATTCGGAATAAACTAGATTTTATACAAATAAAAATAGTTTTAAAAGAAAGGCATAAAGAAAAGGTTGGATTGCGACTCCCCAATTGTTCGACATTTTGTTTTAGGTAGTGTCAATCTATTATTCTACTTCTTGATCTTCTCATGGTAATCTTCAATATCCCATTGCCCCACAAGTTGTGCTTTTGCAGGTCGTCCAACATTGGTACAGTATTTCCTTTCATATCTCTTGCCCGTCCCTCAACCAATTTTACGAAAACTACATTTTTATACAATATAAATCGTATTTATTCAAATAAAAAACATCTGTTGTACCCCCTTGGTTTGAGCGTGCATGTGCATGTCTTAGGCTATATAAATCGAAAGACATCCATCAAGACGCTCGACGCTAGGGAAGTTTTCTCCAAGGTATTCAAAACAGCAAAAAAGACGTTAAAATACCGTTCTCAAAATACTCTCACATGATACATTTTGGTTAAGTAATACGTGAAAACCGTTTGCAAAATACCCCTACTTTTCCAAGACATGCTTACCTGAAAACATCTTTACATTGACATGTTTTGACATGTTTGCTGTAACAAAGTCATAAGAAAAATCACCTCTTCACCTCCATCATTTAACCAAAACGACTTGATATAATGAAGAATGCAAGCAGTGCTTGACAGTAATGATGTCCCCTCGCTGCAAATGATGCCAAGAATAAATCAGGCTGTTTACAGCATAAAACGGATGTTATTCACAAAACTTGAGTACTTATTCAAATCAACATATAAATCGAACGGTTTGGAACAAAAGACGTTGGTAACGGTCAGACATGATTCAAGACGGTCGACACTAGTGAAGTATGCGAAAAAAGCCTGGGGTCGCACGTGCAATAAGAGGCTCAACACTGTGAAGTGTGCTACCGATGCCGGAAATCAGCCGTTGAAAAATTGTTTGAACAAATAAAAAATTCGCAAGAAAAGGCGTCCGATCCTGCATGGTTTTGAGAAAAAGACGTTGGTAACGGTCAGACATGAATCAAGACGGTCGACACTAGTGAAGTTTGCGAAAAAAGCCTGGGGTCGCACGTGCTCAACACTGTGAAGTGTGCTACCGATGCCGGAAATCAGCCGTTGAAAAATTGTTTGAAAAAATAAAAAATTCGCAAGAAAAGGCGTCCGATCCTGCATGGTTTTGAGAAAAAGACGTTGGTAACGGTCAGACATGAATCAAGACGGTCGACACTAGTGAAGTTTGCGAAAAAGGCTGGGGTCGCACGTGCAATAAGAGGCTCAACACTTGTCCATGTCTGTCATCTGGAGAGGGAACTTAGATTGATGTTTCATGGACGGTATAGAATGTATAATAATTGATATTATGGCGTTCAGTGTCAACACAAGTCTTCTTGGTGTGCAGTGTATTTTCAAAAAACATAGACTATAATAAATAATTATTTGTGAAATGCTGCTTTGCTCTTCATGATTATATCCATAGTCGATTGATGGAGAATTGATCATGGCGCTTGTGTTGGTCTGCTGGTAGCATGTCAACGTCGACACTGAAAACTTGATACTTTGAACTATGAGACTGTCCACGTAGGCTTTGTTCTGTTGCGCCAATTTCAAGGCTGAAATACGAATGTGGTTGTACCGGTATGGTTTTGGACCTTGGTGGAGATGCTAGATAGAGGAATTGCACACTTGTGGCACAGTTCTCGGCTCTGTCCCCATTTGGCACAGCAATGTATTGCCTGAATGACTGGTGCTCAAACAAGAGCATATGAATACTGCGCCTTTGTCTTTGGACAACAGAACATCAACACTGCTGTTTGAGCATCGTTTGAAAGCTGCTTGATGGATGAGCTGGCGTTTGATTAGGCAATGGGTACATGTTGCGGAAACCGTGTGGGATCTTGTCCTGTTGAGTTGTTACAATTGTAAGAAGTCAGAATGGATGGGGTTCGTACAGCAACTATGACTGACAAAAGGAGGATCACCGTACCTTATCCTTGGAATGGAAGTAAATGGACAATGACATGACTATTAATTTTGTTTACAAGGTCGATAGAATCTGGTACAATGCGTTCTTTAGTTTTTGACGCATCAGAATGATCGACTGTAACTGGGAAGCATTCATTGGGAAGATCATGTAGTGTAGGCGCTCCATTGTCATTGCGGAGGGAGGCTGCAGAAAAGTGAGGATGGGTAGAAAGGGCGCTAAACTAAAACGAGGCGGGCTGGCCAAAGCTGGTCGGCACTGGCCAAGATCCAACGCCAGCCGGTTTTGAAGTGGGGGATTTTGGGAGGTAGATTGGGGTGAGTGTCAAGCATCCGGGTTGCGGGGTGGGTGACGCGGAGCGTCTCCCTATTCGCCAATTTCAACATTCGATCAGAACAACTGCGAAGGCTGGGTTGTGGTAACGAAAAAACGGGTTTGGAATCAGGCATAATAGTTGGATTCGAGGGATTACAAAGCTTGCTTCGCTACCTCTTAGGAACATCATGGACTCCGGGGAAATGAAGACCTGTCCTTTATATGTTTCAGGCGATTTTTGGAGGCATATTTCGGGAAAAAGTGAAGTTTCTACCTCCATTGGCGCACATTGAAATGCAGGCGAAGGGTGTAGAAAAGTGTGTTACACCAGCTTCTTTCCAGTCACAGACTGTAAATATTTGCAGCTTCATTCGCACAATCAGCACAGCCATAAAATCATCATGGAAAAATCTGACAATCCATATAGAATCCTCGGCTTGACTGAGGATGCCGATGAGCCTACTATCAAGAAGGCATACTTCAAACTTGCCAGGAAGTGCCACCCAGATAAGCAAACTTTTGATGCGGATCGTCAAGTTGCGACCGAGGAGTTTGCCAAGATTGCTGATGCATACGACTTGCTACAGGATCCCGTCAGACGCTATGACTGGAGACAAGCTAACCAAGGTGGAACTCGTACATCATCACCTTCAGCTGGAAGGAAACAGCGACCAGTGCGATCTTTGTCGTCAGGTCGCAAGGGTTCGGGTCCAAAAAGAGCCAGCAGCTTGAATCAGTTTTCAAGTCCATCAATACCACTTGCGAAGAAAGCATCTGTGCAAGCAAACAGCGTGAGAGTCTCACCAGTTTCAGTCACGCAATCTTCCATAAGGGTTCCAACCGTCAGATCAACCACATCCCCCGTATCACAAGGACGTAATTCTGGTGGAAGATCTCCAGTTCGCAATTCTGGTAGATCACCACCGACAAGAGCATCAACCATAGTGCCTGGTAGAAATGCCGCCCGAAAACCACTTCTCGACAACGATTCTAGAGGCAGGGCCCCAGTAGGCCGCATGTCGACCTGCACTGCCAACAACACGCAATCCATGAATAGAGCTTCTCCAGCGCCAGGCAGAAAAAAGACTCGAACAAGCAGCGTTGGGCGCAAGCCCAGCAAACAACCAAAGAACAACTTGGACACTCGCTCAGAGCACGGTCCACGCAAACCGGTTGGTGAAAGGCGGCGGAGACTGAAGAAGACAGGTAGTTACCGCTCTGTGGACACTACTGGAGCATCCACTTTTGATTCAGCTCGCAGCAGGAAACAATAGATAGCCCAAGCCGTGTGGGTTTTGACTGATGGGGAAGGGAAATTTGGTAGATTTTGAGCTTTTTATGTAAATTGTAACCATTGTTTTTTCGTTCCAAACCAAACATTTCTACGAAGAGAAAGTTGAGTCCATCATTTAAATTTTTTTAATTTTTTAAACGCCAGTGTGTAGGTAGGATATAGTATCATGATAGCGAAATATATATTGAATATATTGTGTAATATGTATGATATGCCGTATGTGACTGTTGGAGCACATTTTGGGAAAAAGTGAGTTTCTTACTTCCATTGGCGCGTTGAAACACTTCGGTGACGGGTTCAAAAAAGTGTGTTCTTACGTCAATCTAAGCACAACCATAAAATCATCATGGAAAAATCAGACAATCCATATAGAATCCTCGGCTTGACTGAGGATGCCGATGAGGCTACTATCAAGAAGGCATACTTCAAACTTGCCAGGAAGTGCCACCCAGATAAGCAAACTTGTGATGCGGATCATCGTCAAGCTGCGACCGAGGAGTTTGCCAAGATTGCTGATGCATACGACTTGCTACAGGATCCCGTCAGACGCTATGACTGGAGACAAGCTAACCAAGGTGGAACTCGTACATCATCACCTTCAGCTGGAAGGAAACAGCGACCAGTGCGATCTTTGTCGTCAGGTCGCAAGGGTTCGGGTCCAAAAAGAGCCAGCAGCTTGAATCAGTTTTCAAGTCCATCAATACCACTTGCGAAGAAAGCATCTGTGCAAGCAAACAGCGTGAGAGTCTCACCAGTTTCAGTCACGCAATCTTCCATAAGGGTTCCAACCGTCAGATCAACCACATCCCCCGTATCACAAGGACGTAATTCTGGTGGAAGATCTCCAGTTCGCAATTCTGGTAGATCACCACCGACAAGAGCATCAACCATAGTGCCTGGTAGAAATGCCGCCCGAAAACCACTTCTCGACAACGATTCTAGAGGCAGGGCCCCAGTAGGCCGCATGTCGACCTGCACTGCCAACAACACGCAATCCATGAATAGAGCTTCTCCAGCGCCAGGCAGAAAAAAGACTCGAACAAGCAGCGTTGGGCGCAAGCCCAGCAAACAACCAAAGAACAACTTGGACACTCGCTCAGAGCACGGTCCACGCAAACCGGTTGGTGAAAGGCGGCGGAGACTGAAGAAGACAGGTAGTTACCGCTCTGTGGACACTACTGGAGCATCCACTTTTGATTCAGCTCGCAGCAGGAAACATTAGATGACCCATGTCGTGTGGGTTTTGACTGATGGGGAAGGGAAATTTGGTAGATTTTGAGCTTTTTATGTCAATTGTAGAATTAGATTTTTGTTTTCTATGATATATATATATATATTGAACATGTCCTTTCATTCCAACCAAGACGGCCTAATAATCCCTCACTAATTGCCTCAATAGAAATAATGCTTCGATCTTTGATCCATTTCTCACAATTTTATGATTCATTCGACCGTAAAAACATCAGTCAGCAGATGACATGATTGATTGATACGGCAAAAGTATTTTATTACATTAATTCATTCAACAAGGCTGTGCGGTAGCTCTTAAAATGAAGCTCTCGACATTGCTGATTGCTTACGTCGCTCTTCCGGCGACTGCATTTGTCTCTTCCCGACCTCGACTGCACAAAACTACTCTGAATCCGCAGAGGCGGCGTCCTCATGATGGGAACGCCTTCGATCCAATCCCCGCCTCTTCACTATCCAAACGACGACTCTCGACTTCTTCTATTGTGGAAACGGCTTCGTTTATTGGCAACTCCTTGCTGAATAGCACTGGTCATGTTCCTTTCAGCCAAGCATTGACGCTGAATGTCTTCCTCTTTACCACATTGAGATCCAAATTGCTGAAGGTGCTGACGCCACAAGGAATGCTGCATGCTTGCGCCCTTGGAAGCGGCCTGTGGGCCACGTTAGGATGGAAAGGCTGGACTCTTTGTGTTGCCTACTTATTTTTTGGGTCAGCTGTCACCAAGGTTAAGTTTGCAGAAAAAGAACAACGTGGGATCGCCGAGGGGCGTGGGGGCAGAAGAGGGCCTGAAAACGTTTGGTGAGACAACAATGCATTTGATTTTTGGCATTCCTTGCGGTTGAATGTTGTGGCTTATCACATTTTTGTTTTCAATTGGGTAGGGGGTCGGCTGCCACTGGGCTTATGTGCGCCATCTGTGCTGCTCAAGGTGATTCCTTCCTTGGTATTTCATCAGACCTCTTCATTCTTGGCTTTGTTGCATCACTAGCGACAAAACTTTCTGATACATTTGCTAGCGAGATTGGAAAGGCCTATGGCAAGACAACATTCTTGATTACGACGTTGGAAAGGGTGGAACCTGGAACTGAAGGTACGAACCTCGGAGATTCTCTTTTTAAGATGTATTGAAACTCACCCGTGTCTTCAATCCAGGTGCGATATCGGCAGAGGGGACAGCAGCATCTGTTGTCGGTGGATTGCTGGTTTCCCTGTATGGGTGGTCGATCGGCTTGATAAATATCGAGGCAATTCCAATTTCGGTGTTTGCGGCATTCGCTGCGACAAACGTTGAGAGTGTGCTGGGAGCGACATTGCAAGGAAAGAAGAATCTCGAATGGATCACAAATGAAGTGGTTAACTTCATCAATACTTTGGTTGGTGGTGTAATAGCGATTGCCATTGGAGGAACCTTCCTTTCAATTTGAGCGTAACACGCACTTATAAAGCTAGGAACTTTCTAATTGGTCGATTATCTGCAGCGTGATCGAATGAAATTCCGGTTGCAACCAAAGCAAAACTACAGTAGCAATCAATAATGCCGTACGATTCTATGACTTTCTGCGTCGTTTGTTGGATCGACTGCCGGGAGTATTTGTTTCTTCTTTCAGCGTCTTCGATTTGTTCAGAGTGTAATCCTTCATGCCCTCGTTGGAAGCACACACTCTCGCAGCAACCCAGAGAACCCGAGCTACCCGAGCAGTAGTCCAGCCATTTAGTTCGTTGGCAAGTTGGGTGCACGCTTTCGCCACTTCCAGGTATACAGGAAGTGTGTACGTCCTCCGAGGAAGAAACGTATCGATGCATTCGTCATACATGTAGGGGAAGACATCTGGTCGAATCATGGAAACGATGGCACTTGCTGTTGCAGGTCCAACACCACTCAATTCTGTGAGATGATTTATGCAGCACTTGATGTCGTCGTCACTCCAAGCATCACTCGCCTCAATGCTTCGAGCATGAGCAATCGCATTTTCCGAGCACTGTTTGACAAACTTGTCTGTATTGGAATTTAAATGTTTCATTAGGGCAGGACGTTTCTTGCCAACCGAAAACTTCCATCTAACAATAGCCATGAGTTCTTCTTTGGAAATACAATCCTTGGAAGAGTCGGCTGAAAACTTGGCTTTCAGGTTGTCGTACTCTTTGTTGCAATCTCGAATTTCTTCCTTCAGCGCCAAAGAAAGAAGAGGAGCAAACTGTGATTCGACTTGCTCCCATACCTTACAATCCGACACCTCGGAAAGCCGTTTGGATGCCTCAACGCCCGGTCTCTTTTTCGACATCGTGTATCAATGATGATGTGGAATACCGGTATATCGAGGTTGAGGTGAAGACGATGACGCGACGATGAGAGGAAAATGGCGCGAGCATTTTCGATTCATTCGATCGATTTGATCACCGGCGCAGAATTCAATCTCAAGACACCGCACACCAATAACACAGACTCCAAACATATTGACATGAAATACAACAATGGCATCAGTGCCGCAGCGAGATGACTCAAATAGCTACTTTGGAAATTCGCATCCATTCTGGTGTGGAATTCTGGACCGATTCTACGATCATTTTATCACAGTGGATATGTCGAAACGATGGCGGGACCACGTGATCTATTCCAAGAGCTCAGGGGCTGAACTCCGACAATCGATCACCCAGAGGTTCTCTTCCTCCACTATCTTTCTCTCCGTAATTCTATCGGCAGAAATTGGAATGCTTACGTCCCCAGCTAATCTTTCGGCGGAGGTGCGAGATGCGTTGGCGACATCCTCTTATACGCTGGCATACTGGACTGGAATCGTGGTTTCGTTTGCGACACTCGTCGCGATCGCTGCCATAACCGCCAACTATTCAGCTTATGCAGTATTTGCGGCAATCTCGAATGAAAATCTACACATAATTGCAAAGTCGAGCATAGGTTTTTATGCTGCGCAACTTCCAAGTTATTTGATTGTTCTGGTGCTGTACACCTTCCTATCAACGGTATGTATGCGGGTTTGTCTCCTTTTTCTTGTTTTGCACCTGATTCTAGTGGTCGTTATTGTTTAAAGATTACATTGTTCTGGGTTCTCGCAATGCCACGACTTGTCACTGCAGTCATGACCACTTGTTCCGGACTGTTCTTGGTGTACATTATTTCTGCCTATTCGGCTCTTGGGACTTTGGTAATGTCCTCTGGCAGCATGAGGCGCCAGACAATTATAGGATCTAATGTTGAAGATGAAATGACACCTCACCAGCTCTCGGATGAGCTCTTGTATCAGAAACGAAAAAATATGAGACGCCGACTCTCGATAGTCGATCAGTACAGAACGCCAAGTGACAGGAGTGCGGTAAGAAAATCTAACACTCAGTCGACCAGAGAAGAAGGTGCACCTAGCGAGAGTGGAAGCGAAATCAGGAGGCGCAACAAGTGATGCATCAAAATTTCTCAAGTTTGTGGGATCGAAACATCTTCTCAATCTGACGTCAGTATTGGAAGACGTATACGGACTAGACTGACAGAAGCCCACTTGGAATAGATTCTGTGGTGTATCGCCACTGTAGAGAAGGAGACTGCCTAGAATGAATCTCCCAACTACATCATACAAATGGTTCAAGGCTGGCGGTAGGTTCATTCGGCCGGACGGTCCACCAACAAGAATGCACCATCTAATTATCATTCGATGGGCGCGTTCATGCTTGTAATGTAATGAGAGAGTCAAATAGCAGATGTACATTCACAGATTGTCAGCCTTGCGTTGTGGTGTCTATCTGTGCCTACGGTACAGTACTCGAATGACTCTACCGGTAGTGACCTAATTTACTCTATGTCCTTAAAATAATATTTAACGATCTTGCTCGATGCGAAACGAAGAACAAACCGTCATGCGCCACCTTCAAATATATCAAGATCAACGCGGAAATCTGTGCCAGCACCGTACCGGGTACCTATTCAAATCACTCTTTCATCGTCCATTGCTCCCATCATGGATGCTTAGGCCTCTCTCTTGACCTGTATAGTGTGGCTGCAAGAACAGCTTTGTCATCATGAGTAGTTCAGGAATAACAAAATGTCTTCCACAAAGCAAAGTGGATGGGTACTTCAATACGTGGCACATATTTTGGGTAGGCATTCCGGCGACTGTCACAGAACACTTTGTCAGTGCAGAGCTTTCCTCGTTCTGGAGACGGCACTTGATTTGGTCCAAACCTGCTGGAAAACTGCTACGAGAGGCTTTGACTCAACGCTTTGCGTCCACCACTGTGTTCCTGTCGCTGATTCTTGGTACCGAAATCCGAGTCTTATTCAGCCCCAGTACACCAGCTGACAATGTCCGTAATGCTCTCAAGAACGAAGAAAGTCATACCCTGGAGTACTGGACGGGAATTGGACTGTGTTTGTCGATCTTCTTTTCCATTGCTGCGTTGGTGGCCAATTTCACTGCCTGGGGCATATACACTGTCATTGGTAACGAAAACCTCAAATTGATTGCCAGATCGTCCATTGGACTTTACGGAGCACAATTGCCCAATATTCTGGTGGTTGGAGTGATTTACTTGTTTTACACATGGGTTGGTAAGTGAAAATAATTAGTGAAATGATGGTTCAGGCAGATGAAGTTATCTATCAAACGTTGGATTGCAGCATTCGCACCTTTGATACTTACTTTCATCGTTCTTCTCCCGGTCCTCTTTCAGCCTTGTTTTGGTGGATCATCATGCCCATTGGACCTGCTGTCATTCTTAGCGTAGGTGGTATCCTTTTGATTGTCCATATTGTGTCCACATACTCAGCACTTGCTAGAATAATTATGGATACTGGCGCAATGAGCTCGAAACGAGTACTGGATCAGGAACTAGAGGATGATATGACTCCTCAAGAATTGGCAGAAGAACTTTTGAAACGAACTAGAGAAGCAAGGGTAAATTCCGTTCCTGTCAATCTCAAGTACCGAGAAATCAATAAGCAGTATATTGCAAATGCAATCAGCCGATCCAAACGCACCAACGAAAGCGAGGAATTCGGAGTGGGAGGTGGACTCTCCATTGACGAAATCGCGGATGTGGATCTTGCAGATTAGAAAAAGCGCCTCTTCATTCAATATTTTCCATATTTTTGGGAATTGCAAGGGATGCATCGCAGATGGATGGTGCATAACTATATGTAAAATAGCGACAGAAAACGATAATTGCTTTACATCTTTGACATTGGACTGTTAGAAGTGGACCCAAATTCGGCCAATCCTCTGTCAATCAAGGTAACTCCAGTCTCCTTATTCAGCACGATGAATATAAATCTGCTGACAGAAGAGGAGTCTTCACGCCAAACCTTGATAAGCAACTCATCTCCCACAAATGCTGGTTTTGTGAATTTTCCTTCTAGTATATGTATTCTGTCATTCTTGCTGGCCAGCTTAGACACAGCCCGGAAAGCAATGGCCAATGTGAGGAGGCCATGGAGTAAGGGTACATTTTTTCCCGTTCCAAGCATCTCGGCTGCCGAGTTGTCAACATGGATGTGATTGCTATCGCCGCTACTCAATCGATAGAGCAATGCTTGGTTTGGCTGTGTCTGAAAGGTCCATTCCAAAGTCGGAGGTCTATCCTTTGGGACATTGATTTTACTCTGTTTCTTTGGGGTACCAGATGATGATTTGTAGGGGATAATACTCTCACTATCAACACCAAACACCAGAGCGGTCGATTGCATGGTACATACTAATGGACAACTGTTGTTGTTTGAGCGTCCTTCGACGGCGGGTTCTGCAGCAAAAATCTGGGACTGGGTGGTGACAAAGGTTCCAATGGATTTTGGTTGTACAGCCACTGTTTCCAGACTTATTGTGGTGCGCACCTTGCCGTTGCAACGCCCCGAGACAAATTCCAAGGATGGTATCGGCATGGGTCGATGCCATATTATCGACTGAAATGTATGTATCACCGGTTGATTCGACAGATCCAGATCTTGCTGCCGAAGAAACCTCCGGGGAATGACATCGTCTTTTTGCATGAGAGGTGGGGGGAAAGAAGGAATCCCCATTGTATTTCCATCTCTTGATCGGGCCCAAAACGTCAGAGCCAGACAAAAGGTTGGAAGGGGATTGAAGTTCTCATGCTGCTCATACAAGTACTCCAACTCATCAGTTGTGGAAGAACAACCAAATCCAACTGATAAGGCGTAAAGTATCAAATCTTTTGCGTTATATTCCACTTCATATTGCGTGCTTCTGGTGTCTGCCATGGCTGCAAAATATGTGTTGGTTGGAACTGTGATGTGATTATATTTTGTACTGTAATGCATGCGGCCCTTTCCTCAGTCGATTCGTCCGACTTCAAAAATGATGACGCGTGATGCAAAATCGCAACTCCAACTCTCTCATGCCCGCTGCAAATTCCAAACAACAGCCATGCGAGTCTCCAGAGGGCCAATGAATTCTCCTTCTCAACAAATCATCCCGTTCCTTGCCTGCATGGTACTTGGAGCAGCGCTTCACCATGCATTTTTTCTCAACAAGTCGGAGCCAAGACCGCGCATTCCTGGAACTGCGTGGACATTAACTGTGACCTTCACATTCACAGATGAGGAAGATCAAAAGCAAATCTTGGAAGAATGGAGGTCTGTCACAAAGTACTGTGCAGAGAAGGAACCTTTCTTGTTTCACTACGAAGTTGGACGAAGCGATGCCGACCCTCTCAAGGTTCACATGGTGGAACGTTACAAAAGCAAGGATGACTATCTGACCAAACACAAAACTGGAGAAGAGTTCTTGAAATTCCGTCCAAAGTTGAAGGCTCTGCAAGATGCAGGGAAAGTAACCATTGAGGGATTCAGTTATCAAGAGCTCGGATATGGATTTGTCTAGACCAGAAGATTTTGGGGCAAATGTTGGATTGGACGAAATTGATACAGAAATTTGATGTGGAACGTAGACTTTCACTAGTTTGTAAGTTTAGAAAGCTTTTGCGATTGTTCGTTCTTTTGACTAGCATTGCAATTGTTCTCTATCATCAGATGATAGCATCCTTCATGTATGGTATCGTATTGATGGATGCATGCATGGCAGAAGATCAGTTCGACTAAACCTGTCGAATGAGTCAGTCAGTCGGTCATTTTTCTGCATCCAACCACACAACACTTTGACAAGGATTCGTTCAACTTACAGGACCAAAGCATATCCATAACCGGGAAAGAGATTTATCCATTCAATGACTGGGACGTTGAGTGATCATATAGCATTTGTGCCACGGAAACACAAACGATATTGTCTTCAATGTAGGATAGAGGAAGAAGAAGAGAAGAAACTTCTTCAGTGTGCTCGATGCAAGAACGCTTGCTTCTGTTCTCGAGAATGCCAAAAGAATAATTGGCCAATGCACAAGAGAATATGCAAGAAACTAAATGACTGCGCTTCAGATTATGATGCGGTGTGCAAAAATTTGGAAGAGCTCCAGGCAGCAGGAGATGATTCGAAGGAGCAATTGGAAGCGGCCATTGTCGAAAAGATGGAAGCTTCTTTATGTTACGTGCAGCTGCTGATTGATCATGCTTACTTTTCAACCGATACTATTCAAAGGGGAGCAGTGATTTATGAAAATGCCATGCGAATGCTACTATGGTGTGTTGATAGATCCATGAAGCCATTTCAAAATGTGCAATGCCTCTTGGTACTTGCAGCTTGCCTCGAGTACGACGAAGGCGTAATGGCGATCATCGCAAGGTTAAATGACCATCATGGTTCAAATGAAGATGCTGCCAAGGTAGTAGAACTTGTGGAAATCGCAATGGATCCGTCATTCGAGCACAAAGGAGAAGGGGCAGACTTGGTGTATACTTGTCTTTTGCTAATTCATGTGAGACGGTTTACTCGCCATTGTGACACACACACGAACGAGACAACAACAACACCGAACGAAACAAGGTTGAAACTGGAAGAAAACCTTCGTACTATAATGAGTATCTGCGTTGAACAATGTAAATGGGTATTGGAATGTGTACCACCCGATGGTGATCCGCTACTTCCCGAAGCTGCAAATGAGTTGTTTGGAAAGTTGAGCTGCTGGCAGTTGATCAAGGACTCATTTGCATTGACACCTGGATTGATGGACGTCTTTCTTGACTTTTGTCCGTTGGAAAGATCGATACGATGAGTGCATAAGAGAAGGAAAGGAATTGAATATTGTTGCTTTGGTTACAGAAGCTAGAGTATCTATGGACGTCAATGGCGATGGAGAAGTTGATGGTTTAATTCGTTCATGGTTTCACACCCTCAAAGCGGCTGTCCATGGTCAAAGATTGAGTTGCTTTGCGACAATGTCCTCTACGGCTGGAGCTAGACTTTCACCGAGCACTTGGTATCCTTTTGCAGAAAAATGCCTAACGTACACAAACAACTGGCATTGTTAGCACAAACACGTTTTCATCCGGGTCAAGAAGAAAAGCAACCTCAAACAGAAGACTTACAACCCATCGGGATCCCAGTTTCCGTCATCCTTGCTGTACTCAAAAGGAAAAGGGAAATAAGCAGCCCTTGGATCCGATTCGCAAAATGATTCAATTCCCTGATTCGCAGTTTTGGCCACCTCTGATGCTTTGGAGCTTAGTGTTTGATAAAAAGAAGACGGAATCCCAATGGCAATCGTATTCGAAACCTTTTCCTCGAGACAAAGCTTATGCAGTGATATGACTCCCTCGGATATTTCAGATGATGATTTGCTAGAGCCCAAATCATTTGTTCCGGCCAACAGAATTACCAACGATATCGGTGGTTCTTGATTTCGGCTAATGGTGGTTCGCAGACCTTTAGGACCATCAGCGTCCTTTAGAAGATCCTCTGATGTCCACCCTGGAAATCCCAGGTGCATTACTTCAATATCCAGGCTCTGTAGCTTTGTGCTCTCTGTTAGTGCCTTTTGGAGATGTGGTGCATAGGGATGTAATTGAAACATTTGCGTTGTCCCGGCCGTCAGGGAATCTCCGAAACAAAGGATTCGAAGAGGGATTTTGGCTTGGGTGGAGAATGCTTGTGCCATGAGGGTAGTTCTTGAAATCCAGGTTGTTTGTAGTATAATGATACTAAGGGTCAGAAGCATTCGATAGAAGATGTTGGAGACGTGCCGTCTCGTCATACCGGTATGTCTTTTGATTTTTAGTGTTTTTGATGTTCGAAAGATCTTCCATTCGACTGTCCTTCGCACGCTCCTTGCAACAAGCTTCCATCATCCATCACAACAAACAACAAAAGACAACCAACACGACAATTCCATACCCACAGAAAGCTGCCCGACAGAATGGCCGACGACAATAGCAATGACCTGGTAGAACTTGATCCTAAGGAAAAGAAGGAAATTGAATTGGGGCTGAGAGCCTTTGTCCTCCGTCATGAAACACATCATCGTCCCATTGCAATCGTTACGTCAGGAGGAACAGCCGCCGACTTGGAGCTCAACAGCGTGAGATGTTTAGATAACTTTTCTACTGGTCTAAGGGGTGCAGTCTCGGTGGAAGAATTCCTGAAACGCGGGTACGCTGTAATTCATCTATGGCGAGTTGGAAGCGCAAGTCCTTTTGGAAGGATACTGAGTCAGGCAGTTGGAACTCAAGCGAATCATGGAATGTCGTTTAATGGAATTGGGAAGTTGTTTTTTGGAGATACGGAAGATGACGAAGAAGATCAACTGGTTCAGTCTGTTCTGGATGCACAGCGCGACCCTTGGTTAACAGACGCAACCCCTGGAGCTTCACCGCCTTCAACCTCCAACAAACGAGCCAACAAGAAAACAGATGGAATCACATTGCATCGACGAATTATAAACTCCAGCAAACTCCAATCAGCACTATTAGATAGACAGAATGTTATACTGGAGAATCGATTGTACACGGTCCCCTTTCGATCGGTCGACGAATACTTGGCAAAGTTGCAGTTGTGTGCGGAATCAATCCGAGACAGCCAATCGCTAGCAATGTTCTATCTCGCGGCTGCAGTATCAGACTTTTACGTCCCCAAATCAAAACGATCAGAACACAAAATTCAAAGTGCAGGCGGTGGATTGACTCTGGAACTAGCTCCAGTTCCCAAAGTCATGGGCTTGTTACGTTCGACTTGGGCCCCAGATGCATTTGTTTGCAGTTTCAAGTTGGAAACCGACAAGGAAATTCTGAGGAGCAAGGCGGAGAGAGCGGTCCAAAAATACAACTGTCACATGGTGGTGGGAAACTTGCTACATAACCGGCATCAACAAGTTTCTGTCCTAGCACCTTCCTTCTCAGATGACGGAGCAACAATGGATGTCAAGGACTGGTCGATGCATGACTTGACCAAACCGCGAAATTCAGAGTCCGATGCGCTGGAAAGCATGATCGTAGAGACCGTCGTACAAACACACTTTGAGTATATATCCTCGAGTAATGAAGTTGGAATGGATCGATCGGGAACTCAGGCTGTTATTCGAGCCAACGATGAATTATCTGAAAAGCGGCGGAAACTGGAAAGAGACTTGTTCTGGGAGCAAGTGAAAACGACTGGTCTCGAATGGGCGGGAGTGGCCGCGGGATGTCTAATATCATATGCTGTGTCGTCTGCGTTGCGCAATCGCATGTCGGCATAGGCAATGACGTAAAATCTAGGATAGCTCGGAGTATTTTGCTTTGTAGCTGTGAACCGTGTTGGTACTCAGTACTTTGCTCTCTTTCGATTGTTCTCATTATATGGCTGCCAAGAAGCTCGCTAAATACATGCAATCCGAAATAGATATGCATGCACACTAAAACTTCATGGCATCTTCTTTTATTTTCAAATCCGAACCACGTTTCGACTACTTCGAGCTGTCGTCATAGCTCGTGACTGAGCGAAAATCTATACCAGCATGTTCCATGTTCGATTCTTAATGCGATAACTGTGCAACCATTGAGTAGTCTTTATTCTACAAACTACGCTTCTGTCAACGAAGTACCAGTATTTAGTCTAAAAACTGCGTTGCTGTCAATCATGAACTTCTGCAACCCGTCCAACTCAGATTCGTCATCGGCGATAGGTTCTTCCTATCGACCAATGACACTGAAGCAACGAACATCCTCCAAGGATACACGAAGAGATTACACACACAACACCTGGACGTCACTTCTTTTCTTGCTCAAAATAAGAGAATTATTCATTACAGTTGACAACTTTTCCATTTGGAGGCGGCATATGGCTTGGGCTATGAATAATGGAGAAGATTTGAAGGCATATATGACGCAACGATACTCTTCGAACATGATATTCATGTCGCTTTTGCTTTCAACGGAACTCGGGGTCCTCTTCAGCACATCATCAATCACAGCTTCAGTCCGGCAAGAACTTCAAGACGGCCAACATTTTACATTGTCCTTCTGGGCTGGTCTGATGATCATCATTTCTGCGCTCTTGACAATTCTGAGTCTGATATCGATATATACTGCCTGGGCTATGGTCAACAGCATCAATGCCAATAATGCGCATTGTATTCTCCGCAGCAGTATCGGTCAGTATGCAGCCGAACTACCAGGGAGACTTATCGTCTGTTCCATATATTCCTTTTTGATCAGCTTTGTCATCTACTTCTTCCTGCTGTTGCCCGTCGGGATTTGGTCCATCTTGCTCTTGGCAAGCACGCTGTTTTTGTTTTTTCATATTGTGTCAGTATTTTCCGCCCTAGGCAGAGTTATCATGCACACTGGTGCGATGGGTGACGAAAGAATCTTTGCTCCAGAATTTGAAGAACTCCTGATCCCGCATACGTTGCACTCCAACCTGTTGGCCAAGTCGAAGGCGAATCTCGAGAATAACACAAGCATTATCCGACAATACCGGCGAAAACAAGCCCCAATTGATCGATTCCTCACAGAGGAAGAAATCTACGATCACTTGTGTGGGCGTCTGAAGGCACCACTGGTCGAGGACTTTGTCACTTCGAATCGCCCACGAGTAGATTCCACGGTCCGTTTTGCCGATGAAGAGCAAGGGAGACCAGAGGTGCCGGTTGTAGGCTACGAACGCTCTTTGTCGGCAATATCAGATGTGTCTTCTCCGAGCGCTCCACCTCGTGCGTTTGCGGTAGCTTCCAAGCCACCGGGACAAGCGCAAACCACCAAACGCCATCCGAGCAGCTTGAATCGGCCGAAATATTCAAGCCGTCCTCCATCAGGACCCCCAGTGGTTCCAAAGCCAGATAACTTTGATGCCCATGCTTTGCGCAATGTTTCATCTTCTAGTCTGGAACAATGGCTCCAAGCTTCACCCAGAGGTAGCAGCGACGGAAATTATATTGTTAGTTTCCCCGAGCCAGAACAACAAAATGATGATGTAAATGCAACTGCTGCCAATGCGCACTCCCCTCCTCCGCCACCATTTCATCAGACGACGCCAAAGGATGAGAGCCCAAAAGTGCACAGCAAATCTGAACGCAAGTTATCCTCGACGAGCTCCGTGTCCTCCACAAAGAGTTTTCAAGAAATGTCGGATGATGAACGATTCGATTTTGAATATGGCGACATTGGTGACAACAAAAAGAATGGCTCGAATCATGGTGATGCAGACAACTTGGGTGGAGAGAAGACAAGCTTGTTGGGGGGGCATAACCGACCGTACAATGACTATGGGAATTCAGCGAAATGACAGCGTTGACAACAAATCTGAACGAATTGCGGCAAATTTTCATGTGCAAGACTATCATAGAGGCAAACGATTTGCAATTTTAAACAATAGATGAAGGAAATTTTCTTGTTATACTACTTTACGAAGAGTAGCATTGGACCAAGAGTGTTGTTCTATTTTACGAAGAGCAAGTACCATCGGACCAAGAGCGTTTAGGCGCTACCGAGGCCACTTGTGTAACGGCCCTTAATTTCTGGCAATGCACAGAATCTTTCGACGTACTCGACGAGCTTGGGGCTGTTCTTCTTGATGCATTCAGTGTCGACGTGGTCAACGTGGCCCTTAGTAAAGCCTCGAAGGATTGGAACGAGGACGCAGTCAGCAATAGTTGGCTTATCGCCGCCACACATGAATGTCCCTCCATTCTTTTCAATTTTGGCGGCAATCCAGGAGAGGAATTCAGGCAATTCTTTCTCGACCCATTCCTTGCGCATAGTCTCCACTTTAGCCTTGCCTTCTTCAGTCTTCGTGAAGTCTTCTGGGTAGCCAAAAGTAGATGGTCTCATGCCAATGTATAGTCTTGGAGTCCAGGAGTCTTGCAAATCCTTGACCAATCCAAGGCATTCCTCGATTTCGTAAAGCTTTTCCGTGGGATACAAGGTTCCAGTGGGATCGATTGAAGCGGCATATCGAAGCATTGCTTGGCTTTGAGTTTTCATCTCTCCATCATCAATGGTAAGAATGGGAAGCTTGCCGTAGGGAGTCTTCGGCTTCAGCTCCTTCCACTCTGGAAACTTGACGCGGTCATCCTCGAAGGGAATCCCAGCAAGTGAAAAGGCTAGGCGCACCTGTTCGCCAGCACCTTCAATGTCGACTGTTCGTGAAAGTGATGTTCAATGTGTCCTGTGAGCCGATCGCCTTGTTGACAAATGGAGGTCAATCGAGGGCTTCGAACGAATGGACTTACAGTAGGAAAGTTTCAGCTTGGGGGCAGACATGGCAAGGCAAAGGGAGAAATTGAGGTGGTAGAAAGCCAAAAAGTATGAGAGATATCTCATTTCAATTGTGACGACGTGTGAATGATGTACTCGAATATTTTGGATCAAGATAGAATAAAATCGAAGGGCAGCATCATTCTTCGATCCATCGCCGATCGACGGACAGGCAGGACTGATTGATTCATTCGAAATCAGTTGGTATCTGGAATCTGGTATCAGTTACCCCTTCAAGAAGGGTTTATTGATTCTTGGTTCATTCGGCTATCCTGGACATTATTTCTCGACTGTATTGAGTATCACAGTCGACAAGCCAGGGACATTCCTCAAACAAAATGTTCCAAGCGTCTCTCAGCTGCTGCAATGATTGTTGCTCCAGGACATCCTCGTCATGATCTCCAATGACCGCAACGGATGATTCCGTGGATGCCATCAGTAGTCGATATCGCTTGTCATCGGAACTTCGGATTTCATAGATTCCTTCCACCCAAGATTTGAGTCGGGGCAGTATCAATGACTCCCAGTTGTCGTTCAGTTGATACCTTGGATCATCCATGGACATGCGAGTGACAGAAATCTCCATTGTCATTGCGTCCTGTTTGTCAGTTCCAGGATCTTCTTCTCTAGCACTGTCTTCATTCAGAGTCTCATTGGTTCCTATCGTGATGGAATGCTTTGCTTCTGTTTGTACTTTCTCAGTCGCGAGTCCAACTGGCTCGCGCTTGATTGATGATTCCTCGTCTACTTGCACTGACTCCTCAGCAGCACCATCACCTATTTCTTCCGACAATTCCGTGGTATCGAAAACTCCGGATGATTCTTTTTCGTCTTCTTCGCTCTTTTGCTGCATAGAGCCATTTATATTTGGACATGCTTCCTCATTCTCACAATTGCCTGTCATGTCGACGACTGATTGGTCTGTTGGTTTCGAGTTTGGCTCCGCTTTGTCATTCTCTTTATCATTATTCTCCTTGTCAGAGGTTGCAACAAATGGAAGCTTTTGTTGACGGAAATTTTCATCTGGCAGGGCTGGTTTTGTTTGGTTGTCTTTTGCTCGTCGTTGAATCGTCAATTTCTTTTTCCGCAAAACTTGCAAAAGGTCAGCATCCTTAGCATCATACATTTTGCAATAGGCAGCAATCTGAATCATTTCATATAGAGGCGGTGATGGTTGCAACCGATTCATTCGGTGTTTGCACTCCACAATGATGGGCTGTAACACCCAGCTATCGTCATCATCACTCGTCGTCATGCAAGAGTTGGGCACGAGTTCATCCCGAATGCCATCAATCGCACCTCGAAGACTAAACAAGCATTCTTTTTGCTTCTTGATGCTAATGTTGCGTGTAGATATCAACCCAAATTTCTTGTCCATTTCGTCAGAATCGCTGTTTCTTTGCCGCTTTGGTTCTGGTTCATCCTCTGCGATACCAGCAGCATTCAACAATGTCAATTGTCTGTGGGAATGAGGATCCTTTAAAGGCCTGACGGTATCCCCACCGTCTACTCGAACAAAGGGCCATATTTTGATTTCTTCATTTCGTGCTCGCACTTCGTAACCAAATTGCTTCTCATACATGTCCAGTGCTTGATCTTCCCAGCAAGTTCCAAACCCGGTATTGACGCTATGCTTCGATGCCTGTTCGAGCTGTTGGATTTGCGATCGAGTCAATTTCTTGCTTTCTTTTGCCTTTTGAACGACCGCTTTGGAGAGCGTTTGGGCCTGTTCGACCGACTGCTCCTTGCGAACCCCGTGTTTGACTTGGACCACTGCCTTCCAGGCCTCCTTGGTTTCCTTGCCCGCTTGTTCGGCAATCTCCATGAGCAATTGCTCGTCACTCTCCAATCGCAGGCCCAACAATTTGGAATCGTGTGCTAGCAGCTCTTGACCCGCTGATCCCTGATAGACTTGGCGCAAGGCCAGCTGAACCAAATCACGGTACTCATGGAATCCCACACAAGAGGCAATCTCGGACACGGGGATCCGCAAGGAATGCTTTTGGTTTTGAAAGAGTTTCCATCTCGGAACGTGTTCGATTATCTCGTCATCTGAAGCAGTGGGTGTCATCTCTCGGTACCATCGCTAGTCCTTCAATGATTGTTGCTATGATGTTGCTGTTGCTGTTGCTGCTGTTGCTGTTGGCTGTTGATGTACGATACGTGCAAAAGTGGCTTGCTCATGGAATGAATTTTGAATTATTGTCATTGTTGAAAAAGGGGGGGGAGGACTCCCCTTTCCTCTCTCGCGCGAATTCGTGCGAAGATTTGCCATCACCATCGGATGCCTTCCGATAAAAACAAAACACAAACCAACAACGATCCAAAACTTTACAATCGATCAATCAACATGTCCGAAAAAGCCTTCCCCCTTGCTGATGCCGACTTGACCGTCGCCTTGTTGGAGCTCGTTCAACAAGCCACCAACTACAAGCAAACCAAGAAGGGAGCCAACGAAGCCACCAAGACTCTGAACCGTGGTATTTCCGAACTCATCATCATGGCTGCTGACGCCGAGCCCATTGAAATTCTTCTTCATTTGCCCTTGTTGTGCGAAGATAAGAATGTCCCATATGTATTTATTCCAAGGTATGTTGATATTGGTGGTTGCTGATGGTGCATGGGATTGTTTGTATCATGATGTTGTCTGTTGTGGGACCCACCATTTTCGTCGATTGGTCAAGATTTCATGGATACAATCTTTGGCTCATCTCTGCATCATCATCATCTTCTTCTTTTTCTTCTTCTAACCACCTTTCACCCTATTCTATTACAGCAAGGTCGCCTTGGGACGTGCCTGTGGTGTCTCCCGTCCAGTGATTGCTACTTCCATCACTACCAACGAGGCTTCTCAACTCAAGTCTACCATTGATGGTATGAAGATCAAGATTGAACAGCTCTTGATCTAAGTACATCATCATCATGTGATGATGTGTTATTGTTACTACTTTCAGCAGAATACTGAAAGTAGAAAGTTGTGTGAGATGGATTGGAAGATTGGAATATGAAAGATGAATGAGAATGAGTCATTAGATAATGGGAAACCATATCTGTGGCTCTTTCGGGGATTACTGGTTATTTATTTACTTTCGCTAGATTGGATGATCCAAAATGGTGAATGGGTTGATGAATCTCAGTGATCACTTCAATCGACAAGAAGAAGAAGAAGAAGAATATTTTTCTTCTTCAAGTTGGTTGCAGGAGTGAGGGAGGAGACGTGTACCGCGCAATACATGTTATTACTGTAACAGATAACAGTGTTGTGTTTGTCTATTTATCATCGTACTAGAATTCGAATCTTGGTGATGCTGATTGTCCCTCCGTGTTTCTTCATATTGAGATTTATTTTACTTACAGCAAATCATCGTCACTTTCATCCGAAAGGTCCCCTCCTTCCGAAACAAAGTCATCCAAATCACCAACAGTGTTGTTGCGTTTGTCTTCCCATTGATCCAATTCTTCAAATACTTTGGATGCCCCCATTACTGACGTTGGAGATGGATTTTGAGAGGTACTAGTAGTATCGCTGCTGCTACTCGCAAATTGTACTGGCAATCCAGCGGCTTTGGCTTGTTCCACTTGAAGCTCCTGTACCGATTTGTTGTTGTCGTTGCTGTTGTTGTTGTTGTTGTCACCACTAGTAGTATCCATCGTGGATGCTGTTGATGCTTGCTGTTCCATACTAGATTCCGCAAACGCCGTTTGTAAATCGGCAGGATCGTACGTATGGAGTGCCCGTCGCCAGGCTCGTACCTGTCCCATCCATCGCTTGTTGGGCATGTCCAAGGTATAATCGGGGGTGGATGGGGTTTCCATGCAGCGAGGTTGTCGTTTCTCCTTGGGAACTTGTCGCAAATATTCATCGTATCCAAGCGTGTTCTGCGAATGATAATGGTATAAAAGAAAAAGGAAAATAATGGGAAAATTGAAGAGGATGAGTATTGATGTCGAGTGTGGACAGCTGTGGTTTGTTGTCTTCCACACAAAGAAGGCAGTCCAATTCATTTACTTCAATATACTATAGTAGTTTGTTACCCTCACCTTGCCATAGGAAATCATGCGACGACGAGTCTGCAATCGTTTTGCTTGTTCGGGAATGCTAGGATCCAACTTTTTAAAGGCAGCTTCGGCAACTTTTTGACAACTTTTGGAAACAAATGTGAGGTTCTTGGAGGATTGGTTTTGGGAGTTGCTATTGCTGTTGCTATTTCTGCGAAGAGAATTCTTGCTTTTAGTGTAAGTATGGCTTCCTCGATGGGGAATACTTCCCTTGTCACTCTGAGCTGATCGATGAAGTGGCGTCTGCTTTGTCATGATGATGATGATGATGGTGATGGTGATGATGATTTTTATGGTTGTCTCTTGTTACATTGTGCAATGCTGTTTCCTGAAACGACGAAAGTGTTGTGCTCAAAATGGCGCACCTAACAAAACGTACAGTACTGCGTCTACATGGAGCTACGCAGTCGACCGGGTCGGCTATACATCCGGCTCGCGTTTGCCTCGTTTTAATTTTCGTTTCGGACGAAAGATACATCTTGACAGGCCCATCAATCAACAATCGTGTTTTGGAACTTCACTCGTACCCTTCATTCTCCATCTACAGAGCCAATTACAACAACAACGAGACAATAATATGGCCCATTTGTTTAATGTCTTCTCCAATTCCATGCGGAACAAAAACCAGCATGTGTTTAGCGACACGCGCATTGGCACTGCCCTGGCAGCATCCAGCAGGAACAGTGATGACGACGACGAAGACGACTTTGACGACGAGGACAGTAGCTTGATTGAACATCATCCTTCCTCCAATAATGAAACAGGATATGGGTCCACAAGCAACAGCAGCAACTACAACAACAACAACAACAACAACGACAAAAAGGTCAAAAGTGGATTCGCGGATGCCTATGTCGATTGGAAGCATTCCCACGAATCCATCATTCAAGCCTGTGGAGCCTTTGTTTGCTATATAGTTGTGGCCATTGTGGGGTATTCCTACATTTTTGAAGAATGGTCCATTTTGGATTCCATGTACTTTGCTGTGACTGTCTTTACGACCGTAGGGTACGGCGACTTGGCACCTAGTTCCGATGTTTCCCGACTGTTCACGATTGCCTTTGCGTCCTCGGGGATTGTCATTTTGGGTTTGTTCTTGGGAATCATCGGGACTCGATTGTTTGAATTACGAGAAGAACAAGTCGCCATTAAATTACAAGGGGTCAAGACAAAAGTGATGCAGCAGTTTGATACTGTGCGACAAGAGAGTGAGAGTGAAAAAGGCTTGGTCGTGAAAAAATCAGTTCATGGTCCAGTAGCAGGCAAACCAACATTTGCCCAAGACGTCTGGGCAATCATCAAGATTGAAATCCCTCTGATACTAGGCTTGATCATGCTCTCCAGTCCCGTGGTGTATCTGGAAGGTTGGGATGCAGTCATGGGTATCTATTGGATGTTTGTCACAGGAACGACCATTGGCTTTGGTGATCTGAGTCCCACCCACACTTGGACGAAAGTGATTTGTATAGTCTATTTGCCTTTGGCAGCAGCCGTATTTGGGGAATTGTTGGCCCAAATCGCCGGTGCTTACATTGAATGGTGCAGTGATGCAGTCGAAGATGAATTTTTGGATCGAGCTCTGGAGAAAGGGGACCTCGAAAAGATGGATCTGGACGATGACGATATTGTCAAACCATACGAGTTCCTGAGCTACATGCTGGTTACTCTCGGAAAGGTAGGTACATTACCATCATCATCATCATCATCATCATCATCATCATTATTATGAGGACACTCCAACGTTGCCTGTTTGACTAACAAAAATCAATTGACAGGCGGAAACAGAAGATATTAATGAAATTCTAGAACTGTTCAAGAAGCTAGACAAGGATGGCAATGGATACTTGAGCAAACTGAATTTGGCGGATCGATACAATCTGAAAGTGAAACCTAGCTTGCGCCGGAAGCATGCTGATCGACATTTGAGTGTTGAAACTTCCACTTCGGTGTAGGCTTTTTTGTCCTTCTAGGAAACAAATTTTGCGGATGCATGCGAGTCATGACTATGGCGTGATAGTTGACACTTTCGTGGCACCACTGGAGTCAAAGGTATTGTATTCATATTATCTAGTTCTAGTTCCGATCTCGCCAAACCCATTGATCTGAATGAACTATCCGTTGAAAGGAATCAGTCGTGGCAATGCAGTCGATTCTACTTCAGGAACTTTACAGCATGAAACATAATAAATGAAAACAACAGTGCCTATTTGTTGTCCGCAATTAGAGAAACACCAGCGATCAATCATTGAATGTTACAAATTAGCTATTTTCGAATACAGAAGAGTGAGGACAGCAAATTGCGCCAAGTACTGTAGTTCCAAGTTTTTCTTTGTCCTAAATCAACACATATTATTAGTATCCTAAAAATTTCTATACAAAAGTATCTCCCATAACTATACAGCTGTCATTCCGGGAGCAGCGCCTTGAGAACCAGAGGATTGCTGTGGAAGAAGGGCTACGGATGCCTTCATTCCTTGCTCGGCAGCTTGCATGGCAATGGCAGCAGCTTGTTGAAAGTCCGCCATGGCTTGCATGGTGGCTCCTGGCTGCATGTTCGGCATAGACAGAGCAGAAGGACGTGGCTTGATGTTGGCCATGGCAGTATTGGCGGCAGCGGCAAGTGCTTCACCAGTGGGGGCTTCCTGTACAACAGCCTTGGCTTTGGGCTTCATTGCCGATGGGACTGGTTCTCCCATTTGTGAAAGAACGGCGTGAGCCTCCAACAAACGACGGGTAAGTTCGTCATTTTGATGCTTAAGGGAACCGTTGGCTCGTCCTATAAAGATGACACTGCGCTGCAAGTCCTCTACAAGTGATTTCTTGCGACGACGAGATTCCCGAGCAGCTTTGCGGTTCTGTGCCAATCGAAGCGCTCGCGATTGTTCGGGAGTTCTCTTCTTGGGACCCATTGGTTTTACTGAAGATGCGCCAGCCGTAGCGTTAGCGTCGACCATTCGTTTCTTTAGTGGAATCACTTCAGTGCTCATGGTGGTTAGTTTTGGTGGAATTGTATTCTGTTGAAAGGTGCTGATGTCATCAACTTTGCTTGGGTGGAAGCTTTCAGATCAATGCTGACGTCCCCACAAAAGGATGATAGTTTGATTGCAAGTACGAGGAGTGTACACGTACCAGCAGCTGGCTCCACGGGCTGTATCGTGCGTAGTGTGCAGAACCGATGAGGTGGCAGGCGCTGATGGGTTGATTGTGGAAAGTTCTGGTGTCGTGCGTGTCCCAACGTCCAGCCGTCGCTCGTAAGTATAACAAGACGTTGGTAGAGTAGTAATGAAAAGGAACAGACAGAACACGTTCAACGCATTTCCATGTCACATGTCTTACCGGTACACGGCCCGTATAGCAATCGATCGAAAGAATGAATCAATCAATCATTAACGACGAATCCGAGAGTATCATATTGCCAGCGGAATCACCGCTCGTCAGCAAGAAACAGTGGTGAATCAGCCTGAGGATGGCGAAGGTAATACAAATGACAGAAGCCATGATGATGATGAAGCAAACAACAAAAGGGTAAGGGCTGACAACACTTCAGGGAGAACGGAAAGGCAAAACGTGGAGAACGATGATGAAGTAATCTATATCAGCAGTGATAGTGAACCGGAAGAGCCCATCGATGATGCGACTGAAAAACAACTTGATGGACAAGCAAAGAAGAGCCAATTGAGTAAAGCCAGAAATAACACTTCGGGTACAGAGAAGGGGCATGGTACGACCAATGCAAGTATGCGGAAGCCACTGTTGTCGTAGCACCACCTGTTGCACCTCCAAAACCAGCAACAGCATCACAAGGAACACAAGGTGATGTTCCACCTGTTGAGCTGGTATCGGCACAAGCACCAAGAACACGAGCTACAGTTGCAGCTCTTGCAGCTCCAATCCTAGCAGCAGCTGGTCCTGCTGCCGAACGGGAAACATTCGCAAATTTTCCCGGCCGATTGAAATGGATGCCAAACAAGATTCGTTACGCCGTGGCGTATGACATAGAGGGCTGCCCCAACCCCGTTTCACGTGGTGGGCAGACAACAACCAAGGCTGTGAGCTAACAAAAAGGTGACGAAGTTGTTGAATTGTTTTCCAACTGCTGTCATCCAGCCAAGGCTATCACGCAAGATTGTGAAGTGCCTGACTACCTTTGTAAACTAGCTTCTGGCGAGCAGTTTATCAAGTACCCCATAAGCAAACCAGAGAAATGGGAGGAGATGTACATCAGTACACTTGACAATCCGTTCTTGCGACACACAAACGATAGTCCCAGATTTATGCGGAAATATTATAAGCAGTGCCATAAGGACTTGCGCTACCCCTATTTTATGCTTGCAACACAAATTTGGCAAGATGTCAAGCGCAGAAAGGCGCTGGAAGCTGAATCATCGCGAAAAGGATATCACCGAGCACAAATTTCAACAAGGATTGAGGTCAATCAGACCTTGTCTGACGATCTACAAAACCATGCAGGCTATAGTACACCACTGGAGGACAGTGAACTCTAGGACAAATGGAAAGATATAATCCATGAGTACTATCTATATCTATTATTCGTGCTATTACGCTAGTGTGTTTCATCGCTCATTTGCATCCTTCATCCATAATGTGCCCGTAAGCAATCACTTTCGATTGAGTTGTTCTGCGTGTGTCGAAATATGTATAGCATTCTTCTATCATCTGCTTCTTTTATACCTGGAGGTGCTGCACGCAGTAATTGCCGATTTTAGGAAAAAGCGAGTGCAAAAAGAATCGCTCTCGAATCATCATCGTCTATCATCTCCTGATCTTCGTTATCTCCTCGAAGCAACCGCGTTATTAAAGCGCGGAGTGGCCATTCCCCTTCCGGAACTCATTTCACCATCCATCATGGTTCGATACTGCCATTGCTCTCGCATTTCTTCATTCGCATCGTCATGTCCAACGCGTCTATAGAACGAATGCTGGTCCAAGTCTCGGGAAGAAAATATGATGCTATCATTCGATCGTTGAGACATCATGCTGGAACTGCGAATAGACTCGCTCATGAAGAATTGAGTCATTTCCAATTTTTCGGCCGAGTCAAGATTGAAACAGGGCGTAAAGGTCCACAATTCCAAATTCAAGACTTGAAAGGATTCAGAGTCCACCTCGGAATTGATTAGACACGAATTTCGAAATGTGTGGCATTTGCTAGTGGTTCCAGACAACAAGTCGTCTTGCACGGCAATGGCAAATGCGTCCTCCGAAGTATCGTGATCTTGATCCAGGTCTTTGCCGTAAAAGTCATAGTCTCTCAATTTTCCAGCTCCTATTCCAAGTTTGTCATGCGTGCAACATTGTGGTTTTTGTCCTTCTTCCACTAGCATAAAGACATCAATCTCGCTCTCCATTTCGGCTTGTTCAAAGAGTGAATGGCAGGGAGTGTGGCGATTGTGTCGCATTTTCCACACCATTGACTTGCCTCCGAAAAAGCTGGGATTTGTCCGCCAGGCCGCTGACGTGTAGCAGCCAAAGACATCGCCCTTGGTTGTTTCAATAGCAAGGATAGTATCCTTGGAGGCACGTGCATATTGTTTAAAGGTTTCGAGGCTAGCTCCATCCCGAATCATGCTGTATTTGAGCCACAGATTTTGGCCTTGCAAATGATCCGGAATAAAGGTAGTGACGGCGTCAATCAGTGGAGGACTCAGTACATGGGGATGAGCTGACGTATCATCTGCCGAGGTGCCCAAGATTTTGAAACCAGGATTGTCCAACTCCCCTTCGTCCATGCTTGGCATTCTTCCATCAACGGAGTAGTCAAAGCCAAAGTCACTGGCGTATTCGTCCTTCAGGACTTCCCATGCATCAAAATGATCGACTTCATCTTCATTCCATGAGCTATCCTCACTCCGCGCATCGTACTTTCCACGGACTTCCACGTCCGAAGCGGCAGTCTTTTCGTCATCCTCCTTTTGCTCGTCGGCTCCTTTGTCCTTTTCATCAAAAGGGATGGAATTATCATTGTCATCGTCCTCGCCATTTTCTTTGGTCTCGTCTTCCATCAAGTTCATTTTACCTCTGTTTAGTTCCGTGAGTTGTTTGGTGGTGACGCCATCTTCGTGCGCCTGCCATAGACCTACCAGCAATCGATAGTCTTCCGGTTTTTTTACCACGGTTGGTCGTCGCTTCTCTTCCTCCACAACGTCTACAACGTCATCATGATCAATCTTGGCCGCGTCCTCTTTGTCCAATAAAGGAACTGGGATGGAAAACAAAATGTCATCATCCAGTAGTTTAGAGGCTTGTTTTATCAGCGGGGATCGTTCACTGTCACCTCGTTTCTCTTCCGACGGGTCCTCAATGAGCAGAGCATGCAAAAAGGCAGCTTCGGCGGGTGTCAATGATGCTCTCTTGCTGTGCAGCTTTTGTCGAAAGCTTTCTTCTTGGACCGAGTCTAGTACAGTATTCATATTCATTATTTGTTCTTCGTATATTATTTGCGGTTGTGTGTTTAGCATTTTATTTTTTGTTCGTGATGTTTTTTATGGTTTGATTGCTTGTAGTGGTGTCAACTTCAATCACACGTCAAACGAAAATGCGAAGTCAAAAGCGTGAAGAATGAGTTCTTCGGCAATCTGAAATCACGAGTGCAAACCCAATCCCGGGTGTGATTACTCGTGATTCATTCGATTTTCTCTCTAAAAGTGAGAAGATTTCAGAACAGACGATGATTGATTTTACGATAATACTGCTCTCCGTCACTATAGTACTGCACAGTACCTGGTACAATATGTTCCAAGCAATCATTTTTATTTTTATTCATTCACAACCTAATAGATAAAGGGCACTAGGTTCTTTCTCGACGACGGCCACTCCTTCTCGTCAAACTTTTTACGATTCCAGTCGTTTTGATTCTTGGATCTTGCCGATAGGTACGCCGTCATGGTACCAAAGTTTAGAAATGCGGTCATGTCGCCGGACACAAAAGCAATGCCCAACCATCCAATCACTTCAAACAAGTAATGAGGTGCAGCCACAAATTCAAATAACCCGCCTGTGGGAGCATGGTATTTCTTTGTTTCGACGGCAGAGCCATTCTTGCGCAAAGATGCCAAAAGGTAGTGATGGTAAAAGTTACCAAGGATACCAATACTGAACAGAGCTACAGAGAAAGAAGAAAAATGGTTAGTTTTTTACCAATCGACAATCGACAATCGACAATTATTTTTCTCTTCCATAACTCACCTTGACCAAGTTGAAGGACTTGTGGATCGACTTCACTCCTAGAAACCAAACAGATCATGAATGTAATGAAAGCGTAAAAGAATCCAATGAATTGTGAAACTCCCAGTTCTACGGTTCCTGAATACTTGTGCAAGAACAAAACTTCCAAATCCCGCTTCAAAAAGTGGATGAAACACATCAAAGCGGCTGGAGTACTGTAGGCCGAGGATGACAGGACAAAGAGCAATCCGACCATACTGGCAGGGACGTAAATGAGCAACATTCCATTTCTTGAAGAAACCCGTTTCTTTTCATCTTTTGGCAGTCCTTGAGCAAATTTGCTATAGGGTGTGGGGGTTTCACTTTCACCCTTGAATTGTGCCGCAATGAGGAAGGTTTGCATGGCATTGAAGGCCAAAACACCAGTGTGATCGTTTAAGAGTCCAGAGTTGAGGATTGGTGATAATGATTGAATCATGTTGTATTAGAGATTTTGTGATATTGAGTGATATTTTGATGGTAATGGTGGTGATGGTCGTGAAATTTTGTGGAATGTGCTCATGATGGGCTTTGGTCAGAAAATGTGGTCATGAGTGAGTCAGTCAGTTGAAAAGAATTTCATTGAAATGATGTCATCCGATGGTCGAAGTGGTCGAAGGTACGTATTTAGATTTCGGATTGACAGCATTGACACTCTTCATCTAGTCGACATGTTACCACCACCATCAACATGCTTTCCATTTTCCATGTGAGGCGGGCACTACTCTCTCCGCGAATATCTTCTCTATCCTACTTCAGCTCCAAGGCTACTCCGTCGTCTTCTCAAGTTGACCTTCCCGAACATGCCAATGTCGTAATTGTGGGAGGAGGCATCATTGGGACTTCGGTGGCGTACCATCTGGGGAAACTGGGGATCAAGGATGTGGTTTTACTAGAACAAGATCAATTGACAGCAGGAACAACTTGGCATGCAGCAGGATTAATGACCACATATGGAAGTTTGTCGAGTACATCCATTGATATGCGCATGTATACCAAGAAATTGTACTCGGAAATACTGACGGAGGAAACTGGACTGGAAACTGGGTTTATGGACTGTGGTTTCATCGAAGTAGCTTGTGACAGAGATCGATTGCACTATTTCCGTAGAATCGCTGCGTTCAACCGATTTCTGGGGATTGAAGTGGACGAAATCTCTGCCGATCAAGTCCAAGAAAAATTTCCATTGACCACCAAGGATGATATTCTTGCTGGATTTTACGTTGCGAACGATGGAAGGGTCAATCCCACAGATGCGACCATGGCGATGGCTAAAGGTGCTAGACAATATGGTGTTAAAATATTGGAAGGTCAAGAAGTCCTTGGTGTGACGACCACAAACACGTTGGAGACTGGAGAACCTTCAAAAGTGACGGGTGTCACTGTGAAAAATAAGAATGATCCGGAACGACCAATTACAATATCTTCCCCCATAGTGGTAAATTGTGCGGGTATGTGGGCAAGACAGTTTGGAGAAATGGCCGGAGTGGTTGTTCCAAATCAAGCTGCCGAGCACTACTACTTGATCACGGAGGATATTGACGGACTGGATCCCAAATGGCCAGTTTTGGAAGATGTAAGGCTTGTCTAGTTGCTGTTGTCTAACTGTCAAGTGACAAATCTTCTCACAAAGCAATATGATTTCGTGCCTGTAGCCGTCCAAGTGCATATACATTCGACCGGAAGGCCGGGGGCTGCTGGTCGGTTTCTTCGAGTGGGAAGGGGCAACATGGAATACTGGAGAAATTCCAAACACATTTTCCTTTGGACAGATTGAACCAGACTGGGACAGGATGGAACCCTACCTTGAGACGGCGATGGCGCGATTGGTGCCAGAGGTTCACAACGTTGGACTCAAGACGTTCTTGTAAGGCCAAATATGTTCGCTTTGCCAGCGTTGCATTAGAATCCTCAGCCACTAACCATATTATTTGTTTCAGTTGCGGTCCAGAATCCTTCACCCCTGACAATAGTCCTTGCGTTGGACAAGCACCAAACCTACAAAACTACTATATAGCAGCAGGTCTTAATTCGATCGGAATCTTGACTGGTGGAGGAATCGGAAAAACACTTGCCAACTGGATTCATCAAGGACTTCCACCTTCCGATATCGATGTGACAGGAATCAATGTAGATCGTTTCCATTCGTATCAAGCCAACTATGATTATCGAAAGCAAAGGGTTTCCGAGTCCCTCGGAAATACCTACAAATTGTTGTATCCGGGGCATCAACCAAAGACATGCCGCGGAGTAAAGAAGTCAGCATTGCATGGCAGACTTGAGGACAAGAATGCTTACTTCCATGATGTTAGTGGGTGGGAATCGCCTGGCTGGTATGCGCCAACCGCTTCTGAAGCAGTTTCTGGAGAGGGTACATTTGGTCGGCCAGAGTACTTTACTCATTGGGAAGCAGAACACCGAGCTTGTCGCGAGAATGTGGCTTTGTTTGATATGAGTTTCATGAGCAAGTTTCTTGTCCAAGGCTATGACGCGGGTAAATTCCTGAACCATCTGTCGACAGCAAATGTCGATGGGCCATCGTCGTCAATAGTGTATACCCAATGGCTCAATGAAAACGGATTTCTGGAAGCCGATTTGACAGTGACGAAACTGAACGAGGATTCATTTCTTGTGATTGCTACAGATACAATGCACAATCACGTCTCTTCTCACATGACCAGTAGGTTATCTCGTGACTGGCACTGTACGGTTACAGATGTCACTGCTCGATATGCTCAGATCAACCTACAAGGCCCGAATTCTAGAGATCTTTTACAAAGGATCACGAGCCGCAACATGATGGAAGACTTTGAGTTCCGAAGGGCCGAAGAGATTGAAATTGGACTAGCCCGAGCAATTTGCACCAGGATTACCTATGTTGGCGAGCTAGGATATGAATTATTTATCCCATCAGAACATGCAGTTTATGTGTATGACCAAATCATCGCAGCTGGAGAAGAGTTTGGTTTGAAGCATGCAGGTTTGAAGGCCCTTGGATCGCTTCGCTTGGTAAGATTTCTGTGATTCTACTGATCGTTACTGTGGCTTTGTACTAACGCATTGTGCCTTTCTCAGGAAAAGGGATACAGAGACTACGGACACGATATGGATAATACCGACACTATTTTGGACGCAGGTCTGTCTTTCACTTGTGATTTTGAGAAAGAGGGAGGATTCATCGGCATGGAACATATTCTTCAAGCCAAAGCAGATGCAAAGGAATATGGTGGACTTACACGAAGAATGGTGAATGTGAAGGTTCCGCTCGAAGTAACTGATCCTCTTTTGTACCACGGCGAGATTTTATATCGAAATGGCGAGCCGATTTGTGACATCCGCATGGGCTCGTATGGTCACACAGTCAATGCAGGTGTTGGACTGGCAATGCTACAATCAAAAGCAGGCGAGCCTATCAAGAAAGACTACATTCAAAATGCTTCTTGGGAGCTTGAGATTGCAGACAAAATGTACCCTTGCGAAGTGTCGCTATCTCCCTTCTATGATCCCAAGAACACTCGCATTAAGCTATAAGTAGAAAACTCAATCTTAAATCGCGATTAGAGTCATAACAAGTATCTATCGATGATTGCGGGGTCCACGCCAGCATTACGCCACCTTCTCGCAGAGGTTTCACGATCTCTCTTCCTCCTTTGTTGGAGATCGTCCGAAAAGTACTTGTTTGCAAATTCCTTTCCATCTCCTACTCTTCCTGCACGAACAAAATTGTCGTACGGTTTCCCATCTGCATCCTTTTTCCAGTACACTGACTTGGGAGTGTAACGAACCCGCTCCTTTTTCATGGCAGCAAAAGTGCATTGATCAATGGCGGATTTCACAACTTCACTGACTCTTGTGGTCTCAACACCCAAGAACTGTGCCAATTTTGTTGCTTCTCTCTCAAGATCACTTTTCATGTCCTCATAGTGAAGAATAATGATATTCGGATTCTTGTTCGTCTTACCTAACCATGCCTCCATATGATCTTGCCACCGCCCATAAAGTACGGTACCATCAAGAAAGTCCAAGCAGAACTGACTTTCAGTTCCCTCATAGCCTCCGTCCGCTACTGCCATGTTGGAAAGGTGATAGAAAAATGATGCCAGTACGTCCAGCTCATCGCGAATAACATAGACACATCGAGCATTGGGTGGTAGTTGATGCGGCCTCAAGTGTGTATTGAAGACGCGAAAAGACATCTGATGCCCAGACTCCTTGTCAATACCCGCAATAGGAGTCTCAGGAGGAACTCTATCCTTTTTTTTCCAATATTGATCGACTTCGTAGAATGGTGCTGAATGCGAAAGATGCCAGTCTTCCGGCAGTTCCATGCCCACATTTTCCACCAACAATCGGCACACCAGGTTTTGCGTCCAGGTGGTTCCTGATTTCGGGTAACTGCATACAAATACATCGCCTTTCAAAACGTTTAGATCCCTACAGGCCTCCACAGTTTCTACTGACGTAATTGGCAGTAGAGGCATTTCAGGAAGTGGAGTGGTAGTCATGTTGGACAAGCAGGAATGAAAGATGCCAAAGTGAAAATGATCGTTTTTGTGACGATTGTGATGTGTGATGCGTGATGTGTGATGTGTTGGATTGACCCCTTTCTCTTCCCCCATTGCATCCATTTGGGGGCGACTGTCATTTTGCATTTTGAAAACGAAGATCCTCGTTTATGTTCTCATTGCAATGGCAAAGTTGATTATCCGAAGACATCCTGGATCCAAAGGCATGGCAAAGTTGGTTCGCCGATTGACTTCCCGTGGCAAACAGGGAACAAGTAGAAGGGCCAACGGGTCAGAATTACGATCAAAAGATTCCAAATCAAGATGTCAACACTTGAATTGGACTTACGTTCCCCTAGTAATCTTTGCGTGTATGCTGGTGGGTATCCTTTCGTTCCCAGATGCAGTAGGAAATTTGCAGAAATCAGTTCCCCCTTCATCGAATGCTTCGAACGAAATGTCATATGACATCGCTCCAGGCATGCACGTAAGCATTAAGTTCAATAGAGTTGACAGTAGCAAAGCGCCATCTGAAATCATCCTATCATTGGGGGAGCATGAGGCAAAGATCACCTTCGCCAAGCCGTGTGAACGAGACAGCATTTGGCTTCGGATAATAGGCGATGCTCTACAAAATATCAATCTTATGTCAGACTCGTCGACGAGGAGTCTAACTGGTAGATTCACATTGCCAATGGAAGGAAACTACGCAATGCAACTGTTCTCAAATGGTTGTGGTGAGCAGACGAGTCGACAAATTTTCAACGTCACAACGTTTCAAGTGAAAGGCGAAACGACGACAAACTTTTCGACGGCTGCAAACGAGTACCCTGTATCAGCCTGGATATCATCCAAACATTTTCCTCAAGTCGATAAAGCCATCGCCCCAGAATACATATGGCACAATCCACAAATCCCTGCTGCTAGTGCCAACCTTCTGAAAGCTGGCAACACAATACTATCGAAAGAAGGAACAATTAGGGGAAACGGATTTTATGACTTTGACAAGTTGAGCAACTATGAATTGGTCTGCTTTGTTGGAAGTGACTCCGCCAGTCGGATACGAGAGAGCTTCCTTCAGTTCCGCCCAATGCTTTTTGCTCATCAGCGACCCTTCAAGTTTCACTTATATCCGATCCACTATTTTGAAAAGCCTGATCGGGATTGGGAAGAGGGAAAGAAGAAAGGCTTTCGAAAATGCAAACACATTCTTGTCTCTGTCGACGAGTTAAAACAAAAACTTTCGCAAAAGGAGTATACTACACAGGTGACAACCTTTATCAATCACCTGCTAAATGCCATTCCTGATGAAACATTCCCGATCTGGTTCTTCACTGTCATGGAATCACCAATACAGCCAAGCAACTGTCTGCCACAAAGTTTGCCACGAGACAACCTACTGGACCATCCTTGTAACATTGCTTTGAAGTCTCTCTTTCATAACAGTCGATTTCCATCTCGAGTAAAGCTACTGGATACAACCGAAATAGCGTTACCTCAGCTCGGAAACCATCCCGAAGATGTGGCGGCAGCCATTGCTTTAAGAGTCTACGTCTTTGTTGGAAAGCAAGTACGAACGTGGCGCACTCAAGGCCAGGAGGGGAAGAAAGATGGCTTGGTAAGGGGGGGCAAAATAGAACCAAATTTTGAACTGATACCGTATACCGAGTGGAGCTAGGAAGTACTGCATTTGGGATATCAGATTATTGTAAATTAAAATGTGAAAAATCGAGACACGACCTCTCGAAGATTTAGCCACTGTATGATCGTTCAGGTTTCGTCACCAAGGAATAACATTGCATTCCCCAATGTATATTATTTCCATGATAACAGCTGCATCAATACACAGCACTCCCGATCGATGATGCCTCGATGTATTTACTATCTTGCTGAAGAGCTTACATTTTGAGTCATTTGTTGGATATAATCGCATTCCAAATGAAGGCTAGTGCTTTGTTCCACTTGGGACACTGTCGCTACTGTTCTATCACTTGGAAGACTTTTGTTTCTATGGCGTACCAAGTTTTTGGCCCATTCCTTCACCTTTAAGAAGCCTGTATGATAGATTGGAAAAGAAATGTAACGTGGAATTAGCCTGAAACAAATCGTGTGACGTACGAAAATGTCTGATGGTTGGTATCGACTTACAACTTCTTTTCGGTTTCTCAGGCTCCTCCTCCTCCTCCTCTTGCTTTTGAGCATGTGGTGAATGACCAGGGGCTCCATCAACAATCAGCATGGAATTTTCCAAACTAAAGTTGCTACAGAGAAACTGGAATTGTTGACTCATTGTTTCTCCTACTTTCTTGTTTTATGGTGTTTGCTTCGTGCACTTTTTATGGCGATTGATGGTTCTCGTTCAGCAATCATTAACGACAAGATGATGGGCGAATTTTAAATCAAATCCTCAACAAGAAGCAACACAAAAATCACCTAATAATCAATAAGTAAGCTGGAACGCAGAAGCACCATTTGTAGCGCACGAAAAGGTGGCCCTAATGAAAAGCATCAAACAGTGTCCCGCAGTTCGCATTTTAGGTGATTGAAAAGTGGTTAAACCCGACTATCTAAGATAGCCTACTGCCGTCCTCCGTGTGTGTGTTCGTAGTATTTTGTCTTGGTGTGTAGCTGGTGGGTTGTGGTGTGAAGCGGGTCGAACTGATCGAGTAATAGACTCGATTCGTTCGACCAATCTCAGAAATCCCGTGTGCGGTATTACTGAGATCTGCTTTCCTACCAGGCACCGCCGATATGGTAAAATGGAGGCGGTGCCCAACAGGGCGGGTGAGGTTTGGGAGAGAAAAATTGAATTACCGCGACACAAGTGGGTGAATTCAATCTCAGTCGATAAACTGGGCATCATTGCCTGGGCGCATCGACAACAACTTTTGACGGTCGAAGGCCGTTCGGCCTTTGTCCGTCTGTAACACAATGTAGTCAAAGAAATCGAACAGTGTGCCTGCGGTCTACGTTGGACTATCTAAGATAGCCTACTGCCGTCCTCCGTGTGTGTGTTCGTAGTATTTTGTCTTGGTGTGTAGCTGGTGGGTTGTGGTGTGAAGCGGGTCGAACTGATCGAGTAATAGACTCGATTCGTTCGACCAATCTCAGAAATCCCGTGTGCGGTATTACTGAGATCTGCTTTCCTACCAGGCACCGCCGATATGGTAAAATGGAGGCGGTGCCCAACAGGGCGGGTGAGGTTTGGGAGAGAAAAATTGAATTACCGCGACACAAGTGGGTGAATTCAATCTCAGTCGATAAACTGGGCATCATTGCCTGGGCGCATCGACAACAACTTTTGACGGTCGAAGGCCGTTCGGCCTTTGTCCGTCTGTAACACAATGTAGTCAAAGAAATCGAACAGTGTGCCTGCGGTCTACGTTGGATTATGAATAGAAAAAGTGAGCACGTCTGAAAGGCTCAGACGTTCGATGGTCGCGCCTTCAATGAGGTACCGTAAGAGTGATTGAAAAGTATAGCGGTACCAAACGAAAACACGATTATTCACGAAGAAAAGATTGAAAGGAAAACTAAACAGATTCTAGTCAAAGGTGCACCACCTCCGTCCATATGAACGACAGTACATATTTTTGTTTTGCCTTTTTGTTGTGTCATCTTGACTTTGATGATTGTTTGTTGAGGGCGCATTTGGTACTTGGTAACCATTCTTCGCGATGGAAAAGATGTAGCTGAGAAGCCTTGTTGCACGTATTGTATCCCGGTTTACTCTTTTCGAGGTTCTGATGTAAGTTTCCCTTATTAGCCATTGAATCGTTCAAGTAGTCGCTTAGGAGGTAGTGAACCCATCACTCTTTCCTCATTTCCGTCTCTAGATAGATACTCTCTCAGTGTCGTTTCTCGATCTATCAAGTATGTCTCGTCCAAGAATGATTGCTCAGCTTTTTCGCCAGCCTTATTTACTGCCAACAGACAATGGCGAAGGTACATGTCAGCAGGTAACAAACCTGAATCTGTTTTCCAAGTCCAGACGGTTCTTCCCACAGCTGCCAACTGACTTCTCGGCTCATCCAAAAATGCAGGAAGTTTATCGTCGTTCTTGCAGCCAATGCAAATAATCCCTTTTTCAGTGGAGTGATCTTTGTCACCATGTCCATCGATATCATAGTAGGGTGCCGTCATGATACTGTAGTCGGGTTCTCGTTTCACAAACGCAAGACGCTGTTCTTCATCAAGACTGACATCAAACGCAGCAGCTACAAAACCTATTTCCATATCATTACAAGGCTCAGTCGATAGGGATGCTAAGCACAAGGATGTAGCTGGGTCCACCAAAGCTTCCGAAACCAAAAACAAGTGTGGATGCGCAAATACTCGTCTCATGCCTCGCAGTCGAACAAGCCGAAAATTGGAAAGGTCTGGAAACGTAACACGGGCAGAAGCTTCAGACAAGAGCGAGCCATAACCTAGAATGGTAGTTGGATTCTTGGCAGCCGCAAGTACGGCTGGGACCTTCATCCTTGTACCGGTAGATGCGTGTTGTGTGTTTTGTCGATGACGTTTTGAATTTGAAATAGACGATTCCCCCATTGTCAATCCCCACCCCTCTCCCCCATTGATCGATTGGACTTTGAACTTGCGCAAGCAGCATCCAAAGTCAAATAATCTTTATTTCCGCTCTCAACTGTCATCCAACAATGACGTCCAATGGTGGACGAAGCGTCGCGACCCCGACAAGGGCGGCGCTTCCAGCAAAGAAAGCTTCTTCAATATCTATGAATCCTGATCAACTGCTGGATGCATTCGACACCTTCACTTCCACAAATCGTCGTAGCAGCGATGCTCCTGATGCGATTGAATTTCTAAACGAGCACTACAATAGCGAGGCCTTGCTGGTGTCCCAGCTTCCCTTCATTCGGGAAGCTGTCAGCGACAGAATGAATCGCCTCGATGATCATATATCCACAGCCCTACAACGTCAGTCTGACTCTGCAGAAGCAACCCAAAAGCATGTCCAAGACGCCAAGGCATCCGTCGCTTCCTTGGAACAACGGATAAGACAGGTCCAACAAAAGGCATCTCAAAGTGAAAAGACTGTGCGAGAAATTACCAAAGACATGAAACGTCTGGATTGCGCCAAGAGGAATCTCCAACGAACGATTACCACTTTGAAACGGCTTCACATGTTGGTTCATGCAGTGGAACAGCTCCGAGTGACATGTCTGTTGCAGCCACATCCTGATTACAAATCAGCTTCTTATCTGGTGGATGCAATTCGATCCTTGCTACAGCATTTTGATAATTACACCGACAAGGTTGAACCGATTGGACTTTTGTCTCAAAAGGTGACCGATTTGCATGTAGAACTTCAATTTTGTCTCGTTCGAGGATTCCGCATTGTTGGTTTTGGGTTGGAACAAACCAGAACCATGGAAAATAAGAGCAAATACAAGTCGCTCATTGTTCCCGAGGACGGCGTTGCTTTCGATGACGAAGACTATGAACCAGTTATCATGAACCCAGAAGTCATGGTTGGTGGAACCATGATGATTGATGCATTGGGAATTGATGCCCGGAAGGAGTTCATGACTAGTTTCTGCCAAGATCAGCTTTTGGAGTATACCCAAATCTACAAGCCTGTTGGGAAGAAGGTTGAGAAGGAAAAGCCTCGAGTTTCAAGTTTCAAAGCTCAGCCAGAGCAGCCAAAGGAAGATACGAAACCAGATTTTGCTCTTGAATTTGTCGAACAACGATTCGTCTGGTTCCGTAATCGATTGGGCGAAATCGCAGAGAAGTATCCTGGAGTTTTCCCTCCTTATTGGAATATGGAATATTGGCTGACAAAGGTCTTCTTGAAGAGAGTAAGTTTTTTCCGTCCGTTCCATGAAAAACTATCAATTCGCATCTTTTACTAACGCATTCAATTCGGCAAGACCAAAAATCACCTTTTGGCTCTATTGGGAGGACCACAAACAAAAGACCCTGATGCTTCCGATGCCACAATTCTGTTGAAAGCTCTTCAGAAAACAATTCAGTTTGAGAAAGAAGTGGCGGTCGAGCTCGAACGCAAGTACGGCACCATTTTCAAGGAAGCTGGTGGCAAGAAGGGAAAAGGAATCAAGGCATTCAAAAAGGAAGAGTCCAAGGGTCAAAACGAAGAAGACGGAAAAGCTTCCACCGATCAAGACGCTGTCGATAGGCTACTGGGTGTCGCATCCAGTGCCTTTGATAGCTACATGAGGCCTTACATCGCATTGGAAGAGCAAAGTATGGACGAGCAACTCGTCAAGGCATTGGAAGACAAGACAGTCGATACACGGGGAGAATTGCCTGTCTTTACTTCATCTACTAAACTCTTTGTGTATATCAAGGGGAGCATTTCGCGATGTACAGCTCTCACCAAGGGCCATGCCTTCTTCTTACTGTATCGTGCCTTCCAAAATTCGCTCCGAAAGTACGCCCAGGTGCTGTCAAACAAGCTCCCTCCACCCATCCCCCAGAACTCATCTGTTGGTGGATTGAGTATGGCTAATGTTTCCTTCGGAAAGAAGGAGGGGACTCCTCAGCAACGAGCATCCTATCGGGTGCCGAATGGTGAAGAGGTTTCTGTCTGTCATGTTGTTGGAACTTGCGAATATTGTGCTGATACTGTGGAAGCTTTGGAGGATTTGATTCGAGATACTGTTGATGAGCAGTACAAAGCAAAGATTGATATGATGGGTCAACAAGAAGCCTTCCATGATATCACTGCCAAGGCAATCCGAGTGCTTGTTACTGGATTGGAGAACCGACTTGAAGAACCTCTGAATGTCATGTGCAACACAGATTGGGGAGTGTTTGATGAGGTCGGCGAAGAGAGTGACTACGTTCGATACATGCACAAGGAAATTGTGCCCTACATTACACTCGCCCGAGGATTGATACCCAGTTCCTACTTCCGAAGTATTTGCGACAAGTTTGCACTCAGCTTCACCGAGACGTATCATGAAACGTTAATCAAGAGAGTGAAGAAAGTCAGCGAACAGGGAACACAACAGCTGCTACTTGATGTGTATAACCTCAAGACGCTATTTTTGAAGCTTCCCGTGTTGGAGAAATCAGAAACATCTGTTGTTGCTCCAACAGCCAGAAAAGGATTGCCTGCAAAATCGACGATTGCTCCTGCTATGTACACCAAAATGGTGCAGAAGCAATTCAAGAAGATTGAGCTTCTACTGAAGGTAGCTGGTACTCCTACTGATCTCATGATTGACGTCTTCCGAGCCCACTGGGTCGGAGGATCTGCCCTAGACTTGCAAAGCGCAATGTCATTGAAGGGGCTGAAACGAACAGAACAAGCGGCCATGTTGGAAAACTTTGGACTGGACCCTCGTACCGCACGCAAGGGTGCCACGATGAACGTCACATCAACCACAATCGTCACAGAACGTCTCCAAGCTGTCAATTCTGATCTGAATCAAATGAGACAAAAGGTAGACGACTTTCGAAAGTCATTCCGCTAAGGTAACGCAACGAATAGGATACATATGTTTTGACTAGAAATATTAATGTCAGGATATAAAATCGGTTTACTTTTTCTTATGCCCCTGATTCATTTTCTTGCTATGATTGATCATTTGCTTTTTCTTAAATCGCTTTTTCTTGTCATAGTTCGGTGTCGTGTCAATGGTGGATCGGCGCGGTGCCTGTTTCGTATTGCTGCGACGGAGTTGTAGCATCCAATCTTCCACCTTGCATCCACTCTGCTTCATGACATTGGCAATAGTCCGCAAATTTTCAAAGTCTGCTTCTGTAAACAGAGTAATGGCCTTTCCTTTTCTCCCAGCTCGTCCAGTTCGTCCAATACGATGCACATAGGTAATTCCAGACGTGGGCAAATCATAATTGATGACCATGTTCACCGCCCGGAAATCCACTCCACGGGCAACCAAGTCGGTACAGATAAGAACCCAGGTTTCTCCCTTGCGAAATTTGGCAACGGCACTGTCACGAGCCGTCCGAGATCTTCCGGCATGAATCACGTCGACGTGCATTCCATCATACAAAAGTTCGGCAAACAAGGCTTGAGCTCTCTCCTTGCTTTGCATGAAGACAATAGCCGGTGGCTTGAGTTGCCCTCGTTCCTTCAGCTGTCTCATGGCCAAGAGTTTACCCTCTTCGCGACCCACGAACATGAGTTCCTGCTCAATGTCCGTGTTGGCACCACCATAACTACCTTTAGCCGCAATCTTCAAATCGACTGGGTTTCGGAGAATCGACTCTGCGAGCGATCGAACGGTTGGTGTCACCGTAGCCGAAAACAAGGCTCTTGTCGCAGTGGTTGGGAGCGCACTTAATATGGAGTCCATTTGGGCCAAAAATGTTTGTGTCTGTCGAGACCCCGAGGCACTCGCGTTGTTGGTTGCATCCTCCTCTTCCTCCTCTTGTTCGTCATCCGATCCCTTTTCATTCGGCTTTCCTCGAGTACTTTCTTTTCCATCTGCTCCATCGAGCAATCGGTCGGCTTCGTCCAAGACTACCAAACGAATCGAATCTAATCTCATACCCTTTTCAATGGCATCAACCAAACGAAGCGGAGTCGAAACCAAGACATCAAGACCTGACTTTCCACCAGCAGTATTGCTAATCACATGAGCAGCATTAGATTTGGATAGCAAAAGCGAAGTCAAACCACCAGGCTTTCCCATGCCCAAACGTTCAACTTCACGGTGCAGTTGGGCGGCAAGCTCTCGGGAAGGTGCCAACACCAGCGTGCGTATTTCTCCTTCCCGTGAGGACTTTGCATTGGTATTGCCGTCTAACTTTTTCTTCTTTTTCTTTTTACGAGGAGAGTGGGATGTATTGGGCTGTTCTCCATAGTAGATATCATGTGGAGCGCTGCTGATATAGAGTGCTGGAATGAGGAAACTACCAGATTTACCACTCCCTGTTGGTGCCGCACCAATCAAATCCCGTTTCTCCATGAGTGTTGGAATCGATTGCATCTGAATAGCTGTTGGTTCCTTCCAGCGACCAGCTTCGATATTTCGTTGAATAGCATTATAAATCCCTTGAAAGGACTGCTGCTTCTTCCACCATGTTGGCGGACTCATATCGGAAAAGGATGGCATTGGATCAGGAAGATCAGGATCATGTTTGTTGGCGACTCGAATGTGCATGGATTTTCGAAAGGCTGCAATCTGTTCCTTGTGAATCTGTTGCTGTTTCTTTTCGCTAGTGTCTCGTTTTCCGGTCCGATCCCGAGAAAGTTGTCGTGATGGTTCTTCCTCGTCATCATCGTCATCATCATCATCTTGACTTTCGGCACTCTCATTGTCTTGCTCGTCATCAGATTCCACTTGCTGCACTTCTTCTTCGCGTGGACGTTTCTTGGGCTTATTGTTCTTTTTGTTCAGTCTCGCTGAGGAGGACAGAAATGTAAAGAGGTCCTCCATAATGGCATGGATGGAAGATTATTGTTGGTTTGATGTTTTGATGTTTTGATGTTTTGAAAGATTCAGGATGCATTTTCTTCTTCGATGGTCCTCCGTGGAGTCTCAAACCGGCACGGTTGGGGACAGACGATACTGAATCTCCTGTTGGTTTAACGGTAGAAGTGTCCGAGTCCGCCGAGTCACGACTGAAAGTTATTCGATTCGATTTCAGGTTTTACACATGCAACCAAGCTTAGACTTGCCAACGGCCCTTTTCAAGTTTTCGTTGTTCCGACTGACCCCGCGGTCGCCAATAAGACACACTAGTTTCAACGCATCTACTACAAAAGACACCGTAACTCGAAAACTTGATTTAAATTCAGTGACCGACCATCAAGCTCATTGAGCAAGGACAACGCTCTCATTGAAACGTGTCAAAAAAGTTTTTCGCCCATTCTTCGTGTTTTTCGGTACGTCCGCACCATGGCATGCGCCACTCCAATAACTCACTCACGTCTAATCCCATTTTGTCATCTCTGTTTCCTACCGTACAGTACAGTTCAGAACTATTCTAATACAGCAACATCACCATGAAGCTCATCATTCGAAGTTCCTACTGGGGAAACATTCTGAAGGGCAAACCTCGTGTTGACGCCGCTAATCCAGCACGATCGTTTCGCACGATCTCTTCACAAGCTGTACTCACGATTGAGGGCAAATACTGGGGATGTTGCCAAGGTCAAGGAAAGCGAGTGCTTGAAATGACAGAACAACACTTCATGGACACCTTTGCGGGGGATTGGGATCTGTATCTCGTTGGGAGTACATCCAACGAGTCGGAAGCAATTCATACTTTTTTTCTTCTTCCACAGAACCAAAATTCTGTGGATGTTCGCCATCATCTATGCTACAACGCTTGGCAGTATTATGGGACGATCTCCGCAATGTCCATGCGACAACAACTCAATGAAATCTTGGCAGACACCTTTGCTCCCAACGAAACCATTGGATTTCGCTACCATCACGTTCACATTGAAATCCTAATGTCTCAGGTGACGGACTATGCTGCTCGAGCCAAGAAGGCCAATAGTAGTGGCAAGACTTCACCAGTCTCCGAAAATCTGGATGCCAACGAAACCCCAAAATCTCAAACACCCATCCCAGGGGTTTCCAAATCCGCCAGCCACGATGCCTCCGCGACTGAGGCCACATCCAGTCCTTCGACCTGCACCTCTTACCACGAGGTCCATCACGAGGTTCCACAATTTGTACCTTCGGGGTCCTTTGATCCAGAAATGATTTGCTACCCCCATCCCATGCCCTATCCTGTCATTCACACCATGCCCGCTACCATGTATCATCATCATCATCACAACTATGCTGTGCCCGCCTACATGCCAATGCACATGGGAATCGTTCCGCCCAATGCTGGACTAGCCCCACCCTCTGCTGGACTTGCGCCCTACAACATGTACCATCCAGTCAATCAAATGGCCCATGCTACAAATATGCCGGCTGCACCACCACAAGAACCTTCCAAAGAATCGACCAAAAATACAGCATCATCTCCAACCTGAGAGTTTCCAGTTTTAAAATGAAACAGTACTGTTGAATGAATAATATACAGACCAATATAGAGCAAAACGTAAAATTAAAAACAAATCTAGACCACCTTATTAGGACTCTGTAGCATGTATGTTCAAACGAATGTATAAGAAATAAATACATTGAAATTATTAATAATTGGAGTTAGACAGCAAGAGGAATACCTATATAATACATTCTCTACCTCAATAGACCTTTTCTTTCTGAAGTCCTGACTTCACCTTTCGCGTGAATGACAGGGCCATCAATACTGCCAGAACACCTACTCCAAGCACAATGTATCCTGGTCCGGATGGAGTGTCTCGATACATCTTGACTCCAACGGTACTGGACCAGAATGGCTCGGTCCAAATTGGACTTTGCTCATCGTCATAATCAAGTGAGAAGAATCCAGGATCGGTATTGACCGCCGCCGAAATGGAAGTATCCAAGGCTGTGTGGAAGTACGCTCGCTTGCACACGCAGACGCCCTTGGCGGAACATGTGGCAGAATCACTATCGGTCAGACAGTAGTCAATGCTAGTGCAATCGGATTCGCTGCTACATGATCTTCCATTTCCATCTGTTTGTCCACGTCCAAGGAAGTCATTTAGAATGTTACGAAGTGCCTGTTGAAGCATTCGTGGCTGCATACCGACAGCATCGCTTTCTTTTTCTCCATAATTGACACCGTTGTATGCTCCATAAACCTGGCTTCCAACACGGACAAACGGTTGTCCGTATTCAGGACTGTAGATGCCAACATAGTAGTTTGGTGGCGTTCCAAGGCTGGCTCCTGTTCCAATCTCAAAGTTAGTGCGGCTTCGTTCATTCTTGGCGTCTTGATTCGCGTGCTTGTTGAACATACGGCAATGGCCATTGTGAACAAGACAGCCGTATAATTGTTTCATGATTTCATTGTCAGGGGAAAGCTCAGCAATTGTGTTTGAAGCGTAGGCGGCTGAAGTTTCATAATCAAAGCTGCCGTCATCATATGCGGCAGCAAGTGCAGTTCGCGCCATAAGAGTGGCAGCAGATGCAATAGATTTTAGACTGATTTCACCTCCATTGCCCCAGTTCAAATGTGATTGGTAGGGAGGACGCTTGGGAAAGACATAGTCATATCCAGTAAGAACAGCACCACTGTAAGCACCCCCAGAAATGCTTTGAAGGGCAGTCAAGGCGGTTGGTGGGTACGGATAATCTCCTCCATTGTTGTTGTTATTCTGGGCTTCGGAGGCTGCAACAGTGTGGTAACTAGTTCCAGACGACTTGAGAACATTGGCGAGGAAGCTTCCAAAATCACCACCGCCATCATTATGAACATAAAGGAGTCCTTCCTCCATGTTAATACCGACTTGATCAACAGCAAGAACACCTGCAATTTCGCCAATATCCTTGAACTTCATGTTGGGTCGCATAGGGTATAGGCATGCGAGTTCCGAGTTTGCATCTTTTGACACGGAGTTGACAAGGTAATCGCTATCACAGCTAAAGTTCAAAACATCGTTCAAAAAGCTTCTTGAGCCAATGTACCCATAGGCTTCGCCTTCAAAGAATCCAAAAACGATGCGATTGCTCAGCGCGTCCAAAGCTTCATCGTTGAGACTTTGTCCAATAAGGTAGGCAGCCATCAACATTGTCAAGGTGTTTGTGGCTCCTTCATTGGTACCAGGAGCAAGGTCATGGAACATGGATGTGGAGTCGATGGAAGTTCCGACGATGATAGCTGGCTTCTGGCTCTCATAGACGTTGTATTGAATGTTGGCATTGTTCTTTAGTTTTCGTCCGTTGCCATCAGCGTCTGCAGCAGCAGCATCATCCCCTTGGGCGCTTTCATATGATGCGCTCTTAAAGACTTGTTGCGGTGGTGGGGAGCCAGCGAAAGCCCAAACACTAGAACCACCAAGGGGTAGACACTTTGGATTCCACTTGTCGTTATGGGAGTCTTTCCAAGTCAAGCATTCTTTGCTTGTAATTCCATCGGGTCCCATGTAGTAATTGAAATTGCTCATAATTTTGCTACCCATTTCGGACTCTTGTTCTTGACTTTGCGAAGCCTGTCTAATAAATTGGGAGGGTTCTTCATCATTCACATAGACAATTGGGACTCCATAAAGATCATATTGATTCAGGCCATCTCCATTTCCATTCCATGGGTACTCAGTGTTGCCATAGCCAATGTTCTCAGACGGTGTACCTGAACCAAGAGGATAGACTGGTCCAGGTGACACAACGCCATTCATGTTCGCGGAAGTAGAATCGCCACTAGTATCAGTCACCGTTCCGTTCAGTACAAGAATACCTTGCAAATAGCTTCCAGACAGTCCCATCAAAGTTGAGACGATGCTAGCAGAAAATTTGTACTCTTCCAAAACAGCAACATAGTTTGTTTCAGCTGGAGGATTTTCGGCACCATTGTAATAATACAGAGGACCACTTTGAATTTCACGATCAGTGGTTCCACAACCAGATCGTCCATTTCTGTGATAAAGGCCAACGCAAGCACTGTGCTTTAGATGCTTGAAGGTTGATGATTGAAAGGGTTTGTCCATCGAAGTTGTCTTGTCAAGTCCACTGACACCAACTGCTGCGAACAGCAAGGCGAGAAGATGGAAATTCATTATATGCGCTACTCTTCACTTTCTAGCTGACTGCGTTGATAGGACAATAGAATTTGAAGGTGGGTTATTCTATTGCTTGATGTTGTTATCTTGGATGAGTTGAATCGTTGCAATCAGAGCTTCGAATTTGAAAATCCCGCAGTTGTTTCTTCCGGTACGGTGTTTTTTTTAATTGTGGAGTGGTCGGCGCGGGGCCGTTGGAATGTCATGCTATTTGAAAACCGTCAGAGCTAAATAACTCAAGGAGAAAGCGAGAAGTGGAGACGCCATTTACCGTACACACACCTCCTTTTTCCGATCACATTATCTATTGTACACTCACTATCTTGTCCTACGCTGCAACCTGAGCGACATTGATTGTTTTTACAACGTTATTCATGTGTCTATATCCCCAAAGGATCCTTAAACTTTCTTTCTGATCTTCTTTTCTTGTTACTGAACTTTCCTTTGCGATGCCTTTCTTTCCAAGCATTTCTTCCAGACGTACTCTTGCCAACTCCATCTTTAGTGTTGGCGTAAATCTTCTGTTCGGTGGCGGTTTTTGGTTTCTTGGAACTGGATCCTGTATCATCACCTCCAAACTCTGGCATATTTTCATCGAAATCGGTTGTTGTTGTTTCTCCCCCTCCAAGGCCGTCCAAATTTGTCTCGGCATCAAAGTTTTGCAAAGGATCATTATCGGATCGTCTCAGTTGCCCTTGTTTTCCTCTATTCTTTTTGCGTTTGCGCTTTCGGTTCAAGTTGGCAGCTTGCATTCCTCTTGGCAGCAAATACTTCGGAATATGCTTTAAGTGATCTTGAATCTTGGAGACATGGGTTGCAACTCGGTCGTGTCGTAACAGCTGCAGATCGGTTGGATTTTCTTCAAAGTGGGATTGCAAACGCTCAGAGTTTAGAATCTCGGCACGAAGTTCCGCAGCTCTGGCCTCTCGAATTGTAGTTTTGGTGACTGCTCGAGAAACATCTTCCACACGGTAACGGAAACCTTCAATTTCTTGCAAGTTGAAATCTAATGCAGAAGGCTGCGGCTGCTCGGTTGGACCATCCGTCATCTCTCCACTTTCAGTTGTGGCTTGAAGCGTCTCTGAAACAGCGCCAGTAATTGGAATCTTTGGTTGCTCCTCCTGGATGGCTGCCAAGGCATCCAGTTGCTCCGGATTGTCTCGTTCCACCAAGCTGAGAGAAACTCCCTTGGCTCCTCCACGAGCAGTTCGTCCAACTCTGTGAGCATAGGATTTGGTGGAGGGTGGGAAGTCGACATTCATCACAAATGAAACATTGCGGAAGTCCAATCCTCGCGAAACACCATACTCGGCATCCTTCCTCTTGCCCTTTTTTCTCTGCACTTCCTCGTCTTCGGAGGCATTGTCGTCCTCGTCCTCCTTTTCGCTTTCATCATCATCATCATCATCATCATCATTATTGTCATCGACAGCATCCGTACTTTCATCAGTGGCAATCAAGTAGTCAAAATTACCAACATTGAATTGCTCAATGATATTCAAGCGACTTCGAAAGGGCAATTCCGCATTCAAGACAGAAGACCGAATGTGAAACTGCTCCAAAAAGAGTTTGAGTCGGTATCCCCCATCGGTCGAGTTTACAAAAAAGATTCCCTTGCCCTTCAGCAAACCAAGCTTCAAAAAGACATAGATGATCAAATTCTTATCTCGTCTGGGACATTCCATGTAGAATTGTATCAGATTTCCATCGGCATTGGATTCTTCCTCTTCCAACTTGAGGACCACAGGTGAATGCAAAACAACACGCTTCAAGGAATTCAACTCTGGTGATAGGGTTGCCGACATGAGGAATCCTTGACAAATCTTGGGCATATTCTTCATGACTTCTGTGATATCATTTGCGTAACCTAGAGAGAAAAAATAGAGCGAAATTATGGGTTAGCAACAAACTAATCCAATGATTCATTCCTTGGCGCACACAACAACACGAGACCACAACAACAACCGCTACTCACCAAAAGAGAGGACCAAATCCGCTTCATCTACAACCAAAGTCTCGACTGATTCCTTCAAATTGACATCACCGTTTCGAATATGTGCCAACAAACCAGCAGGTGTCGCCACAACGACATCAGGTCGATCTCGCAACATGGCTGTTTGGCGCGCCAGATCTTGTTGTCCCTTCTTGCCCTTGGCCCGCGAGGCACTCAAGACGGCCGCTTGAATGACATCGTCACAATAGTAAGTCAAAGATTGAATCGTAGAATAAACTTGCGAACAGAGTTCTCGAGTAGGTACCAAGACGACAGCCCGAATGGCAGCATCTTTGTTGGCATTCTTGGCTTGAATGATCTTTTGTAATAGTGGAAGGCAATAGGCCAAAGTTTTACCACTTCCCGTCTTGGCTCTCACTAGTAGATCACGTCCCGAAGTAATGGCTAGAGGAAGGCACTTGGATTGTACAAGAGTGGGCCGAACATGGCCCAGCCTCTGGACTGCCTTTTTCAATCGAACATCAATCCCAATTGCCTCGGTGAGAGAGGCAAAGGTTTCGTCATGGTCCAAAAGCGCCATTGGTACAGTACTGATTCTTCGAGGAATTTGCTTTTATGATGTATGATTTGTGGTGACAGGGAATGTAGCGCAAGTTGTACGAAGAGTTTCAACTATAATCTTCGTTCAACACTGACAATAATATCAATCTCAATTTTGGTTTTTGTTCGATTGGCCTTGGTAGCATCGGTTGACGATCAGACATTATGAGGTCGGATTGATTTTGTCCGGAGAGGTCGGATTGGCAACCTGTCCGGCGGACTGTCCGGCGTACCTGTCATTGATCGATCCTTGTCTTGCCGGCTCGACCTCCCAAGCTAAAAATTTGTTGTCAGAATTTGCGGCCTAAATGTTTGCAAACTATTTGACTCACAACGTAAAAGACTACTTAACACACTCGTTCCAATCGGTTTCTCCAACGGCCCTGTTTTCCCACCATTTTTGATGCAGAGTCTCTCATATTCGGTTCTGTGTTTATCCAATACTGTCGATAAGAGCTGAATGTGTTGGACACCGACTGTGGTTTAAGAGTGCTTGGTGAAGTCCCCCATGGACCTCCAATCACTCCATGGCCTTAGCGGCGGGGCTAGGGCGTCCAATCGCTCCAGTGGAACAGAGCTGGAGGGACGAAGGGCTGGCTCTACGGGAGGTTCGCGTAGAAACCGTACCAGACATGGAATAGAGGTGGATTGCAGAGACAATCAAAGGCACCATGCGGTCCACTTGGTGGAAGAGGAGGCAGGATATTCGAACAACGACTCGATACGGTCTGCGGATATGCCTTGGGATGAGCAGCAAAGCGACGATGAAGGCGGTAGTCACCCGAACGATCACCGGAAATCAGACAATTTCAGCACACCGCCTTTGGTGGAGGAAATTGTGTTTGGAGAGGAAGAAGAGAAGAGAACTGCCAAATTGGAGGCGCAAAGATTAAAACAATCTGCTGCCTTATTAGATCAGGGTCTGAGACGGACGCCTGGAGCGAGTCAAATGCAAGAGTACGAACACATGAGACGAACTCCTGGTGCCACCAAGATGCATCGATCCGCAGTTGCAGTTCCCAATGTCAATGTAAACATCAACATGCCTACAACGAATGATCGCACTGGTTTGGGGTATGGACTATCGTTACCCCCTCAAGTTACTGCTTCAGAAGATGATCCACCAGAATTGACTAGTTCTAGATGGGAAGGAGCACCTGGTATTAGAAAGCCAGCGGCTACTGTTTCCAATGGCTCCTCTTCCCAAGTGCGAGGACCCTTTTCCATTTCGCCATGGAATTCCCGAGGTTCTACTGTTAGCCACGAAGACAGAAATTTCAGTGGACGACTGACCAAAGAACTAGAGGACTTGTTGCGAGAGGATGAAGAACCAGGACAGAGGGTCCCGCTTTACGAGCGATCCATATTCCGGAGCGGGCACAATGATGATTCCTCGCCCAATCTCTCAGCAGCAGCATCAACAAACGCTGAGAGAGGTCAAGAATGGACTGCTCCTTTTGACTTGTCTACGAAATCTTCCAAATCTCGAAATTCCTTTGGAGGACGCAAGGGGAAGGGACATCACAATGCCCGCCGTGGTGGCCGTGCGCCAGAGAAACAACAATCTCGAGGGTCGGACTACGCGGGCGCCTTTGCGGCAAGGATGGGTGGATTTTTACCCTTTGGAAAGCAAAAAGCCAACCGAAATACGCCACAGCATGGTGGTGGTTGGGATAATATGGATGACAATACCATCGTGGAAGGAAGACCTAGTTTTGAAAGCGATGATGGGAGAGGAGAAGGGAACGGGATCTTGAACTTTTGTGGAGCCTTTGCCCCGTACGATGGAATCTTCCACCGTACCTTTCCTTCCGTCAAGCCGATGCTTGCCAATTCGTTTCAACCAGAGGCATCGGAAGCACCGATGGAGCCCTCGTACTTCAACGGAGCTCCAACCTTTGGAGGTGCATTTCATAGTCCCGTACCGCAACATCAGCCATACAATGCGTTCGAGGGGGGCTTTGCACCACAACCGCCCTTTGGTGTTCCTCCCAACAACATGTATGGTGCTGCTACGAGTCATCTTCCGATGGAGCAAGACAAGGAGCATTTCAACTATGGACTTTCTGTGGAAAACAATGTGTTTGACTTTCAAACGCAACCAATGCATCAGCAACCGGTACCACCGCAAAATTTCATTCCAGTCCATCAACCGCCACACCAAAATGCTTTTGTGGTTGCAGCGCCACCGCCTCATGTTTGGCCTCATCAGCAGCCTGTAGGCATGGTATTTGATGGTCATGCTCACGCACCCGTCGATCACACCAATTGGCATGGTGGCGGTGGAGCACAACAAGAACCACCACTTCAAGGCTGGGGAATGGCTCCTCGGTTTGGCTATGGTGTTGTTCCAGGGAACAATGATCCTTCGCTGCATGCTGCTCATCCAGTTCACACTGGCCAGGTCAAGATGGAATTCACGAACGTCCAACCGAATCCTTTTGTTCCAGACATGCAAGTTAACCCGTTCACGGAACTTCAAAAGCAGCCACCGCAAACCTCGAATCAACCGTCCAATCGAGTCAACAACAATCGAAACAACTCGCAACGAGGACGGAAGAATCAGAATATGGGAAACAAGAAAAACAACAGAAACAGGAAAAAGAATGGAAAAGGCAAAAACAACAACACAAATAACAAAAAAACGCCGACGCCACCGTTGCCCATATCTGAACAAGCACCACCAGAGGTACCCTGCACAAACGATGTCCCTGCTCCTGAGGTCAAGCGTCAAGTCTCTGGCTCTAGTGAATTGATGGAATCGAAGGCCGCTTGGAAAACATTCAATGAGAAATTTCGAAGCAAGAAACAGTCTTCAATGGAAGATGCCGAAATTTTTGCAAGTACATGCCTTCGGGATGGGACATTGCCCGAATCGATTCACTGGAAGGTATACTTGGAATTGGCCGACCTTGCAAAGCGAGCCAATCGGTTTGCAGATGCCCGTTCTCTTTACCAACAAGTTTGCTCTTTACAACCGACCGAGTCTCAAGTTTGGTTGGATTACAGCAAGCTAGAGGAAGACTGCTACAATATGAAGACTTGTGCCAAAATTCTTGACGCTGGTTTGGAGCGTTGTGAACTGAACGAGAACCTCATGATCCGGGCAATCAAGCACCAAGAGAAAATGTCCAACTTGGATAGAGCCAGAGAGCTCCTTGCGAAGCTCAAGCAGACGAATATTCAAAAGGTTTGGAAGATTGTGCTGGAAGGAGCATTGATGGAGGCACGAGCTGGAAATCATGATGTTGCTCGCCGTGTGCTCAAGTATCTCATTGTTCATGTTTCCTGGTATGGCCCACTGTACCTAGAAGCATACAAGTTAGAGAAGGACCTTGGTAGCATGAAGGATGCTCTTGGTGTTGTCGAGAAGGGTCTCAAGGAGAAGCCCCAGTACGGTCCATTGTGGTTTGGAGCTTTCAAATTGTGCGAAGAGATGGACGTGGCAAATGAACGTTACGATCTGCCACGTGCAATGGAGATGATTTCTCGTGCAACAGGGAATATCAGCAAAGAGTTGGTATTCAAGGTGCATCTTGAGGCCGCATCTATGTTGGAGCGGGTGGCGACTGAATATCTTGATGATACTACGACGCCTACATCCCAAGAGACCGCGGAACGAGCAAGAAACAGTTTTGCCGAGGCGATGTTAAACTGTCCAAAGAACCAGAAGTGGAAGGTATGGCTTGCGGCCGGTAGAATGGAAGTTCTTCAAGGAAACTATGACGCTGCAAGAACTCTTTTCCGTAGAGCGCAAGTTGTTGTGCCTGAAAAGGGAAGAGCTGTCGCTCTCTTGGAATGCGCTATGTTGGAGGAATATGCTGGAGACGTTGGTCTAGCACGTGCTGTTTTGACCAAAAGTCGCAACGTCTGTGGCAACGACTGGAAAGTTTGGTTGGAGAGCGTTTTTCTTGAAATCAGGAATGACGATCAGGTTCGAGCACTTGAACTGGCCGAACTCGGCCTCGAATTGCACAGCGGAACGGGCCGCTTGTGGGCCTCACTTGTGCAGTTGCATCATTATGACATGGGCGAACGTGCTCAGTTTGATACTTTGAAACTTGCTTTGAATGCTGTTCCAAAGAGTGGAGAAGTGTGGTGTGAAGGTGCAAGAATTCACCTCAATCCATTTTCGAGAAGCTTTGATCCCAATGCAGCTCGAAGACATCTTCTATTTGCCACAAACTTTACGCCTCAGTATGGAGATTGTTTCCTTGAAATGCTGAAGCAAGAAATTATCGAGCAATGGCTCGCACCAGTTGCAACAAGAATCATGGAATCGTCCATGGATCAAGTTGCGTTAAGTCCTGAAGGCAATGGTCTTCAGGAGCTGGGGAGGTTTGTCCGCGACATCTGTCGTGACATTTTTACAATCTGTGGTGTCAGTGCTGGCGACAGCAGTGATGACAGCCTCAAATACATCGATGATGAGACTGCCTCGTTTGTTCGTGAAAGTTTGAATGCAACTATTGACGCGGTTGACACATCGCAGATTCTGCTTTGGTGCTCAAATGCTGATCCAAACTATGGATCACTTTGGTTTCAATGCCGTGGAGGTCCAAATGATACTGCTCGACGAATTCTCGCCAGAGCAGCGGACCTCATTTTTGACGACGTTAAATCCCATTCGCATCTGTACCTTGGTGCGTTCGCAAGACAAATGGCATTGGTGGCAGCCTTCAAGAATCAAGAAAAAGACCAGGTGACGGAATCTGGCAACAAAAAATGCGCAGAGCGTGCTGCGCAACTGGAAGAGAGAGCAATAGATGTTCTCTTAGCCGCTCCTTCTTTGGAAGAGATGTTTAGTATCGGAGGCAAGAATGGAAAACAAGAGGAAACCATGGATCTTTTGAAAAGTACCATGATGACACCCTCGGACTTTGTTACGGGTCTTATTGCCCTCAACAAGAAACGTCCTATGGAGTCTTTGCCACTTGACGAACGAAGAAAAGTTCTTTACGGAACTGATCCTTTATTCTCGTGATGACAATGATCCCGGCTGTATAGTCCATCAAGTTGGAATCGCTTCGTGTCTCTGCTCTTTTGGCAAGAACGCAGGATTTGATATGATTTCAGATGTATACACTAAAATGTGGATAACTAAGATGGTTTTGATTACACTTTGGTGTTTGTTTCTAGATCCAGAATTCATGTTTAGGGAATTGCAAGAGAGTATGTCTCAAAAACCTAATGCGATCGAGCTATGTTGTTCGGCTTGGACTCAGATGGCAATGTTCTTCCATCCGACTTCCCCTTCCAGTAAAAGTCACCATATGCCGCAAAGAGTTCGTCACCAGCTTCAATAATCTTCGTGGATACGATAGCTGAACGGCAACCATCTAGAACATATTTGCAATTCGTCAACTCTTCATTCAGTGGATCGTTGATGTAACGCGCCTTGATCCTCTGGACTGGTCCTGGATCGACTAGGACTCCGTCATGAACCATCATCAAGTAGGATGTATCCTTCAGTTCCCTAGATGACTTGAAGCTATGCAAGTGGCCAGTGTAATAGCATAACGTTGTTCCTGGTTGGATTGGATCCGTAGGTATAGCAGATGACGGCTCATAGAATAATCCTAGCCCGGCATCTGGAATACGGCTTGGCTTTGGTATCAAATACTCGTCCAATACATATTCCACGGGAGGCAAATTATCATTCATTTCCTGTCGAACAAGGGAGCACCGTCTTTGCAGTTCCTGCAGATCGTCCACTTCTTGTTCCAACAAAGGCATATCATCTGGATGGCAGTCCGACGAGGACGGTCGGATGGCCAATTCATTCCATTTTTCTAGCACTTCCAGTCGAAACCAAAGACTTTCGAATGTGTCAGATCGTTCAAAGCCGTGAAAGTAGCGTTCTTCAGCGTCTCCCTCTGGTATGGTATTGTCATTCGCCATTGGAACGTCACAAAGCAATCTCTGATCTCTTTTGAGGAGAAACTGTGGCCACAAGTTCGATTTCACGGAATCAATCATTGTCAACGATTTCGGGGATGGTGCAATTTTGGAGGCCACATTATTATTTTGGCTGATCCAGCTATGCCACAGCACAGTGGTACCATGCATGGGCGCAAAAAATTGCTCGCTACGTTGCGAAGGCTAGGCAGCCATTTTAAGCATTTCCGTCGTGGGCATCAATGGAAACCGCACTGGCTTGTATCACCTCTAGGGTGGCGAGTTGCTTAAATTTGGGGTCAGATCATCATGTTCTTCTTGAACAACGACCTCCTCGCTCTGGAAATAAGAAGCTGCATTTGGGATGTAGGAGCTAGTTGCGTGTATAGCTTGCAGCTCGGTCGCACTAGGACGGTTTTCTGCTAGTAGTTGGTAGAGATCGCGTTACTACCATGAACTAAATGGGTATCGCCTCCTTTATTATTGCTGGTCATCAATGGTGCCATGTTTTGAGCACTTATCGTTCATTCGAATGGGTCGACTTTGTCACGAAACCAGATTTAACGTATTTAACATATGATCCACGATGCCCCCTCGAAAGACAGGCCACCAGCGACATGGCCATGGCAAGACGAAAGACAAGAGAAACTCAGATTACGATCCTCCTTCGAAATCGATGGACGGAAAAGTAAAAGAATTCGGAAAGAAAGCAAGGGCGCTTTTGCAAGAAGAAAAGGATAAGCGTAGGGAAATTAAGGTTGTGGATCCAGTACAAATATCAACCAAAACGAAGAGCAGTACATCGTTTGGATCTGCCATCAAGTCAGCGGGTGCAGCAACTACCGCAACGGCACGGTCAAATAAGAGGCAAAGGGTTTCCTCTCCCACCAAGCGACGACGGTCGGAGGGCGCATCGTCGGCAGTAACGAGTAAGATTCACATTCATGCGCCGCATATCCCCATTCCAGACAAGGAGTTTCGATCCAATGTTGTCAAACTGCATGGACTACATGCATCTTGTACCAAGGATCACATCAAGAAGTTCTTTTCGGGTCTCAAATTTGATTTCATCTTCACGGTGCTTTCCAATGACATTTATATACCACTATTGGATTGCAAGAAGGATCTTCAAGAAACTAGAGCAAGTTCCAACAACGATCATCACTTGAGAGTCTTTGTCAAATTTGAAAGCTCTACCTTAGCCACAGTTGCAGCGGAAAGGTCTGGTGAAACCATCAGCATTGGTGCAGTTAAGACGAGTAGTAGCGAACCAACAAAAGTATCGATTGGGGTAACACTAATGAGCAAAGAGCTTGCTCGTCGAATGTTGGAGATGGTGAGTCTAATCTGGAACAAAACGAGAGAGACTCGTTTGTTTGAAATGACTGATATTATACTAACTGCATCGCTATCGTTATTTGCCGCTTACAGTCTATTCATGGCATCAGTAATGCACCCTTTTACGAGGTGCTTTCAAAGATTGAAAAGGAACTGCATCCCATAATATCCACGATTCTATGGAAGAGGGTCGCTAAAACTGTCGAAGTACCACTTGAGGAAGAGATAAATCAGCATGATTTGTTCAGGAAAACCAACCACGATCCCTCCACGTTGCAAGGATACCAGGAGCTGGCTCGTCACTGCAACCAACTCATTGAAATTCATGAAACATTGATAAATCAACTTCCGTCACCGTCAGTCGAGCTATTGGCATCGGAACTGTCTAGCACTGATCCAAGCGTCCGACTAACTAGTGTTGCGGCCACTGTGTTGACAAACGAAGTGTCACAATTGCACAAGATCCTTTGTCAAGGGCGGGTGGAAGCTCGAATCCAACGCCAAACGGAAGCGACAAGATGATCAAATCACCATCTTGCTCATAAGACAGAAAATAGTATAATGCTGCTATCGTGTCTTCTTTTGGATTTCTTTCGTTTATATATCAAAAGATCCATCCATCATCCATGTGGTGACAGAGAGAAGCATGAACATGAGCCAAGCAAAAAATAAAGGTCGAAACCATGACTAGTACGATCGCAAATAGGCGAATGTTCTCAAATCCGTGACTACTTCGGTAGAGAAGCGTTTTCAATAAAACAGGTGCTGCGTCAAAGCGAAACTGATGCTGAAACAAGTCATATTGAATATATATACAATATGAATAACTCATCAAATCTCTCAGTTGAAGCATACGATGACAGCAAGGATTTAAGCTATGGCCAATATGTTGGACTGGTGTTTTCATCCATGTCGGGATGTCTTTTGAGCATAATTGGTAGCTCAATAATATTATACCGTGCAAGATGCAAGGTCCGAGGGAATTTGTATCACCGTACCCTGGCGATCTTGTCGATATTCGATATCATCAATTCACTTTCTTGGATGCTCCATCCACTTGTCTTTAATGCGAAAGGTACGCCCGGTCTATACTGGGCGAATGGGAATTTACAAACCTGTACTGTTGGTGGATTCCTGGCCTTGGGTAAGAAAACTATTTGTGTTCTTTACCTCCAATTTGATTTGATATATGTATCTTATAAGAAGACTAATGACTGATCGATGACATGACTTTCTGCTTCATTAGCGTTTGCGCTGCAAATGTGGTTCTACAGTTTTTATTTGGGGATGTATTTTCTGCTAGTGATACGCTATCAATGGTCCGATCGGAAAATTGCAAAGTACTTTGAATTCATTTCGTTTGGTGTTGCGGCTGGCATTTCATGGTCTGCTGGCCTATGGGGCTTGGTCACCAAAAGTTTCAATCCCCGTCCAAATGATTTACTGTGCTTGAGCCAAGGATACCCCTATAAGTGTGAATTGGATCCGAATGTAGAATGCATTCGCGGTGGGGCGGATACGAATGTGGGGTCTATGATAGCGACGGTATCATCACTCTGTGGCATTGGAGGACTCGTCACAACGACCATGGTGTATTTCAGTGTATGGGAGATAACGAAACAACATCGCTCAAAACATCGTTATTCTTCCGCTCTTGGTATGGAACAACGATTGAAAGAGGTCGCAAAGCAGTGCATGCTGTACTTTTTGGTGTATGTGAATGTCTTTATCTGGCCTATAGGGACGAACATCATTTATGGTATCTCGAGGAAAGACAGTGGCGAAGAACCTGCTCGGAACGATCTTGGCCCTTATATTTATAGTCTGATATCGTGGTTCTTCTTCCCAATCACGGGACTTCTCAATTGCATGGTCTACCTAAGGCCACGATACGTGCAATGGCGTCTTGCCGTTCCACAAGAGGGGAGAATATGGGCAATTCGGAAGGCAATTTCACCAGATCGATTGCCATTACCAGAGGCGAGTAGTGAGATGAGTTCTAATGTGAACAGAATAGCGTCCCCAAGCGTTGAATTTGCTGCAAACACTGGTAACCTTCGCTTCGTAGCCAAAGCGCTTGAATCCTTCGTAGATGATGACGACAGCGACGAACGTGTTGAAGCCAATCGGAGAAACGTCCAATACACTTCTGAAGAAAACGAGGAAGATATCATAATTGGAGATATCGATGACGGAGATAAAGTATTCCAGTCTGAGGTAGCTTCAATTATGGAAGGAACCAGCAAGAAAGTTGTGAAAACGGAAGCGGAACAAACGCTAGATAGCATTGTAGAATAGGGGGAGTACAAGCTGAAGAAATGGCAGCTACATGAATAATAGTCTGTACCTTATTTTTAAAATAACGAAATATTAACAAAGATATAAAAGAAGTTGCTCATGCTGAAATGTGGAATATTTTCTTCTCGGTTTCACGAGTTCAGAATTCCGTTTCCATGTGCCCACCGGTGTCGGGTAGCGACCTACCGACGCCATCTGTGACTCCAGCATGGCAATGCCTTTAATCAACAGTATCCATCTATATCCTGCTGGATCGAGAACAGTAATGCAGACGATGTAAAACATGCACATCTGGGAGGAACGGCCTTGTCCATTTTTGTGGCAGCGTTTAGCAAATTCCAGTACTGTTGTTTCAGTTTCTAGCTTTCTTAACCGAAGCGGCAGGATGATGCATCGTACTGAAAATTGTAGATTCAATGGTCCTATGGTATCATTTCTTCTTCTTCGATTTCTTCATTGTCTTGCCCGCTTCGGCTTGTTTCTTTAGTTGAGACTTGGATGGTGGTTTGTCGTTTGCTACCGCCTTTGCAGCATTTGACTTCCATGATTCCAGAGCATTGACTTGCTTCTCGCTAAAGCCAAGAGCTAGAGAGGCCTCTTGGCCAGGAACGATAACAAGTAGATAGTTCAAGACCACCTTGGCCACTTGAGTGCCACAACGCTTGAAGTATCCTGGTTTCCCTCCTTGCAACGGTCCACATTGTATAGAGTGCTGAATAAGTTGAAACACATTGAGCGATACCTCTTTGATGTTTTCTTCCGACAGCTCCTCCTCGTCGTTGTCTTTGGTATCATTAGAGCTGTAGTGTTTCTTGATTTGGCGCCATTCATTGACACAATTGGCCACAGCGTTCAAAATGTTCTCTTCGTACTTCTTGGGATCGGCAATTAACTGAGACAGCTGCATAGATTCACGAACATTCTTGATTCTGCGTTGCAAATGTTTCAGTTCCTTTTGGCAACGACTGATGATGGTCGGATCCACAATGGCATCACTTGGTACCACGTTATTCCTCTCTGGTGTGTTTGTTGCGTGGGGCACCTCCGACTCGTTTTCAGTAGCTGCGACGCTCTGCGATTGTTGGAGCACGTTCTCATTTGATGATTCGGTGCATTGGATATTCGACGGATCTACTATTTTCAATTGAAACTCATTTTCGTCTTCTTCCGCCCCAGAAACTATTGTCGCACCGATAATGTACTCTTCGTCCTCCTCCCTATTGTCAGTGTCAGTGTCGCTATACTTGGGAGACTCTCTCGGTTGCTTTGGACGTTTGGCTCGCCTAGCATTGTGCTTTGGAAGTCGACCATCGGTAGGACCTCCTCGGCCACGGAATGTCCTCCGTTGCGTATTCATTGCGAAGTGCAGCGACAATAATAGTATAGACCGTCGACAACAGTGCTGGTATATACTTGTATACAGTATATAAGTAGTTTATAGACAAACCCTGACAGGTTTGGAGACGAAGCAGACGATTGTGAATTTTGTGTCGTTGACTAATTAGACTTTAATTAAAAGCACTAAATCCGTACCCAGACAGCATGAAATGAAAAATTGTGATCAACGACTGAAACATGCCAACCAGAAGACCATCTTTTAGCGAACAAACTGTGAACGAAGAAAGATGTCCAAGGCTCCGATGATTGCTGGAACTATGCAAACAGACCCTCGGTCTGGTAAGTACTGTTTCATATCGTTGAATGGGGCTCTGCGTGGATCGAGAAGTTGAAATGAAATACAGTGATTGTTGGGTTCGTATTCTGTAAAGTATAGTTCAATATCGGTAGGAATATATGCGCTAATGACTTTTCTCAATGACAATAGGAGGTGTAAAAAGATCATCAGGAGTCACTATACTTCCAGTGGTCACAGAAGCTTGGGCAGAAGTCCGTGACGACGGTAACGCTGACATTGACTGGATCTTGATTGGTTACGAGGGAAACTCGAAAACGGACATGACGTTATTGGAAAAGGGCAGTGGAGGACTGGAAGCCATTGCGAATGTCCTTCCACCTGGAGTTCCTTCCTTTGGTGGGGTAAAACTATCGAGTGGAAAATTCGTTTCCTTTCTGTATATTGATGATGATTGTCCCGCCATGAAACGAGGCCGTACGCTCATGTACAAGAATGGTATGTCTCCTATTTTCAAACAATTGTGGTGGTAAAGGAGCACACATGTCTAACCTACTTATCCAAAAATTTCTTTTTGTAAAATGGTATTATAGGGGTATTCAACGCACTGGAGGGCTGCGTTGGAGAAATAGAAATGAAACCCGGATTGACAGAAGCTGACATGGGTCCAGTGCGATAGAAGTATAGTAGAGTCACATACTGATTTAAAGGAGAATAACAAACATATCCACAAATCCACACCCACACACAAAATCCTTTTGGAAAATTTCAGCAGTTTTTTATATCTTCTGGAGTTATACTTGAACTTGTTAGCAAAACATTAATTTCTTCTTGTTGAAAAAATCCTTACATGACAGGAGGCGACGCTGGTCCATTGAACCAGGGATGATTCATTACTTCCTCCATCGTCAGTCGAGTTCGTGGATCGACCTGCAACATGTTCTCCAGTAGATGTAAGCACTCTTTCGAAACAGTGACACCCCAGTCTGACATCAATCTGCCAACGTCATGGGTCATCCAATAGAATTGTGGATCGGAATCGTGTGGCTGTTGATATGATCGGTTACCGGTGGCCATACAAAAAAGGATCGTTCCTGCAGTCCATATATCCACGGCACAGCCATCAAAAGCAGTTCGATTGCGAAAAACCTTTTTGCATAGAACAAGAAAGCAGGCAAGCAAGAGTCAGAATACATCGGATTTCATTTTTTATTTTAAACACCCTGCTTTTGACACAAACACAACTTACCTCCGGTGACATGTAGGGCAGCTTGCCGCATGCACCCTGTGGTCGGATCAATCTCCGATGCGTCCCCCTCGTGATATCTGTAACACTGTTGGCAATATTTGGGTCTGTGTATGGAATTCTAAGCGCCATTCCCATATCAATAATCAAGCATTGACCATCGTCAATCATTACATTTTCTGGTGAAATGTCTCTGTGACAGATTCCTCTATCATGTAGATGTTTGATACCAGCCATGATTTGTTTGAACCAGAATCGGGCGGTTGGCTCTGGAAAACCGACACAATTTTGTTGCGATTCTTGTAGCAACTGGAAAAGGTCACCAGATCCTGCGTAGGGCATAACCACATTCAGATTCTCACCATCAAACAAAACTTCAATTGCACCCATAACATTGGGGTGATCATTTCCTATCACTTGCATGGCTGCAATTTCTTTAAGAGGATCTTCAGCGTGCTTGTTTCGCAATCGTTCCATTGTTTCTGAATAGTTCACCTTGACTGCCACAAGGCGATTCGTCCTTTGAAAGACAATTTCTTCTTCCTCATACGAGCTATCGCTGGAAGAGTCATCACCACTGGATTGATCTGACGCACATTTCGTCAGCACTAAACATATTTCCACATGACCCATGATGGTTGTTATTCGATCCTTGAACGGAACGGGCCAATAAGCTTGTATGACACGGCCCAAACCTCCATCTGGTTCACCAAACTCCCGTGAAAAGTCTCGAAACAAAACATTTTTGGCAACCGTATGACTTCGGGTTTCTTCCGTATAGCAGACCACATCCGCTCGTTGTCCACGTTCAAATTTGGGTCTGCCAAAAGGTATTGGAGGAGCCGGTGGCCCTGCTTCTGCGAGGGCGTCCAGTGGTCTCCGTTGAGCTGGATCTGGAACTGCCAACCGGTGACCACCAGGAATGTTCATACCACCCATTGCGTGGGTGACATCGGTCATTACATCATCGGCAGCCATTTTTTGTCTTTCCCTCGTTGCTATTGAGTATTTAGTGTTGGTTCTTTCGTGTAAAAAGGATATGAATTGTTGCTTGAGATGAATACGCTACTGCTGCCGGTATGAAAAAACTGAGTCGAACACTCTCGGTTTGTTTTCAGGACTGTTGAATGACTGATCCAATTATCCAAGTTAAAAGATGTGCAGGCTTGTTGGTAGCTCTTTTACACCAATCAGTAGTAATCTAGCACGGAAGGATCAGTGGATGACCTTCAAAACCCAATCTTCTTCGAGTGGATTGGGTTGCAGTTGTGTTGAAAATGAAGCCCGCTCTTCCAACGGAGCTTTTCCGCTACGTCTGGCGGCCGACCTGCTTTTCGAACAAAGAGCGTACGGCGGCCAGATGTGACAATCTCAAATTCAACACAACCATCACAAAATCTCAAACGAGAACAAAACCAAAAAGTCACCGCCAAAATGACAACATTCCCGTGTTAGTGAGCTCTTGCTACAGTACTGATTTATCGAGTGCGGCATGAAGGATGAGGAGGAAAATTGGTACAGCGGTCTATAAAACTGTAATAAATTTGGCTTATTATGTTCTATGATGATGATGATGGATCATTGTTATGATGGCATGCATGATGCATGATGTCATGAGATAACAGTGGTGCTTTTTGCTAACGCCGTTATGGTGCAGTTTCAGATAACACACATGCCATTGGGAAAAGATGAACAATAATCACTTATTCACGTTTCCCAGAAGTTCTTCCTCTCAGACAAACTGACATGCCGATTAAGATGCTTGGCACTTATTGGTTGATTGTCGTTTGTAGCCACCTGTCAGCTCCATAGTACAACCATCTGGCAGCACATTATGTCCATTATGTCCGAATTCAGCTCATTACCTAGCAGCACCAGTGCTCTTCCAATGACAGTTGAGCCTCGTTGCCAAAAGATCTACAGCTTTTTGGATCGGCCACAATGAAAATGCAAGATTTCGAAACAGATGCGATTCGCGGTATCCTTGGCGGTTCACGTCGACCCCACATTGATGATGTCACCCTTCTTTCCCCAATTTGCTTTTAATGAGCCACCCTCAACAAGGATTCTTCCGTGTCAAGTTTTGAAACGTGGTACATCGCGTACAGAAGATCTTCGTAGAAAGTTTCAAACGGAAACTGGAATTCTTCAGACTCTTAGTACATTTTGTACAGTAATATAACGTGGAAAATCCAAATTTCTTCGAATTTCAGCGAAGTTTGGGAAACTCTTCTCATAACACCATACAAACATCAGTCAAAACATTAGACCTCGCATCGACAACCTCAACAAACTTTCTCGTTCCGACATGTACAGTGCCCTTCTCTTCAGCGTCATTGCCACTCTACAACTCCACAATGTTATTATCACCCAAGCTTTCATCACAGAACATCACAGACATCGAAGTTCTCGATCCGAAGTTTCAGCGGTGACACCCCTTCTGGCAGCATCGAATATCGATGATTTCTTTCCCACTGACGACAGTGACAAGAACCGCTTTGATGTGGAAGCTCTACGCCAACGATTCGAATCTTTGGCCTCCAACACTGGGCCTTCGATCTATAGCAGTGCCATGCAAGAACAACCGAATCTTGCAGAAAAAGAACCCCTATCAAGCCCTGTTCTATTGCTAACTGCTACTGATTCTTCTGTGCCACTCCGCGAAACACCAGCGCTGGATGTGGCCATTGAACCCCGACCTCCGCTCACAAGCATTGAACGAGAGCGTCGATCTGCAGAGATTGAGCTTCTAGGCCACCTTACCTACGGTGAAGAAGCTGTCAAGGAAATTTACAACCTCTGGTTCGCCGAACGTGGAGCTGCGGCTTCCAAGCTTCTGCACCAATCGAGGGAGCTGATGGAACAAGGTCCCAAGGAGCAAGATGAAGCTGAAGCAATCCTTCTTGCCCTAATCGACGACTATGGTGTATACTTTACAGGTAAGCACAAGAATCCAGATATTTTAGTGATTCAGAAGAATTTCGACTGACATATTTTTTTCTTCAGAACCCTTGAACCAACTTGCAATTCTTTACCACGTACAAGGTCGCTATGAAAAAGCATTGCAGCTCAACAAAATTGTTCTTTCCATCAAGCCATGGCATTTCGGGGCTCTTTCTCACATTGTTATGGTCTATGCTGCCATGGGTGATCAGATGTCGGCTCGCCAGTGGGCATACTTTCGTCTCCCGACATTTTCCAATGGTGGTTCTAATCAAAGAAGATCACGCTGGGTGGAACGAGCTGTTGTCGAAGCGACTGTTCGCCTTCACCAAGGAGAAAAGAACAATGCCAAATCGTTCGGAATCTCCGACCGCGAATGGATTGCCAAACAAGGCAATAAGTTCAACAAGTTCGAGTCTAATGATGCCAACTCCTGGCAGTAAACATTGGGAATACCTGTTGGTATGGCGAGGCGCTATGATCATATTTAGCGACTTGAATTGCCTCGCCATTCCGTTATCTGTCCACAACAACTGTGTTATTTTCTGTTGCAACCAAAGCATAAAACATACGACTACAATATACTGGGGAAAAAGCGTTGCACAGAATCAGAATCAATGAATCCTTTTATGAATGAATGTACAATCAAATGCACATAATATATAATCATGTAACTAATAGAATATAAAGGACATTTATATATATATATATATTTGTTTACGGCTAAGCCCTTGTTTCTGGTTCTACTTCTAGAATTAGATGATACCGAAATGTCAGGTGTATTTGATATAATAGTACTTCTAAACTTAGGATCTATCCTTCGGCATCGCACAGTTGCAATCAGGCCGAACAACCAATTAAACCCCATAGAACCAGTTCAGACGAATGCAAAAGTACCCAAGAAATCATGAGCAGCAACAAGTGACTGGACAAGCTTGGGCCTCTGCTAATTCGGCTCTCTCCAATAGTTTTTCATTATGTTGTTCCTTGTCAACGATTCGTTTCTGTGCCTCGATCAATTTGTCCTGCTTTTCATTGATTTCTTCTAGAAGCTTTCGTTCCGCTTCGGCAAGCATGTCTTCCATCTGCTTTTTGATCTTCTCTTGTTCTTCTACACTCTTTCTCTCAGCAGCCTTCATCTCTTCCTCCATCTTCTTTTCAGCTTCAGCTCTCAAACGTTTCATTTCAGCATCGTGAGCCAGTTGCTCTTTCTTCAGCCTTTCTTCTCGAGTGGTCACTTCCATCGAAAGCCTCTTTTCTGCTTCCTCCTTGAGATTACCAATCTCCTTGACTCGCTGTTCCTCCTTTTGTTGTAAAGTCTTTTCGGTTTCCTTTAGCTTGGACTGCATTTCATTTTCCAAAGCTGCCAATCGTTCTTCTTCTCGTTTCTTTTGCTCGGCAATTGCCTTGGCCATGGTTTGCTCGTGGTTTGTCTTCAGCGTTTCCATTTCCTTCTGGTTCTTTTCCTTGGTTGCCTTCAGATCGTTCTCCATTTTTGCAAGACCAGCCCGTTTCTCTTCAATATCTCGTTCCAAGTTGGCTTGTAACTCAAGGGCCTTGTTCAGAAGAACTTGTCTTTCTTGCACGGTGGCCAAGAAGACAGCGTCAGCATCACCGGGATCCTTAATATATTGAAGGAGGGTTTCCTCCATGGCTGGTCCTCTGGCACAATCACCAAAGAATTGCTCCACTGCTCCCAAGACTTTGGTTTCAAAGTCATATACACTCACTTGGTTTGGATCATCGCGAATGGTCTTGCGAATGGGTGTATAGAGGCGTTGGGCCACAGACTCACATGCTGTTTGCGATCGTTTGTAATTCTCTTGTTCAATCTGCGACAAGAAGGATGTCTTGCTAGGACCATCACAACTGGATTCGTACATTTCCATTACTTCCTTTAGGATAGACGGCAAGGAAATGGATTCCGTGAGTTCAGCCTTGAGCTTTGTGCTGGTTTTATTGCTGAATTCCAACAAGCTGTCCGCGTCGGCAACTCCCTTTAGTTCTAGTTCCTCGATGATCAAATTCAGGTCTACACCAACAGCCAACCAGGTTGGCTTGGAATCGCCATTTTCCAATTTGATGTCTGTCTTTCCAGCACTTCCTTCGTTGTAAACATCAGACGAATCCAAAAACGTTTGCAATCCAGTCTTGTACTCTTCAATACACTTGGCCACGTGCTCTTCCGCCATAGACTTTAGCAGTTGGTGCTGCAGATCGGGAAGGTTGGGAATGACCCCATCTGAGTTTACCAACTCGATGCAAGTTTCGCACCACTTGGCAATGACGGATGGATGGGCGTAGTTTCCAAGCTTGTTGCTAGATCGGGGACTCCAGTTCCAGCCCTTCTTCTCATCGCCCATTGCGAATGGTGTTTCTGCCTCTTTCAGGCAGTATTTGATAACCGTATTCATGTCTTGTTGAAAGGCATCATCGAACTCAGTCCAGGGAACATCTCCCAACATGGACATTTCTTCGACTTGGAAAGGAAGACCTTCCTTTCGTTTGGGATATCCGATGGACAAGACATTAAAGTCGGCAAAGTCATTCAACAATGAGTCTACCACTTGCTTGTCATCGCCATTGTGGTTTTGATGCATGACCCGTTCTAGAACGTATTCCTCAAGACTATATTTTTTCGACGGATCGTCTTTGCGTGGAGGCAACTGCAAAAAGAAATCCCGAAAGACCCACAAAAAGCTGGGATACTTGACCCGACTCTTGGTGGCTGGAATGCGCCTTCGCACAGTCTCCAAATAGCGCAAAAAGGTCAAGGATCCTCGATCGGGGTGACTGGTATTGTTAAACACAAAGACACTAGATAGTAGGACACAGGCCAATGCAATCCGAGCATCATTTGTAGCAGAAGCGTCCGCTCCAGTAGCCGACAAGGGATCTCCCATGCCCTCACAATCCAAGACAAATTTGTAGACCCCAGTGGATTTCTGTTTAATGGCGGATGTACTGATCCAAATGCCGCGAGTGCATCCCTCCAAAGTGGGTCCAATTTGAAAGGCATTGGAATTCTCTAAAAATCTAGAAACTAACAAGGACTTGCCTGTCCGGTAGGGACCGACGCAGGAAATCATGGAGACGGGAGCATTCTTGGGCTTCATAGTTTGAAGCATTTCGACACCCGCGTTGGGGACCAAGACCAGTTGAGGTGCCTCATTGGATGCTTCATTTTCGGAACCTCCATTCTTCGGCTTGGCACTAATGGTGTTCGTTTCTGGGTCGTACTCTACATCATCTGGTAAGAATAAAGGCACTGATGTGAATGGCTTGTTGGAAATCGAGACGACTTCGTGGTCACTGTCGAGTGAGGCCATTGTTGGGGGAATCGGGTTGGCGATGATTGAGGTATTGGATCGGTCCAATACTGGTACCTGGTACGAGTATTGAGAAACGCTTCTCTTTGATCGATCGATTGATTGCGGAACTAAAGATTTCGGAATCCGAGTCGGCCGATCTTGTGATGGATTCAAATCAAATCACGCTGTTTCAATTTACATTTCGTCGATGCTACAACCAGGATTCCAGATGCCTCAACCGTTCAAAAACCACATTGAGCCTCAAACTCATGTTGCGACAATACCAGTATATCAAATACAGTTTATAAACTGTCTTTGGAATGATGTTTTCCCCTTCAGGCCGGCTTCTGTCCCAACAAGGAAGATGCGCTTCCCCTATTGCCAACAAACTTGGACTCATCTATAGCCTGTACTTGCAATGACGACTCCGCCGTGAACCAGTAAAAATTATGCCAGTACAGTACATGTAGTAGTGCGGATATCAAAGAAGCAGTAGCTGCTTGGCGAGGTTTAGAGGAGGTGAAAAAGTAAAGCTACTATAGAGGAGAACTACTATTTTAATCCTGCAACAGATGATTGGGAACCAACGAATGGTGCTGGTAGTGGCAGTGAAGTGGGAAATGAGGGAAATTGAAGTCGCCGACGATGTGCATTTAACGACACGAGTGAAGCAAGAGATAGACGATAAGTATATATATGATGGGGCTTAGGACTTTAGAGGAAACGGCGAAGTCTAGCACGAGTGCGGAATGGACGTTTTAGACTTATGGCGTCATGGCGTCCATGTTCTCTATCCGATCAATAGACAAGTTATTTCTCACCATCATTAAAAAGGGAGTTTATTTCGCTTATTCTGCGGTCACCACCGGTGGTCTTTTCAAATTCGCCAGGTTTTTATTAAATCGACCAAGGACAAAGGGAGAACTTCACTTCTGCCACCAAATAAGCCCTTCTTCGTTTCTTCTACAGTTGCATAAATGTTGGATTCCTCCCATGACCAGAATGGGACTTTTGCTCCGCTATGTACTGTACCAATTGCCTGTAGGGTTTACATGTCTCTTAAGCAATTGGGACCTTGCGTTATTGAAATTTGATTGCGGCAGTTTCACTCGGGTTCTCACATAGTTTGTTTCACCGAAACAAGGTGTCCGAGCAAGAGCCTCACTTCGCCCTGATCCCCGCAAACTTCGTATTCAAACCACTCACAAATTCTCAAGTGAGGACAACAGAGAAGCATCAATCGAGTACAGTATACCATAGACTACTGCAAAGCCATCGCACCATGAATAAAGATTCCACTGAGAGTCGGCAAATACTTACACCAACAGCTCCTATCAAGAACGAGGAGGAAGCGGAAAAATCTCGTTCTCCATCAACTGTTCCAAAAGCCTCGCGAGAGAAAAAATCGGACGCTGCTCGATACGCCGCTCTTCGCAACCATCGTATCCGCTTGGAAGATGCCATCGATCCAGATGCGGAACGGGTCAGCAGAATAAACAAGACAGACATACTCTTTGGAAGAGGCAAAGGGTTTCAGGTAAGAAAGATCAAGTTGATTTCGAGTCGAACGTTTGCATTTCGATAGGCTAACTGAATATTGAATTCGCTTTTGTTTTCGAACTTCAGAACCACCCTGGCAATCAGCGCATGAGAGAGATTGTCGAAAAGTACAAGATCAAGTATCACACACTGAGACGAACTGAAAAGCAAGACCTTATCGAAGCTGTCTATCAGGAGCTCACCGAAGGTGGTGCTCGCTTCTTGAAAAAGTTGGAAAAGGAAGAAACATGGGTAAATGTTGACCGTCCAGTGGCACTTCAAAAGGTCAGTCACACTCTTCGTTGCCGCAAGGGGGTATTGGACAAGGTGATGAACGACCAAGCCATCACTGCGCCCAACAAGTTTGTTGCTGAGGGAATGAGTCAAGTGCAACAAAGACTATTGTCCACCTCATTGGCTGGACTACACACATCCTTCAATCCAGCGTCAGGTGGAATCTCCCCCAGTCTCGAGGCCCAACGATTCTCTGCCGCCAATCTTCCCAACTTGGAGGCCCAACGCATAGCCGCCCTCGAACGCTTCCGTGCCTTGACCACGATGCCATTTATGAACACACCCACTCCCGCTCCCCAACAAGTTCCGAGTCTCATGGATCACTACAATAATCTTAAGAGGGAACAAATAATGCGGGAATATATGATCCAACAAATGCAACAAAAACAACTGTTGTCGGGGATGGGTTTCATGAACAACATGGGGAATATGGGAGCACCCAACAAGGTTGCTGATCCATCACCGACAAATCCAACCAACCACATCTTCTACTAATATGAGTGGTATTGCTACTACTTTAATATGATCCTATGGTATCATTCCATTGTTATCAATATATCATTCTATTCTGCTACAGTACCAGGTAGTTGTGATTAATTCTACTAGTATCGAGTACGATACGGCGCGGACTTGGAACAAACAAGCAACACCAGTGCTGAAAGTGTCTTCTATCATTAAGGGTACAATTATTGTAAACTACTTCTATTCTGCATGTATGATAATAAAAAATATATAGTAATCCAATGCTCTTCTCATGATGGCGTATCCAATACAAGTTTTTCCTTGGGTGTCGGCGGTGGTTCATTGGAAAAGTAAGGGTGACTCAGCGATTGGGAAGCGGTAAACCGCATATTCGGATCCAATGCCAGTATAGACCTTAGCAGCGAAATGGCGTCTCGAGGAGCCCCCGTGAAGATTTCGTCAAAGGGGATTGCCGGGACATCATCCCAGAGCAAGCCTCGTGCACAAAGTGGTAATGCTTTGTGATCGGGCCAGTTGGTTTCATTCGGTGTCCCAAAGACAGTAAAAATGGTATCCAGCTGGGAAATATCGGTCTGTTTGCCCTGTAGAAAGGGTCTCCTCAATAGCAATTCGGCAAAGATACAGCCCACACTCCACATGTCGGCTGCAGAGGAATATTCGTAGGAACCCAACAGTAGTTCTGGTGGTTTGTACCACAGTGTAATTGCTTGGGGAGCTGTGTGTTTCGTTTAGTTTTGTTTGCGAGAAAAAGTGCGCAAATTATGTGTGTGTGTGTGTGAGAGAGAGAGAATATTCCAAGAAACAAGTTGAATACATTCCCAGCGCGCAAAGATAACCATCTGGATAGTCTCGTCTGTTTTCTGTTTACTTACACAATCGTTGTTTTGGTGTCCCGTACATTCTTGCTAGACCAAAATCGGCCAATTTCATGGTACCATCCTTTAAGAAGAGCATGTTATCAGGCTTTAAATCACGATGCAAAATCCACCGATCGTGACAAGCAGAAATAGCACGCAGCAGACTCGACAGGTGTTGTTTGATGTCTGAAAACGACATTGGAATAGACTTGTTGTTTAGGACCTTTTCCAGATCCGTCTCGGCACATTCATAAACCAAGCAGACAGCTTGATCAGGAGTCACAAATACATCCACCAACTCGATGATATTCTCGTGTCTGAATTCCCTCAAGAGTTTGATCTCTCGAATGGCGGTAAAGTTGATTCCTTCACCGGATGTTTTGCTTTTGATTTTCTTGAGGGCCACCACCCGGTTGGATCCTATTTGTTCAGCCATGTGAACCACACCCCAGGTACCTTGACCGAGGGCCTTGGTGACTCGATAATTTTCCATGCTTGGGTTGTTGTGTTGTGCGTGTCTCTTGGTGGATTTCAAAGATTGAGTCTGGTGTTTCCATGAAGTTGCGATTGCATCATGATGCTCAATGCATTTCCAACTCATCGGAATGTGGTCTGTTTGTCGTACGTGTACGCAGAAAGAGATCAACCAAAATGCATGGGGCATGGGTTGTTGACCCAAATGACAACTCACTTGACTGTGTATGTTTACAACATGAACATGCAATCGCTTCTCACTCTTTTCACTCTCTTTTGTGTCCTAGTCACAAGGTGAGTATTTCTGATTGTATCTGCGCTGTTTTCATCGTTATTTGGCATTCGTAAAAGGCCTAACAGACTCCCTCGTTGACACCCTCGTTTCCATCAATCACGACTTATCTATTTCGGAATTATGTTAGCTGGGCTCAACCCACAAAAGACTTAGAAGGCCGCCTGGAATTCGGTGATAAGACCCCTTTCAATGTCACAACAAGAATAACCTTGAATAATGGAGAATTCAGCACCTATTCGAAAATCGATGGAAGCTTTACCATATACGATGTGCCCCCAGGAATTCATCAATTGGACATTCACTCCACAAACTATCACTTTGGACAGATCAAGATTCAATTGCTGGAAGATTCTATGGATTCTCCCAACTGTTTAGAATATGCCTTTCCAGGAGCTACCAAGCAAATCATTAGCTACCCCTTGGTAATGTATCCATATGCAACCTACCAATACTTTGAACCCCAAAAGGGATTCTCCATTTTGCGATTGCTCAAGAGTCCCATGGTTCTCATGATGATCTTTGGTGGTTTCATGATGTACGTCATGCCCATGATGATGGAAGGATTGGATCCTGAAGAAAAGGCAGCCATGAAGAAGCAAATGGAAGCTCAACAGGATCCGACCAAAATGTTTTCGCAAATGTTGGGAGGCCTTACCGGAGCTCCAGAGGAGGAAGACACCGGCAAGTCTCGAAAAGAGCGACGCAAACTTAGAAGCAAGAAACAATAGATGGTTTGTTTTTACTTTTATTTCTTCGTTGTACTGTATTTATATATATATATTGAATAAATATATCTCTAGAGTAGTTTCCTGATTACGACTCACTCTTGCGAGACAAATTTGACATGCTTGACAAAATCGATGTCCAACAAGGCCAATTCCAATCCTTGGCGGACCTTGTTGGCTCCACGGAATTCAATCTCCACAACGCCAATGGGATCCACATTTAATATATTGACCACTCCTCCCATGGCCTGGATGGCTCCCTTGATGCGATTGACCTCCTCTTCCACCACTTGATAGGTCAATTCCGTGGGTTTCGCATCTCCTTCGTCCTCGACTTGGATTATCTCGCCCAAATCGGCAAAGTTCTCCTTCAAAACTCGTTCAATTCCCATTTTCATGGTGACTGTGGAAGAAGGACAAGATCCACAGGCTCCCTCCAATTTCAAATAGACATTTTTGGTGGCTTCGTCTACACTCTGGACAGACACGTTCCCACCATCGGAAATCAAGTAGGGACGGACTTCTTCCAACACCTTGTCGACCGTTTCCTTGGAAAAGACAAGTGTTCCAGCCTCTGTCTTTTCTTCCTTTGTGCTTTTGGCCGGTTTGGTCTCTTTCTTGTTGGCATCAAAAGGAGAAATAACATCCTCGCTTTCCGCAGAAGCAGCTGGAGTCTCTTCTGTTGCCGCCGAAGAGTCTCCCATCACGTCTGACGCCCGCGACATGGCCGCCGCTGCCATTTGCATTTCGGAAAAGATTTCATCGTCTTCCTCGTCCCAATCGTCATCGTCGTCATCATCCTCGTCCTCCAGACCAAGGGAAAGCTTCTTTGCCAAATCTGCCAAGATTGGATCAAAATGCACACTTCCGCCAGCTTCCATCGCTTGAACCTTCCATTGATTTGCAATCTCTTCCATGGCCCCTTGACTGGGAACCACAAAGGTCAGTGCGCGGACATGGGCCATCTTGTCGGCATATTCGTCCATGTGCTCTTGCAAGGTGGACGCCAAATCCACAGAAACACCCACGTGCTGACAGTGCTCCCATCCTTCGGATCCACGCTTGTAGTCTTTGTTGAGGACAGCATAAGTTCCAGCGACTTTGGCACCCTTAAGACCAGCCATGAGCACTTTAAAGGGAAGAACGCGCTTGCCATTCAAGACGGGAGCTTTGAGACCTGGGGCAGCATCTTCTTCTTGCGTGGCCCACAATTGCGTCAAAGTTTGTTGTTGACATTGTTGTTGTTGTTGTCGTTGTGGAGGAGGAGTAGAAACAGCGGTAAAGGCCGAAGCCCGAGGTCCGCAGCAGGCCACCAAAAGCAGTGACGAGAGAGCAAATTTTTGTTTTCGATTGAAGGACATGATGTTGCAAGTCGAAGGTTTGTTGGTCGTTGTTCTTGTCGTGATGGTTGGTTGAAACTGGAAACTCTGGAAGCATCAGATGACGTCAGCATAGAAGGGGGTGAAATTTGAGGGTCAATCACTTTTATGATGGGGAGGAGAAGTCGACTGGGTGGATTGCACCAAGAATTGAGATCTTGAAACGCAGAGGGCATTGCAACAGAAGACGAAGCATCGTAATACTGGTTTACAAGAAGCAGGAATTGTAGTCATATATACTACACAAAGAATATATTCAATATTGGTAGAAAGGCTCAGCTAAAAGTCTCGCAAGAAGTGACAAAATTCCAAAATGGAAAAGCAACAAACACAATCAAAGGGTCTCCAGCCGGAAATTGGCATGGTCGGATCCATTCTGTTTTTCGTGGCGCTCTTTTCATTGGCCATTCCGGATAAAGAAGGCTATGAACAATTCAGAAAATGTCATGGAAATTGTGTGAACGGTATATTGCATGCTATTGGAATGCCAATGGCTGTATCGGGAGTCTTTTTGGTGGTCAAGTCGGTATCCGACTCGGCGGAATTCACGAGGCATTTGCAGTTCTGTGTCACCACGGGGTACTTGTATTTATATCTCCAATACGAAACCGATCCATTCAGTCCATGGATCTTTTATGTTTTGTACTTGGGAATATTTGATCGGATTCTATATCCCTACTTGTACTTGAATACTACATTGGGCCGACTCAAGACGTTGGTGATTGGAATTGGACTGGTTCTCTTCAATGTGGGTGCATTGGAGACTATTGGCCATGGTATCTTTGAACACCATCACAGTTATGTTTTGGAGTTCTTCAACTCGGTATTTCACACACCTTTGTATGGCATCAATTCTGTAATGGGATTTGTGAGTCCTCGATCTGACCACGTCTGTTGGTAGTTTTAAAACTAGCCTGACTTGATATATATAGAAGTAGAGATTTCAAATTAATTTTGACAAGCTACGTAGTACTCAATATTTTTTAATCAACAAAGAAAGTATAAAAGAATAGCATAAGAATAATTCCACAACGAACAGATGGTCATAGAGTATTAGTAGCAACCATTTTATGGCCTACCCGTAGACCAACACACATCGACATCAAGCATCGAACATTCATGAACAGCGATCGGCGGCATTCGCCCACTATGAATCCCCTTGGGAGTTCCCCTCGCTCCCTGAACCATTTTGTTCATCTGACACCGTATTGGTGAATTGCTCCAAATCCTTGATCATCTGATCCTTGGCGAGCGACTGAGACTTCAAAACTGTGATTTCGTTCTCCAGCATTCCAATGTGGACTTCAAGTGAAGTGCATCTATGGGCCAATCGTTCTCGATCATCATTAACTTCTTCCATGGTGGCATTATTGGGGTCAAAATCGACGTCTTTCAACAGCCCAGCCGATTTTTTGACAGCAACAATCGCATCCTGTTGGGCTTGACATTTGAATATCAGCATTTGTCGTTCATCTTCAATGTCCTGAATCTGCAGTAGCAACCGCGATCGTTCGTCTCCCATGGCCGTTAGAGCGTCCTCGAGTGCCTTGTTCTTCATCATTTCGTTCTCTCGTTCGTTTTTCCGATCTTCCTTCAGCTTTTGCATCGCCCCGTCCTTGGTAGCACTCAGCTTCTCCAATTCATCTATTCGTCGTTCTTGGAAACGACATTGCGCCTGCAGGCCAGTGTGTTTGGCTTTCAGATCGTCGTACCGCTTGATGTATTCTTCTACCTTGAAATCATCCGCCTTACCTTGCAACTTGTCGTCAAATTTACTCAGTCGCTTTTCCTTCTTCAACTTGATAATGGTGTCCGTTTGTTCGTCAACTTGGACGGACAACTCGTTGTTTTCAGTTTCGAGTTGTTCAATTCGATTTTGGAGCATACCCACGTCGAAGGCTTCGTTCGATTCTTCGTCATCGTCTTGTGGTAGATCCGGTACTCGGTTTTGGGCTTCGTCCAAGGCAAATTCAAATTCGGTACACTTAAGAGCGAGCGTTTCCTTTTCAGCTTCAAGTTCGGTAGTTCGAGCTTCCAGGCTTTGGCACTTTTCATTTAGTTGTTCCCTTTCCTCGTCGAATTCTTCATATTGGTCATTCAAAGCTTTCAATCGCTCGATTTGTTTGTTCTTTTCTTCATTCTGCTCTTCGATTTTACCTCGTTTCTCATTGGCCTCCTTGACTTGCTGTTCCAACTCGGCAATTTTTTGTTTCCATTCCTCTTCCTTTTGCTCAATAGTCTTCTTCGCTGCCTCTTGCTTTGATAGAAACAGGTCCCTCTCTTCCCCAAAAAACTCAATAGAGGAATTGAGACTCTTTATGGCAAAGTTGATTGCCCGTTCCGGAGAAAGATTCTTCTTCGGAAATGCTTGAGGCGACGAACTGGTACTCTTTCTTATACTCATCCGTTGTACATACGTTCCACGGCCATCGTCGGCTCCTTCTATCTTCTCGTCCCACTTTTCAATCCGTTCTTTCAGCTCATCCAATTCTTCATTTGCATCGTCAGCTCCCAAAGTTTGGATCAAAGTTCGTTCCAATTCGATAATGTTCAACGCAGACGTCTTGAGGAACTCATTGAGTTGCTTTATTTGCTCTTCTTTCTTTGATTTCGACTTGCTATTCATGGTTTACGATGAGTGGATACGCTATGTCCACCAACCGCTTTTCCCCTCTCCTGCGATAGATTGGTCGATGTGCAGAGGGAGATTTGCAAGCGAAACGATACTACAGTAGTTAAAATATTAAAAGTTGTTTCCATTTTCATTTTTCCGTTGGTTGGGTTTTTGGCGGGAGTCGCCACGAAAACGGAACTCGTGATTGCAATTGGATTGATTGAAGCGGCGGATCTTGAGATGACAATATGAATAATGAGGTGCAACTACATCTGTTGCCGCTACTGGAGATACTCTGGATCAAAAGCGTTATATTCACTCCTTGAAGAGGAGAATAGTATTAACTAGTTTAGTCTTGTTGGCGGGTATCGGGCACGATAAATTTCAAGTTGTTCTTGTGGAAGTTGATTGATTGCTTCAACACTGCTGACTCCAGACCCAGCATTACTCTCCAGCATTTTGGCGCACCGCATCCAGCCTTCCCACAGTCTCTTCTCGGTATAAATCTTACCTTCCACCAAGCGTGGTAACAGGGTGTGGCAAATCCAACTGTGCAAACTCTCATGCTTGGAGCAAACTAGGATCACCGTTCGCATATAGGCAAGGGGGAGTTTTTCTTCGCTGGTCAAGAATTTTCCACTCATGTGGTCCAATGACGACATGATCAAACCATCATTAAAGACCTCTTCGTTCTCGAGACACAACCGAAGGGCATCCAAATACCGTTTCTGTGGAACGCCAGCAGCCTTGAAGTCCATCGTGTGAAGGTAGACCAATTGCTCGCAAAGGGTGAGTCCTTTGAGCTGCAGAGCGTCATCGTCCGATTCGGGTTCATCTCGGAACAGGAGCTGGTGTCGAGATAGGCGTTCTCCCATCTTCATTAATGCCGCCACAAAGACGTCATCGTCAGCTTGCACAAATTCTGGAAGTTTCTTTACCAGCTCGTCGCGTTTCATACTGCAAACAATTGGAATGAGGAACCGTGGATCCTTCTTGCCATCCTTTGATTTCTTTTCTTGAATTTCAAAGCAGGCGTCAATGAGCTCTTGTGAAGGCATATTCTTCTCTCCCACTGGCGTCAGATGCTCCAAAAAAGTTAGTAGCAACGGAATTTCATCTTGTGAAGTTTCATCCGAAACTTGCATTGCCAGTGTAGCAGCACCGTGCTTGGTGGCAACGGCTCTTGCCAATTTAGCCATGTTTTGTCGGACAGTCTTCGACAAAGTATCTGCCTTGGGGACCGCACTGATTTGGAACAGTTTCTTGATAATTTCAGGGCGGCGAATACACAGTGCCATGAACAGGAAGACTGGCTTCCGGAGCTTGTCCATCGCTAGTCGTTCGGCCTCACTGCTGGGGGCGAAAGCCCCCTTTGGACCTCCATAGTTTTCTTTTGCAGCATTTTTAGCGTTTTCCTCTTGAATCGAGTCATACGTTTCGACCGCTAAGTCGGAGGCTTTCTTGAGTTCTGCAACGGCAGCTTCCACCACCAAGTCGGCAAGCGTTGTTGATTTCGGGAACAAAACATTCATTACTAACTTGAGCGCCTTGTCTTCGCAGCTCTTGCTTGCATTCATGCTACCAGATGCAATACACACAGCTGCTTCCACAGCACTCCTCCGCGTTTGCACATCATCACGTTGAAATGCGGAATCTCGAATAGTCAGGAGCACAGTGACTGCACGTTTCTCAGCAGCTTGTTTCGAGGCATGGAGCGACGCGGTTGCAGCAATCGTTTGCTGAGAACCCTTGCGATCCGCATCGGCAGCCTTTTTCGCAATATCTTCCGTATCACACATGGCGCTTAGAAGCTCGAATGTGGATTTCTTTACTTGAGGCATGGCACCAATCTGCTGCTGAATGGATCCAGACAGGTGTGCTGCAGTTCGTTTTCGGTCGTTATCCGTGGGCTTGTCGTTGGTGCGTTCGCCACTGTGCAAGAAGGACCCAACAAATAGATCGAGACTAGTGTCATAGTTTCTCCATGGATCTTTGCCCTTTACAGGTTTCTCGTAGCACGAGTTAGCATAGGCTTCATCTAGAATGGAGCGGCCCAAGGATGGTCTATCCTCTTGGGCCTCCGATTCTGGAGTGATGGTTGCTTCCATGACAAGACAGCTTGCTACCAATGGGAAGGATGACGCAAGCTCATCAAGTGATTCTTGCTTTTCTTTTGAAGCCAATCGCTTTTTGGAACTCTGGATTGTGTCGTTGGCCATTTGCTGCGCGGGTCGCAGATTCGACGATATTGGCACATCCTTCAGTGTCCACGCCAATTTTGCGGCAACCTGATTGGCAAACTTAGTCAATTCGGGGTATCGACTACTCGTACTATTGGCGATGATCCGGCCCATTGCTTCAGACGCAGCCACCTTGCATTGCGTGTCGAACAGCGCCTTTTGGTTATGAATGCTTTCGAGTTCTTGTTTAGAGCGCTTCTTGTCGGGCCCATCTTCCGCAGTGATGGTGGATAGCAACTTTTCACTGAGCTCATAGTACGTATCATTATCCATGTGACTTTCCCAGGCTTCACCTCCATCGCGTGAATACCAACGCCCCTCTTCTTGGGTTAGAGACGCTCCATTTGTAATGATGGCATCTATAAGCGAATCCATAGTTGCGGGGGCCTTTTGTTTAGACGACTGCTTTTTAGACGATCGCGCCGGTTTCTTGGAAGGAAGATGCTGGAGATTAGCCATGATCAAATCAATCGAGTCCGCCATGGAAGTGGGCAACTGGATCCCTTGTCCCAAACCTCGGGCCGCCTTGGCAGCTCGCATCTTGGCCAAGGCATCGTCGGTTTCTCGTTGCCGTTTTGATGATCTTTGATCAGCACTCGTTTCCCATTCGTAAAACATATTGGCACGATTACGGGCAGCGCGACCAGCGGTCTTAAGCGACATAGTCTGTTGGGCCATCTTCTCAGCCTTTTCGGCTTGGACCTTCATATCGGACTTGATCAGTGTCTTCAAAAGTATTTGAGAGCTCTTAGTCTGCACCGAAAGCGCATTTCTCAATAGTGTCAAACATGATGCTCGCAACTGCGATTGAATGGCCAATATGGCACTCTTGGTTAAGGGTCCGTCTTCCACAAATTTTGGTGGATCGGCATTGCGACGACCCAAGCAGGTGGCTCCTTCTTTGAAAAAGACTGGCCGGTTACTTGAGAGGGTTGCCAGGGCATTGATGGTGAGGGTGTAGGATTTCTGGGATAACAAGAAGTCAAACTCCATGTTGGCTCGGTCCAGGTTGAATTCGAGTGCATTTTCGGCATCCCCCGGAGGAATTGTGGATTCGACTTCCAAAAAGGCTAGGGATGCTGGTTTCAGAATGGATACCACCTGCTCAGAGGGAGAGTTGTTTCCACCCATCAACATCTCTGACAAAAGATTAGAGTCGACCTTGCGTTGTCCACCCAAAAGCGCTAGACCACGGAGTGTGGAAAAGGCATATTCCGCAATAGACTCCAAAGCTTCCCGAGTAATGACAGGGTGACCAGCTGGGAGATCTTCCAGCGAAAAGTCGTCGGGCTGAGAAAAAGGGAATAGCAGAATGATGAGATAAAGGAACGGGATGTTTAAATTACAACACAAGATTGGCTTACCGAGTCTCGTCGTTTCCTACTACTCGAGTCTTGAGGTTTAGCCGAGCAACATAGACAAACAATCTCCAAAAATTTGATGCAGGCACTTCTTAGTGCATCATCCTCTGCGCCAACGTCTTTGGAAAGATTTGTATTGAGAAAGAGTTTCTTCAACACTCCCTCCACCATCTTCATAACGGGTCCAAAGACGCGATTAGCTCCTCTATCATCGGCATCTCGAATTCTTTGGGCAATATGTTTGAGGGAAGGCCGAATGGAGGCCGATGCCGCAATTACCCCGCGGGCTCCTATGGCTGCTTCGGCACTGTCAGACGTAAAGACCCCCGGTGTCGTGCAAGCGATGGAAGCTTGGACCCAATATCTCAGCAATTCTGCCTCGCGCGCAAGTCGTTTTTGTTGACGGCGCTTCAACTGTGCTCTGGGTTGCTGCGTATTGTGATGAACTTTACTGATTATCCCCGATCCATAAGGACCACCGTTGGATCCCTGGTTGCTATCCAGCCAACTGCCTGATTTGTGACACTCTCTCCAGAGGCCACGAAAAAATTCCAAACTAGCCCCCCGCTTGGCCGGAATGGTATCGGATTGCGCCATTTCTAATAAAACTGGCAATACCAAATCACTTATCACACGTTGGTATACTTCCTCGCAACTGGCTTCAACTCCTTCTGCTCCCACTCCTCGGTAATACGTTCTAGCAACTGATGGTGCTGTATGCGCTGCAACTTCCATCACTGGCTGCAGCACTGTTGCCAATTCAGCTTGGACTGTCTGACTTGAATTCGATCGCACTCCAGGATGTATTTTAACGTCGTCCAAAGCAGCTACCACTCGCCCTTCAAGGTCATCGATGGCCATCAAAAAGGGATCCTCCTTCTCACCTTCGAGCTCAGCTTCGGATTGCATTTCGGGGGCGGCGTTGTCGTCGTCACTCATATTGTCGTCATCTTGCTGTTGCCCCGTCAAGGTGGCGAGATTATCCTCGAGATCGGAGACCCCTCGACGTTCTCGAAACATGGTTGAGTGGCCGTTGCAAGCGAGTGTATCGTATCAGCGTGTTTGTGATGAGGTTTGGCTTATTAATATTGCTCTTGCGCTTCGACACACTCGGTTGCTTACAGACTGGAGAAGTCCGATGAGTCAAGCTGCAAAACAAAATCTTGGGTACGAAAGATGCTCATGAAGCGTGATGCATCACAAAAAATTATCGCTACATACAGTATGGGAACTGAACTGGAACATATTGAAACGTGGATACTAGCAGATTTAGACATTATACATATACTTTAACTCTTGTAGTCTCAAAGATTCTCTTGGGAAAGCATCTCGAGCCAGATTCGTCGGTTTCTTAGATTTCCTTTAGTCGTTGTCTCAAAGACTCTTCCCGTTTGAGGAGGTCTCGGGAAACTCGGATACAGGTGCAGAGGAATTGTGCTTGATCGTTGTCACGGCACAAGAATTCGACCGTCTTGACGCTGCCATCAAAGTTGTATTCCAAGGTGACGGTTACAGCTTTCTTGAATTTGTCTTGCATCTTCTTGGGGACTGGATTCTTTTGTTCCACTCTGGAGTCGACATGGATATTGACCAAGCTTGCCAACATCATTCCACCGTGTCCATACTTGTCAATGTTGGCGAGTCCGTATGTGGACTTGGGACTGAACTTCTTCACCCAGAGGAGAGCCTTAGGGCATTGAGCAACATCACCAGATGGCTTCAATGCCTCGTGGGCGGTGAGAGCCACTTGCTCTTTACAGATGGTGAAGTATCGAACTTGCCACTGCTTCTTAGTATTCAGCTTCAACACCTCAACTCCGTCACTAGATAGATGCTTCGAGAACTTCTCTACCAAGCTTCGTTGGTTGTTAGACAGTGCCATTGGCGTGGATGCGGACAATGCCGAATATCTAGAGTGTCGGGTTTCTTCACGCTTGGCGGCTTGCTTGGCTTCGGCCATGGCTTCGTCCGAATCAACAAGTTGTCCAGTAGCACTTTCACTTCCTTCTCTCATGGGTTGAGAAGTTGCATCGGTATCTTCTCTCGCAGAAAGCGTCGATAGATCGTTACCATGCAACTGAGAGACCCCATTTACCGACGACTTTCCGTCGCTTCTGGTATGACTACCATTCGATTCAGATTCGTCACGATTTTCCCATTCCTTCCAGATTTGTTCCTCCTTCACTGACAAGTTGCAAGTATCTGTCTGCGATTCCGACTTTTCATCACCCCTCTTCGAGGTTGGAGTTTGAGTAGTTGGATAGTTGCAGAAGGTACCATCGAGCATTTCACCCAATCCGCATCCTAGATTCAGGAAAATGGAAGCAGTACGATTGTGCCTCGAATGATTGGAAACCGACTTCTCACTGGTACTTTTGTCCTTTGTGGAAGGAGAATCTGCGGATCGTGTATGTGCAGATCGTGTTTCGTTTCTTGCAGTGAGCAGTCTATCAACCATCACCTTCTTGCCATCTCCGAGAATTGAGGTTGTGATCTCAGACTCAACATCAGTGTTCTCTTCTAATTCGAGCTTTGTTCCAGATCGATCATGCACCTTTGTACTCTTGGGTGTAACCTGCTTGGTCTGCCTCTCCATTTTGGTGCTTTGTGGAGTCTTAGTGCGTGATCTCTTCTTTTGTGCAGCATTATTGTCCTCCTCAAGATCACCAAAAATATCGTCTTCTACCGGGTTGGCATTTCGCGGGGACTTCTTTGATAGAGCATTCTTCAAAGAGGTCTTAACTTTCTTGCCCTTCCACCAACTTCCAGACTTATGGGAGGAAGCATGAGAAACACCTTCAAAGAGAGTGTCGTTCTGTCCATCCTTTAGAGTCTTTGATTGGAAGGATGCACCATCGAATAGAGTGTCACGATCACCTTCTCGTGTCTGTGTACCAGCTTGGCTTGCCATTGCGGACAACACTTCTCTTTCTTCCTCTTCTCGGATGGTATCAGGGAGTGGCTTCGTTGCGTTCGTCGGCTTGTGCTGACTGTTGTTCTCTGGGAAGACGCCAGAAAGCCCGGAACGCATACTCTTCGATCCATTGTCTTGTGTCAAGTCGTTTTGGATGCTAGATAATCCAGTTCGGATGCTTGTGTTAACGCTCCTCTTTGATGAACTAGTATCATTGGCACCATCGCCTACCTCGCCATTGGCATCCTCAGGTAGGTTGAGAGCTTCCATTGCGAGTGGCTCGCTCACATCTGTTCCAGCTGTACTGTCCTTAGGTGATGGGGCGTCAGCATCAAAATCTAGAAAAAACATAGCAAGATGAGTTGTTAATGGTTCAAGATATCGCAAAGATGAGATTGCCGTTTAAGACCATTCCTTACCATTGAAGAATTGATCAATAAATTCGTCGTTTGCGTTGGCTGTCGTACCAACAACATGCTTCTCCCCTCCTTCCTTGAGAACAAAGCCTATGCAAGACCAACAAAATGAGAACGGGTTACTTCGAGACAGACATGAAGACAACGACGAGGCTTACCTGGTGGGGAATTTGTAATCTTTCCAGTGGCTACAGAATGAACTGACTTGGAGTCGAATGCTGTGTTGCCCTCTGTTGCTTCGAGTGTAGACCGTTGTGAAACTGATGGTGTCTTCAACATATAGTCTAACTCACCAGTCGGCTTTCTGTGACCAGTCGGGGTCGTCGAAATCATAGATTGTGCCATCGAATGATTGGATCGTGTTGTACGCATTCCTGTGTTGCTAGGTGTCATCTGCTCGTGCATCGAGCTCATCATAGAGAAGTTATTCAGATAGATGTTGTCTTCGTTTCGGGGAGTGAAGCCAACATTTGTTGAATGCATAGATTCCTCTTGCTCGGGAAAGCCAAAACTATCAACCTTCGCAACTTTCGACTTCTGCTGTTGAGTCTTTTCAGTATCCGTACGAGCGGCGCTGAAATGTCGAAAGCTTGACATGAGCTCTGTTGAGAAAGGTTTCTCGGCGTCCTTGTTATTGCTATTTTTTGCATATCCCCTGGAAGCAAATGCAGGATGATCGAATCGTCGACTTCTGCTGCCTGATTCGACTGAAACTGATGAGCCGATTTCATCACCACGATTGTGATCAGATTTGCTTTGAGAGTTTTTCATCGCTAGAACACGAGATGCCTTCATCCCAAGGCGAGCCGAGACATCCTCGACATCATCTGAAAGCTTCGATATTTCTCCCTTCTTTTCCTTCTGTTGCATCGTAGAAGCAAGAATAGCTCGTCGAGCCTCTGCAGAATTGGTACCTTTTGCAGCTGTCCGATTCTTTCTTGCAGCTGCCACAGCAGCAGCCCTACTTTTGACGCGGCCATTGGCTGTACTTGAGACAGCTGAAGTCACCGGTGAGGCAGATTTGACGTCTGCTTTAGGACTCGAAACTGGAGTGCGGCGTGGCGAAGACGGCTGCAAAAACTTCTTGGGACTCTTGGGACTTGATTGTGGAGCGAAGCGTGGCGATGACGGCTGGACAGTTGTTACCTGCCAAGACTTTGCCGGGCTTGCCTTCGGGCTAGATGACGCCATCTGACCACTGTTGGATGGTGAAGCAGCCTTGGAGAGCCATGCTGTATTGGGAGCAGGACTCTTGTGGGGTGAAGATACCTTCGCCGGGGAAACAGATTTCAAATTTGCCCCCCAAGATGCACTGGCAATAGACTTGTTGTCATCCTCTTTTGCACTACCGGCTGATGGTGAAGCACTCTTGGAGAGCCACGTTGCATCGGCTGCAGGACTCTTGTGGGGTGAAGATACCTTCGCCGGGGAAACAGATTTCAAATGTGCCCCCCAAGATGCACTGACATCATCCTCCTTTGTGATAATGGAAGGAGTGGTAGTACGTCCTTTGTATGGTGAAGCAGATCTTTGATTTGAAGAATTATTCAAGTATGATGGTGTTCCAGAAAGCTTCGAACTGGGGGACGATGCCTGGTTGGGACCTGGAACTGGCTTTGACTTTTGTGTCTTTCTCTTACCGATGTCCAAAGCTCTCTTTGCCACATCACCGAGTTCCTTAGCACTCAATGACGATCGAGAAGACGCATTGGAGGATCCTGTTTGACTCTTTTCCTCCTCCATGACAACGGAGGCCGCATCTAATGAATTCTTTAAAGAGGACTCGTCGCGTTGCTCAACACTGTCACGTTGCTCAGCGCTAACATTTTTCTTTGACCATGAATTTGATGATGTGTCGCGAGATTCCGTGACATCTCTTGAGTGGCTCCTGCTAGCATTTCTGAATGGAGATTGGCTCACCAAACCACTTGACTTCAAGCCATCCGTTCCCCAACCTCGAGGCTTAGTAGGGGATTTCAGGGGAAGTACAACTGGCTTTGATGACACGTCATTGGTGGAAAGAAAGGGAGAAACAATTTTCCCTGTTGGCTTTATTTGCGGCTTTTTCCTTGGACTTAGAGACTTTCGTGGGGATGATTCTCGCGGCGATACAGTAGATCCTCTTACTGATGGAGAAGCTGATCTCTGCTGTGTAGTCGATTTTCGGGGGGATGACACTCGCGTTGATGTAGTAGATCCAGATTCTCGTGGCGACGGAGAAGCTGATCTCTGCTGCATAGTCGACTTTTGCGGGGATGAAACTCGTGTTGATACAGTAGATCCAGATCCTCGTGGCGATGGAGAAGCTGATCTCTGCTGCACAGTCATTTTTTGCGGCGATGACACCCTTGTTGACACGGTAGATCCTCTTGGCGATGGCGAAGCTGATCGTTGTTGTCTTGACGACTTATGCGGCGAGACTGGTCTCGGTGATGTACTCAATCTTTGCGAAGCTGTAGCTCTTTTAGGTGTCGTCGATCCTTGTTCTGCAGAAGATCGAGAAGATCGGTTTGGTGTAGTGGAACGTGATTTAGTCCGAGGACTTCCTTCTCCTTTTCTTTGATTGTTTCTATACGATTTGTATGGACCAGCACCAAGAGGTGAAGCCGCAGAGTTTGCACTTTTGTACGAAATGGAGCTAACTGCGCTCTTTGCAGGTGATACCGGACTTGCCACAACCTTCGTGGCAGGTATCGTCACCACCTCCGCCTCAGTATCGACTCTGCCAGGTTTCTCGAACATTGCCGCTCGGTTTCTCACCGAAAAAGACATATTAAAGGCAGTGTATTCTCAATCAGTTTTCTCCGCCAAGTATGATGCTTTCAATGCAGTGCGGAGTGTTCTTGAGTTGAAGGCGATGTTTCTTTTGTGAGTTTGTGATCAACGAATCTCTTATATTGATTCTACGGATCCGTATGAAATGGTATGCAATGCGTCAAACGGATTGTCATGCGCGCTAATTGAGTTGGCAAGCTAGGGGAGGGCATACGCGGCAAAAATTGGATTCGTACAATTTCATTCGACTCGAAATTTTAGTCGGAAAGTACAGTAATTTCAAATTTATGATATTTGAATTTGAATGGATGGTGATCTATCATCGACTTTCGACTCACTCCTCCCACCAACATTGTAGCGACTCCAAGCTCGGCAAAAAGAAAACAATACCCTGCAGCTCTTTGCTACTGGGGAATCCTGATGATGATAATAATAATCTTAAAAACCAACTTCTGCCTTCGCACTAGCCACAATTGTGAGGTTGTGATGACAGGTGTACCATGTACCTGCTGCTCTATCGTACAATTTCCAGTTTGGAACTCGAAGTCGCCCCTCCCGCAAGGGAACAAATCTCAATTTTGCTTCGACGGAATGTTGACCCTGAACCTTCCCTAGCATTAAAGCAGCGTCCATTGCCAAGAGTTCATTGTCACGAATCAGCTTGACCGTGCCATCATCTTCCCCTGAGATGCCCCACACTCCGAATTTGTACCCATCCACTTCCGATATGACGGCAGCATTTACAGCCTTGTGCTTGGATGTCTCTTCTTCTTCTGGGTTACCTTCGTCTTTTGCCATTAGCAACATGAGATCACACGCTTCGAGACTCAAATTGAAGATATCGAGGGATACAACCATCGGTTCTCCCAAGACGACGTTGGATGATTGTACATTCATATCAACTCGGAAAGCATCCGTCGGTTCGACAGCAATGAGTCCTGTAGACCACATTGCGTCTGCAGCTACCACCACATGCTTTCGCTCACTTCCCAACTCGCCATCAGCCGCGCTGCTCGAGCCAATCACGCCTGTCACGGAAACTGGAGATATAAACGAACGGCCCTGTATTTCTTCACTGGCATCTACAGTTAGAATCGTCGCATGCGCATCATGCGGATTTAGCGTGAGGGGTAGATCTAGCTGAGTCTTTGGAGCATAACCCCACTGCACAGACTGGGTCATGTTTGCTGTGATAAAAGACTGATTGAGATATTTCTGTTCCTTTCGACAATTTTTGATGGATCGCATCGTAGAAACTTACTAACAGAATATTGTGCCCCGGACTGATTCTTGCTTTTGTCGGAAATAGTCTTGTATCTGGAATGACCGGGGTGCATTGCTATTTTGGAAAGATACATTAAGTTGGGTAAGAGTATTGAACGCACAGCATGATACTATTCACACAGCAACAGGATCAACCAACAACTCACATATATTCGATATCGTGACTTTCTCTTGATGCGAATTGGAATGACGGATCGTCAAGGAGATTAGGGTGTTACCAATAGTAGGACCGTCAACACTTTTGACGGAAATTGTAAAGGCATTTGTCAGGCAAAGATTCAGATTGATGGGGCTAAGTCTTAGTTCCTTTGACGAAACCAACTTTGCCTTTCGCATGTATTGCGGTGTTGCAGCCATTTCGAGCGTCATTGGGTCAGGGATAGGTGATGAATCTTTTTCACTGGCATTCTCCTTGATGGTCAGAACCGGCACGACTTCCAGATTGGTGACAACACTCAAATCACTTTGATTCACAGAGTCTCCTCCATGCTTATTATTCAATGATTCGATTTGATGATTGGACGCCCGTACAGTCACCTTTAGAACAAACTGAAGCGTGGTATCCTCTATAAGGCACTCTTCGACATTTACACATTCCACCACAACATTTTTGGACTCGTCCACTGAAAAACTCTTGATTTCAAACCCAAGCGACGCAACAACTGAAGACGACCCGTCATTCTTTGCATTCGCGCTTTCATCATCCTCCACAAGATTTTTTGGCGCAGGATTCAAGCATTTCGATTTCAAGAATTCGTCCATTTTTTCTTTCGAATCGAATGACAGATTCAGGGGAAGATCAAAGGTCGAGTGTCCAGAGGAGTCAATAAAGAAAGAAGTGGTCTTCCAGCCACCAGCGGAGGCTACTACAATATGTGTAGCTTTTCCATCCTTGCCTTCCGTCACTGGTTCCACCGCACAGGATTCAAAGGCGTCCGACAATGCCATGGCTGATATCCACAACTGTGAGATGACAGGGATGCAAGATGCGATCCCAGATGATTGCTTGAAGATCATCATTGGGATCGATTGTTCCGAGCGGGTGGGTGCTTGTTTAGCCCCAACCTGTTGTTTAGGACAAAAAAGGTGCGTCAGCCAAAAGGGGGAACCAAGAGGCGCCAACCACTCATTATTTGTGGTGACGTCGATCATGCACTGCCTGCTGCTTTGCGAAATGCGGCACTTTCCTACTACTCTTGCTCGTCACATACGAGAGTCAACGGGCGAGTTGAGCCGATCTTTCGGCTTTGTTTACTAAATTTGTTTGGGCGCTAAAATTATGCCTAAGTATTCATAGCAGTCGATCTGCTGGCGACTTTTTCGTACGAGAGAAAGGAAAAGGCAACAGACAATGCAACGCCTCGGCAGGCGATTTTGGCTTCGAAAGCCGTACTTGCACCGCGCGCTAAGATCAGTGGTGGTTCGAGTCTTTTCCATTTGTAAAGAACAATGCGATAGAGAGCTGACAACAATCAAAAGATGAGCATGGAAAACAGAAGCAAAGATGACACAACGACACAAGGAAACGACTCTAGCGCTGTGCCATCAGGTTTCATTCTGAAGTTGTATCAAATGGTGAATGGTGCGCCAGACGAAGTGATATCGGTGAGTTAAGACGTTGTGGAAGCTTCCATTGCACCTATGTTGGAGAGGCTCGTCTTTTTTCCTGCTAGGAACCATCGATTCCTTCATCTATCCTGTGAATGAATATCCGAAAAAGTTGCTGAGATGGAAGAATCACTGGAATTATGAAAGCCGACACTGTCATCTGTATTGGAAGCATTTGTTCTTCCGTGAGCGTTTCTCGTCTCAAGCAACCTCGAAGATTGACATTTCCAGACAAGGATGAACGACACGAACATTTTGTTCACCAAACATGAATGAGAAGGGCTTTGCACCTCTTTTGAAACCCATCTTGGTGTGAAAAATGAGACTTTGTGATCGGCACTTCATTTTTTTGCGGGTTCCGTTCTCTTCTAATAAAATGGGATTTTGGTGGATTGTCGATGTTTCATCGCTTCCTGGCCTTTAGGGAAGGCTCGATTGTTGATTGGCGACTCTTTTGCAAAATTATGGATAGAAATGATGTCATTTTGCCTCAGGGTAACCCATTTCCATGGCCGAAAAGCCAATCCAATCGAAAACAAGACGTTTTCCGAACTGCGAAGATCTTCGACTTTGCGTAGCTTGGTTCGTACTTGGGACTGAGGGCGAATCTTTGGTCCGAGTTTCCGGTACTTTCTACGCAAGGTCTACGCCAAAAGACAAATTGATCATCCTGAGGTCCGGAGGCGTTCGTGGATTCGTGGTCCCATGGATTCCCTATTCCGTTCTCGTTTTGTTCGTGACTGAAAAAGATATTCCATAACTCGTGGCTGAAAATCCAGGCTGACACCTTCTCCTTTTTTCGCATTGCAGTGGACGCCATTAGGAGATGCCTTCATCATCGGATCAGACCTAGTACGACTAGAGTCAGAAACCTTGCCGCAGTACTTTCGACACAACCGATTTCAATCATTAGTGCGACAACTGAACTTCTATTCATTCCGAAAAATCAACCGAGAACGAAACGTTTGGATTTACAAGCACAAGCTCTTTCATCGTGACCGCCCAGAAGATCTTCACATGGTGAGACGCAGAACTTGCCCTGGTGTCGACGGGAGAAAGCAACGCTTTTCTCGGTACTCTGCTCAAAAGATCAGTAACTCCGACAAAGCCATTCAAAGCAGCGATGACGAACATAGCTTGGGCTCCAGCAGTGACGACGAAAACGAAAGCAAGAAGCGTTCCATGGGTGAATCTCGAGGCTCCGAGTCGAAGCGTTCGCGCCGCAGTCTGTGGTATGGTGGTGGTGGCAACAGCAAGACAAGCAACGAAAAAAAGGTTGTTGATGCAACCTCCGTGGTCAAGAGCACTACTTCGCCAACAAGCGTTTATGAGCCAAGCACCAGTCTTTTCCAAAATGAAATCGATGACGACGACTCAAGCGCCAACAAGAAGACCAACCGTATGGAAGCCGTCGAGCAAGCCATGATTGTATCTGAAGTAGCATCGAAACTCGAAGAACACCTCAAAAAGGTCATGAAGGGTCGCGGTGGAACTCGCTCTCGCAAGGGGAATGCTGGCATTGTTACTCCACCAAATGGATCGTACCAAAAGTTTGAAATGTCATCAAGAGGCCTTATAACATACGATGACGAGTACAAGACTACTTACCCCCCAACAATTTCTGAAACGGACGAGGCGAGCATTGCCTCCGTGACAGTCACTGAGGACGATGTATCTGAGCAATTGGCTGTTCCCAAGCAGTTTCTTGTTGCTCCTGTTGAGGACGTTGAAAAGGTTAAGAACATTTGTGAAGAAATCCGGTGTTGCGTGGATAGATCTTTTGGAAACTCGTTAACCTTTCAAGCTTGCGCCAGTGTTGCCGAGTTTTTCATGTCGACTCCTCCTTCGGAGGATGTTCAATGTGTGAGTAAAAAGGTCCTAGAGTTGCTCTCTACTTCGAGTCGGTTGGCAGCGGACTTCCACTTCTACAGGGCTGCTCTCAATCCTTGCAGTGCCAACAATGACGAACCTGAAGCCTCCAACTTGTTCGAAGAACGTCACGCGGTCGCTCTTCAGCGTTCTCTAGAGGGTGCTGCTAGCCAGAGCGATGCTGTTCGTGAATTCAAAATCTTCTGTGTCAACCTCATCTACAAGCTCCTCGAGAATATGGAAAACTATGGTGTTAAAGAACCTTTCTCGCCTACGGTGCGATCGAACTTGCTCCACACTGCAGAGACATGGTCCAAGAGCGTGGGAAATAGTGCATGATCATATGAACGTATTGGTGTTAATTTTGTTTTATGGTTGTTGATTGGGGTTATGTATGGTGAGGCGTTCAATGATTCAAAAACTTGGTACCTATGTCTATTGGCTGGAAGCAAGGAAAAAAAGACGAGCTGGGAGGGACAGAAGTGTGTAGTCAAAACTGGTATCTAACTATAGATTCACTTGGCTGCGCAATATATAATTGCTTTCTTTGTAGCTTGTACCGGTACCAGGGATTCTCCACCGATATGGTACTGGCATGGTACGAGTACATGTAAATACTGCATCTTTGGATTGATACATGTTAGTCGAACAAGTCGGGAAATGACGCACGGAAATGAACGAATGAATCATTGAATCATCAATCGAATGAACAAGCACAAGAAGTCACCAAACAAAAAGGATGCCAGAAGAGTCGACTTGGAGAAGCGTATTCCGCAATGATTTGTTTAAAGGAAAGGTCGCGCTGGTTTCTGGAGGTGGAACAGGCATTGGAAAGTCAATAGTAATCGAGCTAGCTTCGTTGGGTGCCACCGTTGTTATTTCTAGTCGGAACGAAGAAAAGTGCCATAAAGCTGCTGACGAACTTAATGCCCTTGGATTCTCAGGAAAAGTTGCCGCTGGTCCATCAACAAATATTCGAAAGGAAGAAGATATCCAGAAGCTGATTTCCCATGTTGTGGAAAGGTATGGAGCATTGGATATCCTCGTCAACAATGCGGGCGGACAGTTCATTTCCGATTCAGCCGACATTAGCAAGCGGGGGTTCCAAGCGGTTGTTGAGACAAACCTGCAGGGAACTTTCCTAATGTGCCGAGAGGCCTTCAACCAATATATGAGAGACAATGGTGGTTCCATAGTAAACATCACCATTGGGAATAGAAATGGTATGCCAGGAATGATGCACTCAGCCGCAGCACGAGCTGGAGTTGAAAATATGACAGCTTCGCTTTGTGTTGAATGGATTGAATCCAAGGTGCGAATCAACTGCGTTCGTCCGGGGATAATATTCACCGAATCTGGCTTTGAGAATTATGGCCCTGCTGGAGAATACTTCTTGGAGAAGATTGTTCCAAGCTTGCCAGCAAAACGACTTGGAAGTGCTGAAGAAGTGAGCTCCGCTGTCGTCTGGCTGCTATGTGAAGGGGCTGGCTATGTCACAGGAAGCGTAATCTGCGTTGATGGCGGTGGTTCTTATGTAGCGTTACCGTTGGTCGAAATCGAAGATAAAACCAACCTCCCCACTTACGGATATCTTCCAATGAAGGCTAAGCTATAAGATCGTTGTTTTTCCCATGTTGTTGTTATATTTCTAAAAAGTGATATGAATTGTAATCTAGAGAGACTTCCCTTCGGCATACTCATACGATTTCCCAGTCTTGGGGTCTAGTTGGCTTTTCGAGTTCACTCGATCCTTTGGATCATATGGTCTACCCAGCAAATTTAACGAATCTGTTAGATATGACAGGCCTTCTCATATGTGAATCTGTCACGTGAAACTTACCGGTAGGACCCAAAAACCCTGTCCCAGAACATAGTGTACTGCCCATAATTAGACTGTGGAATACGATGATGGACATCATGAGCCTTGGAGTCGAAGACCATGATGCCAAAGGGGGCAAATTCAATATCGAAGCGGGTATGATTCCATCCAGCAAGGACGCCTCCAACACCAAGGAAAAGAACGGTTGAAAGCGCGTGGACCTGAAGGTTAAGATGGTGACAGCAGAGGTACACGGCGAGCAAATGATTGTATTCTCCCAAGAAGAACTCCAGTGGGTGAACGTTAATGGCGTCATGGTTGGCACGGCTGCACAGCGGGGAGTCAAATGAGGCAAGAACAGCAACGTAACATCACACTTAATTTTTGTGAGCATACCTTGGTGCCTTTTGAATATGGTGATGCTTGTGCACGAAGCCATATATTGCCTTAATATGTAAGGCCCAGTGCAAGATCGTGTAGAAGAAATCAAATACGATGAAATAGAGTGGCAATGGGAGCAGCAATGTTTTCAATGAAATGTCATCCAAACTCCAAAGAACATTCGATTCCGAGATAAGGTACTTAACGAAGAAATAAGAAAAAGGAGCTGTTTGGGCCTTGCTGATTCCGATGAATAACAAATCTCTTGATCTGAAATCATCCAAGTGCTTTCCTCGAACAGGGATAGTCTTGCTATTCATCCAATCTGGTTGTACAAAAGTGAGAGATGCATGTTTTCATGAACCATAACAAGGTGGAAGATTTCTTACATCCTGAACTGCCAGCAACAAAGTTGATCAATTCCAATCCAAGAAGAACCAGAACTCCAAAGAGTACCTTGTCCATGGTTGTAAAATATTCGGGCCCCAGTGAAAGGCGTTCCAGGAAGGAACGCTCGCTACTGTCGACGGTCGTGTATTCGGCATTTACATGATAACTGAGCAAGCCGATAGAAGTACAAATATGCACAAAAGACAAAGCTATTGAATTTCTCAACCGTATTGATCCTCTGCTTCCTTCTGTCGCCATCATTGTGCTTTTGTTGTATGATTTTAAACACTACGAGTTCACGCTCGAACTTCGATTTTATTTCTTTGCCACATATAGTAGATAGTGGCCACGCATTGGTTTCCATGTCGACCACTTCGACTTCAACATTTTTCTGGTGTACTCTACAATGAATGCAATGTTCAGCGGCGGATAGCATTAGAGGGGTTATTGTTTCTATCTGATTTGAAGTTACCAGTCGTCGACAGCTGCTCAATGAAATTCGAAGTGTGAAAACGCAAGTGGACCAGTGATCTTGAGTAATTCATATACTGTGTCGACGGCACCGTGGTTACCGCCTACAGCAGTCGCTGCAATTTGAAATGGCAAGAGATCCTCTTCCTTTCCATCAACTTTTATTGCTTCATATTGCCAATCTGGTACAATTTCAAGCATATCTCTTACCCCAGAGAACCACGTGCTTCCACCTTCCAGAGCAGTGTGGAGAGCGTTATGCCCACCCTTGTCATGAACCCATGCGAGGGACGGTTCTTCTTCCAAGATCCATCGAACCAAATCGACGTGATGATTTGCACGCGGTGGTAAAAGGCACTTGCGTCGTTTGAAATGTGCATTACCAGCTTTGCACTCACGCTTTGGTGATCGAAAGATAGGCGCAGCGACCACATGGTGCAGCAATGCCTTGCCTTGTTCATCTCGTTGATATAGCAAAGCTTTCATTGCTTCCAGCAAATCTGTTGCCAGTCCAGTTTCTGTTGATGATGATTTCAATTTGGAAATGATTCTCATCACATTGTGAAACTGAAGGCTGCCGTCGTTGTTTGTCCTCATCAATCCCATGGCAAACGACTCTAAAGAAGAGTGTTTTAGGATGACTTCTATGCATTTTGTTTGCCACAATCGAGCTTTGGTGGTCTTTGGATTTGAATCCACGATGCAGCATAGAGGACAGGGAGCTTTACTGCTGTAATCATTTTCGGGATATTGTACAGCTTCTGGCCACACTTGAAGCATTGATGCAAGCACTTTAGGAGGGACACAACCACCATGAGACAAGGCAATCTGAACCGCGTTGCGGGTTATGATTGTCGAGTTTTGGTCGGCTTCTCTATCATCTCTTCCAAAATGCGTATTCACTGTAACCAGGCTTTTCGCATCCAAGTCCGTCTTGGCAGCAACCTGTAACAAAACTTGAACAATGGACGCAATTCGAGCAATATCCCTCTCGGAATGCTCGTATGGTGATATTGGATTCTTGAGCAGAAAATGGGAAAGAGTATTGTGGCATTCCAATACGTTCAAATTAGTAAAATATTGCAAGTGTACAATACTGGGCCACGGCTCTGACAATCGTCGAACTGTACTCGCTGAAGAGTTGGGATTGTCCAGTAGAATATACAACGGGGTGGCTCTTGTCTCTTGCATCCGTTCCGTCCCGGCCTCCACCGTGATCTTGTGCCATTCTGTTCCATATTTTCGTACAGTCACCTCCGATAGAGTTAGAAGTTTGTGGATTGGTATCTTGTATTGGTTTGCTACACAAAGCAGCAATCGAATCTTGTGCTCGCCACGGGACCCGTTTTGGTCATGACAGGCATAGTGCAGTGGGCTGCCGTAGGTCTTTTGAATTACCTGATAGCGAGTTTCCCTTGGTGGATACCGATCTTTACCCAGTTGGATTTCCCTTGGTAGATATTGGGGATTGGAAAATAGTTTGCTAGTGACATCAATCTTGGTCAAGGTATCTTTCAGATTTCCTTTGCGAATCTGGAAGCGGATTTCTTCTTCCAATTCAGCGACAGAAATTTGACACGGATCAGCACAAAAATCTTCGGGGATAGGAACATCCTGAATCGCTATGCGTGTTGATTCCTGAGTCTCCCTTTTCACCAAAATGGTGTCTATTCTGTGGTCGGCAACTTCACAATCGATGGACTCGTCAATGGCTTCATCTTCTTCAGGAACGTAGTCGGAATCATCGCAGTCGGAATCCACTTGCATTACATAATTTTCAGTTCGTCTGCTTGTTTGGGCTCGATAGGTGGTCGTAAAACTGAAGCAAAATGATTGCAGGAATACAAAGTGCAGTACCTGGTACAACCTGTGTGTCGCCGAATGAATGAATCAATCCGCAAGTTTTCGTTTCATTTCTCCTTATGTCTTGCATTGTCCGTCATCCAAAAATGTGACAACACGAGAACACAACAATTGCAAAGACGATCTTGTTGTTGACGTTTACATCATCAGTCCTTTAACATTCCTTTGGTAGTACTTGGACGTTTAATACAGATACAATCAAAAAAGGAATTGTGGCCACCTTTCTTTGGCAGCAATTAGAAAGATTAATAGGTTGAGAACCGATCAATCGATCATTCATAGAAGCAATAGACTTGACAATATGGATTTTGAACAATTTAAGAAAATCCAGGCCGTCCTCCGGGAACAAGAGGAGGAGGAACGAGCCAGACAAGAGGAGGAGGATCGTCAAGGTCCTCTTATAGATCAAGAGGCCTTTGATGAAATGTATCGATTGCACGGAATGATGGCACCCAGAAAGGGAGTTTGGAAACGGCCCATTCACAAGGGGCTCTTCACATGTCCCCTCTCCCAGCCCAGTACTACCTTGGTTCGATGGGATTCACTACCACATCATGTACGACAGCACTACACAAAACCAACCAATGAAAGTGGGGTCTTGGAAGTTATGAAGAGTCATCTGGTGGCTGATGGAGTTGAAGCAGAGGGTCCAATGCAAGGAGGAGACCCAGAACAAAAGCAGAGCGGCCAAGGGTTGATCAAAAGTCGTCCACTTGGAGCAAACTTGTCCAACAAACTAAGCGAATATACAAGAGGCGCAACTGGACAATGCAATCCCTTTCGTCCAGGTGGGGTTGATCAAGACGAATTGAACGACAACGCTGAAATCGACCCGTTCCTGACAGAAGAAGCGATTCAAAATTCGCTTAAAGTACTAAAGCAAGGGGTCAAGGCATCCTGGGAAGATGGAACATTGATTACAGCTCCTCCAGGTGTTACTTTTAAGGTTGGAATTTCGTATGAAGATGTCCATGGTGTGGACCCTGAGGTGGAGAAAAAAAAGGAAGAACAGCGACGGAAAGAACAAGCTGCCCTGGCGTCTCAAATGCAATTAAACGAGCCAACATCGACTGGAAATACAGCTCGTAGAGTTACTCCAGGCATTCGTTGGGACCAAGCCTTCCTGGATGACGATTCGCTCTTTGGTAGTAGCGACGAGAGCGAAAGTGACAGTGATGAAGAGGATGGAGATGACGAGAATGATGGTGACAGTGACGGAGACGCGGAAGGTAAAGCCGATGAAAGAGACGAACCTGCAAAAGAAGAAGAGAAAACGGCTGAATACATTTTGCCCACCGTGGAGTCAATCGAAGAAGCGAACATTGAATCCATCACTGGATCCGACGAAGACATTGATACTCTCTTGCAGCAACTTTCAAGAGCCGAGATGCGCACCAAGAAGCAGCTGGACGTCAAGAACAAGATGCCCAAAGCAGAAATTGAAATGAACGCGTTGCAACTGGCCGAACGACAGGCAGCACTCCAAAAGGACAAGGACCGAAAAATGTGGGCCTCGACCAAACTTCTTCCAATCGATGACTTTGATTCTTTGATTCCCAACCCAGCAATGAAGTACCCCTTCGAGTTGGACCCCTTTCAACAGCAAGCAGTGGCTCGGTTGGAAAGGAATGAATCTGTCTTTGTGGCAGCACACACGTCTGCAGGAAAAACAGTTGTAGCGGAATATGCGAGCGCCCTTGCAAAGCAACGTGGAACGAGATGCATTTACACATCACCAATCAAAGCATTGAGTAATCAGGTACGCGAGCACTCTTTTGATGGAGTTTCTTTCTAGGACTCCCTACTAATTACGTGCTTCATACTTGCTTCATCCATACAGAAATTCAGAGACTTTTCCAAGAAGTTTGGATCAGAGAATGTCGGCCTTATCACCGGTGACCTGCAACTGAATGCAGATGACTCCACTATTCTCATCATGACAACTGAAATTCTGCGGAGGTAAGAGTCAATTGTAAGCGGGAGTTTTGATGCCATGGTCGACTGACAACCTATCTCCACCCAATGCAGTATGCTCTACCGAGGTGCCGATTTGATTAGAGACGTGGAATTCGTTATTTTTGATGAGGTATGCAGCCATTCTTTTTCGAAATATTGTCTTCGTCCCACTTCAAACTCAAGTTTTTCACCTCGCTGTGTATAGGTGCATTATGTGAACGATTCCGAACGAGGGGTAGTCTGGTACGTCATTTCCACAAGGTTTGCCCATAAGTTTTCAGGCATCTCATCAACCTAACACGTGTATTTGCTTTTTTAGGGAAGAAGTCATTATCATGCTTCCACAGTATGTTAACCTAATCTTTCTGTCAGCTACAACGCCCAACACATTGGAGTTTTCCGATTGGATTGGAAGGACCAAGCGCAAGTCTGTACATGTCGTCAAGACAGACTATCGACCAGTTCCGTTGTCACACCATCTCTGGGCGAATACGAAGCTACACTTGATTCGGGAAGGCAAATCTGGATTCCTCGACAAAGGCTACCAACAGGCTTCAAATGCACTACAACCCAAAAAAGTGGCGGACAAGAAGGGTGGAAAAGGGGGAAAGCCAGTCAATACAAGCTCCAACAGGCGTGGTCCTGAGGCCATGGCATGGCAAGCCCAAGGAAGCAAAGCTAACTGGATGTCTTTGATTCGATTTCTGGATCGAGAAGATTTGACTCCAACAGTTGTCTTCTCATTCTCCAAAAAGGTAAGAGCTTGATCACTACTCGGTGTAGATGAAATGTTGTTTGCTAACTCCTCTATGGCAGAAATGTGAGGAAATTGCCTACATGCTTCGATCACTTGACCTAAACACTGCAACGGAGCGAAATGCTGTTCAAGGGTTTACACTGCAGACAATAGCACGTCTATCGCCACTCGACGCTGTCTTGCCACAAGTCCTTAGTGTTGCCGATATGGTACAAAGGGGCATTGGAATAGTAAGTGCACTGTGCACCTAGCGTTATACCCACGTTCGTTTCAGCCACCTGACCACTCGTTTGCTTAGCATCATGGTGGATTGCTTCCAATCTTGAAAGAAATGGTCGAAATTCTATTTGCGAGAGGGCTCATCAAGGTCCTGTTTGCTACCGAGACATTTGCAATGGGGGTGAATATGCCAGCAAGATCAGTCGTCTTCAATAGCATCCGAAAGCACGATGGCACCCAGTTCCGCGTTTTGGAGCCTGGTGAGTACACCCAAATGGCTGGTCGAGCAGGGCGTCGAGGCCTTGACAAGGTTGGAACCGTAATCATGTGTTGCTTTGGTGACACTCCACCACCGCTTGGGATCCTGAGAAATATGCTCACTGGGCAATCAACAATGCTCAAATCTCAATTCCGTCTGACATACAACATGATTCTGAATCTCTTGCGCGTGGAGGAAATGAGTGTGGAAGGCATGATCAAGCGATCCTTCAGTGAGTTCGCCACCCAACGGGCACTCACAGCCAACGAGTACCCAAAGCTTCTAGCGCGTGGTGAAAAGACGCTCCAAAAGCTGGAACAGCAGAGAGTTGCTACCGGGAAAATTGTCGGGGCAGAGGATCTCGACGAATACTTTGAAACTTGCAGTGAACTTATCTCGACAAACGCAGAACTGATTAACGTGATTGCCGCGTCATCAGATGGTGCTGGTGACGCTGTGTTTACGCCAGGGCGCATCCTCCTTGTATCAGCAGCACGAGACCACGGAATTGTTCGTTCGCCTGCACTTGTACTGCACACACGATTCTCTAAGGCTGCCTCTTCCATTGCCGATGCTGGTACGAAGATTGACTCGGTAGTTTGCATGGTTCTGCTACCTGAGAGCTTCATCAAGGAATCAGCGGATCAGGCACATGGAATGGGCCATGTTGGACACGTGGGATCTGCAAAACATCGCCATTATTCCATTTGTGAAATTTCCCTGGATCAAATATTGCTGATTTCATCCAAGAAGAAGAAAATTGACGTCTCACATCTCTTTGTGGACAGCAGTACGACAGCTGCAACAGCAGGTGGAGCCCGAGGGCGTTCTACTGCAGACTTCTTCGCCGGTGCCCCAGCAAGGGGAGTTGGAGGTGGCTTTGACAGCGCCTTTGCGGGCATGAAAGCTCGGGGCAGAAAGAACGACGACGAGGGCTTTTTTGGAAAGACGAAAAAGTCAGATGTTTCATCCAAGGAGCAATCGATTGACGATGCCATGGAAGTGCTCATCAGCACGGAAAAGGAGGAAGTTGATACTGGTATGGCTCCAATGAGTCTTCGGGACACTGTGAAGCGTGGAAACGAAGTCATCGAGTTCCGTCATCGATGCAGTCACATGGAAGATTTGGTCGGCCTAATGCGAACATTCGCATCACACCGCCATCCATCGCTAGAAAAACACTATGGTTTGGTGGAACGACAACATACATTGAAGAAGCGGGTGGATGCTCTAAAACATCTCTTGTCCAACGAATCTCTTCAATTATTCCCAGATTTCTTGCAACGAAAATCTGTATTGAAGACACTTGGATATATCGATGAATTTGAGGCAGTCTGCGTCAAGGGTCGTGTTGGTACGTGAAAGAACCTAAAATTCCATTACCGACGCTCCTGTGATGACTAACACTTCTGTTCCCGTTTTTTCCAGCTTGTGAGGTCAACACCTGTGAAGAACTAATTGTGACGGAAATGATCTTTGAAGGAATTTTGAACGAACTAGAACCAACAGAGATTGTTGCAGCATTAAGTTCATTACTCTACCAGCAAAAGAGTGACGACGACGAATTCGACATGGAGATTCCTGAGTCTTTGCTAAACTGTTGCAAACAAATGAAGAAAATTGCCATAAATCTTGGTCAGCTTCAGAGAGAGCATGGCCTTGATATTGATCCGATCGATTACGCGGATTCTACACTCAAGTTTGGACTTGTTCATGTTGTATATGAGTGGGCCTTGGGGGTACCCTTCAAGAACATTTGTGAACTCACTACTGCACAAGAAGGTTCCATTGTCAGATGCATCACCCGTTTGGACGAGCTCTGCCGTGAAGTGAGAAATTGTTCTAGGGTGGTTGGTAATCCAACCCTTTATCGAAAGATGGAGGCAGCAAGTGCTGCTATCAAGCGGGACATTGTGTTTGCCTCTAGTCTCTACGTCAGCTAGAATAATCGAAACATCCATACTGTAGCCTCCATCAGAAACTTCTGCGGGACTCAATGAATGAGATTGGTTCAGGAGGTCATTTCTGATTTTTTGGTAAATAGGACCAACCGGAATCAGTAATTAGAACTTCGTCGAACGACAGCAAATACTGGACGGTGCGTAGGCTTACCGTACCGTACCAGAGAACAGGTCATTGATGACATACAACGCAAAAGACCCACCTCACAGCGCTTCCCTCCTCCTCAATACACATCAGAGGCCTCATTTGCTTGCCTTGAACTTGCAATAGATAACACTGTTGAGAGCTAGTCAGCGACATCAGAGAATTCATCTTATCTCAATTCCAAGTGGACATTCATTTTTCTTTTTATACTTCGTTCTATTAATCAACCATGGCTGATAAAGGTGCACGACGAGGCTCCTCTCTTTTCTCTAACCCTGCTGCCGCAGCAGGAGCTGCCGGGGGTGGCGGCGCTCCTGGAGATAACCAAGGGCCCAAAAGACAGAGTGTCGTACTCTCGGGACTTGGAGGCGGCGTTGGCTTTGGCATTGACTTCGACGACTCGGACTATGATGATTCTGATGATGAGGATGTCCCCCACGGAGGTCCATATGGAGGGCAAGGTCTTCCCGGCCAAGCCATGCCAGGAAGCGCCCCTGGAGCGCCTGCCGTTACTGGAGCTCAAAACAGTCGTCCAATGGTTGGAGGTTTTGCTGCTGCTGCATACGAAGCTGCTCGTGCGCACCATTTCCAAAACGTAGCCAAGCAGAATGCTATGAAGGGGGCAAAGCCAGGTCAACCAGGGCCACCACCTAAAGGGTCTCAGCCTTCAAAGAAGCTACATTAGATGGTGTCGTTCTGTACTCTCCTGTGATCACTATTCCGTTTCCAGGTGCATAAACGGAAAGTTTTCATCAACTGTCTATAGTGAATTTCAGGACGAGCATAGGAATATATTTTATTAATCTCAGGTTGAAGTTATAAAAATTGAAAATATAGTTATAAAACAAGACGAATCGTTGCAGCTATTGGAGTGTTCATTTCTATGTTTCATGTTTGCAATGCACTATTGGTTCTAATTTATAAATTAGAAGCCGAATTTTAGAATTCAGGCGATTTGATCAAACAGTTTTTATCAGTACACTCAAACTATTCGATTGTCCTACGGACTCTCCTCTTTACTCTCCCACATCTTCAGATGCGTGTCCTCAACCCTATATTCTCCGTCGCCATCGAACCTAAGATCGGTATATGTCATCTCTTCATCTGGATCGCCTTTGGTGGCGACTAGTGAATAATGTCGCCCTGTTGCTGGGAGGATCTTGACGTCATTGAATCTTGTACCAATGTAACGGAATAGATCACTGATGCTTTCAGCATAAATGTCCAAATAAGGCTCAGTCGAGCGAATGAGGGAAAACAAAAGCGCGTTTGCTCTCTGAGCAGCGTAGGCAGGGGATTCGAAGTCCATTTCACAGATCCAAAGTTGACCTTCTGGCTTGAGAACACGCAAGGCTTCATCGATGATTGTCAAGGCAGCATCCTCTGGGAGCTCATGTAATACAAACTGCAAATTGACTACGTCAAAGCTTGCGTCATCAAAGCCAGTATTGGCAGCATCACCAAAGGTATACAAAATACGGGAATCATTCTGAACATTCGAAACCCAGGTGCCTCCTTCCTGAAAGCTCTTTGGTTCCAATTCCAAGAGCTGTTTTCCAATCTCAACGAAGTAAGGTGATAAGTCAATTCCTTGAATGCTACTCGCCTGAGGAAAGTTACGGGCAAGTCGACGAGTACTCATTCCTGTTCCGCATCCAAGGTCCAGAATCTTTCCATCGTCGGGAACTGTTGCACTGGCTTCGTTGAGAGCACTATCAAAGGCTCCCCGAAAGGCATCTTCTCCATTGGCTCCATATTGGGGAAAGTTGCGAGCCCCCACACTGCAACTGGCAATCTCCACCTCCCACGCGGCATCCCACGATAGGTTTCCTTCCTCGTAGGCATGAAATGCATTCTTGTAATATTCAGGAACTGTAAATGGTGGAATTTCCTTCATTTCTGCATTGTTTTTTATCCATTCTTTAGATTCATTCCATGGAATACCATTGCTCTGAAGATGGATGATGAAAGGATTGAGTGAGAATGGGTCCTAGCCGTCATGTGATGTCACATGTTAAATTCGCGAATCAATCTGCTGACGTACCTCAGCAGTCTTGACAATGTTTTGTCGGGCCTGTGGGACAAGAACTTGCTTCCATAATGGAGAGTTCAGCGCATAGTTCAAAAACGTTTGAGCCAATCCAGTTCGCGGTGGTGCACGGGTGGATGTGGTGTCTGTTGGTGAAGCTTTGAGTTGCAATGGTGGTTTTTGTCGTCCCATGACATCTCGGCTAGAAAATGCAGTTGCCGTTGCAAGTAAACACATCAAGACAACGAGAAAGCGCATACAGCTGATGCATTTACCCCGACAAACTATGCGGTCGATCATTTTACTTTTTCTTGCTGGGTAAGTTCATGAAACAGAAGGTTATTTTGCTTTCTCTGTTGACGCAAAAGTTGAAGTTCAATGATTCATTCATCAGTCGATCAATACGACTTCACATCAATCTAATTCAAAACATCACAGAACGATGGGTAAACGAAATGTTGAGAACTCGGATCATAATGTCATCCTCGTCGTTGGTGCAGCGAGTCTGGATCGACTCTTGACAGTACCAAACTATCCTGCTCCTGATGCAAAGATCCGATCGACTGATTACAATGAGGTTGGTGGCGGAAATGCTGCCAACTCTGCTTCCGCGATTGCAAGATTGGCCGACGCCAAGTGCTGGAAACAAGACAAGAAAATGATCGTCAAACTCTTGACCAAACTAGGAAGCGATGAAGTGGGAAAGAGTATCATAAAGCAACTACAGGATTCGAATGTCGATATGTCTTCTCCTCTATTTATGATTGGACCTGAAGGATCGAAGACCAGTGTGTGCACCATCCTTGTTGATTCGGAATCTCACACGAGAACTTGCATCTTTACACATGGCGACTGTGGAGAGTTGACTGTGGAAGATATTCAGTCCGTCAATATCGATGACATTTTTGAAAATGTGATTCACCTACATTCCGATTCAAGGCACACTGAAGCTGCTTTGGCTCTTGCTCGAGAGGCGAAGAGTAGAGGAATTCAAGTGTCACTCGATTGTGAAAAAGTTCGAAAGGATCCATCTTTCGATAAACTCATGGAAATTTCAGATATGATTGTTATCAACTCAAATTGCTTGGAGCCCTACCTGAACCGGCTCGAAGCAAGTTTGTTGGGGGCAAGCAATCGGCCACCAATGAAGGCAATGAACACCAAAAGGGAGCTCTCGTTCGATGACGAAACTCTCCAAATCTATATGAAATCGTTCGTGCCTAACGCATTCTTTTCTCGGTGGTATCCTAACACACAACGGCAATGTATAGTAACCCAGTAAGTTCCAGTTGCCAGGCCCAGCACGACTGTTTGCAAACACCCAGTTCTGAAATCTCGCATTGTGATTAGTGGGAGCAGGGGAGCTCTTCATTTTCGAAACGTCTGGACCAGCACAGTACCAAGAAGCGGTGATATAGATTCAAATACCCTTTGTATCAAGCGAGTGGGGGGTGCCATCCGCATCGAACATGATTATACAGATTCTACTGAAGACCAGGGAGAGCCGTTTACATGTCGAAATCATTATGATGTGCATCAAACAGGAGTCCTAAAGAATGCCCATGTCGTAGATACTACTGGAGCTGGCGATGCATTTATAGGCGCTTTTCTGCTGGCGAAATATGCTGGAGGCTATATGCCAAAACAGGCAATGGAGTTTGCGGCTTGGGTAAGCGGAAAGAAACTGGAGGGCTTTGGGGCTCAAAGTGCGCTCCCTAGGGGGGTAGATGTAGATCAGCAGCTAGGAGTGCTTCCGAAAGACGTTGCAACAAGCTTATGCAATCTAGTAGGGAGACAGTTCAATGGTAAAGATGACGATAGTAGCTGACTGCGTTATTCGTTTCAATTGTAGCACTCGTGATTGAATGTAGAATGTGAGTGAGTGAGTCATCAGTTGCCAAAATAAAATCAAAGCATCGAATCGAATCCCAGAGAACACAATCAATAGGACCTGGTAGTTAAAAGTAAAGAGCAACGATGTACAACCAAAGCCTGTATCTGAAACACGGAACGCTAGCGAATTTACTCAAGAAAGGAGAGTCACGCCGGCTGCTTTCACAGCAGGATAACCAAGCGCGGATTACTGTTGCGCTGTATCGCCAACTCTTGCAATGGTCCAACTCGGTGAAAGATGATGTTCCATTGAACTACTACATTCCACCGGTTTACTTGAGTCCTCCCCGAATAGACAGGGATACCCTGAGATTGATGTCAGTAAAATCGGGGGATTCGAAAGTGGCTGCTAGCATCTTCCCAAAGAATACAATTGTGAAAGATGATCAGTTGGTGGTGCCAATTCGCAATTCAGCGGACGTTAAGAAACTGTTCAGAGGAGTATTTCGTTTGAACTCTAAACCAGCCAATCCCGATAAGCAAAAAGAGCGAATTTCCGTGGCCTTTGATGGTCTGAAGTCGTTGAATGAGTTGAGCAAGGCTTTGGAGGACTTGGGAAAAGAACGGGAGAAACACCTTGATCGAGAAAACGTCAAATATCACGTTGGCCAAGGTACGTGATAAATGCTATCCTTGCTAGTTGTTGTAATTATATCATTTGGTGTGCTGTATATATACTGACGGTGCTTGTCTACTCTCGCGTTGATCTATTTTTTCGTCATTCGCTTCAGTTGTACGACACAAGCTTGAAGAATGGAGAGGAGTGATTATTGGATGGAAACGACTAGAAGGCGCCTCAGGCAAGGATCCAACTCAACTCACTAGCTTGACCACAAAAGAGTACGCTTTGGACGCTGAAGATTCGATAAAGTACTCCATTGTGCTTGATGTCGGAGATGCTCATTTGCACTATGCCAAGCGACGTGAAGGCGGCAATATGGCTGTAGCGGAAGTTTTGCAGACCGATTTGGAACTTGTCGAAGAGGAGGAACTATTGCGTATTCGGAGTTCAAATGTGTCGGAGTTCTTCACAAGGTTTGATTCCGCGTCCAAGTCCTTCGTACCAAACGAAATCTTGGAGTATGAATACCCAAAAGACACTATGATCAGCACTTCCGCGCCTACACAACTATCCGACGCAACCGAAGCCGCTGCCGAGGACATCATTATGGGTGTCAAAGAAACAGCCGCGTACATGAGAAGTATCATTATGGGATACAGCTCCGCGCCAGAGAGTCGCAACCTCAAGATCCTTGGCTTCTTCTTGGAGAAATTGGACGCGATATTAGAGGGTGATGTTCTGGAAATGAAGGACAAACTTTTCAATAAGGAATTGCCTTCAAATCGACTGGCTGCATTGCATTTGCAACAGCTTCTGAACTTCATTGTCAACGTAGGGGAACTGTTGTGGGAAAGGAGAAGAGCTAGGGAGAACACAAAAGAAAACAAGTTTGGATTGGGCGATATTGTTACTCACAAGGTCTATGGATTTCGTGGAGTAGTTGTGGCTTGGGATCCAGAACCTATGATGGACGTTTCCATGTGGGATGGATTGCAGCATATTGACAATCCTCAAGATTACCCATTCTATCACATCATTCCTGACCACAATGACTGCATTGAAGCATTCGGTGCCGAGCGACCATCTCGATACGTATGCGAAGAGAATCTTGTTGTTTGTCCTTCAGACCAGAGATCAATCGATGTGGATCTAGACACAGAATGGAGATACGATCTTGACGAGAAGAAGTATTTGCCTCCTCTCGACTTGAAGGTAAGTTTTGCATGCATGGTTTTCGCTATTTTGCTTTTATCAAAGCTCACATGAGATTTTGCAGTTCAAATCTGGCGTCGATCTTGAGGACGATGGCATCACTGAGGCTTGCTTGACAGAATTGCGGGATGCATTATCACAGGTATTGGTTGCTTGTAGGGAAGGAGAAGAGACTGGGAACCCAGATATTAATGAGATTACAACAAAGATGTCGATGGCTAACGTATTGATTCTTTTGAAGTCGGCCGAAGACATGGAACTTTCCACCATCATATCCGAAAGCGTGAAAGAAATCTGGAAAGCTCATTTGAATCCAGATTTACGCTGGGATCTTGACACTGCTGTTGCTCATCTATTAGGTGGCAAGGTATCGAAAGCGCTGAAGCAATTCAGCGAGATTGTCGACGATGATCCAACCTACGCAGAGGCGTGGAATAAGGCTTCCACTTGTGAATTTATGATGGGAAACATGGACGCTTCACTTGCGGCCGCACAGAAAACAGTCGAAGCACTACCAACCCATTTCCAAGCCATGAACGGACTTGGTCTGGTACATTTCGAGAAGAAAGATCTTCCTTCAGCTATTCATTGCTTTCGTGAGTCGATGGAAATCGATCCTTGGTCTCCAGTGTCAGCAAGACTATCAGTATGTGTGGACACGATGAGGTTATCTGAACAAATACAAGGAAATCAGCAGGAAGATAACAAATAGGTAGAGTATGTTTTCTATTTTCACAGAGAGTGTCGCCATGCCTGATCGTACAGTAGGTATGTAGGCCCTGCCAGGGGAGTTGGTAGTACTGTACTGGTTTCTATCGTTTGTACGCCATCCGTTCCACGTGGTAGTGCAAGACGATCATTCAAATCCAAAAGCATCAATAATCGATCGATCAATCAAGTTGTCACTGCTTCAACGCTTACTACTGTATCTCTTCTAATCAATTGGAAAGATGGTTCACTCAAGGATAGCGGCACCAAGCACGATAATAATGTGCGCTCTAATTGCCCCCTACCAGCATGCGGCTGCCTTCACTACCATAGGGTCGCCTTTACAGAATACACTGCCGTTCAGTCGTTGCACGACAACGACGACAACAACAAGTTCGAGTAGTCTATCAGAAAAACGAGGAGACTTTCGTGACGACGATATGTTTGATGATGACGACTCTGATGATTTTTACGACGACAGAAGGCCTCGGCGTAGAAGAAGAGGACCACCGCCGAGAGGAGATGAACGTTACGACAGCTACGACGACTTGGGTGGATACTACGAAAGCCGACCAAATGGAATGAATGTTCCATCAGCCTTTGGTCGACGCGATGGGCTGCGACTTCCAGAATCCGTATCCAAATCGCTATTGGCTGGAATATTTATTCTTGGTGTCGGTCTTGGGGTCACTGTAGATTCCCAAATCAATACAAGTCCAAAAGATTTGGCGTCTCGTGATGCGATTGATCAGGCTGCCCCCAATGCGGAGCTTTGCGCCACCATGGGAGCCTCGGCCATGGCATTTGACCAACGCGTCTTTGTATCATTCAATCCCTTCAATGTATACGTGTCTCAGGCGGATGTAAAGCCGGCCTGCGTTCTACGGCAATCCAACATTGTGCCAATTTTGAAGGATGACAAGCATCTCTTGAACGATCAAGAAGTTCGGGGGTGCAAAGCCAATATGAACACTTGGGCATTTGTTGGCAATCTGAACGACAAGCCCCAATTGAGTTGTGTCTACAAGAGCGAGGATGCCCAGAATGAGTTCTTGTCCAATCCAAAGCTAGGCATTGGAGAAGACTATCTAGACGACGACCGAACCAAAGGAGAGGTATTTACAAAACAAGTAAAGAATGGCATGACCACTTCCCAGAAAGCCTCTGCCGCTAGTGCCGCCAGTGCAGCAGCAGCATCAGCAAAGTCAAAGTAAATACGACGTAGTCCTGCTGCGAGAGAGCCTAAGAAATAGAATGATCGTTAAGCACAATATGTTTCTGAGGTTGAGTGAGTCAGTCACTAGCTAGCTCGACTGAATGAATCCTTGAAATATTCAATCATCATTGCTCTTGCACTTCCTCTTTTAGTCGAAGACTAGCACCATTGACACAGAATCGAGGCAATCGCCCATTTTCTCGTTGACTCCGAGGATCTGATGCAGGGCTTGTCTGCAACAGAGAGCTTGGGACATCCGTTTGTTTTGGCCCATCCAGGAACACATGACCCAAGTGGCCTCCACATTTGTTGCATCGACATTCCAGTCGATTGCCAAATTCCATTTTGTAACCTATGGCTCCCTCTTGCTTGGATCTCCAAAAGGATGGCCACCCACTTCCAGAATCGTACTTGGATTCACTGTCAAAGAGTTCGTTGCCACAGTAAGCACAAGAAAATACCCCCTTTTTCTTTTGGTAATTGAAGGAACTGGTCCATGCCGGTTCGGTCATACCAAGCTTAAGGACTGCCAACCGCAAGGGGTTCCATGTTTGGACTTCAAAGTCCTTCTCTTCGCTAGAATCGTCACCTTTGGAGGAGAAGCACATGGTCTTTTGTTGTTGGTGTTTGGTTGTTTGTTGCTTGTTGTTGAAATGAATTGGAAAGGCTTGAGCAGTTTGCAAGCAGAGGGCGACAAATACAATAATAGCAAGAAAACTCTTCATTGGATCTCGGATACGTCAAGTACAGTACTACTCTTCTATTGATTACAAGCAACCAGCAGTTCGAACGTCGGTTGATCTGTTGCTTTTTCACTCTTTCGTACATGCATGTTTCAAAACAATTTTGGGAGTGAGACTGAATCTGGTGGCGTGGCAACATGACGTGGCAACATCAGAGAGGCGAATTTCAATCACAAACAGGTGTCATCGCTATTCTACCGGCGGTACAAGGTATCATCGGCAGCACTACTACTGTAGCTACTGTAGTGGTGGTGTAAATAAGATAAGAATTGATAGAATTGATTGCTATTGTATATCCTAGTATTCAGTTCCATCGCTATTCTACCTGCAGCAGAACTAGTGGGGGTCTAAATGGAAAAGAGTTGATAGAGCTGATTGCTATTGCATATCCTAGTATTCAGTTTGTTTTCAAAATGGTTTATTCTAAACAATACATGCATTCCGCATTTTCTTAGCGCGCTTTCGGTAGAGAGAAAGGAAAGTCCTTGTCTTCATCCACCTAGTTAGCTGCTGCTTTTGTCATTCGGCTTTCTGCTTTTGCCATTCGGCTTCTTAAGTTCGGCATGTTCGCGTCTTCGACCTTTATCGAGGTTGGCCATACCAGAAACCTTCCTCGTTGTTGTAGGTCATCTGGACTGTGCTGCCGACAGCATTCCTTACTTTCTTCTATTCTGGGAGAATTGGGACAGGCAATGGTTTGTCTGTATCGGGTCTTGCGAACCGAGTTGCTACCACGATTTGGGGTATAAAAGGATATCGCTGTTTTGAATTGATTAGGATGGATTACATCGTTCACCTGTGGGTTACTTGTCGCTCGTTTTCTTGATTGGAAGGTTACTTTGGCCTTGGTCTGCTTTTGCTGTTGTTTCATTGTCTGTCTGATGTGTGTGCAATTTAGTTATTCGTTGATTTTATGAGAAGAGACCAAAAACTTCCGCTTCTCGTTGATTCTTCTGATCAGAAGACCAAAATTGGGGTCGGCACGTGCGTCATTTAGACACGTAGATTTCTACTGGACACTCTGTAGTAACATTCGCCTCTGTGCGACCCTTAAATTCAATCATGGACCTCTCATAGTGAGAATTATCGTATGCGACAAGTTCGGAGCCACCCATAATTTTAATGATGGACCTCTCATATATATAAGAATTGTCTTATACGACATGACCAATAATTTGCAAAACCTCTACAGATCGATTGATTGCATGTGGAATCGGAGTGTTTCTGCTCGTGACAAAAACAAGAGCCGTTCACGAGTTGTGTGACAAATTGCGCGCCCTCTCCGAGATCTTTGGATCTTGACCATCTCTTCCAAGCTGGTGGCATATCTGTTACACCGACATAATTGGTGTTCCGATTTCAACAACGGCTTTCAGGTGACTACTCCCACTCTTTTCATCAATCCACCGGATATAAGCCTTCCCTCATCGTGACCCAAGCAAGAGCCGTTCGCATCTCATCTTGATCTTGGATTGATCTTGGTCTCTTTGTTCACTTCTGCTGCTGTATAAATGACTAAAATCTTGTAGAAAGGAGAAAGGGTGATATGGCAACTTCCATCCAGTCGACAAGCCAAGCTTCAACCACAACAACACTTATGATTGCAGGGATGCAATACTGTAGGTTGTATCAAATAGAAACGGAAGCATATATTGTGAAATCTGGTGCAAAGGAGAAAGAGTGACATGATGGCAGCATCCAGCCGTTCATTCAGTCAAGAACAACGCAAGTTCAACCACGGCACTGGGATTGAACAGAAGCAATAGTCATTTTGTATACAGGCACCTACTGTACCAGACACGGTACAATTGTATGCACCGTAAAATCTTACAAAGAAGAACGGGTGAGATGACCGCTTTCATTATAATCAATAAGTCAAGAATCCAAGTCTCAACCACAGCGACGCAATTTAACAAGATGCAACAGTTTGGATCTGCTAATCGAAAAGTATTGATGTGTATAAATTGTAGTAATTTGAAAATAATTTACGTAATTGTTGGTGATTTTATGTATGAAGGAAGCTGGTTTGATGTGCACGTATTACATCGAAGGCTTCGTCGCTTCTGGCTCCAGTAAATCTAGCGGAACAAGTGTGGTTGGTGGTGTACAATGTACAAATTGAAGTACAAGGCAATCAGCCAGTCTTCTCTATCTAATAACGGTAAGTGTCGGGCTTGAAAGGACCATCGACGGGGATACCGACGTATTCGGATTGCTCCTTGGACAGGATGGTGAGCTTGGCTCCAAGAGAACCAAGATGAAGTTTGGCAACCTTCTCGTCAAGAATCTTGGGAAGGACATAGACCTTTCCGGATTCGTACTTGCCAGAGTTTCTCTCGTTGTAGATCTCCAACTGGGCAAGGACTTGGTTCGTGAAAGAACAAGACATGACAAAAGATGGGTGACCAGTGGCACATCCCAAGTTCAGAAGACGTCCCTCAGCAAGAACAATGACACCGGCTCCAGATGGGAAGGTGAACTTGTCGACTTGGGGCTTGATGTTCATGCGCTTGGTGGCGGCCATGAGTCCATCCATATCGATTTCGTTATCAAAATGACCAATGTTTCCGACAATGGCGTTGTTCTTCATCTTGGACATGTGATCGGTCATGAGGATACCCTTGTTTCCGGTAGTGGTGATGAAAATATCTCCAGTCTCAAGAACGTCTTCCAAAGTGCAGACAGTGTAACCTTCCATGCAGGCTTGAAGGGCGCAGATGGGGTCGATTTCGGTAACGTAAACGACGCATCCGTTGGCACGCATGGCATGGGCGCAACCCTTACCGACATCTCCGTATCCGCAGATGACGGCCTTCTTTCCGGCAAGCATGACATCAGTGGCACGCATGATACCATCGGGAAGCGAGTGCTTGCATCCGTACAAGTTATCGAACTTGGACTTGGTGACAGAGTCGTTGACGTTGAAGGCAGTGAAAAGAAGAGATCCGGTCTTCTCCATGGAGTACAAACGGTGGACACCAGTGGTGGTCTCTTCGGAGACACCGAAGCATCTGGTGGCGATCTTGTTCCACTTGTCGGTCTCACCAGCTTCCAAAAGGCGCTTGATGATGGTGAGGACAATCTTGAATTCGGCATTGTCAGTGGAGGTTGGGTCGGGAAGGGTCTTGTCCTTGAGGAAAAGGTCTTCGGCCTTCTTACCCTCGTGGATGAGGAGGGTCATATCACCACCGTCATCGACGATAAGGTCGGGTCCGTGACCCTTACCATCATCCTCTTGCCAGGTGAGGGCATTCAAGGTGCACTCCCAGTATTCTTCAAGGGATTCTCCCTTCCATGCGAAAACAGCGGCAGATTCGTCACGGGCAATGGCGGCAGCGGCGTGATCTTGAGTGGAGAAGATGTTGCACGAGCACCAACGGATGTCTCCACCAAGCTCTTGAAGAGTCTCGATAAGGACGGCAGTCTGAATGGTCATGTGAAGAGATCCGGAGATACGGGCACCCTTCAATGGCTTTGCGGTTCCGTATTCAGTACGGCAAGCCATAAGTCCAGGCATCTCGACCTCGGCGAGTTGAATATCCTTGCGACCGTAGTCGGCGAGGGAAATATCAGCAACTGAAATTGGTCGTCATTGGAATTTTTTGAAGGAGAAGAAATGGATAAAGCAGATGCGTGAGATCAGGCTGAGTCGTTGGGACACACCACGATGAATGATGGAGCAATGCCATCCATGTCTTACCTTTGTAATCTCCAGTGGACATGATGAATTATTTGACTGTGAATCTATTGAGTGGATTCAAGAAAAGTGAGCTTTGCGTCGGAGAGAAAATAATTGCGGGAATCGTCATGATGGGTTGCGAGGGCCTCAAACACGTACGACAGCCGTTAAAATCCTCATGTTCATGGCAGTCAAACCTGCTGTATGTAGACTTCAGTAGGGAACGTGTCAGATGAATACGCGCGTGCCAGGTTTTTATTTTGGGAACCCACCACATCGTGATCATTGGAGACCCAAGTTCTCTTTTTGACCCAGCAGGAGGAAAGATTCAAGATTCATTGGCAATTTTTGACGACGACAGACAAGTACGTTTCCATGACAACGGCAATGACAGATCCTAACAATCCAAACGCCTTGGATTATGCACAAGATGACAAGGAGCCACTGGAGGTGATGGAAGCCCCTCCCAAGGACTTTGACATGTTTTCTTCCGTGCCGGTTTCCACCAAAGTTGTGAAACACAGAAAGCTTGTCCTGCAGAACAAAGATTGGAACTCCTCCGTTCATATGTGGATTGTCGATGTGAAACGCAAGCTGGTGCTCATGCAAAAGCGCTCTCCTCACAAAGATACATTCCCCAATCGATGGGATATCTCTTCGGCAGGACACATTCCAGCTGGCGCCAAACCAATTGATACGGCTCAGTCCGAGTTGGCGGAGGAGTTGGGAATTTCCGTGGACAGTCCAGACGAGTTGAAATTCCAATTCATTTGCCCTGCAGAACAAGCGAATGATGGAGGGTGGAACTGCTACGAACATGTTTACTTTCTGAAACGAGATTCTACGGTGTTGAAGTGTGCCTTGGGAACTGCTGAGGTCACTGACGTCGCTTGGGTTTCCATCGACGATTTGAAGAAAGCCTTGAATACCCTAGACGAGGCATATGTTCCACGAGTTCACAACTACATTCCAGTATTTTTCGCGTGTCTTGACAAGATGGTGCAGTGACGTTTTGGATCAAAAAGCATCACTCTTACGATGAACGGAATGAATCAATCAATCATCGAATCGTAGACCAGCAGTCGTTGTCAACACGACTGACAATATTAGCAAGAGCTGCTTTGGCGAAGTAGGAGAGAAATCACAGTTCCATGTGGATGAGTATGCAGCAGAACTGCAAGGCACAGGTCGAATTGAAGAAACAAGATACATCCATGCATACATACATTAATATATATATAGAGAGAGATAGACTTTGCGTTTTCATCAACATAGTCGTAGGTGCGTTCGTTCTAAATATTTATGTATCGGGAAGTGTTTTTCCTGTTTTTTTGGTGGTCGATAGCATACTAGCAGACTGTCCTTCTCTCTCAACCATAGACAAGATCAAAACTGAAATCATTGTCTCAAGAACTTTCATCTAACTTACATCCATCAGTGGCCTCATTGGTCATTGATTCATGGTTGGTTCAGCTGATTTCAGACGACAATATTCTTCATCCGTGTATCGATAGCCACAGAAAACGCCCTGTGAGTATGGAATATCATCCTTGGTAGCTGTTCTAGAGTAAGTATTTCCATGATGCTGCGAACGTTGGTTTGGAAGATGTTCGTAATTGATCCCATCTTCAATGCGTCGTTCCAATTCAGTCATTGGTTCCCATTCCACAGCAAATGCTGATTCTCGAGCTGTCTTGGAAGGAACTCCTCGGGAATTTCCCCATCCAGGTTGTGAGGATGGTGTTGCCATCAAGGCAAAGGTTTCATGACTGGGGCGCGCAGAGGTCCTGCCTGTTTGAAACGCATTGGTAGTAGCTGACGACAGAGCGGCCATTGAAATAGTGATGATTGCTGCGACTTGCCTCATAGTAATTTGAAACTGGTAGGTTATGGGATGGTAACAGAACTGATGTGAGAGTAGTAGGAGTGTGTCGATGTGCTTTCTTTCAACAGACGGTGCCGATTGAAGTGTTCTTTCTGCTGGTTTATCTTCGATGGCATGAATTCCTTTCAAACGGAATATCCTGTTGCGGCCGTATCATCCAATTTTTGAAAATGTTGGAATGACGTTTGCAACGGGAAAATTGACTCAATCGACCGACTTCTGCAGACAGATGATGTCCAGACGTCGGACAAGAATGAAAGAAAAAAGAAATCTTCCACTTTCGGCACACAAAATGAAAGATGAAGCTTTCTCCGGCGATCGTATTCCTTGCCGCTTGTGCGTACTTGTCTCCCTCTGCCAATGCGCTGCCCTTCAAACGCAACGCAAAAGATGGTGAGGATGAGGCAGGAGTTGCCGAAGCGGTGATCGATTACGAAGAAGTCTTGGAAATTCGCCTTCCATCCTCCTTTGAAAAATTAGGAGGATCTTACCGGAATGAGATTGTCGAAAACTTTTTTGGTGGAACGGGAGATGCATTCAGTGATGACTTGCTCGAAGTAATTGACCATTTGGCCAACGAAAGACACGATTTTTTAATTGACACCCGACGAAACTTGCATCGCCACCCCGAAGTCATGTACAACGAGCACGACACTTCCGCTTACATTCAAAAGACACTCAAGGCGATGGACATTAAGTTTACAACTGGCTGGGCTGTGAACACTCATCCGGATCGTATTCCTGGCAAGGGTGGCTATGGCATTGTTGCAGATATTGGAACACACAGGGCCGACGAGCCTTGTATTATCCTCAGAGCCGATATGGACGCATTGCCAATTTTGGAAAAGACGCAAGGAATCGACGGCTTCAAGTCGGAGAATGAGGGAGAAATGCACGCTTGTGGTCATGACGCCCACACCACCATGCTTTTGGGTGCAGCATCGATCTTGAAAGAAATGGAAGATAGCATAAATGGTACTGTACGATTGATGTTCCAACCCGCAGAAGAAGGTGGTGCAGGCGCCAAGCGCATGATTGAAGAAGGTCTCCTGACAACCGACCCCAAGCCTGTGCAAGCCTTTGGAATGCATGTTTGGCCTTCGTAAGTATCATTGAACAAGTGCAAAGAGAAAGAGACATGACGTGTTGCTCAATGTTGTTTGTTTTCAACTACCATCTCAAATCAACTATGTACTATCACCACAGAATTCCATCGGGCACCATCGCTACTCGCCCTGGGACCATCTTGGCAGCCGCTGAAATGTTTGAGATTCTTGTTTCTGGGGTCGGAGGTCACGCAGCAATGCCCCATTTGACTATTGATCCCATTGTTACTGCTTCTTCCATTGTCATGAACTTGCAAACCTTGATTGCTCGAACACTCAGTCCGTTGGAAAGTGGAGTGGTCAGTGTCACCAAATTCGAAGCAGGCGATGCCTTCAATGTTATTCCAGCATCAGCCCTCTTGCGGGGAACCATTCGAGCACTGACTACCGAGACACTGCTGTCACTGAGAGACAGAGTGGAACATGTGGTTACCGCCACGGCCAATACTCATGGATGCAATGTCACCATTACGTATTCTGCAGACTACTACCCCCCTACTGTTAACGATCCAACGCTGTTTGAAGAATTCTCCAAAGACGTCGGTGCCATGCTGTCCAAAGATGGCAAATTATTGGACATTGTCCCCACCATGGGAGGTGAGGATTTTGGCTTTGTCGCGGAAAAGATTCCTGCCACCTTTTTTCTGTTGGGTCAAGGGACTGCACACACTGGCCCACCTACCAACTATGGACTGCACCATCCACATTTTGCCTTGGATGAGTCGGTTCTTCCTCGTGGGGTAGCTTTGCATGTGAACTTGGCGCTTCGGGCGCTCAAAAAGTTGAGCAGCTAAACCCTTGATGAATAATATGTATGTATATATAGATGCATATAGATGCATATAGATGCATATAATACAATATTAATTCCCATGGTGTATACACCAATCAGTACAATCAGTAGGGTGTACATTGTCCACAGCAAACATTGGTACAATTCTGCAATGGACCCAATGCAAAGTACTCATCCACTTGCGCTTGATTCACAAACTCGTAGGGCAACTCTGATGAACCACCGCTGTAGTATTTGAGTTTGGCAAATTCGTACAAGGCATCGTCCAATGCCGACATGAGTGGATTCCATCGAGCCATGGTCACGTCCGTCTTGTTGTAATTGCCCCGTTTGGTTGGTTTGGCATTTTTGTCATTCTCGTCAATGACTTTCCATTGGTACGTCAATGCCATTTGATTGTACGACTCTTGCATGTCTTCCACAAAGATGACATGCTGAAAAGAGGCGAGCCGTTGGAGGGTATACTGAAAGAGTTCGTGAGTGATTTGAAATTTGGGTCTGGATTTGCACCTTGGACCACAAATAATCCGAAGATTCCAATTGTCGGGTTGTCCTTGGGTCCACCTTGTGAAATTGTCCGTATCGGCGTGATGGATTGGATCAAATTCGGCAATGGCAATTCGAGAAGAGTTGTTGTTTGGATCATCATTGTTGTTTGTATTATTTCCTAGCCATGCCGATGTTTCATTCACTACTACTCCTACTCCTACTACTACTCCTACTACTGGTTTAGTGATAGTGACTCCTCCTTCCGGACTACTACTAGAATACCAATGGCGCAAGACATGTTGGTAATGGGAATAATACCGAGACTTGCTATCCCGTAAGGAAACCACATAATCCACCAGACTTGTATCCATGGTCTCTTGGAGTTCTCGTTCGGTCGCAATCAAATCAAAGGGTGTTGCATTGACAAAGTCCTGCAATCCAATTTGTGTATCATTGCTGCCGCAACAATATTGATTTTCTTGGATGTTGCAATTGGAAGCGTAGGGTGCCGCCAATCGATTGTCAAAGGCACGTTTGCACAAGAAACTGCCGGCTGATTTGTGAATGTGCAGCAAGAGAATGAGTTTGTCGTATTTGCGCTGAAACACTATCGTTCGTTTGCCATTGGGGAGCGTGGTGTAGCGAACTTGTTTTGGTGGTGAGGGAATGATAATGTCTTTATGTGGTGGTGGTTGTGATGTGTCTTGCATTAGTACTGCTAGCTTGGTTTGCACACGAATCGTGAGTAGAACAACGCCTCCTGTGGAAAGTATTGCCAGCCATGCCAGTAAATGAAAGATTTGGCATGTTTTGGACCCTGTTCGTTTGGGGTTGATTCTAGCTCGGCGACTTTGGAAGGTCGAAGAATTCAACATTACAGTGGTTCGATAGTCAACATGTTTTTGACAAGATGTTGTGTTTTGTGGACCTACCACTACACGTACTGCAGAGGTGGAGGATCGGGATTGAGGATGATTTTGGATTTTTGGCGCGTCGTCTGTATGTCGCCCGTTCCCGCCAAAGATCGTCCGTAGAAATTCTACATCTTTGTGGTACTGTACTTTGCATGATGGGCTTCGAGCAATGCAATAATGCGAGATCGATTTCAGATTATTGGTGGATCGTTTTGGTGTGAAGCTTTATATTTTATATTAGCTTGACCAAAGAGGCTCACAACACCCACCAACCATTCCTCGACAAGCTTGTCTTTTTGCTGCAATAAAATCTTGGATTCGAGAACTTGCCTAGTCAGTCAGTCAGTCAGTCATCTTCAACCATTTTGTTTGTGTAAAAAATGGCCGAAGTAGACGTCGATCGGTTTTACGATCGCCTTGACAAGCTACATTCGCACTTTATCAAGCACAAGTGAGTTATTGGTCCACGACGTGATCCACAAATGGTTCTATGGCGCAAATTTTCAATTTCATTTCATTGTTTCTGACCCTCCATGTTGCTCTTTTTTTTCTTTTTTCTTTCCTCGTCATTTATTTGTTTATTTGTCTATTTACCTATTTGTCTTTTTGTCTATTTGTCTTTTTACCTGTTTATTTGGTGTTGTCATTGGGATATTCATGACATCCAAAACACTATTCATTCATAATTACCCGACCAATCAATGCCATTAGAACCTATTGGGGGAGTGCCAAGAGTTTGTCGCTGCACCGCGGAAACTTGAACGACGATGATCCATACGCCAAGTCGGTAGTCTTGCACCAATGGCTCTTTGGGTACGAGTTGCCCGACACGATTTGCGTCTTGACCAACGATGCCACTCTGATGGTCTTGGCCACCAAAAAGAAGTGCGAATTTCTTCGGCCCGTGGTGGGAAAGAATGACAAGTTTACAGTCCAGCTACTACTAAGAAACAAGGAGGATGGAAATGCCGAAAATTATCAAAAGCTGCTCGATATTTCCCAAAAAGGAGGTGACGCCGATAATAAGAAAATTGGAGCCTTGCTAAAGGAAAGAGAATACAACAAGTCGAACGGTTCCCTCTTGGGACCCTACGAAGAGTTTTTGGATAAACAAGAAGATGTTGAATTGGTGGACATTGCACCTGCCTTGACCTTGGTAATGGCCGCCAAGGATGAGTTTGAATGGGATCTCATGAAGAAATCGAGCGTCTTGTCCAACAAGGTCATGAAACACGGGTTTGTCAAGAGACTCGAAGAAATCATTGAAGAAGAAAAGAAAATTACACACGAAGACTTTGCCACCCAAATTGAAGCCATTTTGGAGGATCCCAACAAGATCAAGCTAAATGTTCCGCAATCGGACGTTGGGTGCTGCTACTTTCCCATTGTCCAATCTGGAGGAACCTATGACCTAAAGGTTTCGGCACAGTCGACCAGCAAGCCATTGTCACACGATATCATTACCGTATCCATGGGTGCCCGATACAAACTGTATTGCAGTAACATTTGCCGAACCTTTTTGGTGGATCCCCCGAAGGCTGTCTCCTCGAACTACGAAACGTTGTTGGAAATGCAAGAAGCTTGCATCAAGGTCATGCAGGCGGGCAATCAACTAAAGATGGTCTACAAGGCGGCAGTCAAGTTCCTCAAGGAAAATGATCACGAGGAATTGATTGAGAAATTGCCAAAGAATCTTGGATTCTGTCAAGGTTTGGATTTCCGCGATTCTACCTTGACGTTGACTGCGAAGAATAATACCACCTTCAAGCCAGGAATGGTCTTTTGTTTGATTGTTGGATTTCAAGACTTGGAACTCAAGGAAAAGGATGTTGAGAACACACCATCTGCTAGTCCCGTAAGTGAATGAATGAATGAGGAAGGAGTGTACTAAGTACTTGGCATGTGTTGCGTTGCATTTGCATTGCATTGCATCTGTTCATTGATTTCTAACCTTGTTTACCTTATCAACTTGTTTCTTCCATTTCACCCGTACATGTGTATGCGTGCAGATCAAGACAATCAAAACATATGCGCTCCAGGTGGGAGATATGGTGAGCATTTCCAAGGGCAAGTCGGCCGAAGTGTTGACCAAGATGGGAAAAAGCATCACCGATATTGCCTACAACGTCAATGATGAAGATGATGGGAGCGATGACGACGAATCCAATGACGATGATGATGATGATGATGGGGACGAGTCTGACCCGGATGCGGCTCTGGCCAAAAAACTGTCACAACAGCAAGATGGGGCGTCTGGTAGACGTTCTCGCCGTCTAGCACAGGGAAACACTCAGAATGCGGAGGCTGCAGAAACTACTGCGGAACGAGAGAGACGGCAGATTCGACTCATGATTCGAAGGAACGAGGAGCGAGTCCGAGAGATTGCACGAGACAATGCAAAGAATAGAGGCAAAAAGGGGGAAGAAGAAATGGCAGAAGAATTGGAGACTTACAAAAGTCCAAGAGATTATCCAGGGAATGTACAACCCAATCAAGTCAAGGTGGATATGGTCAACCAATGTGTCATCCTTCCCATCTTTGGAAATCCAATTCCCTTTCATATCACCACCATCAAGAATGTCGTCTTGCCAGATCCAGACAATGCAACACTGTTGAGAATAAATTTTTACACGGCTGGAATGGCGGTTGGTAAAGATGCCCCAGCCAACATTGCCAAGCTAGTCCAAAAGTATGCCCCATATGCTTCCTTTGTTCGTGAATTGACATTCCGAAGTTTGGATGGTCACAATCTAGTACAGGTGAGTTGGAAATAAATTTGTGATGGGACAACCGGGCGGCCACATTGACGAACTTGTTGATTGACTGACTTGTTTCGTGACCCTTTTCTCTCCAGGCATTCCGTCAAATCTCCGAGTTGCGAAAGAGATCTAGAGCCAGAGAAATCCAAGAAATTGAAGAAGCCAACCTTGTCGAACAAGAAAAGCTTGTGCGAACCAAGAATGAAAGAGTTCCAAGATTGTCTGACCTCACCATGCGTCCCGTATTTGCCGGAAGAAAGACACAAGGAAACTTGGAGGCACACACCAATGGTTTGCGATTTATTTCCACACGAAGAGAAATCGTTGACATCATGTACAACAACATTAAGTACGCCATATTCCAACCATGTGAAAACGAAATCATGGTTCTTATTCATTTCCATTTGAGAAATCCAATCATGGTTGGTAGCAAGAAACACGTCAATGTCCAATTCTTTACGGAAGTTGTCGAATCCAGTCAGGCTGTCGATAATGGACGTCGCAGTATGTACGATCCCGATGAGATGGATGACGAACAAAGAGAGCGCCAACTCCGAAAGAGACTCAACCAAGCCTTCAAGGATTTTTGCAAGAAGGTCGATGCCGTGGCTAAGAAGAATGGCTATCGTCTGGAATTTGATATTCCGTATCGGGATCTAGGATTCACTGGAAACCCACACAAGGAGATGGTGCAACTTCTACCTACACTAAACTGTTTGGTGAACTTGACAGAAACCCCGTTCTTTGTCGTCGATCTTGACCATGTGGATCACGTACACTTTGAGCGTGTCCACTCGATGAGTAAGGCCTTTGATGTCATCCTCATCAACAAGGATTTCACCAAGATGCCCCAACGTATCGATATGATTCCAAATGGAGACAAGGATGGTATTCAGGACTGGCTGACAGATATGGAAATCACCTATACCGAAGGTCCAATGAATCTGAACTGGAAGCAAATCCTTAGCGCAGCCAAGGACGACGACCGATTCTACATGAGTACTGAAGACGACGAAGTCACTGAGAAGGATGCTGGCTGGGAGATTCTTCGAATGTTTGGGCGGGACGATGAAGAGGACGACGATGACGATGATGAAGATTCTGAATTCGGCCAAGAAAGTCTTCCATCCGCGGAGGAAGAAGAATCAGAAGAAGAGAACTTTGACTCTGTGTCTGAAGAAGAGTCTGACTTCGATGGTGATGAAGAACTGGAAGAACAAGGAATGGACTGGGACGAAATGGAAGTCCAGGCCGCTGCTGACGATAAGAGAACGCGCCGAACTGGAGGAGAGGAAGTGGTACAGCCACCGACACGAAAGCGTCGGCCAGCCCAACGCAGTTCTGGTGGGGGGCAGAGACGCCCAAGCAGTTCTGGTGGGGGAAAGAGACGCAGACGTTGATTGTAGCATAATAATAACACAATCATTATAAACTGCTCTGCTCTGTTGCTATATCGATCCAGAAGACTCAGTGGGTTCTTCTTCCAGCGATTTTACGATAGTACCGCTCAAGACGATCAGACTGTGAATCTTCACTCTTTCATCTTTCGCTATCTCCGCACTAGCAGCCAGACTCAACAAACGGAGTCCAAATAAGTGTGTACTACCGACCGGGACATCCAAAATGGCTCCATCAACCAAAGGGTCCGACTCTTCGGCCTTTTCACGAACCCAATCACACATATCGGCATCCAGGGATCCCATGACGTTGCTCATATCGAAAGGACTTTCTTCACTCATCAAGTAATCCAAGCGGCGGCATATTATTTCAACACCGTCGTCACAGAAATGTTGGACGCTGACTAATGAAGCACTCTTCGTCAGGACTTCGTCAACAACGTTGTCTTTCCCAAATTCGTACATCGATAGAAGAAAGAGCGTTCTGACGTTCACCATGTCAAACTCCCAAAGTTCTGCCAAGCTCTCTACTTCACCGAGACTGAGTGTTTCCAAGCTCTGGCCTTCGTAGTTTCTCGCGTAAGTCACAATTGCTTCTTGCAAGAAAGAGTGTTGCTTTTGCTCTTCTTCTGGGTGAGAAACTGCGTTGTTGAACATCATCGATGGTGTAAACAAGTCATAGAATGATGGAATACATTGTGAATGTGAAGAAATATTCTTCGAAAGCTTCAAAGCCTTGAGCAACATACGGTGAGCATCCAATGAACTTTCGAAAATGGCACGGTTTCTTCTAACGAGCCTCTTCAGAACAACACAGTCCCCAACGGGAGGCCAGGTCGACGAATCTTCCTCATAGTCTGTATCCCAGAGATCAATCCGTTCGCTTTCGTGCCATTTGATTTCTGCCAAAAGATCCAAAACGTAGGCAGCAATTTCATTGAATGTCTTCACCCATTCCGGGTCATGAAACAAGGGTGCAACGATCTCTTGTGATACCTCTTGTACATCATCGAACCCCATCAATAGTGCGCGATACACGGGACGGATCCGACTCTGCCAGATGTCAAGGCGTAACGATGAAGCAATTCTCTTGTGTTCAACTGGGTCGATGGATTTCAACGCAATTAGTGCGGAATGGAGAACGGTCAAGTCCGCCGGGTTTTTGCCCCATCTGTGTGCCAAAAGAAGAGTACGATGTGCTACCAGCATATCCGGGATATTGAATGGCTTCAGAAATAGTAACATTGCCCCTAACCTATCGTCATCGTCGAAATCAACAAGATACTCCGCTCGTTCATCTTCGCTCAAGGCGCTCGAGAAACAAGATTTCTGCAGGACCTTGAATCGATCATCGCCTTCCTTTTTGGACGGATCGAATGAATGATTGCTGATGCGGCAAGCATTCTCTAGAGAAAGAATCTCGTCGTTGTTTTGTGTCATGGACAGCTCATCGCGAGCTAACCACTCAAAAACAGAGAAGTTATCACCTTTTTCTACAGCCTTGATGGAGATAGGGCAGGCGCCGAGCTGTTGGCCATACAGGCGGAGAGACACAAATAGACATACTCGAAGTCTCCGAAGCAAGCTATCCCAGCTTCCCACTATCGAGCGTCAACAATGGTTAGATTTTAAGCCGTGACATATGAGTCAGGACAACGACATCCACTCACCACTCGCATCCTTCGAAACCTTTCCATAGGTCTCATCCTCCATTTCACTAGAAGCTTGGTATACAACTTCTCGGCAAAGTGTTGCTAGCCAAAATACCCGCACCAACTCCTCTGAACTGCTGCAATAGTCATAAAGCGATTGCATTGGCGGGGTATTCTTCTCCGCAGCCTTTGTTATTTGAGGCACTGCAAGTTCCTTTAGCCATCGATTCGCCGGTGAATCCTTGGCAAATATCGACTTTGTAGTAGAATCTTTAATGGAAAGAGAAGTGAACCATTCTCCGAAACACTGTTTTCATTTGAGTGAGGACAATGGATGGGCTTAATCAAATTGTAAGTATTCGGAACGTACCTTGAGCAGATAATCGTGGTCCTTCCCAATCCCAAGCGCGTCAAACAATTGGTTTACAACCTTAAACGAAAAGACGTCACCAAGCAGTGGTTTGAAAATTCTAATCAAGATTTCTTTTCGAGTCTTGGAGCTATCACTCAAATAGACCTTGTACCCCCCACGCTTCAAATCATACAGAGCTTCCATCCAATCTTTGGGAGGCACACAAGCCGCTGCAAATGCATGAAAGTGAAGGGGTTCTTTGGGGCTCTCGAGACAATCATCGTCTACCAATCGCTTGGTGATCTTTTCGTAGGTTGCCGTCCAACCGGCAGCTTCCACACTCCACATGGAGGGAGCGGCCAATTCCAAAGTCGCCTCGCTCTCGTCACGTTGCACTTCGTATCGGTGAAGAGCATCGTATGCGGCAGAAATCTGAAAACAAAGAAAAATTTAAAGAATGAGAATGAATTCTTGGACCTGCAGAGCATTGTTATCCATTCTTCGTACCTGAGTGTAATAAGCAATCTTAAAAGCAAGCCTTTGAATATGTGGGTTCGATTCCGCCTCTTTTCCACCAGCACTAATGGCTTCGTCCAGCTTTTGTTCGCAGTATGATACGGCCAACTTTTGAAAGGTAGATCCTTCCACTCCCATTCTTCCTCCCAACGTTGGCGCCTTGGCCACAATATCCAAAATTGTACTCAAATCCTCAATCGAATCAATTTTCTCCAATGCTCGAAAGACATCTCCAGATTCACATTCTACATTGGTTTCGTCCAAGAGTTGCTTCAAGTGATTTAACTTTCTGGATGCATCTTGTGTGGATTTGTGATGTGGAGAATCAGGAGGAAGCAACGAGGACCGCGATCTGGAGGTAAGGTTGCCAGTCTGTTCGGATTCGGAAAATTCAATCTTTTGGATCTTGTTCAATGGCGAATGAGGGACATTGGAATGGACAATGTAACAGTTCGAGACATATCCTTCACTGGTCAGCTCTCGACTACAGATGAGTTGCGCATCTCGCGCCACTTGAATGGTCTTGACTCGTGGACCGTGACGTGTTCGGTACACTTCGATCACCTTGCGTTGCCGTGAATGAATCACCAAGTACAGGACTTTGTTTTTGAGCCAAGGTGTTTCCGAGGTACTGCGAGGATACTGAATCCAATGACAAACAGAATCACGAAAGCCCTTCCACATTCGAATGATTTGTTTGGTGGCCAGATCCACCAGAGACACTCGACCCAATGTGTCGGCAATCGCTGCCAAATCTCCTTCTGGATCAATGGTGCAGTAAATGATTTGCCGAGGAGGATCATGAATTTCATACCCAGCATAGAGTTTGACGGGATCTAGATTCATGTCGGGAAAGGGAACGCTGGGATCCCACGGTTCCTTGTAGTCTGCTGCTGCCTGGGTTACGTCCTCGGCCGGATCAGGGGTAGGTTTCTTCTTGGTGGTCGAGGACCCAAAGACACTACCAAAGATTCCTCCAATCACACTCCCAACAATACCATATTCCTCCTCTTCTGGCACATCCTCTAGCATGTCATCATTGTGAATCCGACTTTCAAATTGATCTTCCGATGTATAAAATGCCAAAGTAGGAAATACGTCGGCCATATGACCACTGCAATAGACGGCTGCCTCGTAAACTTCGTCTTGATATTCGTCCAACTTCTCGTCCTCTGCCGTTGGATGATCAAATTCCGGTCGTTTCCACGCTGGAAATGGTGCCAGTGGCGATGGATGGTACTTGGGCAGTGGAATGTAAGTTACGGTCGAGTCCGGCATGGGCGGCAACATGGCCTTCCACTTGACTAGTGGTTCCCCCAAGACTTGCGCTAGTTGTTGTTGCTGCAAATCAGATTCCAAATGCTTTTGCCACACGGACGGAAAAAAGCCAGCATGGTGCAATCGAATGGCCGTCCCATCGCCAAAGGAAATCCACACATGGGTACGAGGCCGTCCCTCCCTCCACAGATTGTAGGCCACGAGCGTCGTGACTCCACCGGAGGGTTCAAAGGGAACAACAGCCTTGTGTTCCGAGGTATTGTCCAGACCGCTGCTACTGCTGTGCGTCAAGCTTCGTCTCCTGGTAGTTGTGGTGGATGATGCCTTCTTGGGCTTCTTTTTCGTTTGCTGTTGTTGGAGTTTGGTCAGTCTTGAAGTTGGTAGTGGTTCAAAATAGGTTCGTTCTTCCGGGCCCACAAAGAATTTGCGCCTCTCCAAAACCAACGCGTGTGGCTTGACAGAGAATTCAATGGAAATGACTCGGTTTTCTCGGGTTCCCACGACGATCGCCAAGCGTGGTGACGGTGCCTTGAGGGACATGCCACCGCTCATCAACGTGGATGTTACTACGGAAGAATCTGTTCCTACATTGGTAGGGGACGGACTTGGCGATGGTTGACCGTCACTTTCGTCGTCGTTTTCGCTCAGCGTTAGCTTGTCTCTTGAAGAATAAAACTGGCTGTAAAACAAATCTCCATCTTCACTATTGTTGCTAGCTCGTCTATTCAATGGACGACTATCGTTCATTTTCAGGCCAGTATCCCTGGCCGTCAATTGCAAGTGTTCCAAGGGCATTAGAGTCGCACAGGTAATTTGATCGTCTCCTGGAATCACCAACACCTCGACGGGTGTCCCAGTTCGACCTGGAGCTTCTTGTACCAATTGAGCCGATATACACCGCTTGGAAACTGCCATGAGCACATGCAACGGCAATTCTTGGCCTTCTTTCGAAGGATCCGGGATCCTGGTCATGTACAATTGAGGGTTTGTAGTGTGTCCAAAGTCGTCCAGCGCGTGGGTGGGAAGGTAATTCTCGAGCATTGACACATGTCCGAGGACTTGGGACGCGTCAATGCTGCTCTTTGTTTTACTGGCATCGCTATTGCTATTTGCATCGGGCATTCTTGAAGCCAGTGCTGTCTTTGTTGCGTGCAATTCAATGAATGACACGGATGTGTCAAGTTTGAACTTGCTTTTGACAATAGGAACTTGCTTGATGGCGGAGCCGGAATTCTGGCAAACGTGTGATTTTGAATATTGAGGGTAAGGAATACTTGGGGGAATTTTCCTGTATTTAGGGTCAATCCAAACTCCCAAGAAATGCGTCCGTCCCGTGTCGGCGCAAATAAAACAAAAAACACATCTCCTCTTTCTGATATTGGCAGAGCATACTGTACTTACTTTTACCGCATCTTGCTTGACAATGTCTTACTATCAAAGTCAGGGACGCGACCGTTCTAGGTCCAGAGAACGAGATATACCAGGTGGTGGTATGTCGCCAATGGCTATGGCCAATCTTACATCCTTTTCCCCTGTGGGTGGAATGGTGAGAGCTTTTGGCTTGTTTGTATTTTAATCCAAGCTCGTTCACTCGCTCGGCATGTGTCTAACTTTCCCGTCATTTTGTTTTGCTCAGGGAAACTCGGCACAAGAAAAGATCAATCGCGAACTCTTTGTGGGCAACACACCTCCAGGGACTACCGAACTCTTATTGCTGCACTTTCTCAATGCCGCAGTGAGGCGGGTCAAAATAGTACAACCCCACGAAACGCCCATTCTAAATTGCCGCGTCAACTCCAAGTTCGCCTTTATCGAATTGACCAGCGCAGACGTGGCTAACAAAGTGTTGAATATCAATGGAATTCCCTTCTTGGGCGCCGTCCTCAAAGTGAGTCGGCCTTCCAAATACGTAGGACCTCACACTCCGGCCAAATCTTGGCAAGAATTGACGGGACAATCGTTGCCCACTGGAGCCGTACTAGACGCCGAGCAAGAAAAGATTAGTCGAGAACTCTTTGTAGGAAATACCACACCAGAAATGTCCGAAAGCATGTTGGTGGAATTTTTGGGCAATGCGATGGAACAAGTGGGATTGAATGCCATGGCAGGGAATCCCATCAATGCCTGCCGTGTTTCGGGAAAGTTTGCATTTATTGAATTAAGAACGGCTCAAGAGGCTGCTAACGCATTGAACTTGAACAATATACCATTCATGGGCGCCCAACTACGAGTGGGCCGACCTTCCAAATGGACTGGACCACCGGATCATCATGGCAATTGGGAAGACATTTTGGCCAAGTACATGTCTGGGGAACTTCAATTGGGAGCTGCGGCGGCTGGAGGTGGTGCCCCTCCTGTTTCCGCCCCGCCACCGCTTAGCTTGGCCACCCGAGTGGTCGAATTGCAAAACATGTTGACAGACAACGATTTGGTCAACGAAGACGAGTACAATGATATCCTGGAAGACACTAGAGAAGAGTGCGGACAATTTGGTCAATTGATATCTCTGCACATCCCCAGGAAGGGAGAAGCTGGGGCTACCAAAATTTATTTGGAATATGGTTCGAACGAAGACGCAGCCAAGGCGATTGCCGGTTTGGAGGGCAGAACCTTTGATGGGCGAAAGGTTTTGGCTGCCTTTTTTGATGAGGCCAAGTTTGCCAAGAAGGAATTCTAGAATCTAACACGCAACCAAAACACCATTTCTAGCATCGTGTATAATATTGACTACCCGAACTTCACTTCTGGAATTGATCCACATTCGTAGTCTGGACAATACAGTATCGTGCTTTAGTGCAAAAGTCTTCAGAAGTACTAGGTCAGTTGCCACAACTGAACTGATTAAGTCGACTACACAGACTGCCACTCATTCATTGTTGTCTTGACAAGAACAACAAAACACCATCCAACTTCAAAGAACTTGGGTCTCTTACCGCCAATCTAGTAGTGTCAAATAGAAAGCAGAAGCTTTTATATAATATATCGTGCCATGGCCAAGAAGAAAACACAAGGAACAAAGGCTGGAAAACGAGTAGCTTCCAAGAAGCCAGTGGCCAAGAACAAAACAAGTACAGCCAAGCCTTCCAGCAACAATATGAACGATTGGATCTCGTCTCTAGCCAAAGAAGCTACCTCTTCCGAGAGCACTAAAGTAATGTCCAAGGAAGATCGTATACGGAAACGTGCCGCCAAAAAAGCCAAACGACAAGAAGCACAGGAACTGAAACAACAATCCCAATCATCAAACAGCATGGCAAATTCGAAACCAGCAGCAGCCCCAGTTTCGCAACAGAAAATCCAAGCAGCCTTTACCAAACGCCGCATGCGACAACTTGTGACCATTCTCGAAACTGTTCGCAATAATTACAACCAACGATCAAAAAAGGACTTGCCGCGACCCTTTGAAGCGCCAGCCTTCAAGAAACGGAAAACAAAGGGTTGGAGTAAAGACACCATTCAACCACGAACAAGTGATTACGCGGGCATTGGATTGGCGCGGGACTCCCTTTTCATTTCCTTCAAGGAGCCCTCCTTCTTTCCCAGTCTAGAAGAGGAGTTTAAAGAACATATTCCGGGATTCTTTGGCAAACAACGGACCAAGGCAATGAAACGACAGTTGGACAAGGACATGTTGTGGAAAAAGATGGCAGACAAGGACAAAATGAACAAGAAATTTAAAAACATGACACCTGACCAACGAGTGGAAGCAATGTTAGAGGCGGGAATGTTATGATAAATAGACAAATGTAAGATAAACCAATTCGTCATTCTATACAGATAATACATGATCGAGTATGAAACCAGGACATTCTCATCATTTGTAGGAAGATTGAACCTGTCTATTAAAATAGTGAAGCAAGTTTAATCTTTGAGAACTGTGACCATTAGTGTTTCTTAAATAGTTTCGTATAGTTTCTTGGCGGTCTCGTATTTTGTCTTCTCAAAGTCGGTCATGAGATTGCCAATCTTATCAATATCAGCATCCGTGTTCTTCCCAAGAGCCTTGAGTACCTTGGCGCAAAAGACAGCTGGTTTGCCAAATTCCTTAAAGTCTTGAGGAGCACTGTCCAGCAAAGGGTCTAATTCCAAAGCATTCACCTTGATGGCTTCGGATACAATGTGAGCCAAATGACTGCCCGCCAAAGGTGCGTCAATCTCCACATCGTTCAAGAATTCCAAAGGATCGGAGAAGCCCTTGCTGAACGAGTCGGCAGGAATCTTGCCTTCCTTGAAAGCACGGCACAAGACACTGGCGCACTTGGTAGCTTCTTCCTTTTTCATTTCCATAACCAAAAAGACGCTGCTTTCGACTACCTTGGTACCACGTTCGACATCTCCAGCGGTTTTCACTTGGACGATTTCGTCCACAGTGAGAACAGCATCGTCGAGATCTCCACCAACAAAAAATTCCTTGAGCAGATTCTTGGCCTTCTCGCCGCACTCATCCGGTGACAGAGGCTTTTTGCCTTTGATAGGGGAGCCGGGTTCAACTTGCTTCATGTTGGCTGGCTGACTCTGCGTTCGTCGCATTTCAGCCTTTTTGGCCATGGCTGGAGTATCCTCGTCCTTTTCAGGCTGCAGTATTTCAACCTTGCTGGATACCTTACGGATGGATGCACGATTGATCTCCACAAATCCATCATCGTCTACAACAGGAACACTGCTGACACTCTGCGTTCTTCGGAGACTCGAGGCTGCTTGACTGGCGCTAGAACGGCGGTTATTCTGCTTGTTCGAGCCAGAGCCACCCTTTTCTTCTTTGGCAATATCCTTGTGCAAGTCCTTCAAGTCGACAGCAGCTTCCTTTTTGCGTCTGGGCACCCAATCTGTGGAGATAGAGAGCAAGTCGTTGTGAGAACACAATTTTTAAAGCAAGTATTTCCCATCAGTCCTGCAACCGTCCATGTAAACTTACCATTGTTCTTCAAATCCAAAAGATCCTGCAACAAAAACTTGATACGATTCGAAAGCTTGGTCGATTTTCGGAGGTTAACCACTCGGTCCCAATCGAATGGTTTGTTGTTCTTCTTGGCATGACCATCCAACTTGGCTCCCATTGTGGTCATTAGTTCGGCAAAGCACTCCATGGCATCCTCGTTATCTTCCAACTTGAGTAACTCGTCCAAACAGTACATCATAATGGCGAGCTTGACGACATCACGCTTGTATAGTTCTCCCAAGAACTTCATATGTCCCAAGTAACCCTTACGAATCAACAAAGTGTGATATTCAATCTCATCCTTATCAGTCATTCCCTTTGTGGCATCGGCAATCTTTTCAGAAGTATCCTGATCGAATTCATGTTGGCATTGCGTCAAGAGTTCCTTCTTGAAGGGTTTGAATTTCTTAGCAATGTTACTGCACAAATTAGCGTACAATGGTCCAAAGTGATGCTCCCTTTGAGACTTCTGAATTAGCAAGTGAATGACAACCTTGCGGACCTCCTCGTTGGTTTCAATTTGGGCGGTTTCGATAAAATGATCTGTCATACGATCCAAAGTAGTGTAAGAGACCTTGTTCAGGATCAATCTGGTCTTGGCAACTATATCTTCTGTCGTTTCTGGTGGTGCTTCTTCCACCTCATCTAGTAGGCCTCTGTTTTCTTTCATGGCCTTGGGCTTCCACCTTGTCTCCTCATTAACTTCCAATGGAGCAACGTCCTCCAGGGCAGGTGCCTTATCAGGGCGATTCTTGGACACATCTCCCAATTCCATGGCCTTCAAGGAGGAGAGTCGGATAATTTCCTCACGGTCTTCATCGACCCAGTGGCACTGTTCGTGGGGGGTGAAAGGAATGCTTTCCGAGGGTTCCAAGTATTCCAAGCGAAAGCGCATGAAATCTCTATTGTTGATGCGCTTCACACTTCGTTGCTCCTTGGTTTGTCCAAGTCCGGTTGCAGTCAGCAACTGAATATCCTTGTGATAAATTCGTTGAGAGTTTCCCCTGTCGTTGTTGCCTCGGCCTCCACGTCCGCGTCCCCGGCCACCACGACCACCTCTTCCTCCACGTCCATTATTGTTATTGTTGTTATTGTTGTCACCATCATTGTTGTAGCTGCCTCGACGATTGTTGTTGTTACTGCTTCGACGACCGCCACCGCCTCCGCTGCTTCGACGACCACCGCCGCCTCCACCGCGACCGCTGTTATTATCTTCGCCAACGGTAAAACTACCTCTGGTAGGTGCTGAATTCACCTTGGGATTGGCTCCTCTGGACCAAGCTCCCGACTAATAGTTTCACAGTGAGAAAAGAAGACAGAATCAGATACAAGAAGACAGGGAAACAGACCCGAATCATTGATGGGCATAGCCATCAGATGATGATAAGATCAGAAACGTGCAACGAAACGTGCATTCACCGGAACCTACCATTTTTCTTAGTGTTTTCTAGTAAATTAGACCCTTTCTTCCACAAGTTAAATGACTGACTCTTGACGCTTCGTTCTAGTGTAAAATCCTGATACTTTGAGACAAATAAAGTCTGCTGCTGGCTTGATCAAGATGATTCTCTTCCCTGTTGATGGATGAGAAAAAGTTTTGTTGCAGTTCGTGGGTGTTGCTCGCAAGCCGCGAGTTTCCATAGTGCAAGTGGTTCATGGGTTATGAGGTGGTTTGAGTGTCACATACGGGTGACGTACAGATAAATTCATTCGAAGGAGTCAGTCAACCCATCAACTGACGCAATGCATGATCCCCACAACCCACAAAACGAAGAACTGCCGATGAACAGAAGCAAATATCACCTCACCAGAATGATTGACACTACATTAAAGATTCAAATAGTTGTCCTCCTTTTATCACTAATACTGGTGGACCCAGTGTTTGGATTCACGATAGGCCACCATTGGTCCATTTCTGTCAGGCATTGCACTGCTCCGAAATGCCCATTGCCATTCGCATTCGTGTTGCCCATGTCTCCTGCTCAACAACAACAACAAGAGTTGGATGGTGAGGAAAACCTCAAGGCTCTTTTTGAGCGTGCCGTTGTTTTGCAACGCACGGGTGGAACGGAAAATCTGGAAGAGGCCTTGAAATCGTACGTACGATTCATCAAGGCCGCCAAATCCACCAACCAAGATCCCAAAATGTATGCCGAAGTCTATGTCAACATGGGCGCCATTTATTTGAAAGAAACACCATTGAAGGACCGACAAATGGCCATGGACTGTTTCCTACAAGCTATCCAATACCGTAAAGTGGGAACTGCCTATGTCAATTTGGCTTTGTTGACCTTGCAAGAAGGATCCCAGAGTCGTGATGCTCAAGTGGGCATGAAAGCCTTGGATGGTGCCAAAGAGTTTTGCGAAAAGGCACTAGAGCTAAATCAAGATCCACGATCGGTGGCCATGGCTCAAAAATTGTTGCAAGATATACAAAAAATGAATCAGCAAATGGGACGATGAATCATGAATGGGATGCTTCTTAGAGATGGCCCCCGAATAAAGGCGACAAGCAAGACGACAACAGTTGATATATTAGTGGATTATTTGGTTAGCATAGCTACTGCAGCTGATGATCCCATTCAAACGGAAGAGAATGAATCGGCTGTTGCTTTGTTTTGTACTGTAATGTATTCCAACCGGTGTTGTGCGTTTGTCTTTGTGTTTTTAGTGTGCGTGCTGCTGTTGCAGTGCACATGGAGCCATATGCCCATACCATGAACAATTTCTCGGCTGCCAGTCTAGTATCTCTAAAATATAATGGTGCTGATGCTGAGCTTCGTCATCAGTCTTTTGATCGATTTTCATCAATGTTGGAAGAAATAAAACTTCATCTTTCTTGCGTTTGGGTTCTCTGTTTCTTCATTTCCGCATTGGGTACCTTTCCTTCAATGGATCCTTTGTTCATCCAAACCTCGGACTCCATTGATTCAGCCTTCAAGGAGCTAGAAGAACCTTGGTCCCATTGCATGACATCGTATTCCTTTTTCTTCTCGTCAACTTTCTCCTCCACCTCTGCGACGGTCTTCAAGGATTCGGCAAGGCTTTCCTCTTCGGCTTCCTTTTCCTTTTCTTCTTTGATATCCTGCAGTTTGAAGACTTCTCGCATGGATCGTTGGTAGACTGCAGTTGCACCAGAGGGATTGTTGGCATTTTGTTCCATCAGTTCATAGGCCTGCCACATTTGCTTGCGCTCTGTCGTTCCAGGTTCGAATTGTTGCAATGCCCACTCAAACAAGGATCGTGCATCTTCCCAATTACCCAGCTCTTCCTCCATCATGGTCCATGCTCTATATGCTGCAATGTTGCGCTTGTCGGCATCCACAGCCCGATTGAAACACCGCCGAGCAGCCGCATAATCTCCTTCTTGGGCTTCCAAAACGCCCCAGGCTTGCCACAATCGGGCGCACTTGTAGCCGCCGGATTGACCACCGCCCAGTGGGGCGCAGGCCCAAATGCCTTGTTGGAAGATGTTTCTTGCTGCTTCCGGGTTGCCTTGACGAGTTTCAAAGACACCCCAAGCTTGCCAGACGGGCGCATGTCGTTTGTTGACTTTGGTACCGCGCTCGAATCTGAATAAAAGGAAAATATTAGGGAGGAGGCAAAATATTAGTAATCGAGCTGAACAAAGCAAAAATCCCACATGTACCCATATTCATGTTACTTACAAATCTCGAGCTGATTCGGCATCTCCCAATTCGGCCACGTAGAGTGCATATGGCTGCAGAACTCCTGCGTCTCGTTTATTCACCTTCAAGGCTCGCTCAAACAGTTCAATAACCTTGCGAGAGTTGCTCTCGGGACGCTTGGATTCCATAATGGCATAGGCTTGCAAGATTCTCGAATTTCGTTTGTCGAATTTGAGACAAGTTTCAAAACAAATTTCCGCTTGCGCCCAATTTTCTTGTTTGGCCTCCATGCAGCCCAATTGCAACCAGGCTGCCGAGCATCGCTTATCCGCTTTCAAAGCCATGTGAAACAATTTACGCGCTTTTCGCACATCGCCCTCCTTTTTGTATTCCATGGCAGCCCAGGCGGTAAAGACGTGCGAGGATGGCTTCTTGCCCGCCTTTTCCAATTCCCGTGCCGCAGTTTGATAACATACTCTTCCGGCCATGGCCGATTGACGAAACTTTTCCGTTCGCAATTGGGCTAGGGCCACCCAAGAAGCTGCATGTGATGGCCGAGACCGAGCCGCTTCGATAAACAAGGCTTCTGCTTGGGTCAAGTGCCCCGCCTTTTCTTCCAAACACCCAAGTGCTTGCAACAAGAAGGGATTTGCACCACTATCAGGCGTCCCATCTTCCGCCAAGGAAACACTATTGGCAATTCCGGTCTTCAAACACTCTTTTGCCAGTTTGTAGTCCCTACGACGTTCCGCACATTTCGCCAAGCCCAGATAGGCCCGTCCATTGCGTGGGTCTATTCGAATTGCTTCTTCGTACAATTCTTGGGCTTCCTCCGTTCGATGATGACGCAATTCCATCTTGGCATGATAATTCAGACGGGCCGCGTTCACTGGCAAAGGATTGCCCAGTCGCACACCCTCGCGAAATTGAACGCTTCCATCAGCTCCCATGAGCGATGTCGTTCCCCGTCGGTATCCGTACATGCGGTCTTCCACCATCCGTGTCAACTCCAAATCGACCTTGCCGGACTTGTTCGTTTCAATAACCGCGGCCCCAAGACGTTCCGATAGGGTAGCATTTGGACTAGGTTTGGGGCCCACAGTGGGAGTGAAAATGTCGGCCACGGCTTGTGCTTCGGCCTCGGCCGTTTCCTCCTTTGTGCTGTCTCTTGTTTTGTCGCCCAAGAAAGCCTTGGTATTCTCCACCACATCCTCCATAACATAGGGTAATATAAACGAGCTCAACTTGGGTTCTCGCCATACCCGCATCATGGAACTCGCTCCAATGGCCGAGGTTTTTAGTCGCTCGGTGGATTTTGGCTGTTGTTGTTGTTGTTGTTGCTGCTTTTGGTTCCGGCTACTCTTTTTGCCAATCGTTGCTGCGTCCCGTTTCTTGACTTCGTTCAAATCACGTTCAATGACTTCTTCATCCCAGACCGCCTTGGGAAAGAGACATTCAAAACTCCAAATGCTTGGTGGTTCGTCACCACTTTTCGATATGAGTTCCTCGTATTGAGCCTGTCGTTCATAGCTCAGCCGCCTTCGTTCCTTTTCTGTCGCGGGGATACGTTTGCGCTTGTACTTTTGACGTACTTTTCGTTTGGCGTTTTCATTGTTATCGCTGTTGTTGCTGTTGTTGGACCAACTGCCATCTCGAGGAAGAGGAGCTGCGACCATGCACAAGGATGATGATGAGGAGGAAGCTGAGGATTCTCTACCCCTCACTATCCGTCGCTGATGAGAAGGGCGTATCAGCGAATTCGCAGGCTCCAGAAGAACGAGCAACAAGCAGCATGATATTAAGGATTGTGCACTTGCACGACGGCTTGATGAGTTGTCTCCTGTCATCTTAGAAATCTCAGAATGCTGAAGCTTTCTATTATAAAAGGGCTGACTTTTAAATGCAAAATAGAATAGATGGCAATGTTCTCGAATATGGTGACAATCTAATCTTTCTTGAGAGAGCAAAGCTGGGCTTCTGCAGACAGATAGCGAGTGTGAAGGATGCCCTTCTTTTTTCTATCCACGACGATCCCAGACTTGAGTTGAATTCAGCTTTTTCTTTGTTTGTATTGGATGAGTCGGTACACCCTTCTTTATGATATTACTCTCCATTGGCGGCGAAGATTCCTTTTTGTAAAAGGTCTACAGGGATTTATAGTACTTATTGTACATAAAGTTGAAGTCTAGATTGGAATCCAAATCATCTTTTCTGTCAAACTTGATTCGCAGTTGCTTCGGACTTGATTCGAAACTAGCGATTCCTCGTGACGTAACCTGTTCCTTCGAGAAGTTGAAAGTTTGCCAGATGCATGGTTCGTCGTGGAAGCAAACGTCGTAGGGGAGTTTGTTTTGATCCCCACTAAAAATCAGGGATTCCCCCACGTGCATCGCTTGGTCGAATGGATCCATCACGCAAGCCAGAGTGTCACGCCAGCTACAAGTACAAACGGTATTTTGGAACGTCAGGCTGATCCCGTACTGTGCACATCACTTTCTTCTAGAGAAAAAAATTCACACGAGAAAAAGTCTTTCACTTATCTTCCATGTCCTCCATTACGTTGAACAGCACCACCATCTTCACCTCATTTGAAAGCATGTCGTCGCCGCAAGAGATCCCGGTTCCACCAGCTGTCATTGCCGTGAGTTTTGAAATATTGTCTTTTTTGGCGATTGCAACACCATCGCGACTGACACACCAGTTTTCTTTTTTTCCCTCTTGTAATCGTAGATTGGTTTGATTGGATTCTTGATTGCCCTTGGAGCTATCCTTCATTCCAAGAACAAGCAGAATGTAAAGGTCAAGGTTGCCTTTGATAATATTCCTTCCACTCCCAAGTCTAATGATACTACTACCGGTACTGATAGTAGCACTGGTAATGATGATGCTCCTTCCACCCCACCAAGAAAGGACAGCACTTCGACACCCACTGACAAAAATACTGGAAGTATTCAGACCCCTGCCGGACGCCGTTCTGCCAGACTCGCAAAGCGACGAAAGGAAGACTAAGATCTCAAATGCGATATGTTTGTGTGCCACGAAATCATACATCAGAGAGCATCCATATATATATATATATATGATATGATGGTCGATTGCATGTATTGGTTGACTGGTATATTGACATTGACATGTGGTTTCTTCTTGTGATGGATGAATGGACGATGGCTGCGTAGAAAGGGGAATTTCGAGCGCGCTGTGGTTGATCAACTTTGCAGGGAAATGGACGACCCCAGTTGCGATTGGGTCTTGCTACTGTTCCTTCTATATATACATAATTTGAACTGTAAATTTAAGCGTGATGATTCCATTTGGATGATCTTGTTCTTTGTACTGTAGTTTTGACGCATATATTTTATTGAATGGTCGAATTAAAATCATCAACGCCTCTCTTGCCACATATATCTATACGTTAATATAAAGTGCGTACTCCTACCCCTATCCTTGCTACTACATGATTTTGTATTGGTTATGGTGTATCGTACCTGTTGGATATGGTAATGGTTAGACTTAGAGTTATTTACATTTCCCACCCAGCAGCTATTGATATTACGTTCGGACCTCATTCATACAATTTACAAGTCCACAACACGAGCCAGCTTTTGGATTCGATTCAGTAACAAATCTCCCTTTTGAATCATTTCCCGATATTGCGCATTCTTCAAGTCTGGTCTGTTGGTGATAATGACTCCACCATATTTATCAATCTTGGCAGACAATCGACCAGCTGCAATAAATTGGCTGGCGTGATAATCAATAAAATCGGTAGAAACCCCAAAGGCATCAGCCATGGCTTGGAGAGTGACAGATTGATAGGAATCCAAAAATTGTTTGTGTGCCATAATGTGTAGTTCCCGCATCCAGTAAGCCACATGTGGTTGCAAGTATCGGTCTGCTACAAGTGTTGGTTCCACTTCCACCATGGCGTTGAGATATGCCTTGTAATCGCAATCGTACAAGGCTCGCACCAGCTTGATCACATCAGGAATTTCATTGGCCACAGACAAAATTTCAGGTCCATCCAAAATCTTTTCTTTGATCATTGGCCGGGGAATGTGTAAAAGATTGGAAAGGGTGGCATAGACAATAAAGGAAGGGTAGGAGCACATTTCATTGCACGAAAAGGTGGCAATACAGTCCAGCATGAGAGAAGCTCCTTCCTTGATATCCCGTTCTAGCAATCGTCCAAGACCTCGGTATACCTTTAGTCGATTACGACGGTCCCAGTCACCACCTCCGCCGTCGGTTGCTAATTTTTGTGCCTGCAAAGATGGATACAGATGATGATACAGTATGATGTGATGAATGAACGAATGAATGAATGAGCGAATGAATGAACGAACATATGAGCGACATGTCAACGTGGCTGTTGTATCCTTTCAATACAAGACCCATCACAAAGTATTTACTTACACTTTCCACAAATTCTGTACTCTTATCAGTATCACCATAGAAGGATGCCACACGAGAAGACTCCATCAAGGCATCAATCTTCTTTCCACTGGACACCTTGGGAAGCTCCAAAAGCTTCTTGTAGGCCTCCAAAGCTTCGTCTTTAGTCAAAGACTTGGCAGCAAATCGAGCAATCTTCACTCTAGCGTCCATGACTTCCATATCTCCAGCGCTTTCCTTTGCTTCTTCCACCTTGGCTTCCAACTCTTTCATATGGGCCGCATTCTTCTCGTCCATCTCTTTCAACTTTTCTTTCGAACACAATCCAGTATCTACGGACAGGGTAGTTTGCAATAGACGGTAAAAACTGGGATTCTCCAATTCTTCAATAATCTTCTTGAAGACCTTGGTTTGATATTCCGCATCCACACCAGCAGATTTGACCGTCAATCGGTGAATCTCTTGGGCAAATTCCATGTCGGGGTAAGGAGCGGCAGACTCCTCGGAAGCCGAAGGTTGACCTCCTCCCTTCTTCTTGTCCTTGTCCTTGGGAGCAGGAGCAGGAGTTTCTGGTGTATCTACGGCCATGGAATCGTCAGGCATGGCTGTTGTTGGTTTTGTTGTTTTTGTTTTTGTTTTTGTTTTTGTTATAGCGTGTGATGATAGGCACAATACAATGGACAATGCAAAGGGTGAAATCCGATCGATCGATGGTTGATCGATTGATCCCTTTGATCAAGACGAAGCCTTTAGATTGCTTGCGAAAGACAAAGAACTACAAAAGTCCTTTGTTGTTATCCGGGCGACGGAGGGTCGATGACAAAAGAATCTTGTTCTACCGTATGCGAAGCCATCAACTTATGACGGTGGCACTCGTCCGTATTCTTCTCATCAACGAAAACTATCTTTCGAACAGAAGAAACAACCCTGTAGGTTTATTTATTTCACTCTATCAACAACATGAAGATCTCTGCACTTGCCCTACTCTCCGCCGTCCAATTGTCGGATGCCTTTCTCATGCCTCAAGTCCAATCCAGCTCGCGCATGGTGTTGAATGGTTACCTTGACGACTTGACCGATGAGCTCCACAAAGAGGTCGATGAAGGCGATAACAGTCAGCGTGAAGATTCCCAGATGAAGGAGGAAGACAAGGATCGTTACGGTGTCGGTTCCTGGGACAGCTATGTTGAGTTTGATGAATTCGATGGTGGTGATGGTCAAATGGGTGTGGCGGGTGATGGTAACAAAAAGTTGGAAAGCTTTGACATGAGTTCCATGGCCAAATCCAAAATGATGAGTGCCAAGAATGCTTGGGGTACTTCCACGGGATACGCCGATTCTTTGGTCGAAAAGGGTGTCGATTCTGCCCGTGCCCAGCAGTTGGAGAATTGGCACAACCAGCAAGAAGTCCTAAAGTCCAAGAATGCCCAAAAGTGGTCTGTCAATCAATATGATACACCTACCGCGGAGAAGGATGACGACAATTGGAGACAACTTTCTTCTTTTGGTGTTGAACGTAATCAGGTAAGTGAATGCATTGATTGAGTATTTATTGTTGAATTGCTTGGTCGATCTATCTCATCCTTCATTTTCTTGCTCTTCTTTTTTTCTTAACTATTATTCTGCAGGACTTTGATTTGAACGAGGAATTTGGACAAGTCGAAGCCAGCAGCGACTTGGAAGGTACCATTGAAATTACTGCCCGTATGGGTGGGGCTCCTGCCGTTCACGAATTTGGATTGAAAGTAAGTACCTACAATGGTATTATTTAAGGATTGTGTCGAGGTGTACGCATACATTTATGCTCACCTATAGTAATTTTCTTGTCTTTTGCAGAACCAATTCATGGGATTTGCCGATTTTCGTGCCGCCTTTACTGCTGAATCTGGCAGTGAATGGACCATTGAACCAGCAGAAGGATCTCTCATGTCAAAAGAGGATACCCCCTTTATTGTACGATTCCGACCACAGGGTCCTGGTCTTAGCGAGGGGTACCTTGTCATTGAAACTGAAGACTTTAAGAAGACTTGGAAGGTTGTTGGAAGCACTGCATAATTTGTTTCTTTGGAGACGTACTCTACGCGTACATAGCATAGTATGATGGTTTAGTTTTTAAGAAACAATTCTCTTGAAGAACAGCCTCTAGTAAAGTGAAGTAAAGCATTCTCGCAATCTAGTGGACCTATTCTAGGAGTTTGATAGTGCAATGTCCACATTTGCTAGCTGCTGCTGTATATGAAGTGACCCATGTCGTCGACTATAATAAAGTATAAACTACAAAATTAGATTGGCAGAGAATTGATACTGTGTTGTATGTAGCGTCATCTTCAGAAAGAGGTGTACCTCATGTAACCAAATTTTGCGTTCACCCATGATCATTGCTGGTTCTCAGTTGGTTGAAGACATACGGTACTCCTCTTGATACCTTCGTCGTACGGTACGTAGAGGTGCCGGAACCAAAACCGTTGCAACGGTTCTCATCTCTTGTTGTTGGGTAGCTGGTGGTACCCTGCCTGGGTACACTGCACCGGACCTGGTAAATCACCTGGCTGGAAGCGTTCGATTATATCCAAAAGCGTTCGATTATCTAAAAGCTCTAAAAGCACCACGAAACAGCGATGGGATCCACGAAATTAGCCGACGGTGGAGATTTGTTTCTAAATGTGCTATTTTATTTTTCCGTTCTGCGCGCATGTCGAGCCAATTTGCGAGAGATCCAACGCTCTAGGTTTTTCCCCACAGTATATTCATATTTTCCAACCGAACAAGAAAAAAAATGGGTGCCGAGATCTCCACACCCGAGGGCGAAGACTTCATGGCAAAGTCATACAGGTCCTTCCATGAATCAGCAACAATGTTTACCGAACACGATGATGAAGAAGAGGTTGTACACACTTTGCGGAAACTTGGCCGAAGCTCTTCTCCTTTGATTGGAAAAGAAGTCATCACGACATCCGAAACCATCGAAAGCAATCATCTAGGTCCCAAATCATTGGACCAGTCCGATGGCAAGATTTCTGTCAATATTGCAATGGCTGATCTGATGGCATACTTGCAAGTGGTTGCAAACCACAGCAATAACTTGCCACAAACCCGACGTGACGATCCAGCTGGCAAAGAATGTGCGGTAGCAACTCCCGAGGAGGTGTATGCGAACAAGTCCGCAGCATTTATCCCAGCAGATGTAAGAATCGTCGGTGGAAGATTCATGCTCTATGGAAAAGCCTGGAACCTACCTGATAATACTGAATTCAGCCCTGCTGAACGCACACTTGAGCCTGGTACGTTGAAAAATTGAATCTGTATTCTGTGATGATCTTGACAACCATTCTCACACTCCACGCTACTTTTCTTACAGGCAAATCCTACGGTGGAGCCAATGGTAATGCCATGCTAAAGGTATTATATGATTTCGTCAGTGCGTCTGGAGCCGATGAAATTGCCTTTGAACAAGATGACAATGATCTTTTTGATGACGATGATGATGAAGCTTCCTTGGACAGCGTTTCGAAGACTGGTGGACTTGATACTGTTGGACTTCGTGGGGAAAGCAGTCTTTCATGGGCTGACCTTCTCCGCAAGATGAAGGCTGAGATGGACGACATGAAGTTCAATCAAGTGCCAACGCTCACAACAAGCAGGAAACTAAATGTCAACGAAGACTTTACGCTTGTTCCCAAAAGCTTCGATCCAAGCACGGGAAGAACCCGCTCTCTATTGATCGGATGCAATTACAATGGTAATGCACAATTAAAAGCGAGCCACGACGACATTCGCTCCATGAAGGTAAGCCTTTGGTCATGATGGGAGAGTACCAGCTGCAACTTTCTGACCTGTCTAACATTCTGCACGACTCTTTAGGATTATATTGTTACAGTTCATGGATTTTCGGAAGATGCCGAAGACATGACAGTGCTTCTCGACGACGGTGTTCACAAAGCACCAACCTATGCCAACATAATAGACCACTTCAAGAAACTGTCCGAAGACAGCCAACCTGGTGATGCCGTGTTCATTCAATTTTCGGGTCATGGAGGTCGCCTCATTGGAAGTCCTGGTGCTGACGCAGTTGACACTTACGACGAGGCGATTGTACCTTGTGATTTCGAAGAAGCTGGGCCTATTCGAGACACACTGGTATTTAAAACTCTTCTTGCCCCTATGCGATATGGCGTAACCGTGACCGTCATCATAGATGCTTGCGACACTGGTATGGTTCTTGATCTACCATATGCGTGGTCTACTGGTGATGATCAACCAGGGACCGACGCTGAGATGGTCCAAAACAAAGACTACAGCTTTGTTCGAGACTTGAAGGTGATCAAGAAACTATACGAGTCGTCTGTTTTTACACAACTTGGAAACCGTGTAGATGAGGCAATTGGAAGTCAACCAGAGCCCACCCCCACCCAAAGGTATTCGGCCCGCAGAAGAAGAAGAACCATGGGTGGTGAAACAGATGACGAGCAAAGCGCTCTTTATATGAATGATTCATTCGCAGGTAACCAAGGATTTTGCTGTGATCCAATGCAGATGAATGGTCTAGACAATGTGAATTCGGAGGACGTGCAACGCGATCCTTCGGAAACTAGCTTCATGGCACGCCTAACCGATTGCGGAATGGGAAATGAATTGATTGAAAAAGAACTAGAAGCCATGAGTGTTAGAAGCCGGAACGATGGCCGAAGAAGCAGAAAGAGCCGAAGTAGCTCTGGCCGCCGAAGCAAGAGCCGCCGCAGCTCCCGCCGCTCATGAGCAAAAAATACTGTGCCATACTACTGTTCTCATTGTGATAAAAATCTATAATACATTCTATTTGCCCTCTAAGAACTTTCAGTCCCCTTCTCCTTCTTCGTTTGTCTCTTCTTGTGCACTTTGATCATATGGTCCATCTGAAGCTCCATCTTCATTCCTATCCACTAGCGGTTTTTGTCCGCCTTCAACCGAACCTCCTCCTTTTGGCCAGAAGCACGCATAGCCCAACTGGGCGATCCCTGCTGGCCTCGAGCTTCGTCCACTTGGTGACGATACCATTTCTGCTTCCTCAAGCCGTTCGCGCAATTGAGGGAGATTCAAATTCACATTCTTGTTGATCTTTTGGAATATTTTGAATGGTTCCACCGGAGCCATTGCATTTACAGCTGTCTTACAAGCCCATGCGGGAACATTCCCACCTGGATTTGCGTGAGAAATCATTGTAATTATCGTTTTACCTGCATCATTTGGGTCTCTCGAAATCACTATAGCAAGTGGAAGCATTGAAGCAATGGGGTAAGATGCACACTCAACTGAGGAATCTATTTCGAAGGTCCAAAGTGTACTCACTGTTCGCTCCTCGAAGTGCATAGGCTCGGCATGCTTTGCCACTAGACTCTTCTCTTGTTTCTGGGTAGTCGTCGTGACTCCAGGCTTGACTAACAATAACTTCAGTTCCATCTTTTTTCCACTTGTGGTGACAGAACGTAATAAATTCTCGCCTTTTGATAAACAGAATTTGCGGTGTCCAACTGGCACAAATCTTAGCGCTGGGACTGATTTCCTCGACGTCCTTGTATTCCACGACCAAGTCGTTATAATCCGATAGGGCACTCTCTTGAGCTAGATAGGTGCAAACATCTTCCATCGGCGCATCAATCGTTGACGAACATCGGATGCATGGGTAATCATTCCCATCGTTCTTATCGGCTTTGTTTCCTCTGGAGTCCTTCATCCACTAAAATCAAAGCAATATGCTTAGATCAACGACATGTATCTAAACGGAACAGTGACGGTCTTCCTTACCTTGATCGAGGCTGTAGTCAGGCCATCAGGGTTCAACGATTTGCGCATCATCTTGCTACATTCGACGTTCTTCCAGCCATCTTCTTCTGTTTCCAGCATGATGTGTTTCGCCCACTTTTCAATTTCTTTGGAAAGACTCTCGGCTTCTTTTGCGCGTTTTCTCTGGAGTATCATTTGTTTTTCTTTGTTCTCTTCACTATCTCCGTCTAGATCACCATCCATCAGCATCTTCCAACGTAGCTTTTGCATGTCTGCTCTCATCTTTTCCATTTCCTCTCTCATGGTCTTTAATTCCTCTAGGGCTTCGTACATTGAATCCGATAGACTTAGTCGTCGTTTTTCGGTGGAGGGTTTTGATGCTTTGGACAAGGTGTCCCCGGAAATTCCATAATAGAAACCTCCTTTATCCACAATTTTTTGCGTTACATCAACCGGCAGTTTCCGCTTCACGGCTACCTCCATCGATTTTCTGCTAGAACATTGGCCTTGATGGGATTCCCACACGCTTAGTGCTGGAATAGACCTCGATAACGAATATGCGCCACGACGAGCTACGTTCTTTGTAAGACCCGATAAATTTGGACCGGCTTCCACGAGAAGATGTGTATTTGGGACTGCTGATAGCACTAGGAACAATAACAGCTTGTTCATTTTCTCTGTATTTCAATTTGTAATGCCAAGGCGGCATCGATATTTCTAGATGCCAATGGAATCGTCAGTCAATCACAAACACGAAGGCTGCAATCTCATTACAATTGACAAGACAGCGGAAAGTTGAAGTCAATATTCCACGTGTGACACGAGGAGTCGTGTGAGCTGGGAAAGACTTTCTGATCACGAGTAACTTTGCCGAAAACTTGAAGCGAACAAACGAACAGAAAAGTCTCACAACGGACAGTAACAGTCGGAGATGCATGCACTGTGCACTGGCGATGCGTTTTTGCGTCGGCCGAGCCATTTAGCGAAGCTATTTCAACGTCTGCGATCCCAGGAAAACAAGACAACAAACACCTCTCTCGTGTCGTCACGATCAACCATCGAATCCTTGCAATTCAAGCGTTTAGAAATATTCCTTGGCGTAAGGATAGATTACACGGAAGTTCAGCGTCAGCTCCTATGCGCACAGACATGACTCGTTCCGAGCGTAATGCTGCCTGCTTGGATGAAATGAAAAACGTTACTCCATCTCGAGCGACAGTGGAAAACGCTATCGCGAGAGCAAGGGCTAGACAAGCATCCAAGAGACCCAAGGCGTCACCTCGAAAAAAATTCGCACAACCTATCCCTATGAAAAGGAACCTATCGACGCTGGACCCAGATCCATGTACGAGATCAAAAGACTGGAAACCAGAGCCTGCTGCTGCTTCTCCGAAAAAGCCAACGAGTCCAACGCAGCAATTTTTCCAGAACGTGTTCGCGTCACGATCAACAACTTCACCCATCCACGGCTCGAGAGGGCGTGAACCTTTACATAATTCTAGAATGGCAGATCCACCAACTTCTTCGGACGCTCCATCAGTTGATGCGCCTGCGCCAGTTCTTGCTGCTACTTCGCAAGATGAGGAACGAGAAGATGGTGACACTGTCGGCGCTGCTCTAAGACGTGCAGGAGGAAAGGAGGAAACGTTGGAAACATTTCAGGCAGAGAAATTCGAACTTGAGCCTGTAGCCGAAACCAAAGAATGTGAGTTTGGCTTGGAAATGAGAAACCTTCCGACTTCACCGAGCATGAAGAGCGACACTGAAGATGATAAAGAAGATAACTGGGAACTTCAGGGGATGGCCAGCGAAGAGACAATGAAAGCAACAGGAAATGCCAGACGCACTCGTCCTCACAAGGGCATATTTGTTCGCAAAGGAAAGAAAAAGAAGTCTTACGACGAAGACGATGGCAAAGTCATTAGAAGTTTGTTTTCAGTCGATTCATCCGTCGCTCCAGTTGATGCTCTATTCGACCAGGAGTCTTGTTTTTACGATGATGACGAGGACGATGACTTCGATGAAGAAATTTCGGTGGAGGAGCCTCGTAAAGTTGATCCACCAGACTCATCACAGGATGAGGTCATGGAGAATGATGTTGGGGGACCAAAGGATATTGCCGAACCCCCGAAAGAGGAAGGCGAGACCGACGAAGACTCAGCGACAGAGGAGGTCGCAGTTCCTTGGGACAAGAAGGGAACTTCTTTAGGACATGTTGAGAAGCTTGTGGCCTCAATCAAAGCCAAGAAAGCGCAGAAGGAGGAGCAAACATCTAGTGAGAAGACTGCAGAGATTGCTGGAAAAGATGGTACTAATTCGAAACCCACCATGAAAAGTGGAGAGGATGAAGACTCCGAGGAATATGAAGACTTTGTTGGAGACTTTTTGCAATCGGGCTCCGGTGATGATGCTTCACACCCCATCGACAATGTGGCAGAGACGAACGGGGAATCGCCGGCGGAGGGAGTTGCTGGCGAAGACGAAAACGATAGTTTGATTGTAGATGAAATCGAGAAGAGCGAAAGCCAGAATGCTTTTATTGAACAATTTGAAGCCCTTGGAATTGAAGAGGAAAGCCCACAAGAAAAACGTTTCGTTACTGAGGAGAACAAGAGCCCTGACGGCATCATGGAATGGAGAAGTGAGCCTGAAATAGCTACTGAAACAATCATAGACTCAAACACGAGGGATGCAAAGCCAGAGAATGCAACTTCGCTAGATGAAGATTGTTCGGTAGAAGAAGGCGCTGGAAGTATGGTAAAAGATATCGTTCAAAAAAGCGAACAGGGTGGAGCCAAGGACAGCATTAGTACTACCATCAAAGATGACCAAACTACTAGTGAAGAAGAAATCAATGAATCACCTGCACAACCTAAAGTTGAAACTGTCCATTCCACCGAAGACAGTATAGACCAGGACGACGTTAAAACGGAGAAAGTGTCAATTGCTGAAGGTGGGGCTGAAGAGGAAGTAATGAAAACTTCGCTTATGGATGACACTAGCGTATCAAATGCTTCTGCAGAAAACGAAAGTATGAAGGATAACCAAGAAGAGGAGGAGGCAATGGAAGAGCTTCCTGAAGAACCAATCCATATCTTCAAGTTTGCCAAAGCGATCAGCGAAGGTGATTGGCAAGAAAAGAATGAAATGGCATCGGAGTGGCAGTATAATAGTTCATCGATGCCTCTCAATGGTGTTGAAGCTGCAGAGAACATTCATCGCTTCACAATCATTCTGAACAAAGAGCCTGAGCCTCGTCCCTGGAAGGTTTTGCAGAAGCAGAGAACAAGAAACCACCCTGGATTCAAGAGAATAGATATCTACTCAGTTCTCGAGTCAACTCAGGTCACAGTTTCGGAGCAACCACATGATGACTACATTCCATGGGAACATCGTGATGTCAAGCAGCTTTTCTTGCACGAGCGAAGCGTTGAATTCTCCAGAAACTGGTATGGCGAAAACCGCATGCACAAAGTCAATTTTAAGTGCAAACTTCCAATTTGCAGACCAAGATCGATGGAGATGCCCCTTGGCATAGCGGAAGATGCAGTTGAATGGAACAAGGACGTCTACACCACGTGGACGTCGCCGTATCAAAAAGTAGAACACCAACGTTTAAAACTCAACAAATCGGAAGATGACGAAGACAAAAGCAGCAGCGGCGAAAATCCGAAGAAGACACACGAAGCTCAGCGAGAAAGTCATCTTGTGCAAAAGAGCAGGGCAAAGAATGACGAACAGAGCCAAGCAAGCGAAAGCGATGGCGAAGAAAGTTATTCTGACGGAAGCTATTCCGATGGTAGCTACACAGACTCTGAAGGGAGTTACGGTTATGACGACGGCAGCTTCTCCGGTTCAGAAATATCTGGAGCTGGTTCAGCTCCCATCATTGATGGCAACAGCACAGCTCCTTCTTGGGAAGATGCTCCAGAATGTGGCCGCATTGTCAACATGAGATTAAAGATTGGAGAACATATTACTCGTGTTCACCCTGCATACACTAGTTCCCTGAGACGAAGCCGTTGGAGGAAAAAGTACTTCCCCAAGGGCTCATTCCCTTATTAATAAAGTGTTTCACGTCATAAGATTTAGAGAAGAGAGTGTGCATCGTCCAATTTTTCCTATTTGGTTGTTCAAGTTTTTTGTTCATGGTACCATAGTTGGTTGTTCAAGTTTTAGAAGTGATTTTAGAAGTGAAATTGTTTCCAGTTGAAAGCGCGCTCAGCCACCGCCGGCCGTGCAACCGTATAGCCGTTGCAATCGTTGTCATACGGTTTCTTCAGTACAAGAAATACGTAGATCAAGTCGAGTCACGATTTGCAAACTTATGGAAAATACCTCGTGAAAGTCAGGAGAGCATCGTCTATCTTTAGGGAATGGCAATCAATCCACGTGCCTAAACCAGTTCAACTATTTTCATGATCAATACACCACCACGAGATCACAGACCACCACGGCCGAGACGAGCGCCTGTGGCCGTTGATGATTCTTTCGATAATGCCTCTGGAATTTTCTCGACGTCAGGGACGATATCAGAATGTACAATGGCAAGCTTTCTTCTGGAATCAAATAATCGAACGAATAGCAAACCAAATCGAACGGAAAGTCCAAGACATCAAATGTCACCCACCACCGCTGCGTTACTGCGAAGAAAGCAAGAGGATGCGCGAGTTGCTATACTTTCATTGAATCGATTCATCTTTCAAGCTGGCAACCTGTACCGTGGAAAACAACTAAATCGCGACGAAGAAAACATATTACGAGAATCAGCTCATCAGGTCGGACTTTCGTTAGATATTGCCGATGCACTGCTGGAGCATACATCAGATTCAAACGCTGTAGTCCAGTACTGTATGGAATCAGAGGATTCCTTCGCGAAGAAGATTCGGAAAGATCGTCGGCTATCACAATTGTTGAAACAAGACGCATCAGAACCTGAGGGCAGCTTCAATTTGAAAAGTTCTATATGGAGAATTCTTATGCACAAAATAGTGCAGCAAACTCTTCGAGATTATGGTATGGATATTGGAGACGTCCTGGACAAGTCGTCGTCGGCATCACACATGCATACAGAATTATCACACAACGACGAATACGCCATGAACTCCGCTGAAAGAGAGCGCTATGGACGAGATTACACAGAAGAGAGAAAGCGATTAAGCTTGCCAATAGATGAAATAACAAATGCACGTCACAGAGCTATTGCTCAAATGGAATTTCAACAATCCAAAGGGCCAATAATGGATTCTATGCAAAATAGGGATGATATACCGCTGATGATTGGGGCCGGTCCTGAAGTCGAATACAGAGACGATGATATGAGTCTTTTGGACGCCCATGGCTCTCAGCACCGAGAAATGCCACATCCAGCACAGCGGCTGCAGTCGTCTCCACTAACTCCAAGATCCCTAAATCTGCAGCAGCGAACGAACGAACGAACACCTCCTCCGGGCAGGACTCACCACAGGAGTGGAGATCCAGCAATAGATGAGAACGATTTCGATGAAAATGACTATGACGACATTGCGAACGAGAACTGCCCCCCTCGTGATAGTGTTCCGAGTCGTCAAGCGCCCCTATCAGCTGTCAAACAGGCACTTGCTATGTTTGAAGGTCCAGGGAAATTTGACAAGGATCATTCGCAAAAGACTTCCAGCTTGACACCGAAGGCCAGGAAGGGTTCTTCATCCAAGATAGCAGATCGACTGGCTTTGTGGGAAAAGGGGGTACAATACCAAACCGACACTACGGCCTACCAACAACTTGAGAGAGTGAAGTCGTCAGAACATCAAGCAATCCAAGCAACATCGCTCTTTGACGTTTTCTCAACGCCGCAGAAGCAGCACAATGTCGAACAGGAGCATGCAAGGGCAGCAAGTACTTCAAAAATATCGAAGGTGAAGCGTGCTCAGATTGCAGCCTTTGAGAATCGAGGGTTTGAAAAGAAATCTGAAGCGAGCGAAAGGGTGATACGAAGTGAAGTAAAGAAACTAGACCCGTCGCGGAGAAGATTATTTGATGAGCCCTCAAGAACTTTACGTTTAGTTCAAGAACATGATATTCCTATAAGTGTCGACAAGCACGGAAATAACTCCAGTGCTACGGAACGAACAGCATTTGGTAGAATCGAAAATGATTCTCAGCAGCCAGAAGCTGAGGTGTACCATGCAGGTTACCAGCGAGGCATGCATCCACAACACAGCTCAGATTCAGATTCAGGTGAAGGATACATGGATTCACCAAACGGTGGTGTCGAGCCAGCTGATAACATAGGCGGCTTGAAACACGGATGGAAGATTCATTCTACTCCCCCAACAAGGAACCGAAGAGTCAGCAACCCAACAAGTCCCTCAGTAAGCTTCGCTTCTAATTCGAGATTTCATGATCATCAAGATGAAAATCAAAATCCACCTGAATTTGAATCCAGAAACAGAGGGAACCCAAAGAAACAGGTCTCTTTCGGAGAGTCCCCAGCCAACCCGATACGTCAACAGGGATCCTTTAGCGACCCTCAGAAAAGCGCGATGGACAAAATACTCAAGAAGGCTAGAACACCCCCAAAGCCACCAACTCCGAGCAAGCAGGCGCAACGATCTTTGAAAATACGACAGCTATTGTTGGCAAATATGAATGCGACGAGAAAGGATGAACATCATCAAGTCATTTTGGCTCAGTCAGTGCCTTCAGATAACATTTCGGTCAATTTATATCATTCAATGGATAAATCATTGGATTCTACCAGTGAAGAACCTCCACAGGCCATCCCAATAGGCCAACAGGGGTCCTTTAGCAACCCTCAGAAGAGCGCGATGGACAGAATACTCAAGAAGGCTAGAACACCCCCAAAGCCACCAACGCCGAGCAAGCAGGCGCAACGATCTTTGAAAATAAGACAACAGTTGATGGCAAATATGAATATGACGAGCAAGGATGGGCATCATCGAGTCATTTCCGATCAACCAGTGGCTTCAGATACCATTTCGATCAATTCTTATCATTCAATGGATGAATCGTTGGATCCTACCAGTGTACAAGACTACGGGCCTCAGAGAGAAGTCACGAGAACACCAAGACCAAGACGAAGGAATATTCGGGAAGAAAATTTCTTGGAGGACGAAAGAGTACGCGTAGAACCACCAGAACACCTACGAAATGAAATGTTTTATTTTGACAGTATTGAAGGTGGGCCAAATAATATGATGGAAGAAGAGTCCCCAGTGGAACATGCATTGAATCAGGATCAAGAGTATCAAGATATAGCAAGGAATATGATGGAGGAAGATTCACTTATCGAACAAGCAATGAATGGGGACGAAGGGTATCAAGATATAGCAAGGAATATGATGGAGGAAGATTCACTCGTCGAACAAGCAATGAATCGAGATCAAGAGTATCATGATATAGCAAGGAATATGATGGAGGAAGATGCACTTGTCGAACAAGTAATGCATCGAGATCAAGAGTATCAAGATGTAGCAACGAATATGATGGAGGAAGATTCATTGATGGAACAAGCGATGAATGAAGACGCCCATCATTCGAATGTTTTGGTTAGCGGAACACTCTCTTCGAGCCCAGGAAACAGCTATGACTGCAACGGAGAAGACCAGGATCAATTTTCGGAATTGCCAGCTAGCGAAGATGATCTGTCCGAAGACCAAGCATATATCAGTGACATGGCTTCTTCAAGAGCAGCAAGTGACCAGATACCTATTGATTCTATGATTTCGTCAATGTCATCAGGCGAATTGATTCAAGCCCCTGGAAGCCAATCAACAATGACTGATGATGGGAATCGTTCTTGGGTCGAGTTTCATCAAGTTTTTGAAAGCATACATGGCGCCAAGTCAGAAGTTACCCTTGTTGAGAGTGGACTGACTTCTTCAAGAAAGAGCATCGAGAACATGTTTGATACGCTCCATCAAGTGAAACAAGAAGCAATAAGTATGGAACGACGAAAACCCGAGCGAGAGGCAAAAGAGACCCAGAAACCAATGGAAACTTACCATCCGATAACCCCTCGAGCTCCCAAGGTGTATGACAACGAATTCTTTGAAGACATCAGGCTTACCGGTTCGAAAGCAACATTTCAAGTCACCCATGGCAGCGAGAGTGCGGGGTTTGATACCAATGACAAAACCAGGCCATATGGCTATGAACATGAAGAGAGACCGAGTGCCAATTCGAATACTCAAGTACTAAATGTGCCCCAGACTGATCCTGAAGAATGGGCATATTTTCAAAACTCGCATTTTCATTCCGATGCTTCTTATCAAGAGCGAGAGGACCTGTACCATGAGGAAGATGTCGAGGAGCACTTTTCAGATATTACAGATCCCCGAGACACACCGAAACCTAAAGATCGCAGTGGCCTTGACAGGAACGAACAGGAGTCAGCACACAAGCAGCGATTTAGCAGTATTTCAGAGGCTGACCCGTCGGAAGTTGACTCAATGGATCCAGTTGCACAAGTTGCCTACCGAAGCAATGGCGTGGCCATGGCGACATCCACTCTCACGGCCTCGTCGGATGAGAGCAACTTTGAAATGGTGAACCCATACCAGTGTAATGCGGCGAAATTGAAAGGATCTAGCTTTTCTGAAGCCCAAGAGAGAGCAATGGAAATGGCTAGTGACCGAGCCGAAATGGATAATACCCTATCCAAGACAACAGAAGACATGAATGGAAAATTTTCACCAAAGTATCCTCGATCACCTGTGTTTGACAAAGCAATGCAGAAAGCTAGAAAACACGCTGCGAAAGAGAGCCATGAGTTGGCCCACGACCAACGAAAGGAAAAGGAATCTTCACCAAGGTATCCTCGCTCCCCCGCCTTCGACAAGGCATTGCAAGCACGGAAGGCAAAAGCCAGTGATAATGGACCCATTTCTCAGGTATCAAGCCAAGATGACTCCGCGTTTTCCTGGGGTGAGAACGCAAAGATTCCTACACAACCTTCATTTGACTATCACACTCTTCCACCACCCCCTTCGCTCGAGGAGGCCTTTAATTTGGTAGACACAGAAACTGTGGAAGATACCGCCTTTCATCAGGCTAAAACCCCTCGTACAAGTCATGGCAACTCAAAGTCTACAACGAATCAATTGAATTCCATTCAAATGCAACGGTCGTCTTCCTCTCTTTCGAGATTTCTTCGCATTGATACTAGTCGCAGCGATGAGGATGACGTTGGACTAAATGGTGCCCCCGCAAGCGGTCAGCAGAGTCTCCGACAAGACGCTGTCAGCAATTGGGACAAGGCGCATGGAGGACGAGGTGCTTCCCCGTCTGCGTACCGATCATACAGCGAAGCCAACGAAGACGTGAAATCTGCAGCCCAAGCAAGCGGAGTGCCGCAGCAAATCATCGATATCATTCTAAAACAAGCTGCCGAGCACGAAAGAGAACTCGAAGAAGCGGCGCCTGAAGCCGACCGGATATCGTGGCTAGCTATTGAAAAGAAGACCAACAAGAAGCCAATTGCGACTGAAGATGTATCTCCAATTGGCTATTCTGTGAAATCCGAGGCACTCTACAGTTTGCCAAAACAGAAGAAGACCAAGCCAGTCAAGTTGGATGTATCTCTGATTCCAGACGACATTCCCGAAGGAGTTCCGCGGGAAGATGTTAAGCTACTCGAAAGATTCATTCAAGTCTCGACATCCAAGCGTGAAGGAAAGCAACTTTCTGCTGATTCGGAAGCTCGTGTTCGAGCTGCGGCAATTAATGTTGGTCTTGCCGAGGATGTCATTGACCAAATGCTGAAACAAGCACGCTGGAAGCGGGCACAGAATGCGATAGAGGAAAACACTCTGCACCTACAGGAGGAGGACACTCTACATCAACAGCAGGAGAACTACGAAAACAACAACAATACACTTCATCAAACGCAGGAGTACTACGACGACGACAACAACATCAACAACAACAACAATGCTCACCATCAATATTATTCTGATCACTCCAATACGCATGTGCACTTTGAAGATGGTTATTCCACTCGCCACAAGTTCGGAGGTGCTTCTCCTGTCAGGCCTGTCTATCCAGAATCTCCCGGATATACCGTGGCACGGGACGAACGCTGGTCAAGCCGCCGAAGACAAAGCGAAGAATACAATCGAAACGCCTGCAATGGCGCATGTAGTATCCTTGGGAACATAAAGGACAATCTACTCTACTGGGCCAACTGCCAAGGGGGTGGCAGTTTTGACGAAGAGGAATACAGTATTACTGAAAACGATCTTCAATTTTAGGGGCTAGGATATATGGACCTTACTTTTGTCTCCTAGTTTGGAAGCGATTAGTAGACGATATAAAAATAGGTTCAGTTTCAATATTACTTTGTATTTAGCTAGGTAGGATGAGCATAGGCACCTTTTACGTTGTATTGTTTCATAAAGAGGTCAAATCCGCCGGGATACGTTTTTGAAATATAAGTGAGGAGAGCTGCAGATTTTTCATTCGCTGAGAGGTTGTTGCTAGAAATCTGAATAGCTTTCTCAACCCATTTTCTGTTTCTGGCATTTCTGGCATACAATTGCATTGAGCTACTCACTGGGACTTGAACAAAATGCTTCCGATTAACGTAGAATGCCGAAGCTGTGGAATGAGTTTCCGTCATTGCGGCAAAGGCAGCTTGTAAGCCTCGGCGTGCAATCTCTTGGCGAAATATCCTTTCACGTTCTTCAATTGTTGGGCGATATGGATTTGATGGCGCACTCACGGTGACTTCTTCTTCTGATGTGGCAGCCTCCACAGGCTGTTCTATGCAAATGATAGACAATCGATTGTTATGATCTTCCTTTGCAGAAGCCTGGCCTCCTTCTGATGATGAGAGACCCTCCACAGGTTGTTCTATGCAAATGTCAGACGATCGATTGTCATTTTCTTCTGCAGACGTTTGACCATTGTACCGGGACACTTTTGAGCAAGGCAAGGAAACAAAGCGGTGCTTCCTTTTGACAGCCATTGGGACCACCACTTGATCCAGCGTACTTTGATACGGTTTCTCCGCATTTGATAGTCTTGAATCGCTGCCCTCCTTAAATGCTTCGAAACGCCCCATTAGCCTCCTTTTGTGGTTTCTTAGCAGGGTCTCACTCTTTTTCCATAGCTTAATAGAATCACCTAGTAACACACTATCTCTTGCTGCCAAACAAAGATTAATTGACAGGACTAAAAGTTCATCTTTTGAAAGCTGCTGTTCTTTCCTCTTTCCAAACCATTCCATGCGAAATTCTTTACCACTATTTCCTTGAAGGAAATCGTTGTAACTCGTACGATTCAGAATCAAATCGTCTAATTGCCTTCGATGGGTCTCATTCTTTAATTGCTCATCGGAAAGATAGTGCTGCACAAGGCTAGATTCCTGGTCGACGACTTTGAGGGACAGAAATGTAGTTGTGCAGCAGCGCAACTCTTGATCTCTTCCAAGAAGCTTATTGACTTCTTCTTTCCCTTTTGGGGTTTGGGCTAAATCACGAAGCTTGATTAGAAGCTCCTTTTTTCTCAATGTTGATTTCGGGTGGCATGCGAGCAACGAGCAGATAAATGTGGCAATTGTTGTTGCTAACGACATCGTTTTGTTGCCCATGGGCGAATTTCACGACTTGTATACACGGAGAAGAAACAGATCATTGTCAGCAGCGTAGGCTTCTTTTTCAAAAAGCTAAGGTACCCACTAAATCCTGAAGAGCTTTCCCACGATGCAGGATTGATTGCACAAAGTTCACTTGGTTTAAATTGAAAGCGGTCTGAAGTTTTGTTGCACACTACAGTATCACCAGGTACTGTACACGTGTACCAGGTACTGTATGCGTCATGTCAGACGTCATCGTACATTACCGGTACAATATGCATGCTGGGCGGACAGACATGAGTCTGGAACTATATTAGTCCTATTAATATTTTTACAACGCAATACAATCATCATGGCAAGTCTTGCAGCTTGGATGCATCTTTGTTGCCTACCTGTCCTCCCTGTGGCTCCACTCGCAGCCAATAGTGGCTCTTTCAAATATGAAACAAGCTGTAGTATTCGTCCTAGATTCCAATGTAACAATGGCAAAAGAATACGAGAATGGGAGTTCTCGGTTTGATTGCGCCAAACAGGTGGCACAAGATTTGATTTGCGATTTGATGATTCAAAGCAAGACCAACGAAGTCGGCGTGATTGTCTTGAAAAGCAACACAACAAGACATCACTTTTACGAACCTGACAGTGACAATGAAGACACCAGCATGGACGATGACGAAGAAATTCCCTATCAAAACATTTTGGAGTTTGGTGGAAGCGGAGACGCCGTCATGGTGGCTCGGCCGACCCCCAGTTTGCTGCGCAAAATTGATAGCTTGCAAGTCAGTAAAGAGTCGGAATCTCTGCGAGGTGACTTTTGTGATGGTATCATTGTCGCTGCTGACTCCTTGTACAAGCGTACAAACAAGAAAAAATATCAAAGACGAATTGTCCTCATCACGGATGCCGAACATCGGGTAGAAGTGGACGGTGAACAACTTTCAGAAGTTTTGAATGGACTTTGTGACTTGGAATGTACGTTGGAAGTAATTGGTTTGGACTTTGGAAAAGAAGCCAAGTTTAGCAAGCCATCAGCTGGAGAAGAAACTGCAGTAAAAGTAGAACCTAAGCAGGACGAGAAGGAAGACGATGATAGTGCCACAGATGCTGGGAGCGAGACTGACGCTGGGGAAGACAACGACGACGACGAAGATGGCGGTGAGGTAGGTACAGCATTGATCAAGTCACAAAACGAGTCGCTATTGATTAGTATGACCGAGAAGACCGGAGGATATGTCATGGCCGCGAAGGAGCTAAAGGCCATCTTTGCCACACTGCTCGGAAAGCGAAAGTCCAAATCGACACGACGCAAAGTGGACTTTCAGATCGCTCCTGGAGTATCCATGGAATGTCGCTTTTCCTTATTGCTAAGTAAAGCGACTCTCCCTTCGTTGAAAAAGAGGGTCGTTCCAGATGACACTGCCTATTCTCAAAAGCCCAAGAACGAAGACGAGGATGACGCCAAAAAGTCAGACGATGTCAGCCCCGAAGACATGCTAAATATGAAGAGAATCGAATCTCACTTTGACGCGGAAAACGAAGAAGTTGAAATTACCAACCGCGGACAAGCCTACAAGTACGGAAGCGATTTGGTCCCAATGAGTGCCTACGATATGGGTGGGTTGACAGCCATCTCGGACGTCAAGCTGAAAATCATTGGATATATACCCAATTCCAGAGTCCCCAAGGCATTTTGCGTGGGGCCACCCTATATTCTATCGGGAGCCGACTCTCGAAAGGCGTGCGCTGCTGTTTCAGCTCTGGCACGAGGTTTGGAACGTACCAAGAAAGTGGCCATTGCCAGCTTTGTCCAAATGAAGAATAGAGATCCTTCCCTGGTTGGCATTTTTCCAAATGTCTCTCAATTGCGAGAGGGAAAGTCTCTAGAGGAAATGACTGAAGAAGAGAAACTGGCAGAGAAAGCCAAATACGAAAACCCGGTGGACTTGATCATATTCAAGCTTCCATACATGGGAGATGTTGTAGTGCCCGGCCGGATTCCGTTGGAAGAACACGACAAATCCAAGGAAAAAGTTTGTGACGACCTCATTGATGCACTCACATTGGAGGGCGATCAACTGGATTATACTAGAATTGCAAATCCCATGATTCGATCCTACTGGAAGACGGTGGTGGCTCGTGTCAAGGATCCGGAACATGAGCTCGTCATGGCACGGAATGAAAAGGAGGACGAAATTGCTACACCGGAAAAAGTCTTGGAGGGAGCCAAAGGAGCTTTGGATGCTTTCTACGAAAGTTTCCCCCTACCCCCCGCCAATCGCAAAACTGCCAAGAAGTAATTACTCTTGTTCTGATTTTGGAACACTTTGAGACTCAGATGCATCTTGGTGTCGGACGAGCATAGGGAGGGGAGCACAGCCGCCCAGCTGGAAGATTCAGTAGATGTGCATTCTAGTTTTACAGCTGTTGACAATAGGATCGCTTGCCACTCATTCATCATTCATTTTCAACACCATCAATTGACAAAGTGAATGACCTAGAATTGAACAAAGAACTTTGGTCGTCTCTTTTCTGCTGGCTTTTGTTCCTTATCGACAGAGCGCTTTTTGGTCCTTAGGGTATGCTTTCTTCTCTTTCCTCTTGTCTTCACTGGTGCTTTGTTTTCTCCCTTCAAATCAACGGTCGCCGGCTCGGCGTCAATTCCCAAATTGGTTTCCATCACTTGTACCTCCTCATCCGCATTTGGCTGCAATAGATTGGAAAGACGCTCATAGGACTGCATCGAGTTCTTCTCAATACAATCCTTCATTTTCTCTTGAACTTTAGCTTGTTGCTTTTGGTAGGCGGCCTGCAGAGGGAGTTGAAGAAAACGGAATCAGGTGGTGAGTAAAAAGTGAAGTTTGTCTTCAAAGTGCAAATATTCGCGGAAACAAACTGACCTCGCCGAGAGTCCTTCGGAACTCAGAACGATTTTTTCGCTTGCACTTGGCACGGATTGATTTAGCCATTTCTTTGTTTGTATTCCCTACAGCGTTGTTTCAACAAAAGATTGGATTTGTTTTGAGCAAAAAGAGTTGACGATTTTCGTTTGTCGGTTGGTTGTGCGAAATGTGGGACAGAAGGACGAGCTGCTTTGAAATGAAAGCGCTAAACAATACCCTTTCAGTCACGCCAGTTAATCACGAGATTCAATTTAGAGTATTTTGGCGACGAAAAACGCCGACCGAGCAAACGGCTCTCTCTGAACAATGAGTACCCGTACCACTGGCCGGAAAAGTCTCGTTGACCAACAGTGAGGAGCAGCAGACGCACCTCGCAGCAAGTATCTCTCAATAAAACAAAACACAAATCATGCCCTTTTTTCGGAAGGCATCTCGGGCATCTGCTGAAAAGGCAGCAGGAGCAAAGACAAAGAATCAAAAGGATTCGAAGAAGAAGAAGGGCGGACTATTCTTGAGAAAGAAAAAGCCACCCTTGATCAACTACGAAGATGCAAGCAGAGCTTCATCGACCCAACCCCAACCGAGATGGAACAAAATTGAAATCGAAACCGACTTCACAGGGATGCAACCATCGACGACAGGAACTGCCAAAACTACATTGACCGGAACAAACGACAAAAAGAAAACACTAGGCATCATCGTGGATGGCCAAATCAAACACAAGAAACAAGACAAAAATTGGGATGCCTTCGAGAAGAACGCTCAACTCGTGATACATGGCGATGAAGAAAATATAGCTTTTTCAACAATGGAAGCAATCCAAGAAGGCGAAGAATTGAGCTCTGCGCAACAGAATCGCATGACAGTTGAGCCAGATAACGAACCAATGGGACCAATTGATACAGACGAGTATGTTGAAAGAATCATGACAGTGCAAACGTTCTTCTCAGATCAGGAATACAAACATGCATCAAGATCTTCTAAGGATGTCGACAGCGACGGTGTAGACGAAAGCAGTGGAGATGACTTCACCTACGAGTTGACCTATTCCCAGTCGACATCATCAGAAGTCGTCGATGAATCCCAGTCGACATCATCAGAAGTCGTCGGCGAATTGGTCCAGCAAACAGCAAAAGATAAAGCGAAAAAGGACGATAAGCCCGAATTTCTTCAAGAAGAAGAAGAAGTCAACGAAGATCCCAACGAGGGAGTTGAAGAACTAGATGACTCCGATCCATCAATGTCTGCGTATGTTTCGCTGCAGCGGATACAAAAAAGTGACATTACTTGTGAATCCACGGCATCAAGTTTGAAACCGTCTAGATCAGACGAAGATTCACAGCGATCGGAATGGAAACCCAAGCCGGATATGACGAACCCGCTCGGAGCCACGCCACAAGAAATTGATGCCCTCAATCGATTCCTATCAGTTGTAGGACCAGACTTTACCGGACGCAATCTATCTTTCGGGGAGCGCAAAGAGATATACGATGGTGCAAGGAAAGTTGGCTTGAATAAGGTGTTGGTGGATAGGTTCCTTGATCAGTCAGCTGGTATTGCTACCGTCGAAGAAGCGAGCACTTACAGTGATATTTCTCCGTGCTCTACATATTCGTCGACCTCAAGATCCCTCATGATGGCCAAGTCTGAGTTTTCAGATAACACTAGTGCCACGGGATACAGCCGCGACAGCGGCCACAGTGGTGACAGCATTCGATACAATTCTTTGCCACGGCTGACAACTGAAAGTCCACATGCAAACCAAACTTATGGTTGCAAAGGAGTTTTCGGGGATTTCTTTTGGAATGATTCGAAGAAAGCTTGGGACGATTCGAAGAAGGCTAAAGCCATTTTCAAAGCAGGTCAAGGTCTTTTGGAAAGCATTGGAGCTGTTGTGGTAGGAGAAGATGGAAGCGTCCATGGCGAGGCATAGGTGTACTAGCTACTAGTCACGGTCAAAGCTCCTCGCTTAGCATTTGCGCGAGAACTGTTGTATGTATAAACATAAACTGTTACTATTTTATTACAATGTTCCCTGTCTGCAGCCGCTGCAATGAGTCAATGGATGAGAAAGAGGTAGCAGGTACAGTCATCAGTAACTCATATTTTAAATAACCACCTCTGTTCAATTACAAGTGTCTGTGCTTCGCAAGTTTCCAAACGTGGATTTCGATCATGGATCTTTTCAGATAAAACAGCACAATATACAACCACAATCCTCGATAGAAACATGGCAACCAAATCATAAAGGAAAGCACCAGCGATGGTGACTCTGCTGCTGCAAAGGAACAGAGAAATCAGATGTACACTGATGTGGCGACTCTTTATCATGACTTTCGCCCGAGGTATCCAGAGACTCTGATCGATGACGCAATCAAAGAATCTCCTTTGCTGCAGTCAGCAGATGCACCCAAGTACAAGGTTTTGGAAATTGGATGCGGTCCAGGTACACTAACCGTTCCTCTTGCAAAACGAGGTTATGCTGTCACTACCCTTGACCCAGGCGTTGGAATGCTGAATAAGTGCAAGGAAGTGTGTAGTGGATACCAGAACGTGGAATTCCATCAAGTTCCATTCCACGACTTTCATAGCGACGTACAGTTCGACACTATTTTTGCTGGAACATCCTTACATTGGGCGATTTCAGGTAAAGAAGAAGCTGAGACGGTAAAGAAACTCCATTCGCTTCTCAAAGATGACGGAAAGCTAATTTTGCTGTGGAATTATCCTCGCGAAGCCCCTGAAGACATTCGAAATACAGTTGCCGATGCATTGGGTGCATCCAAGCCATTCTACTTCGGTGGCGATAGTGCAGAAGGCCACGAGAAGAGCATGGATGAGAGAGTATTCACACCTCTATTTAGTGGTGGTCTGTTCGAACTATCAAAGACAATTCGATCTGATACCATAACGAAGCTATCGCCCCAAGACTATATTTCCTTTTTTAAGACACTAAGCCCAAACATTGTGAAGGAAGAGAAAGAAGCCACGAAATATTTTGGAACAATTGAGCAAATTTTGGTGCAAAAGTGTGGAGACAGTCTTCCGACGTCCGGTACATCTAGTGCGAATATCATTTCTAAAACAACACGATGACTCGAGGCTGCAACTTCGCGTCATAATTGAGCGAAGACGAGTGCCTACGAGTATGTCTTCCCAATCAGTACTTGTATTTAAATAGTTGTATTTTGATTGTACATGAACGAATATTCCGCACGACCCTCTAATGGCATGTGGCTCGCGCAGCTGTTGTGGATGCTTCGCTGTGGCTACAAAATATGTGTTCTAGATCCATCATCTTAGATCGCTCTGGCATGCGCCACCAATTGATGGAAATCGTTCGATCTTGAGATGATTCGACAGAATGATACCAATATACTGGAAGATACAAGCAATCGCCTGGTGACAGTGATACTCGTGTTGAAATGGCATATTTGGAAAGTGGAAAGCTGTGATGGCTATCTTTTGATCCGGTGTTGTCAAAAACAGAAGCTCCGTTTCCTTCGTCCTTTCGATTTATATACATGTAGAGACTTGCTGTTGCAGGATCATAGAGCTCAAAGGTCTTCATTCCCCCGCTCATTACACATACAAAGTTCTCCAAGGAATCGTAATGCGTTTGTGTCTTCAGCGGGCCGTATCCGATGTACATGCTCAATGGCTTGTGATTCATAGGGGGCGTTGGACCAAGGGCCTCGATGAGTGTCCCAAGAGGCGCTGAGGCTCGAATAGGATCGATCAGTTGCGGTAAATGCGTAACGATTGGTATCTGGGCACCATACAGGTGATCTTCAGAAGTTTTATTGTCGTATGCTGCCAGAAACTCGGAGAACCGCATGGTCCGTTCGTCATATGCCGATTTGGAGGTTCCAGGAGTGACGAGTCGACGAAACAAGGTGCCACTAGATGATGCCGCCGTTGACGACAAGGCGCGTTTGGCAAAGCGAACGGGGATTTCTGCATCTGGACCCACTGTTTCGAGCATCGCAGCATCGTTCGACCAGTACTCGAGCCGGCTCTGAGGAATGCAGGTCCGGCAAACAAAGGGTTCGTTTCGATCCACAAATGGAGTTATCGTAGCAGCCACATCCGTGTCTTGTTGCAATGTGACTCCAGCAACACCACGTTCATCCGCATGTCTTGACAGCCGGCTCTCATGTTGCCCTTTCCCCGCACTATTTAAGACACTAATTGTCGTAACAATATCCCCCAGTTGACTAGCAAGCATCCCAATGAGAATTACGAGTATGGAAGCAAGTGTTAGGATCGTTCCATTGAAGAACAATCCTTCTTCTACTGACTCCTCCTTTTCGATACTCCCCGTTGAAACATCATTTGACTTCTTGGTCCCCCCCATGGCACTTCACAAACCAAGTTGTGAGATTCTAAAATTTTGGCGTGTCAACAACGCAGTCTTGTCTGTTAAAACAAAGTGAAAAATATTACAACGACAAAGTTGAAAGTACATGCATGCTCATGTTCCCAAATCGCATTGCTGGCAAACAATACAGGGAGGGGAGTGAACCCCCCAAACGTGCCATCTTGCACGTCACCTCTTGTTTGGTATTATTGTGAAATGTCACACGAGCCTGCACGCAGACTTTCTGAAAAAAGGCGATTATCGGCAGATCAGCACTATCAGTACCTGGACATATACTACCTGTAGTCGAACTTTCAATATAAGCTACTCGTACATACATTCCATTCAGCAACATCAGCAAGAGGCTCGTGGATAGCAATAAAAAGATACCGACATGATTTGCCACTCAAAAATGCTTCTTTGAGCCGGTATCGCTCCTTGGCTTCAATCGATCCATAGAAGCAACAAGGTTTGGTGGGCGTCCACGTTTTTGCATGATGTTGCGGAAGGATGAACTTTGGAATCTTTCAATGTGATCCTCTGTTTCACCCCCTTCAGTGATCCTATTGTACGCTGCAAATGAGAGACCATACTTGAAAATCAATCTTGTGGCCGACTCTGGAGCGGGATCACTGTTTTTCAAACTCATTCTAGATTGATTCATTCACATCTCTCTTTAGACTGGAATGTTTGAAAACCTGATACATTGTGTATCTACAACAAATTTCGCGGAAGCGACGATCGCTTCGGACTATCAAGTCAAGGAAGCAGCGGCAATTTGCGAATCGAGCAAACCTGAAAGTCATGAAGCACAAAGTAAACAGGCTGGACAAGTGCTACC